GTGGCATTGCAGTAGCTTGGTATAACATATTTCCATAGCGTGTAAAAGCATCATCGTGCACAGCTAGTTTTTCTTTTGCGGTTAAGTTAGGATTATGTAAAGCATTATTACCATCCGCATATGCATTATATAATGGTTGAGCGAACCGATCCGTATGCGCATGTGTTGAAGGAAAGTTGAAGAGGTTTGTTGCTTGGGCATCTCTGTGTTGTGCCAACTGGTCAGCGTTAAGTAGAAACATTTTACGTGCAGCCATATTAGTTTTAAATTTTTCCCAAAACAAAGCTTAGAACAGGAGGTAAAATCAGAGATAATATCGCGGCACCTTTTGCTAGAAGGAAATTTCTTTTCTTGCGACGAGAAACGTTGCGCTTTGATAATAATTTTACATACGGCAGCACACGTTTAAGCCGTGCAGATTTGCTTGTTTCAGTGACAGGAACTACTCCTTCAACAATTTGTAACGCACACTCAGAAATAGCATCAATGAGAGTATCTTTAGAGTTTTTGATGATTGCTTTGATCAGCTTTGGTTTGCCTTTTGCAATAGATGATAGTAAGTCCAGATTTGAAACAGTGTGACTGCGCTCCATTATGAGGGAATGTAAATTTCCGGTAATTTTTCTTCGTTTTCCCAAAAATAGCCGTACGCAGCCGATATTTATCAGGCGTTGTGTGCTGTAAGTCAATTACAATGTAGCCGTACGGTCTATCTAAACATCCGGCAAGTGCTGCTTCAAAATACTGTTGCTTTTGAGGGAATAATTGCCTTCCCAAAATTTGAAGTTGTTGTCTATCTTGCGGATTTTTGAAACAGATAATGATTTTGGCATTCAGTCTGATGTCACGAGCATAAGCATTCTTGAAGAAAAGGTTTTGAGTCAGAAAAATGACAGTGGTATTAGAATGACGTCCACCATTGCAAAATAATTGGGCTACGTGTTTACTCGTCTTCTTCAAGATGTAGGTCATCAATAATACATACATTAACGAAATTTTTATCAAAATATCTTGGTTCAGAAATTTCATCTGGTAATCCTTCGATGAAAATAATAGGTACGCCTTCTCTAAGTAAATCGTCGTACAATGTCTGGTACTGCTTGTAGAACCAATAAACCCGATCAACTTTTGCTGAGAATTTATTATAACGTAACAAATTAGCCACGAACGTTGATTTGCCGCAGCCAGAATTACCAGAAATAAGCATCGAAGTCGGATGTAAAAATTCGTTATGTAGAAGGATCTCCATTGCTGAGATTGTTGCTGCCAAATCCTAATAACTGACGTGTACCGTCAAATAAAAAAGTAATGAGCGGCATAACAACTGATTTTAGAGGAATGCGGTTGGTAACTTTAAGTGCTATAACAGTAATAATGCGCATTGTTTGAGAAAACAGAAAAGGCACAACGTAAAAGAGCATCCAGAACAGAATCCCATGTGGCTTTGGCTGCCCATTAGGTTCGTCCGGCACGTAAACTGGTGGCAACGGTGTATCCATTGTGGCAAAAAATTCTACGAAAAATTGATTCTTTTGTACGATTCAAAATGACAAATGACTGATGAAATATTTACCAGCAGTGGCAGCAGTCGTTGTTGTTGTTGATATAGTGACAGTGGTTGTTCAGAATGCCGTAATCACCCCAAGCTGGGTCCATTGGTACACCCGGTTCGAATTGGTTGGCTCTTCCTCTTCGTACTCCGGGTCCTGCGTTGGAAAGCCGTAGATAGGATTTAGACGAATCATTGCTTCGTGTACCTGGCACACGTTGTAATAGAAATCGATGTTCTGGTACGACTGCAGCTGTTCGTCATCCGTGCCACATGATGCGTAGATCTTCAGTCCAGTCTTGTCCGGCATTTCCGCTGTAATGCTGATATACACGCGGACATGCTGCAGCCTCCGTTCTTCAACTTCACCTTCCCACTTACGCAGTTTCCACTTTAGATAGTTACGCATCCGGCCGTGGGCTAAGTCGCGGACAATGTACTTCCAGGACGCAAGAGCCACCTTGTTGAACGTACGGTCAGGAAACCGCTGCTGAATCTCGGCGAGCTGTTCCACTGGCTTGACAAATTTAAAACCAATTCGGCGAGGCGTTGCATTTCCGAAACACGCTCAAACTGCACTCTAACTGCCATGTTCAAAAACGGATAATCTTCAGCTGCAAGGGCAAAACGATTCTTCAATGCAGTATAAATTTCACAGATGTAGGTATCCTCCTCCGCTGCTGTTGCGTAAAATACGTAATAATTCCATCAGGAACCCCATAACATGACCCGTTGGATAAAGAGCACCAACAACGCCGCTGAACGCCATTTTGAAGTGAAATATTCAAAATTCAATCGAAGAAAAGTTCAAATGATTGTTGAAAAAAGAATGAAATGAAAAGCCGGTTATGCGGCAGAACATAAATGCGACATGTTTACATAGTGCAGCCAATGGTTTGCACCGCATACTGGCTACTGGTCATTTGTTAGAATAATGTAGACCGGTATACCCGCCTCTTGATCCGCTAGGATAAGAGCAGCGACAATAAGTGGCGTGGGATCAGGCAAAAGCAACCGCTTCGCACCTTTCCGATAGATAAGTTTTCGAAACAACATTTTAGTCTACCAGTGCGCGAGATGGATTAAATTTGGATGCATTACTTTCGTCGATGCACTTGACTTCTTTTTAATGATCACTAACCGTCATGACTATAGCCTTGCGTTCCGTGGCCTGTGCATACTTATGTACAGTTCGCCGAATGCATGGTTATAGCATCGGTGCGCTTAGATGTTATATCAAGTGGTATTGCTAAATTATTTTTACGACATCATCACTGCTTGATTATTCGCTTTCCTGTTTATAAAGGCGCATACCATGGCAAATACATGAGTATATGCCGTGATAGGCACCTTTATAATCATGATCGTCATGGCAGCCACATGCACGAATTTTGTAAATGGTCATCAATGTGGACTATGATAGTGCAACGCCTAATGCACGAAATGTATCCATATGTATTATTTATGCGATTTATGTTTTGACGCCATTTTTGACGCCATGATATCGACTTGAATTAACATTACCATTTTGACGCTAAACGCAGTCTGTGTGCATTGGCCTACCACTAGGCAGCAGTACGATGTGCGAAATACATTTCCGGCAGCGCCGATACCATACAGCACATGCAATGACTGTTCAGACTAAAGCTTTGCACTGACAGTGTGGTGACTAGTGGTGATTTTTCAGTTCTTTATTATCTTCCGATTTCTACCAAAAATGGCGTTTCTTTCTGTTGTTTTGTTTTGTTGTGCTCATGCAGTGGTGTGGAGTGTGGAAAATGGATCCAGTGCTACGGGAAATGTCTGTGCAGTTATGATACTGGGACTGTGAACTGTGCAGGTAGAGAACTGTCAGCAATCCCTTATCCCACCGAGCCGAAGGCCTGGATTCGCCACATCGCCTTTAGTGGCAATTCCCTTCGTGTCATCCCTTATTATGGACTGTCTGTATACTTTCCTGATCTCATATCTGTTGATTTGTCTGGAAATCCTATCGACGAGTGCGTTACTCCGCCACCGTTTGTAAAATTTCGTGTCATCTCTGTTTGTGGAACTGGCAGATCGGCTGGCACTGGTTCTCCGACGATTCCAGCCACTACACTTGCCCTTTACACCACCACCGAAACTGCTGGATCGTCTGCGAGTGTTCTGCCATCAGAGACGAGCACAATTGTGGATAAAGACGCGGAGATGAGTACCACTAACATTTTGTATTTCTGTGTTGGTGCGGTTGCGTGTGTCGGAACTTTCGTCGCGTGTGCCTGCTTTGTGGTGAAAAAGTGTGCCAAGAAACAGAACGGCCCCGCTCTGGAGCGACTTGCTGAACCCGATGATGCGATGCAGATGCACGTCCGTAATGAGAACATTTACGAATTGTAGATGTTTTTTTTTACAAAAGATTTATGTACAGATTTTTACTTTTATGAATCTCAACTGTTGACCAAATTACAGTCAGTATTCTGTTTAACGCTGCAAGCCATACGAAATTGTGATTTTTTTGTTAGTTTTTTATAGTTTTACTCTTCTTTGATCATGACGGTTGTGAAAAGATAATTACGCTCTTCTGCGATTTATGTTATGACATTTTAAAATGATCTTCTCTGTTCTGTGTCTCGAGAAAGATTTTATTACCGGTCAGCGTGCTCGTAAAGTACGGAATGTACGGCAATAAAATGTGGAATGTGTTTGCACAGGTGTGTGTACATAGGTTTTTTTACGTCTCCCTATTCCCTATCAAAAGTTTGTTTACTTAGAGTTTTTTACTTCTCCCTGTTCCCTATCACCGCCGGTCGTAAATAAGTCGTAAAGAAGTTTAAAATCGCATGTGCTTCTACTAACTATGTTTAGCTTATCTTCAATAACGACAACAAAGCGCATAGTGCTCCATTAGCGCACTAAATTTAGTGAGACATTTGTAAAATCTTCTTAATCAAAGTATTAAAATAGATAAAAGCTGTGTCCCTGATGCGTGATAAGAGCATAAAGATCCTACAATGTTTCTGCTGTTCGAAAATAGGCTTAATAAAAGCAGGTGCGTGTAAAATACGCATCCACTATATGTACTTCTACTGTATGTACCTAGAAGTGCACGAGATTTGGCGTTTTAATATTCACGTGCTGAAGGTTACTTTAACTTGCAAAAATTAATACAATAATTATTAAGTTTATGCCTTTGCGTACTTACTCGTATAGCTCCACAAGTAACTATAAAACTAGTACAAATTGCGTAGTCTACGGGCTACTCTACTCATTTCTGTTGCGACAAAAAATGAACTACGTGAGAGATGCTCGGCAGAACTTTCAATAATATCGTTGGCTGTCCCATTGTAATATTGCACAACATACATTTTTAAAGAGAAGTTATTTATCTGCGTGAAACAATGAATCAGAATAAACGAGGCTGAATTGCTCATCAAAATACTGAACCGAAAGCACCAAAAAATTCCAAATTTATTGTAATTAATTCCCGTTTTGCCTTACAAAAATTCAACAATGTTCAAGGTTGTACTATATAAAACCTAACAAAACAAAAAAGTTATCTTTCACATCTTTTTACTCTTCACTGGAAAAAATACAGCATCTGTGAGAAACTGCCCAATATCGCCAAATCGAAATCGTGCACGCCATTTGGCACTGTAGAGTGCGCATGCCACAAAACACACAAGAATACTGTAAAAACATAGGATGCAAAGCGCTAGGAAATCACTGGTATGGACAGTGTCCATGGACAGGTTCACCGCACCAGTCAGGACATTGGCCACCAAGAATACAGTCAGGGCGTTGTAGTTCAAAGCAGGAATGGCCAGAGGAAGATGCGACAGCCACTCCAGAATGGATATGCCTAACAATCACAGAGAAAGTTTATACTAGTGGTGGTTGTTAACCACATCCTTGCACCGAGCGCGAGCGCCGGTCCGCTGGGAATGTGAAACTATGAATCGACATGGCGCGCGAACCCAGTTCTGATGGCGCTCTTCGGGAATGGTGTAACCAGCCGCTGGTTACCAGCGTATATGTAATATAAGCTCGCTGGTGCAAGTTTTGCGCTGGCCTGTTCCAGACTATTGTTGATCTCGAGATCTACTAGTACTGTCATTCTGGGAAACTACATTGAGGAAAACACTATAGAACACTACATTTAGGAAAACATTCAAAAAAGATTTCGCTGTGGATAAAAACAAATGGTTTTTATCGAAATTCTGACCAGAAAATTTCGCTTCCAGTACCATTAGAAAAACGATGTTAATGACATCCTTGAAACAGCGCTTAGGCTATGAATATACCACTGCCAATGGAAATGAAAATTTGTAGAATTGGAAAAGAAAAGCGTGACCGACGCTTTTCGTGGGCGACAGACAAACTCTGCTACGGGAAGCGTATACTCTGCTATGGAATGCTATGAATGCGTGCATCGCTTGACGAAGGCATAGAGTAGCACCTCGCGCTTCGCGCTCGGTGCAGATAAACCGACCTTCACGGTCCGAATGGTTTTCTGACAGACTATCAATACGAGTAAGCAAGCACCAATAAAACGTATTTCGATGAAACCATTGAGAGTCTGAGACAGCAGCATACTCAGTCATAGTGCTCGCATCAATGAGCTAAGATTCCTACTGGCTACCATACCCTGGCATACAGTTACTGATTATGAGACGAAATTTTTACCTCCGATCGTTTTCTTTCCCGCCAACCATACCACGATCATTCGGCTAACGACCAAAGTGGTTAGAAATCCCAACGCGAGATAACTCTGCAATTACAGTAGAACTACAGCACAGAAAGTCCCTCATTATGCAAACAAAAATTAATATGGCAAAGGCACTGAAGTGGTATATTGCGATAAAGTACGAGTAGGACAAGCGAACTAAAATCCAACGATACGCTCAACTACTGTACGAGTACTGCTGAAGAGGTGCAAAACAAACAAACTCAAGCAAACAGAATAAGCCAAGTTCAAATCTGTGAAACCCCAAAACCCAAACAAACTGGAATGTAACTGCAACTAATACAAATTCTTTCCCATTCTCACCGTCCAAAAAATATAGGAGGCGTTGGCAAATCGACGTGACGGAAGAGGCAGATACCGACAAATTAAAAATCCAATCAAGCACCAGCAGGCCAAATCTCCCACTAGTCTAACGTGCTGCAATCGAGATTTCCTGAAAAATAGTTACTTTAGCTTATCGGTGGTGTTACACGCAACGATTTACGTCAAAATTTCAAAAACCAAACTTTACGGTAAAACAACTGCAATTACGTAGAACATCTCAAATCCGTTAAGGAAATTGTAATAAAAATTCTTATCACAATGTGCATCAAATACATTTCGATCCGTTTCTGATCGGCTGTAATTATTTACAACAGGTCAACACGTAATTATATATTTTACCGTTCCACGCGGAAACAACGAGCAAAGTGGGTCCATATGAGAAACAACGCCAGAAATCCAACGGACGAGGCTATTCCGGACCGATTATCCACAAGTAGCCGCGAAACAGGCATAGAAGAATGGATATCGGATGACGGAATGAGCAAATAATCATATAACCCGTTTTGCAGAATGATTTCGTAAATCACAGCAAGTCCGATACCGGCAAGTGGCAGGAATTCTGCGCGAATAAAAACGGCAGCTAACCGACTGAAAATCTAAAACACGTTATCATTTGTTATTATGCAGCGCAGTGATCGGGGAAAAGGCATTACTTATTACTTTAACGACAGCCAATGTACAGAAAAAATTCCAGTGCTTTCCATACTCTTCTTCTGGTGACTGGTAATTCGTCATGGTTATGGATACAAAGCGTCCAAACCCCAGAATAATTAGGAGGAAACTGTCCTTCAATTCGCTTATCACCATTCTAAGCGAGCTGCGGCCTTTCCTATAATTTTCTCTTTAGTGATATAAAGAATTTGTTTCACATCCGTTACAAGTTTATTCAGCAAAACACAAAACAAGGCCTAGGATAAGACCATACTGCAGCATAAGTCATAAATGATAAGCAGTCAAGAAACGTATTTCGGGAATTTAGATTTTGGAAAAATTGCATTACATTAATAAACCACAACAAAGCGCCCTTCATAAAGAATCTATATAAATATTATATTATTATACATTATACGTATATTATTTACCTTCATAATTATAAATAAATTCTGTAATTACAGGAATCCGAAGAAAAGTCAGCTGCCAAACTTTAAACTTTAAAGGTACTGTTCAAAGTAAAAGGTACTGTAAATTCACTGTTCAAAGCTGCGCCAGGCAAAAAAATATGATGCTGCTCACTGCTCACACGCAGTGTCACGCACAATATCGGATTTAGTTCTTTCGAAAGCCCATAATGGAAAAGCAGTTCACATTTGAGTTGTTGGAGAACCTGACACCACTTCACGTACTCTTTGGCCTGCGGAGCAACCAATCCGTTGGCAATGACGAACGCTCCGACGCCGAGATCCATAACGGAATATCCACTTTCCACGGTCTTGGCCATTTTTCGCGGAAATACCGGAAAATCCACAGCCAGAATGCACAGCGTTGTAAAGAGCATAATTATTCCCCTGTACGATGTCACGACATAGCGTTCGAGTACGGCGACTCCGCCAAGCGCTCTCGGCGATTCCGCGCTGCTTCTGCCATGGCTGAGATGGGGCACATCTTCGGGATGTTTTCCGCTGTGCTGCGTCTTTTTAGAAGAATGATATATCCACAAACTGGGGGACGCGCATAATAATAACATAAAACATTTGATTACGAGGCCTTCCGTCACATACGTAATGGAATGAATCATGGGGATAGTTATTAAGAGGAAATCGTATAAAAACGGCAACCTACAACAGCAGGACAAGCTGACATAAGCACCTCGAAAGAACGTTCCCTTCATGCATTTTGTAAGGAAGGATCACTAAGGAGGTTTATACCATTTGTGATGGCTTCTCGGGATAGAAAGTAAAGCAATCTCGCGGATGAGAAAGTAAAAGGAGATGCTGGCCAGTGTGAAACAGACATAAGCATTGCTGCTGCCTGTTGATGTTTGAACGAACTTCTCGTGGATGGCTTTAGAGTCCATTTGATTGCTTTAAATCGCAACGAAGGTCCTGCTTCCGAACTTTCCGAAGCAACTTAACCCACATAGCAAAAAATCAATCTACTTCATAACATTTTTCCCAACAAAAATCATAAAAGTACACAGTCATATACTGTGAAAAAATCTGCTTTAAAAAAACTTCGAAAAGTTTTCTAAGTCAAAAAGCGAAACTTCAAACTTGCGAAATGTAGAGGTGCAGTTCTTACCACCGACGTTTCTGTTCGACGTTGTGATGTAAAAGTTTCTTCCGTTTCCGGTTCCAATTGGTTGTGCAACTTTCCGTTTTTGGAAATGGAAACACAATCGTCAACTTTCCGTACGCTTAATGTACCGGGGGTTTCGATACACCCGGGTGATTACCACGGCTTGGATCTGGCTCGAAAGCATTTTTAGCGCATTTGGAAACTTCGCTGTATATTGTGCACATGTACTTGTACTTACTTATCACCGCGCGGTTGAACGACCCACTCCGCTGGCTCCGCGCAGATTTCCGTGACGATTGTGAGATTTGCTCATTCATGCTTCTCATTCATTCACAAATTTTTTGCACGTCGGAGAAACGGATGTTTTGAATTTTTCGTTCTGAACCTGAACAAACTAGGACTCCAAAATCAGTTACCTGATTTCGTTATCCGTTTCGTTTGATTGTTTTAATTTGTTATAATTCGAGCGTGAGTTCCAGACTGGTTTAAATCGTTGTGAAACATGGAATCAACCAGCAGCGGTCGCACTCTGCGCAGCAAACACAAGCAGCCAGCATCGGAGCCCACCACACTGACTCCCAGCAGCAGCGACTCCGACATCCAAGAGATCCCTGCGGAGTCTTCCACCACACGCCCTAAACGGCGTACCAAGAAATTCCTCTTCTCCCCCGACAAGAAATCCAAAACGGACCACGTGCGGGCGCCCATTCCGCAGATCACACAGATCCTCTCCGAAGGTGATCAGTTTGCCGTCCTGGCCAACGACCAACCCGTTGTGGATTTACGCGCGCAGTTTCGTGACCAGAAAGCCCGAAAGGCTGGCACGAAGGCCAATTCTGGCCTGTTTGATAGTCTTCGGGACTACAAGACTGACATGGATGCTTATCTGCAGAACGCTATGGGGGGCTCCTTCCCGGGCACCAGTCGGGCTCATTCCAAGACGTTGACAGATATATTTCGCATTCCCCCGGAGATCTTGACGGAGGGGACTTTTGATCAAGTGCGACAGCGGGCATTTCTGAAAAAACGCTGGCTGATGGTGAACATCCATAATTATACAGAGTTTGCTTGCCAGCGTCTGATTCGTGATTGTTTGGTGCACGAGGCCGTGAAGGAGATCATTCTAGAGAATTTTGTGTTCTGGCACGCTAATCATGATACCCGAGAAGGATTGCGTTATCGATCTCATTATCAGGTAAGCGCTTGTCGTTGGCAGTGAGATTCCAACTTCAGGGACCTGTTTTCTAGAAGTGAAAAGAGTTTCGTTTCTTCTTTAATTGAAAGTGAATTGTGATTATGTGTTAAAGTATAAGTTATCTTTGAACTTCCTTTCTTAATTTCCCGTCTTAATTTGCAGCCCCAAAAGTTTGATATTTGATGGTTTGCGTGAATTCATTAAAAGTATAATAGATTAAACCAAATTGCACGAGGCGTGTAAAACAGGAAATTTGCAGTTTATTTTAGTGCTGTGTTATTATCCGCTAATGCTATTAACGGGAATTTTGCATTTTTGTTCAATACAAATTTTTGATAAATTTTGGCCTGAATATGATGCCATGAATCCTGTGATGGTGATGTCATCGGTGATTGTCTTTAGGCCCAATCTTTCCCGTACTTGGCCATTATCGATCCCCGCACTGGCGAGAAAGTGGCTACTTACGGCGAAATGAACGTTATGGGATTCTGCAATCAGATTTCCGAATTTTTAGCCGAGCGACCAAGTTTTGACAAAACCGAGCCTTCCGTCGTAGTGTCTTCCAAACCCGATCCCATCGTCCGTCGCGAGAGTGTTATAATCTATGATCCAGAAGAAGAAGAGATGGAACGCGCACTGAAAGCGTCGGAACAAGAAGAAAAAGCCCGCAAAGCGCGTGATGAACAGAAGGACAAGGAACATGGCATGGATGACGTCCTGGAAGGGTTTGTAAGTGAAGAGGAGGAGGAGCCGCCCGTTAAACCAGAGAAAACGAAGGAGCCCGCGGAGAAAGTGGAAATAGTGGAGGAACCGAAAGCCAGCATAATGGGTGCTTGGAAAGCATTCCTGGGCAGTGTGGAGGATCCCGAGGTGGCATTGAAGATCCGCTTACCCAATGGGACATCCCTGGATCTTTCCATTCCCAATTCCTCCAAATTAGCGGCGATTACGCTGTTCGTAGAGGAGAAAGGGTTTTCAGGGGAGAAGTTTGAGATTTTGACAGGGTTTCCCAAGAGGAATTTGTCGGAGATGGAGCGGGAGACCGCACTGAAGGAGGCCGGATTGGGCGGCCGCGAGATGTTAATTGTGCAGGCCAAGGATTGAGGTTGGTCGTTTTGCGCCGATTGATTCTCATATTTTTGCCGTTTCCGGGTGCCACGGGAGCCTCTGTAGTTGTTTAGGCTACCGTACCGCGTTTGTTTAACCGTTTTATGCGTTTATATTCACTGAACCATCGAATTTTTTCCGAATGTAGGTTTCGTTGTGTAATGTGTGGGAATATTGGGTGCTGGATTACGACTTTTTTGGTTCTTGGTATTTTGTGACTCAGGTTGGATGTGCATGTCCTCGATTTATGGTTGCATAAATTCTGAATTATTGATGACGATGCGGTCGTACGTACGCACTACTCGGGTAGCTCTTCAATTTTTTGAAAAACCAGTATACTATAAAAAAAACCAGTATACTATGAATCAGTTTTTGCAGACTTTCCGAGTGCCAACACTTAAGTACTTACTGGACGGTAGCTGTTCTTGCTCAATAATAATTGTACTAAGCACAGTATTGTAAGCAAGAGTCATCTTCGGCTTCGCCTCAGATGCTCTTGTGGTCTACAGTCAATTCCTTGAAAAATAATTCTTGTTCATTTATTTTCGAAGTCTGGTGTGTGTGTATGTTTTTACATTGTATGATTAGGCGCTGTTCGTAGCTTCAGCTAGCTTACTCTAATCAGGAAACAGCATTAAATAGCTGATCGGTTCATTTTATGTGAAACAAAATAGTTGGTAGCACGACTAATAATCGGGGAGTGGTCAGTGGTGCTAAGTTTTTAATAATTCTGCTTCGCTACTTTTTAATAACTGGTACGTGGAAACCGATTTTGATCGAGGACAATAATATCCCGAGGACAATATATCTTAGTGTTAGTGGACAATATATCGAGGACAATATATCTTAGTGTTAGTAGCTTAGCCCAGATAAGAGCAGAACCGTTATCACTGTCCAGCACAACGCTAATGCTCCAGCTGTCAAACGAACAGAACTGTGCAAAAGCTGGCATGTCTACCCACCGACCAATCCTACTAAATAAAGGGAACGGTCGCCAGATCCTCAATTCCGAGATCCTCAATTTACCACCGGCCTTACCACCCCTTAGGCCCTTACCACAAACAGTGTGACCGCGAGGACTAGTAAACTTGAGCTTCCGTTCACTTTACTTACAGGCCTGATCGACGGTCAGTATGTTTCCTGTAACTCAGTAGGTCTGGTTTAGTGGATAGTGTAACCTTTGTGCAGTTCTGTTCATTCGACAGCTCACGAACATTGTTAGCATCGAACAGTGGGTACTGGGCAACGGTTCCGTTGGGTTCCGTTCTCATATGCCGGTCTGGTCAGTGAGTGTTTCGTTGTATAGGAAAACTCATGGTCAGTAAACTTTCGCTTGCAAACTATGGTTAGACACTGCCTGTTTTCTCACTACCACCGAGTTGACGAAGTGCGATTTCGCCTTCTACCTAATATGTAAAGGAACTATGCAGGTAAATAGGAATATTTTCGCAAAATTTCGCTTTCGCACCCTCAAACACCCCCTCACCTCAAACAGTTTCATAGCGTTCATAATGATTACCCTATAGCCAAAGGATTTGTACGTACATCGGTGTGAGAATTGTTTATGAGATAGAAGGGGAATAAAATTTTAAATTAATTGTTTAAAGCATTCACGTGGCATTCAAAAGGCTCATTATGAATCGATATCTTATCCCAAATTTGCATGTAAACGCGTGAATATACCGTAGTATGAGTATTAAGATCGTTTTACACCGAACCAAAGAACTTTTTTGGTAAATGTATAAGAACGCGGAAAAGCTAAAAAGTTCCAGTGCAAAAGCGCTTTCCGGTTCCGAAAACCAAAAGAAAATTTCTTCGCTTTAGATCATTTTATTGAAACGTGACAAAGTTGAAAATTTTTTCGAAGTTTATTTGCAAAAATTACAGTTTTTTTTATTACACTACATACTCTGCATTTGAATATTAGCTGCTCCAAGCAACAGTGTTTATGTAAAAGGCCTGTCGAGGTCACCTTGATCTGATGCCCGTACCGGTACCGGCATCCGAGCGATGGTCCAGGGCAGATATTTTTGAAAACAAAATGCATGTGGGACCCTTTTGGGACATGCTGAGTTTAATGGTGAAATCGGTTTTTTAATTTACTTGGCGGTTTTTTCTAGCCAAGTTCCACGGGGCGGCCGATCATAATATAGATCTATTTCCTTGATAAGTATCAAGTACTTACTGTATTGTGCGAACTGTGCATACTTGCAACAACTGTTTTATGTTTGATTACTTACTTGCTAAATTGTAAAACTTAAAAAATTGGTCATTAGATTCTCAATTTTACTGTACATTTCATGCTTGCGTATTCTGGTTGAAGTACAGAGTACTGAACATTAATACAGTAACACAATCCATATTTTTATTACTGCGAGTGCAGAAATCGACACTTGCGTGTGCATACCTGACATTTTCAACACTCTGTAGCGTACTAGCGCGCAGTGTATAGATATTTCGTTTACATCAACAATACGAGTCTTTTGTAACCAAAGCAATGCGCGATCATTAAAATAATACGGTATTCTTCGTGTACACAGACTGTGAAACACCCGTATTGTACTCGTAAAGCCGTTAGTTTTGACTTTTGATTTATACGCATAATAAAACGTACGAGTTCTGACGGTGAGTACGCTTGTAAGTTTAATAATTTTATTGTTAGTGGTGACCGTGTATCTTATACAGTCCGCTCATGAATCATGATCTAAAAGTACACAATTCAACCATGAGACTCTCATCGAATTACATATCTATATCTTAAAATTAACGGAACTGTCTTTATTGAAGACACATAAATACGGTACGAGTACTTACTAAACAGGGGTTCAATGGTGTTGTTCGTCTTCCTACAGTACTTTAATCGTATAATTTGCAAATATTGCAATTACGATCTCTTATAATATTATAATTATGATATACAAATAGAGATGCTATATATACCTGAGTACGTAAATTCCGGTGCTTAAGTGTTAATCCTTTCATGCGGAATTAATGGTTTCAGTATAAGTTTGCTCGCCATGCAGTTACCGGTATAAACTATCGACGGCATTTTGTAAGTATTCTTGACACCGCTCAAGCATTGAAGGCGTTCGAAGATGTGTAACGGACTATGCACCTTGTGAGTTGTGATCATAGCTTTACTGAGCTGATAAGAACTACTTCTACTTACAGATGCTTACTACGATTTCAAAAAAGCTATCTCTGAGTCACGTGCAAATGATAATTGATAAGATTTCTTTTTCCGGTGTGATACGAGGGTGCATACTGCGCTTACAGTTTAATTCCATCAGTAGCACAACACTCAGGTTCCAGGACATCGCGATCCCATCGGAATCTCGCCTGTGTGTCCTGATCCAGCCTGCATGTTCGCGTATCTCAGGATCTGTCTAATTAGCGCTCGATTCGGAATCTAGAATAGTGCAATGACTCGTGTTGCGGTTGTTGGAGCTGGGATTGTTGGCCTGAGCGCGGCTGTTTGCATACAGGAACATGTACCGGATGCACAGGTACTTCTACATTACGATGATATATGAATACCTGTATGTGCTTAACTTCCTATCCAGCTTACGTGCATTTATCGTTAAAGGATAATATTGCGAACTGACAACTTCCTCTGTAAAAATAAAGACAACAGAAATTTCTGTCCACAGGTGGCGATCTTTGCAGATCGGCAGGACGTCGCCACAACCAGTGATGGTGCGGCGGGGATTTTTCATCCGGACTGCGTGGGCGCGGACAACCAGGCCCGATCTCAAACAGTGGATTGCGGACTCAGCGGAAAAGTACTGGCACGCATGGAGGACGAAGGATCCAGTGGAAACAGGAATATTTGAAATATCCGGTAGGTTCTGAAAGTGACAAATACTGATGTCCATTCTAAAGCACAGTAAATTAATTGTATTTTGGTTGTGCATAATAATGTGCAATAACGGTTACAGTAGATGACGGCGAAGCAACTCCTTGATACTTAACTACTTTACCATTAGTGGTAAATTACGAAAACGTGCAAAACTCCATAGATCTTGTACGTATTGTGCAACGCACAGTACTGTATTTGCTGATGATGAGTAAAATTAATAATAATCCAGAGTTGTATTTACACTTTACAGTACCCATACTACGATAGTATAAGATATTCGTATTCGTAGTACGTAATGCTTAAAGACGCCATAACAATAATTAAAACCCCTAGTTATTGTAAAAATAGTTTTTTTCAAACAGGTTACAGTGTATCAAACCATGACCTTAAGATGGTGGCCGATCCCGTCTTCCATGAGCACTGCCGCAACTACCGGCGTCTGGAGGGCGCCGAGCTGGACGCCGTCGGTGGTGGCCCGTGGCGCTACGGCGCCTTCAAAACCACCCTCATCACCGAACCCCGTATCATGATGCCGGATCTATTTAACCAGTTTCTCGGCAACGGCGGCCAATTGGTACAGATGAAGCTGGAGTCGCTGGCACCGTTGACCAGCGGCCAGTGGGACGCCATCGTCAACTGCAGCGGACTGGGCGCTCGCAACCTAGTCAGTGATCACTCCATGTATCCCATCCGCGGCCAGGTGATGCGGGTGCGGGCCCCCTGGATGAAGCAGTTTTATTTCGGGGAGGATGATGCTTACATTCTGCCCAATGCGGAGCTGGTGGTGGTTGGCGGGACAAGACAGAAGAACAACTGGAGCTTGGAGTTGTGCAAAGAGGACCGCGACCGGTTTGTTGATAAGTGCGCGAAAATGGTGCCGGGCATACGGGTAAGCCAGTAAAATTTTGATTTCAGAAATTTTGATTACAACAGTGATGCATCTGCGTCAGCATTGCTGATCGTACGCAACTGATAAACTAAGACAGAAATTTCTATTTTGTGTCCAACAATATTCAGTTAAAAACAGAATGAATCGTTAACAAAATGCAGCAGTATGTAGTGAAACTAAGTAGTAATCTTCGATGACTGGATAGAGAAAAGATTTTGTCGTTGTCATGTAGGAAACGTGCAAGGAACCAGTGCGTGAGTGGGTGGGTTTGCGACCCGGCCGACCTACTGTCCGCTTGGAGGAGGAAGCGCTGGCGTACGGCACCGATCGGTCCATCCCGGTGGTTCATAATTATGGGCACAGTGGGAACGGTATCGCCTTATCATGGGGATGCGGAAAACACGTAGCTCGACTGGTCAAGGATATTGCTCAAAGGGAAGCAAATCGTCCAAGATATTAGTGTCTTATGCTATGGCTTCTTTCTGGAGAGATTCTCTTGTGATTTTTAAAGATCGTTCTGAGTACATGTACGTAGTACCTGTTACGAGTACTTCAAGTATAACAGATGACGGCAGTTATTGTTATCGGCTCAATTCGGATCGAATTCGCCTTTGCATATGTGAGAGACAATGGAGAAATCAAAAGAGTTTGCAATACAACAGCAACCTTCAATGAAACATACTCTGCATACGTCCCACCCTGAAAGGTATAAAACAAAAAAAGCACAACTGTGCAAGTAGGGTACTACACGATTATGATAGAACTAAAGCTGTGTCGCAGTAAACTGTTTCCATACGTACAAGCAAGCACCATCAGGCATCAACGCACCGCCTGAGTCAACTTATACAATAGTAACCACCACTGTACAAACTACAAAGGACAGTAGATATGCACCTTGTTACAGAGTAGTCAATGTATAACAAACAAAAATGCAAAAAATATACGAAATATAAGGCCTGGCACTGATACAGTTTAGCAACAAAATAGTGAACGCCAAATAACAGTGTTCCATTACCTTCTGCAGCAAAGTTGAGTAAAGACATGGCACCCCAGCAAACACTAACGCCATGTTGCCGCTAGAAGCTCAAGACAGCCTGCATCAGAGTGTCCTCGTTGGTCAACAACCAAATAATGGGCTGCAACACGCTTCCGGCACAGTGTTCCATTACCTTCTGCAGCAAAGTTGAGTTGTGTTGAAAGACCTCCTGGATGGCATCCCCAGCAAACACTAACGCCATGTTGCCGCTATTTATGAAGCTCAAGACAGCCTGCATCAGAGTGTCCAAGCGTCGTTGGTCAGCGACAACCAAATAATGGGCTGCGTTCGTGATGGACACGCTGGCTGCCAGGATGCCTTCACAGACCGATCGCAGATCAACAACTTGATACTTATCCGCGGCAGCCAAAACCTATTTCACACAGTAGCGATCTTTAATTTTATGCTACTACCACAAAAATAGTTGATACGGTCTTGTTTAAATTATTTTACGCACAAAGAGAGACAATAAGTACATTACGAAACATAGCTGACATGCGAATGTGACTATTATGTGGGGAAAAAAAATCAATGGGTTATGCAAGTACGTACCTTTTCGGCGTTATCGCTGCAAACTTTCCCATATTCACATCCGTAGAAAAACTCCAACAAAACCGTCATAGTCTCTCCCTCAACGTCTGGTACTCGACATCGCCCGGATGATTTTTCCACTGTTCCATGCGACAACATGGCTGCGAAGACCGGCGAATGCGCCATCAAAACGAAACGGTCAGCATGAAAGGTCACACCGTCACTGGATTCCAGGCAAAAGTTACTGCCATGCTCATGAGCGGACGACTTGAGAAATTGTAACTGACGTTGCATTGCTCGGTTAAGCCGGCTGGAATGTTGCGCGGCTATTTCTTGTGGCTGCACCACAACACCGTCCACACTGGCACTGGAGCTGCCAAGGGGATCCTCTGGAGATGTGAACAGGCTCTAACCGTGTCTGCTGACGGTACATAATGACATCGGCCGTAATGGTAATCGCATCGCCGCTCAGTGCGCAGTTACGTCGTCGCACAAAAATATCCTCCCGTCTGCAGAAAGTATCGTAGCCCCATGTATCGCCGTTCTTCCCGAAAGGGTACGCTTTCGGGTCGGTCAGCCAATTTTGTTCAACTATCGCTGACAGTCCTCGGCGTAAACTGAAAAAATAAAGCCTCCAAGTTCGTAGAACGCAGAAGACTGAGCATTTTCGGCTCACATTTCCGTAACTTGTAATCAGTACACGCACCTAAATTTAAATTTGGCAAAGATTTCTTGTGCTTCATCAAGCAGGGATAAATGAACAGACAAGTACTTCTCGTCTGCCTGTTTGGATTCCTCATCCTTGCTGCAAAAGTTTAAATCCAGGCGCCAACGGCCAGTGCAGTCCTTGAAACCGAGATCCGACAACAAGATAGCGTTTGAATGGATCGTTCCCAAAGAGTCCAGCTGCTCCGGTTCGGAAATGTTGTCCACAGACCATTCGAGTTTGAATCGCACAGGCTTCTGAGCAGCGACGTGCTCTTGGGTCCAGACTTGAACTGGAATATCAGTATCAGACTCCATTAGGATAGGCTGCATTTAGATATTGCAGAAAGGAAAAAACTCAGAACGGCCAGAAATTACAAGGTAAAAAAGGTGAGAAAAATGACAATTTGACAAAGCTAAAATTACCGTAAAAAGCAGAGTACATACGAGGGAATGCTGAGTGCTGCTGACTCGTGACTGGCGCAACGAGATACGATTCTGCAGCCTACACAGAGAGCTCAAAGGACGGGTACGGGCCGCGATTCAGGGCAAGATAACAGACAAATTTCCTGGAGGATGTCTCCGCCCGTCCGCCGATGGGCGGTGGCGACTTCCTCACGAAAAGTCGCATTGACGACCTCCTGATTGGCACCTAGATTTGCATTTTACATCGAATGATTTGAGGGAATCCTGCGCATTTTCGGTTTCTTTGATTTCTTTTATTTCATCAGCTGATCAGTCCACAGATTTTGCGGTTTAATGCGGGTTGTGAATCTTTTGGACTTTGTGCACCGCGGTTTCGAAAGCTTTAAGCTTCCACTATGAGTAAGTGCGGCCATTTTGATTTGTTCGAATTGCGGCTCCAGTATTTCGCAGTTTGTCCGGTGAGCCAGATAAGAGCCACGCTCGATAAGGTAAGGTTCGGAAATGCCAGCCGTAGAAAACTGGAAGGCGAGTGACCGCCGCGAGTCATTCGTAATTTGAATAAAAACCAGTTATTGATAGTATAATTAGTATTCATGCAGTAACTTATAACCGCCACAATTTCTTAAATTGCCAACATAAAAACGTTTTCTCAAGTGAAACACCGGAACAGACCCTGCCTACTGATGCCTTTGGTTTTATTTTAAATTTTTAATTTATTTATCATTACGACGTTACGTACTCTGATACTGTACTCACGATCAGAATACTGTTATTAACGTAGTCTGCTAGGTGCTAAATGCCGGAGATGTCGATCGGGAAGAAGAAGAAGAGGAATCAGACTGCTGGACGGAAGATTTTCAAAAAGAGATCCTTAATAATACAGTGCGCGACAGTATCATCCCGTATCATCCTCCGAGCAACTATCGCTATAAATTTGTCAGAGCCATCATTGAAGAAGTAAACATAAACTGTCAAACACAACCGTAAAACGCTGTAAGCGAGCGTTTACAGGGTTTACAATCCTCTTTACAATCCTGTTTTTGTTACAAACTTGTGACGCGACTGGCTAGAGCTAATAAACTAATTGAAATATAGTAACTAAAGTAAAAATTCAGTTTATTATTAACGGTTTACGTTACCTCTACTATACACCGTTTAATTACGATTTCCACAACGATTTTTGGGCATGGCAGTTCAATTAGAGTTTAAATGAATGTGAGAATACACAAGTTACGTACAGTCGTACATACGTTCGTGGATTGCAGATTTTGGTCTATGAGGGGTAGGAAAAGAAGGCTTTTGAAATAGACAGCCGTTAGGAAAGGAAGAAATTGGTTACTGTCTTACTAATATGTTTGCGTAGGAGAAATTTATTACTGTTGCAAGTTGTTGGCAGCCTTGCGATTATGAATTGTAATCGTAATTGTCACTGCGTATTTTGAACTGCAGTTGGAAAGACGGAGCATGGACGTCGCGGATGATTTGTGGGTGGAAGCCAGCGAGTTGTGTCAGAATAGCTCTGATAAAAATGGATTCAAGACAGTATTACTGGTAAGATGTGGTTTTGCTTCGTCGAGTTCTTTATTTTCTTGGTGTGATAAGAAAGTGAATAGTGGAAATCCCGAATCGAATCTGTTTTGTGCTGGATAGCGCTTCTTGATTTGCATGTCCAGTTTTTTACAGTACTAAGATAGTGTCACTGTGTCACACAATAATAATAAGTGACAATAATTATTAGAAGAAGTTGACATTCGTTTTTTATTAATTGACTTTCGGATTATTTTTAGCCGAAAAGTGGTTACTTTTCCCTTGTGCATCATCCATATCTGCTGTCGTGTGGTACGACTGGACTGGCCACGTGGGATGTACGTTGTGGTGGCTTCATTGGGGATTCCGGAATTTTAAAGGATCATGTTTTTGATAGGCAGCTTACTACATGGTGGATTTTATGATGAGCCATCAGAATCTCATTTCTAAAAGGTGGATAACTTCTTTAGTTTTAATGCTGTACCCACTAAAATTTTTGGTGTTTGATTCGTGCTGCTTATGCGGTTGCGTCGATTGTTAGATGTATCAGATTTTTCCAGGAACGTATTAGAGCTTGGCGCGGGGACCGGTTTAACCGGCATCGCATTGATAAAATCGCTGTGTCCTGCGACGTACGTATTCACCGACTACCATGAAAGCGTTCTGGCGAGACTGAAGGAGAACCTCCAGTTGAATGGCTTGTTAGACAATCCTTCCGTGTCCGTGGCGGTGTTGGACTGGCTGAATGTCGAGGAACGGCTGTTAAAAGAACTTAACAGTGATGTCGTTATCGCCTGCGGTAACTATGTAATTAATTTAAAACTAATTAGATCAGTGGTAAACTCGATAATAGAATTATTTCGACAGCGCTGGTTTTTTCAGATATTGCTTATGATCCGGTTCTCATTCCACACTTTTTCAAAGTTTTGAACGAGGTCCGCCGGAGTCAAGAAAAGATGGTGGAAATATTTTTATGTTTGAAAATCAGGAACGAGGAGACAAAGGAGCTTTTCTTTGAAGAAGCCGGTAAATTAAGTGCATTTTACGGTATTCTAGAGTAGCCGTTTGCAGGTTTTTGAATAGTTTTATATCGGTGTAAAGCTGTAAACAAGAATTTGTTGTAAGGATCGTTTTGTTATTTGTACGTACTAGGTTCGTGATTTTTTCCAGAAACATGTGGATTCACTCTTGAAGAACAAAGATTCACGTCAAACCGCTCACTTTTTCCATTTGGATCCTATGATTCTGCCAATTGTGCGGTATTTAGTTGTATTAAGAAAAATAATTTTTAATGTGATAAAGTTAACGAAGAACGCTACATACTTATTTAGAGTAAGCCATGTATTTTCGTGCTGTTTGTGATATGGAGTTTTATAGACAAGGTGCGTGAAGGCATGAGTTTGTGTGATTATGATTAACGTTTTATCAGGCTGCACTTGCAGTAAGCGATCGGAGATACTGTCAGAAATTACTACTCAGAATGTGGCCGCATGTCTTAAATTATTATTATTATGATCACTCTACAGTAGCGATGATAATAATAAAAAAACTGTTTCCAAAAAAAACAGCTGAGTTACATCACAAAGCAAGGATCAAAACAGAAATAAACAATCCGACAACACAAATTCTGGAAACCAGTTTCTGGTACACGGGATACCGCTGCACCTAATTCGATTAAAACAAATAAAGCGTGCAAAATTTCCAATCCGCTAAACAAACGAAAAGTCATAATTTCCACCAGTCGACCCGGAAGTCTGGGTATGCGCGTCATTACAATCCCAAAACAGATTTCCCAGACCTTCCAGCGTTTGGGTCTGCATGTCAACGGACTCCTGCATCAGATCTTCAAACAGCCCCGCCGAATCCGATGGGCCATCCTCTTCCATCAAATTAATAAGGAGTTCATCCGAGCCACATCCGAAGGTCTGCGTCTGGATGCTCGTGGAGGAAAACAAGAACGGCGCCATCTCGTCTTCATTGGTCTGAGTCTGCGTGGTGGTGCCAGTTCGAAATATCGGATCGGCGTCGTTGGATTCCAAGAACATAAGGAGATCACTGGCATCCTGCGTGATAAGACTCAACTAATAAATGTAACTAATACTAAGTAAATGATAAATGTAACTAATACTAAGTATTCATTCATACCAATTATTTTAACTCCAAATAAAGAGCAAAAGTTCTTCAAATTTTTATCTACCGGAAACTGGAAGAATTTAAAAGAACACTCAAGACTATTTGTACACGAAAATATTAGATTAGCATGGAAAAACATATACTTAAACCAAGAATTAATTCAATATTTGGTTGGGTGTCGGCGATCATTTAATTTATTTTAGTAAACTGCGTTTTAAAATTTTCCATGCACCAACGGAAAACCAAATTACCTGAGCAGAAAGGCCTTCGTTATCATCTAAGAGATCCGTCTGCGTGAATGCATCAATCTGCAGCAGTTTCTGCTGTTTATGAAGGCGAACGGTCTGTGCAGCACTACTCCGGAAAGAAAACGATGATGACGAGGACTGCGCTGAGGATGGGCGCTTGGGACTTGTCGTCGCTTCGCACTGCGCTGCTTTGGAGAATACAGCACGCGGCGCCCTTGAGAGACTGCTTTCCGTGGTCTGGACACAAGAGTTTATGGACAATATGCTGGATGGACGCGCGGGCTGTATAACATCGTTGGTGCGATTTTTTGGCAAGATCGGTTTCATTGGCATAACCGGTGCCGCACTGCAAATGTTAAAAAAAATCAATTCTGCAATTTTATCAATAAACCAGCCATCGCTCAAAAGCTTTATCGAATCGCTAATCCATTAAAAGTGAAATTTGGCAGATTACACGTAAAACTTAACCGGAAGAAGATTATTCCAAATCTTGTGAGTAATATAAAACACAATAAGAAACAGGATTCAAATATCGGAAATACAGTAATTATCAAATTCCGAAAAACGACCAGCACCACTACCATGGCATACTAAACCCTAGTACAGTACATACTTATACGTATGGTATGCCATGCAGCTACTACTGGTAGTGTATCTGTACCTGAGCACTTCCGGTGCCTTCTTTGACGGTACCGGCGCCATGCCACGAGCAACGAGACACTTCTTCCGATGATTAAGGATTCCGCATCGCGTTCGCACTAGCTTGCCACAATCACACACTTCCGGTCGGCAGTGCGTCATGTGCTGCTGGAGTTCAGAATGAGTGCGACATTTCTGATTGCATTTCGTGCAGCGCATCACCACATCGGCATGCATTCGCGCATAATGCTAGGAAAATCAAAATACCTGTGCCAATTTTACGTTGTAGTTCTAATTCTAAACGATATTACTAATATAGATCTAATTCCAAACGATTCGTAAGCACTAAGCAGGATATCATATTCATACCGCACTGAAATAAAAAATTACGGATTTGTATTAATTTTTTTAAATTATGAAGCGGCAATCATTTCAAACGTACGTCTCTCAAATAGCGAAACTCTTCGAAAAATTTGTTGATCCTTTGGCGAGAGACGTCTCTTTGATTTATTTTCCGAGTATTATTCGCTGATGGAGCCGCCGCAAATCTGCACTTCGGGAACGGGCAGTAAAATCGCACATCGTAGTCCAAATCGCCGCAGTTAACGCTGGACGCCTGGAATTTCTCCTGATGACCAGCCTAAACAGAAAACTTTTTTTCCAAACCATTATGTTACTATTTAGGTAGAAATAGTAAATTAAGCGTTATTATTAACGAAAATTATGTACAGCGGTCTGTGAGCTTTAAATAAGTAACTTAGAAAATCTCGTAGGTGAATCAGTATTCCACCTGAAAGTGGCACTCGGCGCTAGAAAACCCATGATGCAGTAGCGCGTGCACCCTGGAAATTTCGTAGGTCGGGAAGATTTTCTCGCACAGCGAGCATCTTGAAGAAGGTGCATTGGTAAGTGAGAGAGTATCCGGCGAGGGGCAGATCATTATTACCAGAGTGCTCTCCGCAGGTTTGTGCGTGTCTGGCGCTATGGCCGTCGCCATTGCACATGGCCAATTTGTCACCAGAGATCACCGCAAAGAAGAGTAATCATGAGATGCGTGACTGACGGCCGTGACGGGACGGTAAGTAAGTCAACCCGTGTAATTTTGTTAACGAGTCCGATTGGACTGCGAATTTTTGCAGAAAAGCCAATACAATTGAGCAGCTTGCTACTTGTAACTTGTAATAACAATAAGTATGTAATAAAAAATTATAAAATATAATCATATGGATTATACTAAATATCTGTACGGTAAATAATAATACACAACACTGGCATTTGGCAACAGCGCAGGTAGCAGGGTTTTGCGCCTTTGCCAGCCTCGTATCCGAACTACGGAAACGAAATACCGGTGAACCAGGGCGGTCGCCCTGTTAGCTTGATTTACAACGTGAACATCACTGTGATCCGGCAGCTGCTTTTGTCCAGATGTTTTCTTCCCCCATAGTAGGTAACCCGTATAACCGTGCTGTGAGGTGAGCACTGAGCAGATGTGATCGTATGGTAAAACAAAAAATTCGAAAATTTCTAAAAATGAATTTTTGATTTTTGATTGTATTCCTTCAGCATCGCCGTCCAGCCTCTGACTTTTGTACAAAATATTCGCATTTTCACTCGTGTCACGACTAGGTTTTATTTTTAACTCTCGACTGTTCTTTTGAGTTGGAAATTTGGCTGCAGTTGTTACTGCGTTATAGGGTGCTGCGCAGTTTGAAAGTTTCCCAGGTTTTTATTTGTTGGTTAGTTAATAACTGTTAGTTGTCGTACACTTGGACTTCTGCATTCCAGGAACGGCGCGCACTTTGTCAGCTAGATCTGATTTTCATTACGCACTTACTGTGCTCTCACATACACTAGTTATCCGACAGAGAAATGGCCCCCGCGACCAAAGCCCAAGTGATTATTGAAAGCCAGCTTAAATCTCAGATTGACGTGTTTTGCTCATCAGGCAGTGGATCGTGCGGATTGATTATCGGCCAGGTAAGGGCTTTACCGATCGCCACCAAGGAGAGAGCGGCCTGGACAAAATATGTGTTAGTTACGAATTACTCTTACAGGCGCTGGAAGGTGGTCGCTTCTTGGTGGCGCACTTCGTTCGCGCCAGCAAGGATCCGGAGACGCACACAGCCAGTCCCGACGGGGATCCGCAGCGGTTTGAGTTGGACGGCGGAGGCAGTGGGAAGAGCTCTCCTGGTGGAGAGACTGTCAAGAATAACGGGGAAAAGGATGCGGGTGCAGGCGATAGGCTGGTGGATGGGACGATGGATTCGCATTGGATGTTGGCGCGCAAACGGAATTTCTATTCCTGCAGCGATGTTAGAGATCTGACCGCGGCTCGACTGCCGTCGTTGTCACGCCAGGTACGCTTAGAAACTGTGCACCGCTGTGCAGAACGATTTCCTTCTATCATGTGCAGTTTAGAATCCCGATCGCCAGCATCGGCGGCGGAATCGATATTTTGATTGTTTAATATTTAATTTACGCAGATTTGAGTTCAGTGCGCTTTTTTCTAGAGAATTGACGTAAAGTTGAAAGTAATTTATCGGAGAAGGTTTGCCAAGTTCAAACGAAATGAAAAAGATGCTCAAAAATTATTTATTGCTGTATTCAGTTTGCATCGCTTTTTATTTGGATCAATACAGGTGGTAAATGCTGCACCTGACTCCGAACTTACCGCTGCCGATGTTGCGTTTTTATAGAATTACATATACATATAGTAGTATCCGTGCTGTGTTCGTTGTGATGAAATTTTAATATAACAGTGATTTTTATAGTGGTTTCAGATTTCGTCGGCGCACGCATATCATGCTAAACTTTGAAGGGATGTTTATTTTGTGACAGGTTAGCCGGTTATTGCCTGGTGGTTTGTCCGTGTTGGGTATCTTTCTGACATCTCCAGCCGAAATTCCCAAGACTTCTCGCCCGAAGCTGAAGGAAATTTTGATGGATATATCGAGTGTTATACGCAAAGATTGCCCGGCGTTGCATCAAGATGCTGCCGCATCGGACGATAAAGTTATTCTTGCATTCGACCCGCGGTCCAAGCAGACGTAAGATCTAAACGATAAAATTCCTCTGTTCTAAGCAGATTTTGTTTCGTTACAAAATAAACCCGCTGACGGAGGTGTTTCATATTGTTAATACGAAAAAGGAGTACGTGTACCAATGTTCAACGGAGTTCTAAATAAGGAAAATTTTTCTCAATGCGTGCCTGTGTTGAAACAGGAATACGTCGTTGTATCTGGACGCCGCCGATGCCAAATCCATCACCAAACCCATTCCGGTGACGTTTTCCTCCCTGTCCTGGTTGGCATTGCACACCCATTTCAACATTAACTTGGAGCAGCCCACGGCCACCCAGCAGGATGTGGAGACCGTCCTGGAGCACGTGCTCAACACCTTCACCGACCAGGTGACCAAAAGCGTCTGCCTGTATGATCAGCGCTGCTTGGAGCCGAGTAGTGTCCTTAAAAGCGCTACGGATGCCGTGGAGGTCAGCATGCTAGTACCGATGCCGCGGGCCGCCGGCTGGGAAGAGGATGAAGGTATCGCGGTAGGTGGTGAGGTGGCCGAGCTGGCCAACGGACATATGGCCTTCCGAGGGGATGTGGTGGGCAGAGCGTATGTGGCACAGGGGGGCACTGTGGGGTTTGCCGAAAAGGTTAGGATTGTAGTTGCCGTTAAATGTAGCATGCGTTTGCATTTGCAAGCAAGCAAGTCCAGTTAAGGCGATAGACTGGTTTTGCTTCATCCCCAGAGAAGTTACAGTAATTACATTTCCTAGAACAGAAAAAAATGCTCTTTAAAATGAGACGTCTTTTGAGAAGCAAAGAACAGAACGGAAACCCAAATCTGTCGAAAACCAAAAGGTACCGCGGGTCCAAAACAACGCAGGGGTGCAGCAGCACGGTTCGATTCACGTAGCTGCCATCACAGTTGCAATCGAAGCATACCCAACCGCATGCGGGCTGCGTGTCTGCGTACCGCTGCAGCCGTGCGCAAGCTGCGATCTCATGAACGCCATGCGCAGCCTGCAGGTAGCGTGATTGTCTGCTCAAACTGGTCCACCGATGCAGAGGACCATTTTCAAAACACAAAAACCCTGATTTACTGGGAATAAAGTTCGGAGAGTTTTACGCGTATTGTATTCCACTGCCGCAATGGAATTGGCCGTTGTCGGTACCATTGGAAAGAAAAAATTATTCTACACACTGGGTTTTCGTGGTTTTGCGATAGAGACATTCGAACTCCAACGCTCACTGGTTTTCTCGATAAGAAGAATTAGTTCCATGTTCAAAAATTTGCATCCTCCTACCTTTTTAATCAAGATTTTTTTTCGAATAAACCCAGTGTGTAAAATAATTTCAAGTTCCATTTGAAAACATCAGACCTGAAAATGTTCCATCTGGTGCTTGGCTGAGATTTTTTTAGGACCCACACAACAGAAAAATTTCTATCGCGTTTATGCTATTAGTGTTAATTTTGAATCTCTGTCTATTAAAAAGCGCGATTTATGAGCTTTCTAATGAACCCATACACTCCGGAAACAGACCAAACCAAGGCGCACAAAAAATTTTCGAAGTAGCCATAAAGATTGGCAATTTGGCATTTTACAAACCAGTATATCGCCTTAATATAGCTGTGCGAAGTTTTTCGAAATTCTTTGTAAAATATTTTCACAACAAATGTGTTTCACTGCTTCTGCTTAGTACTCGTACAGTTAGCAACTCGTAATTTAACGCTGTCAGTTTCATATAAAGATGCTCGTGATATCCTTGTTTGCTTACTTCCGGTCAATTTTTGCAGCGACGTTTAATTTTCGCCTGTGCGCGAGCATAAGTGAGATCTGAAATCGTTTTTAGTTGTTGTTATCACCGTATCGTACGTTGGACTACGTTTTTTTTTGTTTTCTGCTGTTCACAGTGCAATATATACATAAAGTAGACCATGGCAATACTATATAGTTTACTAATCTCTTTAGTACCGCCATGAGTAGACTTATTGTAAAGCGATTCTGCTTATTGTTTTTGTTGCTTGTAGCGCGTCATTTATATTTTGCCTTTAAAATTTTAGGTTGTGAAGGCTGATTTATTGCGATCGATGACCACACGAATTGAGCTCCACTGTGAAGACAATCTTGTAACGGAAGCGGATGAACAAGGTTAGTGAGAGTAAGAACCAATGTTGGTGGCGTTTGTTCTCGGTTTATTGCTTTTATTGTGAGGCTGCAGACTGCATGCAAAACATCTGTAGGTTTTATAGTCTTACCAAGGTTATTCTGTGGTTCTTAGTTTTCCATTCTAGGTGACGTACTCGTACCATCAGAAATTCATTTTTAAAGCGAAATTTTGTTGTCCTGTTCACAAATTAGATTCTGGTTTCATAGTGTACTCGTACTGTATCACTTTCTACGCATAGTAATATTACGAACGCAATAGTCATACTTCGCGTTGCCCATTATTTCAATCAGTACCGCTTTAGGGATCAATATATTAATCACTTTACCGAGTTGACAGCCTCTGTGGCGGGCTACCTGAACAACCACGGCAGACTGAAATGCAGTCTATCTGTATGCTTTACCATTCAGTCTATGCAGTAAGCAGCCTATGCAGCTTATCAGTGTGCAATCTATGCAGTAAGACCAGCACTGCATCTGTGCAGTAAAAGTGATTAATATATTGATCCCTAAAGCGGTACTGATTAAAATAATGGGCCAAGCGAAGTACTGATACTGTCAAACCCGTTTCGAAAAAACAACAAATATATTTTTTATCTCGATGAAGTTTAGTTAGCCGGAAGAAATGAACCAAGTCGCTGGTGGTTGCCTGAAAATCTAATCGGCAAAATTTGGCAGAAGGTTCTAACCAAGTCAGTCTTAAGAACTACTCAAATCGTAATCGGTTTAATTTTTCCATCGTTGCTGATACGTAGAGCGAAAGCTATGAAAATAGAGCGAAAGCTATGAATATCGTCTTTCCCACTCCTAGCCGACTCGTAGGTCCCGTTTGTCAGCACGATAATTTAAATTGATTTTAATCACTTTGTTCCTAAAAGACATTTTCATTAAACATGTGCGCTTCTGAATGCGTTTTACCTCATATTTCTTGAAAAGACGGGAACTGCAAAGAAACCTGCTTGCATAAGTTGTTCGCTCTATTGCCGCAGAATTCGATGTGGTACACGAGCTACCGCGGCGCGTCTTGGCCCCGCTGAACATTCCGGACTGTCCCATCACCCTGTCCAACTACGTCCACGAGGACGAGGAGACCCGCGAGTCCCTGGAGATCTTTGTCGGTCTGCTGGATATGGATGCGCAGCTGAGCACGCGCCAGTTGATTACCGACGTGGAGCACGTGCCCAGTCAACGCGATGTCGATTCGGCCTTGGAATCGGTGTCGACGCATAGCGGGGAGATAGAGGCGGAAACCGGTGTCGCGGGGGAAGAGGAGGCCAACGCGCACGGTCACGGCGGTGCGGTGAAGGTCATTGCGGTGGATGCGCAACAGAACAGTAAGACGAACAGCTGTTTATTAGTATATTATTGAGTTCTAATTCCACTACCCTAGTGGTTGTATTAGCTGAGTTGTTGTGAATTTATTTTCAATGGATTAGATAAAGCAGTAAAATGTTTGTCAAATAGATAATAATTTGTGCCACAGGAATTGATTCCAGATTTATTTCAGCGTACTTGTACTTGTTAGTTGATATTTGGAACCATTATTTTATTTTCTGCAAAGTGATTGAACCGTTCTTTAGAACAGTTACTCGTTGCAGATCGGATGCAGAATGTGATGGTGGTGTTGGCTGTAGTTTTTGCGGTGACTTTCGCGCTGTATCAGATTTATTTGTTCGTCTATGCCCAGGATGACTCACCACCGTCTACATCTTTACCGGGAAAATCTGAAAAAGAGCTCTAATACTCACGTTGAATTCCAGAATTTAAGTTTTGTCTATTTTTTATACTTTTGTTGTGCCTCGACGATAGATTCAAGAACTGCGAATTTCGATAAAATGAAGTGGAAATGGATAAAATGAAGAGCTCGTTCGCTCTAATGAAGAGCTCGTTCGTTCTTACTACTGTAATATGCTTACATTTTACCGCGTGCTAATTCCTGCGATAACGTGATACGGAATGGATTATTACAGCAATCTTAAAGCAGTAGTGTTCTGCTTGCTGCTGGTAAAATTATTGTCCAATATAGTTAGTGGTGCTTCCTCAAGATCACCTTGGTCATCAATTTAGAGCGTTTTCCTGTAAAATTGTATGCTTCCGATTTAACCAATTAAAACGGAAACACTGCCGCGAGTTGGAGGAGAATTTAGAGTGCTGACGTGCTTTACTGTCGGTACTGGCGTTGTGACAATTTGTGACAATACCTCGTTCCAGTTGACTTCATCAGTTGATCGGAAACTAACAGTAATAATAAGCAAAATCCAAATACCGGTCGGCACCAGAAAACTATTAGGCGCAACCATAAATTGTACGCATGTTCTTCGAAAAGTTTGACCCCTCCCCTGCCCATGGTACTAAGGTTCGTACGCTGTCACAGATTCCACACTCTCGCTGCGTACGTCATTTCTGGACGCCTTAAAGTTGACTGTTAACGATATACCGCGCTACGCGCTTTAATCCATAAATTGAATAGTAACCCTTTAAATATTGCTCCCATTAATTTGACAATAACCACATCCGGTACGGACGGCAGGAGTAATCAGGACTCAAATGTTTCTATTTTCCCCGGTATATTTTAATTACTAGAGTACATTGCGCACTAATTATATATACAGGCAAGGGTGCTTTAATGCCAAGGGCGATTGTGGTGAACCGTGAAGGTGAAGTTGGCAAATGCCTCCTCGTCTAATTTGCGGCATGGGTGCGTGTCTGCTGCTGTTCAAATTAAGAAATTAAGATATACGAAGAGAACATGTTAAATATTTTGCGGATTCTCAGAAATTGTTAGTAACCCCGTGCTTGAGTTTTGTTAACATAAGAAACTCTGTGAAGAAGCTGCAGCTTGTTTTTTTTGGCTTTTTTCAAACTTTCTGATGATGCCAGTGGTCTTCGACTGCTGTGACTTGCATGATAATACTTGTATAATAATTTTATCAGTGTGCAATTAATGGATGGAAAAATCCCCATAATACGAAATAACATAATAACAGAATAACTCGTAATAACAGAAATAGTACCTCCAGCCGCGTAGAGTGAAGAAATAGCATTAATTTTGGAATTTCACTCGTGGTGAATGGCAAAAGGTTGTAATAACGATACAAATATGATTTAATTGGTGAATCTTATACACTTAAGATTGAATTATCATCCAAGAAATGCACGTAATAACCATTATGAGACGTGACCTTTCCTAGGTAGGGGCGGGAACGTGAACGTTCTTACAAGCAACTATCTATGCATGCACGAAGGCTGCTGTTAAAAACTCCATCACTGCTCTAATTGGGATCGACGATTGACTGTTGCGCTGGCATTCCATTATTCGCGGTTCTACGGATTGTTTTTCGTTTGCTATTCCAAACGATGACCGTATTACTCGAATTATGTCACAACTGCGTATCAAAGACGTTAACACCACATTAAGTCGTTCGCTACATTGTGGAAAAATTATACACTATGAGGTATGCAATCGACAGATTGTGCGTAAATAATGGCCTTTTTGTTGCATTTCGGCAAGACGCGCAATTGTTTCCTGAATCAGCTCTAGTCGACGGTGCCGATGCGCAGGGTGTTTAGGAGCACGTGCGTTGGCGTATCTTTGTTCGCTGACGGATGGATATTTTTATATCTTTGATTTCTGATTTCAAAATCTGAAAGCTGGAAACATTATATTTTTACGAAAATGAAAACGTGACCTACTGTAGCAGCGTACTAAACTCAACTCGTCAGCTATTGCTGCTGCCGCAACTTGCCCAAATTGTCTAATATTAATTGCACATGTGTACATGAGAGCACTTATTTGTTACTAAGAAGAAGTTTAAATATAACAGATTTGTGAAATTTCAAGCGGAATTCGAGCACGTAAAAGTAAATTTTCTTAGCTTAACCGCTGGCACTAATGAAGAGCTGCGTCATAATATGTAAATTATTAATTACACCAGCGCTTCGCTGGTCCTGTAATTATACCATTCAAAATTAGCCATAACAATTTTGAATGCCGACAGGGCAAAGTAAAGACAAAACGTAAGGGAAGTACACTGTACATGAGCACAGTGTGCACCGGATTAATTAAGTAGCCACTACAAGATTTAATAAAAATCACGACGTACTCTAGAAGCCGGCTGTCGTATGCAGGTTAGCCAAAAACAGAAGCCATAGAAGGAATACAGATAGTAAAACTGAGTGATTGTAGTACGCGGTTCAAATTTGAGAAAAAACGTTGATGGCTTCTTCATCAGGCGTCAAGATGTCGGCAAAAGAGAAATTTTTATTTTGAGCAGGCCATCATGTAGTAATTCCATCCCATTACGTAGTAACTCTCTTACGTTAGCTATAGGTGACGTACCCTGGACGTATAAAAAATGCCAGAAAAGCGACAATAACTCATGACGTATTATTACACGTGTTACCCATGTGAATTACGCCATTTTTCTGGCGTTAACTGGTCGCTCGAAGATTATATGATCTACGGGACGCTACAATGGATTCAAAGTTAAAACCATCCGTTTTTGCCAACACCTTGCGGACACGATGGGGATCAAGTAATCATGAATGTTTGTATCGCTGATGTCTAAACTCTAAAGCACATCAAAAAGGTGCCTATCATAGACCGGGATTCTAATTTAATTTTATGACGTTTATCAATGTCACCAGTAACAAATCGAGCGCAAGCAGCGACCACGTATTTCAGGAAGAATGAATGGTACGGGACGCTCATTAAGTCCGTTCAGTTGATTGAACCGTTGTCACTGGCTGGTACCGGTTACGTAACACTCCCAGGCCGAGCCAGGACGTTGTCCTGAATGACGCGTTTGACGTTAGAAAATTACAGAAACCAGGAAACTACATAAGCCTGCAATCATTCTGTTATATGCTAGAATTGCGTTATCGACTCCCTGCAAGCATGCTCTGTTTGCCCGGCAAAGCAAAGTGTTGAGCGCACGATAAATGTCCCAGCCTCGACCGCCAACTTCAGATACCGTAGTCATAAAATTACAGAGAATTCGAATAATCAGTGCCCACTTATTCGACATTCTGTACATGACAGTCAGATAACCTGGATTACGTTGATTGGTGGGAAATAATTCTCAAAGGATGCTCTTTCAAAAACACACATACGTACCGTAACGTACGTACTTAATTAAAGTACGTGCGGTATATCATGTCCTGCCATAAACTGTAATAAGTAAAAGTAAAATTTCAAAAAAATCTATAGTACTGCATGCACTTGGTCATGCCCTACCAACCAGGGCAGATGCAGTAATTTTTTAAGCATACTACGGTAGCGCACTATCTTTTAACAATAGATGAGATTTTTCGAATTTACAGCCGGAAAATGTTCCCTGGTTAGGGTACTTACGTTAGGTACCATATGTTTCACCAAAACAGTGCACTATTATTTACTGTTAACGGCTCTGAACAACACCATAATTTTTTACCATAATTTGTTCAAACTAGTGTCTGTCTACATGACCCGTGTTAGGATCATCTTGTCATTTCATGTTAACGATGTTATCGAATCCCCGCCGGCTAAACAACAGATAGCATCAGGCGATTGTAAGCCGTATCGATTGATTGATCGCGAAGTGAGCTGACGCCGGTCGGATTATTTCCGCTCAACATCGCACCATCCGATAAACAATTTCCACCGCTACGCAGTACATTTTCTCTGCACGCCACAACCGCCGTCTTTGTTCATAAACCTGCAATATCCACTGGCTGTTTAAGTGCTAACCCGGGTTCGAAAATACATGGTAATTGTCGGTCTCCCCGTGCAAATTAGAGCATCTTCACCGTGGTTTCTAATGCGCGACCTGCATATAAGAGCATATGTAACCGCACCGCGTATCAGGCGCAGGACTGTCGACTGTTTGAAGACGGCCAGCGACCATGTACGCCAATTGCAGCGACGGTGATGTGGCGTGTCAAGCCGGCCACATGGACCAACTGACCCGGCTGTTTAATCTGTACAATCAGTTGGCATCCGTGGAACCCAATCTGACCTTTGACAGTTTGCTGGACAAAGCCAGTCATCTGCTGCAGGAGCGCATCGAAGATGTTGAGGCCGCGGGAGGGACAAATGCGTCGCTAAGACACGCGGTCACTGCCGAAGCGGTGCCGACTGACCTGGGCTATAAGGTCACCGTGACTATCTCGCATCTGGGAATATTCTTGTTGGGATGCGTGGGCAACGTGGCGGTTATAGGGGCGGCATTCCGGTCCAAGTTCTTGCGGACGCCGACCTACAGCTATCTGGTATGCCCAGCTTTAATGTGGTATATAGTATAAGTCACTGGTCAACCAGAACAACCAGTTCTTGAGAAAAAGCTTTGTGGTCAACGTGTCAATGGGAGAAAATGTTAAATTAATATTTGCAAAGGAATTTTATGGAGACGTAGTTTGTACTTTGTAAATTACATATAAAGTTGAGCATTTTCATCGAAAGAGTGCTTTTTTGGGCTGGTATACGCAAATTCAAACTCCCAGTCACTCCCATTTCTTAATATTTGAAGGTCAACATTCAAACGTTGCATCATAAGGCTGCTTTGCGTAGGTAAAAGTTTGCGCTTTACGTGTAATTTCCGCCGATTGCGTGTGCACCCTTACATACTGATATAAAGGTCTTGTGGGAAGTCAAGAATCTGAATTATCGATATGAAATGTAAATTGCCAAAATAATGAATAGCACTCGCGTATTATGCGCCACGTATTATGCGAATAACATTTGCGTATTCGTTCAAATGCAGGACACCAACTCCCGCTGGTAGCCAACGTGCTGCAATAAAATATGGATGTTTATGTAAAGCTGGAAGAATAGAGTAACTGTGCTCAGGTGATAACTCTCATGACAGTTTTTGCATGATCTGCATTTTATTACAATTAACTCACCAACAAACAAAGGACATACCGGACGCATGAGTTTCGCCAATTCGCACTTCGTATCGCACGAATGGAATTACAGATACTTATATTGAAACACTGCTATTAACTGGGTAGCAGTTAAGAAGCCTTCCAAGTTGCTTATTACTAAGATTGTATTAGCAATATTTACATAAACTAGCTGTTGATTTGTCAAATCGCAGAACAGCCGTGGACTTAAGAGGCGCGAGGAGATGAGCGATCGTGATGTCATTTTATTCGAAATTCCCGAATACCTAATACGTACCTTTGTGCCTCACTGCTTTGCATTTTCGATAAGCTAGTCAAAGCCAAAGGAAGATGTGGATAACTCGGTGCAGCCCCAGGTGCAGTGTGAGTGCGCTCTTTCCCTATAGCTTACAAGTGACACTGCGTAATGCAAAGTTCACTCGTTCGTGCATTTCCTTCCGGAACCATTTAGATAGTAGGCAGGCAAAAATACATACCTTGCTTCCGCAGGCTGGGCAGCAGGATCGACTTGATAAAAGGAAGTGTTTTTACAGCAAAACTGCTGCTTTAAAACGTTTGGTAAATTATGCATTTAGTGAGTGACGTGCATTCTTTTACAGAACTGCGTTGAAATTAATCACAAGGTTAATTTAAACGTGGTTTTGTTTGTTCTTCGACTAAAAGGTTAGTGTCACCGCAGCAGTCATTTTGCATACTACGTTTTTGCACGAGCAGTTCATCAGAAACTATAACCATGACTAATATGACCAATTAATAATAACGCTAGTAATATGAATGATGTGTAATTCTCCATTCAGGATCTTGACATTAGGTATATTTCAACTCCCGGTAAGCTTGTTGTGATGCGCTGTATACAATAATTTATAATCATATAACACCTCGTAAGAGTGACGGAACTGTCAAAGGCATTTTAATGGAACTGGATGGGAGCTAATTATCTGTGGTTCTCAAAGTTGGTACGTTTTCAGCGGGGACAAATTCTAGCACAGGAGACTGAACTGAGAATGTAGAAACAGTATCAATAAGAAATCGAAGCAATAAAAATCAGGTGCACCGTTGCGTTCCACGTGCGTTGTACGCCTACAGTAATTAAATAATATCATATAATAAGCTGAAATATCAAATAATAAGCGGTTACCGGCCTGGCTTCAGTCTATTCTCAGGCCAAAATTTTCTTAAGGGACTTCATTAAAAAGACATTAAAACGCACAGTAATTTGTAGTAACCAGCCGCTACAGCTTGTGGCGGGTCGGTACAGAGTTTATGCACAACTTCCATTTAAAAATCTTAAATATGAAGCAAGTGCGGCTTGGTTACCGGCGGGTCGCAGGAGTATGATCAGATGTGCAGATACAGATATACAAATACGTTGACTGTACAGAATGATTAAACGATGATATTATGATTATATAATGCAGGTATCGTTAGCCATTGCGGATCTGCTGGTTCTCTGCACCGCCATTCCACAGGACATTCTCAATAGCTTCGGCCAGCGCTGGATGCTGGGATATGGTGGGTGCGCCGTGGTGGTGTTCCTGAATTTCTTTGGCATCAACGTGGGCAGCATGAGGTAGGAAAGCGGAATAGCCGTAAGACGTTTTATTGCGTGGTTGGAGGGCACAACTGAAATTCTATAAAAGATTTAACGAACCATATCCTGGACACGCAGACCAAGAAATTTTCTCACCTACAATTATACGTACTGTATTGATATTGATATGCCGCTGGTACTGCATTGCAACAGACGTATAGTATGAGTATCTGTGGTCGCTAATCAGCGGCATTTGCACTGTCAAGCCCATGCTCCGTAGTCCGGAGGCTGCGTCCTTTGAAACACCGGAAATTATTCCAACATCGTTAAAGATACTTACGGCAGCCGTGGGCTGGTTTATGTTCTCAGTGACCTTTACATGCAGTAAGAACAAGTTTCGTTGTGGAAAGTGAATATGTGTTCACTAGTTTAAACTGTTTGTCGCATTTCTTATATGTCTCGATTTCCGTACGTGAAGGCTAATCGATTACAGTCGCACAAATTACGACACTCACTAAGATAACTCGTTAATGTCTCACTGTGTCATGGTATCAATTTTATGTAGGAATTATAAATCGCCCACATGTATGCATAGTGAAGTGCATAGCCCGTGTGGCTGCACGAACTGTTACAGCCTATCCCAAATCCCAAGATTAACGAGAAGCATTTTTAGTTTAATTAGGTGTTCGGCGATCACCTAATTAAACTTACATAAAAGGGACCTTAACAAGTTTAACTTACAGATACAACAACGCCTTGCAGCTAAGTACATAAATTCATATAACAAAGAGAAAAATATGGATTATTCTAGAATCAGCGTAAGAACAACGGTCAGCTGAAAAAAGGTTTTTGCAGCGTCTATCAGTCCGCAGTAGCCTTCATTTTGCATTATGGCATAGAGCCCAGCACGCGAAGCGTACAGGTTACGGCACTCGGCATCCAAGTGCTTATACCCAGGCTCCCAGCCATACTTCAAAATCATAGCCGAGATTCAATACGTGGGCATCCCTAATTGAGAAAGCTCCATTAATTTACCTTTGACGAGAAGAAACGGTTTATAAACTTTACAATTAACCGTAATATTGCAATGGTTGCATCCCGCGCAGCTTGGGAGTACTGCCTCCACGCTTCAGTGGGATAACAGCTGTTTAAAGGCGTGGCAGATAGATTTAATCCCAGATTATGTTGGTTTCGTAGAGCCGCCGCAATATCGATTTCGTAGCCTATAAAAGGCGTTCTTTAAACGATTTAATCAGCAATATGCGATAAGTAATAAGCAGTATCTGTTAATTTCACCTTAGAAACACTTTAACATTTCACTTTAGAAACAACTTTTCAATTTCATGGGTTGTAAACTTGTGATGCGCGATTAACACAAGAAAAGCAAAAAACTTTCAAGTATCAAGTATGTGATTGCTTACATAAACCGTCATTTGTTTTCTCAGCATCTTGGCGTTCACCGCTGAACGCTACGTCGCCATCTGTCAACCGTTGTATGCTTACCGCTTCTGCACCGTCGCGCGTACCCGAAACATCATCCGTCTAATATGGATGCTGGTCCTGCTGTACTCCGGCGGCTGGCTCCTCTCCACCAATCTCCTTTCCGTCCTCAGCACCACCGGCACCGATCGATCGACCCAGGCATGCAACCTTGTCATGCCGGCCGGCGCCTACACCACCTTCTTCGCCGTGGACTTGCTTCTCTTTTACGCGTTCCCCCTCTTCGTATGCGTACTGGCCTACACGAAGATCTTCATAGCGGTCAAGAACACCTCCTTCCAGCCGTACTGCAGTATCCGTGTACAGTTCGGTTCCATGTCGCCATCCGTAGAGTCCAACGATGCCATCAGCCGGGAACTTAATAACTCGGCGTCGGTGCGCGTTGTGCTTCCGCAGATACGCATCACCCGACTGCAGCCGCGGCGGAAAATGACCCGTACCTCGGTAAGTATGGTTGGTTGACTCTTTGTGGCTTTTAGCTATCGTTTACTGTTTTTTTCATATCGTGTTACACGGTTGCACAGACGTTACGGCTGCTGGTGATTGTCGTGGTATTCTTTGCGGGGGCGTGGCTGCCGTTTCGGCTCATTCCGGTGTACAAGTCGTATTACCGAACCGGCACCTCAGCGGACGATTGGTACTTGTTCTGCGCTCATACATTGGTGTATTTGAACTGTGCGTCCAATCCCATTCTGTATAATGTGATGAGTCCGCGATTTCGTGCAGCGTTGCGCCAGTGCGGATTTCGATGCATTTTCCGGCGATGGAAGCAGTCAAGTTCCCATGGATATTAAAGAATAAAATAAGCGCAATTTCTTGTTAATTAACCTTTCTTTATCTCTGTTTCTGTATGTATAGTGCTGCCACAAAAGCGCGTCAACGTTCGACGCACCTCCGACCAGACGCACATTATTTTTCACCAATTTCGATGCTTCTTTAAAGTTCTTTCCAGTACTAGTATTAAAGTTTAAGTACTTGAGTTGCACCTTCGTATAAATTACACTTAAACCTCGACAAATGGGAAAGCTTCAGCACAAGTTGAGTTGAATAGAACTACAAGTGGTTTTTTTCGTACACGATCTGCTGTGGTACAAATCAGTGAAATTGAAGTCCCAACTAGAAGACACATCGTTTGTCATTAGAGTATCCATGCAGGCTTTCGATTCTAGAGCAGACCGATGAGAGCGAACAGTATGGATTCTATCATTTCCATGGAATATGGAATTTTGGATTTGACTGTTGCCCTTTTGGATGCGCGTAGTACCGAAACTCACTAAGCCAAAGCCAATTTACTGCACTAGTAGATTGCTGATACTTTGTATTTCCATGTTGAAAGCAAGCTGACAAGCATCTGTTCAACAACGGTCAAAATGGCAGTGCCCGAAATAGGAGACAACTTCATGGGCAGTGCCAGTGGTATAGGAATGCCAGCTGCTGTGTCAACCGCAGACATCTGACTAACTAACAACAGTTCAACGCCGATTCTGTTGCAGTTTGCTTTATAATGCTTGCGCCAGCCAGCGGATGAGAAGTATGACATTACGACTGAGTTATCTATCGTTTTTGCTAACACAAGAACCTTCGGTCCCGAAGTTAAAAAAAAATTCGTATGTGTTCTTTAAAACAAAAACTCTCCAAAAGGGTGGGTAAACCTAACGTCTTAAATGCGGTGTCTCATCAAAAACGTTTCCTTTATTTGGTTAGTGATTCTGCAGATTTTCAGTATTTTCGTGTATCCTATAAGCAGACGCCACAAGAAAACATATGCCCTATGTAAAACGGTGGCTTTTCTGTCGTCCACCATTCAAATCTTGGCATTGTCCTACTCATTCTACAATGGGTTTCGTGATGATCTCCTGGACTCGAGACGATCGTTTACGGCAGTTACACTGTCACTGGTTTCCTATTTATGCGAGGCTGTCTCAGCTGTCTACTTGTTTTACGTTGGCCAAAAATCCAGTGCGGCTATTCTTTGTTGCGTAAAAGCAATGACATCCGAAGCCGACATGACAAAAATTTCTGTTAAACTCGGATTCTGCGCATTTATGGCAGTAAATGGTGTGGTGATTGTAGCCTTCTGTGCCAGTCGAATAGCCTACGACATCGCCTCCTTTGGCTCGGACGGTACCATTCATACTGATTATGCGCCCGTGCAAAACTATTTATCGTACTCTGTATTTTGCGTCGTCTACACTTTTTACTGTGTCTTCTACCGTATGCTGAACACTGGTCAAGTGCTTTTTCAGACTTTTACCGCTTGTTTTGCGTTGATACTAGGACGACGGTTATGTGAAGTCGTTCAGACTCTTCACGAAAGACTGAAATCGAAGGAGACAGCAGACCTTTCTTCCTTTTTGGACAAGCACCGATATCTTGTGGATTTGGTGAAACAGTTTAATTCCTTGATTACAAAGGCACTTCTTCTGCTATACTTTCAAAATTTGACATCCATCACCTTTGCAGTCTACATAACCGCGAAAAAATATAAAGTATCACGCAGCTTTGATGGTGATGATCTGTCTTTACTTTTTGCACCTCTGTATTTCGTTACGCTGCACTGCTCCACCTTTGTCTACCTTACAGAACAAGTAAGAGTGCAAGTACTGAGGCGTAGCTAATTTTGTTATGGAATGTGCAATGTTAACTAAATGCCATGACTCGCATGTAGGCATCTGGCATTGAAAAACTACCTTACAAAAACTACGAAATACTGAAACGCTACGTGAAAGAGTATCACCGAAATCCAGCAGGGTTTACCATGGCCGGCATGCTTATGACAAGGGAAGCCGCTATCAAGGTAAAACATTACTGTACACTATATAATACGAGCGTACCTTATGGTACCACTATTCTTTCGGGTTTAATTACGGTACCGGTTGGTAAACACGTTTTTGCAACTGATACTAGCTTAGTCTTAAAAGTAAGCGAGATTGTACAGGTTATATTGCTTTAGCACACAAGGGTACGAATTATTTGCCCAATGCCTCTATTCTGCTAGTTGTAGCCCATAAAACACCTACAGAAAACCGAAAAACTGCAAAAGTAAGTTAGGTATCTTCTTTATGTTGTTTTTTTTTTCAGGCTGTGGGAGCCGTTTCCAGTTATGTGCTGCTGTTTTCGGAGTTAGCCGATAATGATTATTCTCTGAATAGTGCCGACCTCGTCACGCGACAACAACTGGAGCAGATGCTAATCAATATCTCCAAAGGCACAAAATGCCGCTTACAAGGTAGTTAGTTTGTCAACCTGTCTCCCTTGGACGTTATTGGCACAGGCGTTTTGCACGCTATTTTTGACAGTGCTTGTTGAATTATCTTGCTTCAATTTACTACCGTAAGCTTACTCACTAATTTATGCGATCAGCTTTCAGCTGCTTTCTTGAAGTGATCTGCAGCTTATCTGATAAGCGTATAGAGGTGCATCGTGTGGTTTGGTAAAAGCAGTTGATGTTGATGGTTCATCTGCTTAATCAACAATACGGCCCAAAAATGACAATTACAACACTGGCAGATGGCAGTCATAATTTAAAAGCGTCATTCCACGGAAGTCCGGCCGGTCTAAAAAATTCGCACAAGCAGTAGTTTAAATATGCGGGCAAGCAAAACTGGCGTTAAAAAACAAAATAAACGTTTTTCGGTTAGTCTGATTTATGGATGCACTCCACAAGGAAGCAAAGGCTGTCATAAACCTTTTAACTCTTTTGGGGAAATATGGCGGGAGGTTGCAAATGGCACTCAGTCTACCCTTGCGCATATCTTCGGGCATGTTGAGATTGAACGGCACTGTGGCCGATGGGGCGAATCAACGGTAACCGGGACGGTCCATGTGGGGTGCGCATATTCGGCGTACTCTGTACGAAAAGCAGCCGGTGCTGGTGACCAACGGTCCGAGACCATATTTTCCATTACCGCCAAACAGCGATGATCTTTGATACCTTTGGTTCGATCATTTTGTAACAAACAGGACGACTGTCATTAAAAATGCGATTTAAGAAACATTTCCCAAAACGTCCGCCAGTTGTCGCCGTACAGCAGCACAGTCGTCAGGCTTTTCGCTGTCGGCCAATTCCGAAAACAGTAAAATGTACCTGACAATCGTTCCGGCTGCCTGCAAAATTTTGTAAGCATTTGCTGCTGAATTATCAACGGAGAAATTACAGCACATTGTTTAAAGGTCATTTTATGCAAACTTTACTCACTGCAGCAACTGATTCCCTGGTTACCCAAATATCCCCCGTCGAGTGTGATCCCCGATAGTAACTGAAGCGGGATTTTGTTGATGTTTGCGTATGCATTCAATGCTCCATTGAATCCATAGAAATGCCGTACGAGCCGTGACGCCTACAAATTTGCGAGAACCATGCGATTTTAATAATTATAGTACTGTAAATTATTGTTGTCGTTATTTTAGCAGTTTAACCCTGTAGCGCAATGCTGTCTATTTCTGGTCACTGATACTACAAAATTGTTATGTTCTCGTAGTCAGGTAAAAAACCGCTCACTTACAGTCTGTACTTGCTCATTAACGTACACCAGCGCACAACCGCTGACTGTTAAGAAATAAATGTTTTCCGCCACTAGTAACAGATATTCCGTCTTGACGGCATGGTTCGTCTTATATTCAGTTGCCGCTTCATGAACATAATAGGCAGTCATCGTCAAATACTGCAGGCACAACATGGCGTTCAGTCCGCTCACCAATGAGATGACAGAATCAAACGTCCTCACCAAATCCGCTGCCTCCCAATGTTCCTGCAGCAGCGCATGTACTGTTTTAACCTACAGTACTAAATGACTCTGGAGGGAAGGGTTAGAATTGTCGAAAGATGTATAAGTAAAACGCGAGTTTGGGTCAGCATACCATTTTGTTTGCGCCACACACATAAAACGATACTCTTCATCCTCAGTCCTTAAGGAATGCGACAAACAACCTGGGAAATATTGCTGAAACAATCAAGGGGTGTACACCTGAACCGGTGTGCGCTATAACGTGCGTTATAACGTGTGCGCTATAACGTCCACGTTATAAGTCATAACGTGGACGATCGGTTGCTCCGAACTTCCAGTTATGCAGTGAGAGCGATCACTGCTGAGAAATGCCTATGTGGCAATAAAAAATGGCTGCATCTTCCAGCTTTTATTCCGGACTACTGGGCCTTGCCTGCAGTCACCTTTTACTTGCGTTTTCTACTTTTGCATGAGATCTTTGTACGGTATATAACATCACACTGTTTGCTACGCTTTCCCGTGTCAAATTGCTGCGAGATGTACAATAAATATTGCTTGTCTTTTATCGTGCATAACACTATAGTAATATATATTCTGGTTTATTTGCTCATTTCCACTTAATTTTTGACGTATGCACCTCCAAACCGTGATCTGTAGCACTGACGGTGGCACCATTAATATTAGCACAGTCTGTGATAATTTTTACTACTTTTAGTATGATTAATAATGGGGATTGATAATGGGGATAATTGCATTAGTATGATTGATAATGGGGATTGAATGCACCAAATCGCCACATATTACCGGGATGGTTTTGCATATAGGCCATGTGGCCAGTAACATTACCTACAGTAACTAGAATTACCCAAGAAACATTCACCTGGTGGTGAATTTCAGCAAACTGATTCGTGTGGTATCGATCTAACAAAACGATCAAACTCGATCAAACAATCAGGCTTTTACAGATTTCAGTTTGCACAAAACAAGGCAGAAACATTTAACAATAGCTGTTCCAAATCCTTCTGTGTAATCAAGTCTTGTTTATTGGTAGATTTCTCGTTGTCCGCTAATTCCGAAAAAAGCAAGATGTAGCTGGAAATGGCTCCAGCTGCCTAAAATGTAATAAACGAATCTAAAATTTAATGATTCGAACTCCATACTCCACGTTCACGAAGTGAAAATAATGAAAATAAGTTCATAATTATCCTCCAGTAGCAGTTACAAAACGCCTCCAAATTTCGCAAAATAAAAAAAAACATGAAAGGATAAAAATTAATGACGAACAATACAAGTCCTTAAAGCAGCGGACTTGCAGCCAGATACCAAACTGATTTGTAAAACGTGTGATACTAACCATAAGGGCCGTTTCTCTTGTTACCATAATACCAGCCACACTGAATCCAACTGGGTCCAGTCGGTACTCAATCCCGTATTGCTTAACACTGGCGGAGCCGGCACTAGAGAATCTCGTGACCCCTGAAGCCTGCACATTAAATATTAATAATGAGCTAATTATATGATGCTTTTCTCAGGAAATGAAATCTTTATTACACATATCATAGGTTAACATTACATGTTAGAACCCACCTGTTCGGCGAGGTAGACGAAAGTAAACGCATACAAAACTAGGAAATACAAAGGATCAATGATTAAGGAGATATAGCGCCCATCCAGATAAAAGTTCGTTTTAAATATTTTGGCTGTTACGTAGGTCGCGAACGTGATAGTGGCCAAATGCTGCATGTACAGCAGAACATTAACGGTCGACATAACCGAGTTGAAGCGCTGCGTTATATACACCAGATGTCGATGTTCTTTTAGTGATGACAACATCCCTTTAGCATCTCCCGTCTGCACCGCTCCCTGAATCTTGCCGGTGGCCTTGCGGAACAAGTTCGCCAAAAGAATAACGAAGTACACGGTAAAATTCTGTAAGATTAGTTGGCCGACCGAAGCTACGCGATAGAAAAAACAATAAATGACATAAACGACCCTGTATGGTTCGAAAGCAAAGTAATTGTGGACGAGCGCATAGTCCTGATGGATATCTCCGTCGAAGAAAGCACCAATATCGTCAATCATGATTCTGTGTGTGGATACTGCAATAATGACGACAAAGTTGAGCGCCACAACGGCACAGGCTATTAGTTCGTCCGTTGTTGTTAAAGAACGTTTGACCTCCACAGCCAGCGAATCTATACATTCAGTGATAGTTTCACTTGCATGATAATTAATACAAAAATACGATGTTGCTGCTACGATTTCCAGTGTGTAAGAGATCAAAAACAGTGTCAGAGCGGTGAAAGAATACTCCTGCTGGCAGGCTTTAGAGAATTCGTTGAAACACGAATAACACAACACCGCTACTTGCACAGTAGCAGAGGAAATAATCAGAGTTTTACCGATAGCGTATGTGTTGCTTTTACATTTTGATGCGGGGTAAGTAAACAGGCTGAACAGCTGCAGTACAATCTTCCAGAAGAAGCACATCTTTTCGGTTATTAAAAACGTCATGACTGAATTTAACTGTCAAAGGACGTAACCTTAAGCCTGTTAAGACAATGCTTCATCAGCTGCTTGTAAAAGTTTGCCTCGAGTTATATACAGGGTAACTTTGAAATTCGAATAATTGAATACATGCATTTTAAAAACATTTTCGCCCTTTGTGGACAGAAAAATCCGAGTTATTAGATTGGGAATTGCAATTCGAGCGAGGGATCTCCGGTGTCACTGATGCGGCGCTCAGCGACTTTACCTAAGTGCTCGATGTTGAAATAAGCTGAGTTCCAGACAACCGCTTAAACTAGAGTTTGAAGCTGTATGCGCTTATCTCGTTAACTAAAAAAATCGAACAGCTGCGTACTTTGCATGGTCTTTCCCTCGAGTGAATTTATGAGACTTGCCTGATATCTCCCAAGAATTTGCTAACCTTTAAGCCGGCTTACGGCTAAAGATGCACTGTATCTTTACATATATGATTTTTATCATACATATTGCGTTGCGCGACTCAGTTATAACTCTGATAAAATGGAAACGGCGATGTACAAACGCAACAGTATGGATCCGGTACATATACAGTAAAATTGTAGCTTTTAAGTATAGAAGTACGGATTCAATGATATACTGACAGCCAAAGTTTCGGACTTTCGGCATCGGTTGTTTTTATCATTTTTAGCTTTCAAACTCGAATTTTAGTTATCCAACATAAGCTCGATGGGAAAGACTAGTCGTTTCAGTGGAAATAGAGAGCGACTTTGCCCCTTTAATAACCACTGAAGACAATAGCACTGTATCGTCGCAAAATTAGCGAGCAGTTTCTAAACTCACTCTGCGAATCGGCGCCACTGATGTCAGAGGTATGGTAAAGGGATGTCAGAGGGATGGTAAAAACACGCCCACAAATCTGCGCTGAATGCATGGGTATAAACAGTGTTCGTTAATTTCACAATCGCGATGGTACATACATGTAAGTACTTGTACATTATAACGCACTGATATGGTATGCAAAGCTACTTCTACTTTATTCCCTCATCAGAACTGCTACCAAAATCAGAACTGCTATTGTCCCAACACAATTTGTAGTAGGTCTTAACAAAAGGCCGCTTAACAACAAGCTCGAAATCCTTGTTTCAACATTTAACAAGCTCAAATCTTGCAGGTCTTATTTCCGTCTCAATTTGGAACATTGGATTCGTTCGGTTTAAGCTGTAAAACCCTTCTTGCCTGCAGCTTTCGGCTTAGGAGCAGCTGCAGCTTTCTTTTGGACAGGTTGGGCAGCGACGATCTGTTGTGCACCGACTCCAGGAGGAACGTAATCAGCCGGCGGAGTGTCGAAGAGGGGCTTGTCGGTGTACAGACGCGAGTTGGCAAAATCCTCCACTTGCGGTGACCTACACGTTGTCACTGGTGTTAACAATAACTTCAAATTACTGCGCTAGTTTGCATCGTTTCCTATCCCTACTCTAGCCGCACTGCGCTGTAATGTCTATAAGCGCTGTAACAGTAATCTCGGGCTTACTTGTCGCAGTCGACGTTGAAGAAGTAGTCGCAGATGAGTGTGATCTGGTTGAAGACAGTCATGTTGGTGCACAAGTAAGCAGTGTGGTTTCCGTTGACGTCGCAGCGGTGGAAAACTTGGCATTGGCTGGGAACATCAGCGTAAAAGCCGGGTTGTTTCTTGGAGGAGCAGTCAAAGTTCTGGGCGGAGTCAGGGATGGCGGCCAGAGTGGGATACTGGTTCTGGTCCTTGTTGGCCAGAATGGCCTGAACTTCCGCTGCATTCAGCGCCGGCTTCAACAGATCCCACACGTACTGCTGGCTGGCCACGAAACCAATCAGGCTGATCAACAAGATGACCTTCATTTTACTTTTCAACGAAGTCAACAGCAGTTGCAAGATCAGATTACTGGTGGAGAGTGCAAAACGTTGGTAAAAGTTGACTTGCTCGATTACAAGGCTGGTTTGCTTTATATATTATGTGTACAGTACGTTTGTTTTGATACAGACAGATCGAACAGACAGTCATCCGAAGGAAATCAGCGACACAATTAAATTCTGCCAGCAGTTATCCCTGGGCTTTGGCAATGAATAACAGACGATTAATATATATCCATGTATCTGTAAAGCAAATTGCTTGCTATGCTGGACTAATAAATATACAATAGTGAATCAATCATCTACGAGGAAGAGCATAAATAATCTGGCTTTCTACCGTTCCGTTAATTACTTATTTCATAACAGTATAATTAAAACCTACCCTTGGGTCTGCAAGTGCAACTCCCAAATGTACAATTCAAGGTGTGCTTAACGGATGATTACATAATGAAATGTTCCTTATGCCACACCAATGCACCCGCGGAAATAGAACTCCAACGAGTTTCTTAAGTAGCTTGACTTCGAGTGAGTAGCAGATACAGCAGAACTGCAGCGACAGACAGACATGCACATTATTACAGTACTTTATTTATGGTAATATAATTGGTTTTGTTCAAGGTTATTATAGTGGCCTGATGGTTATTATCAGCTGCTTAATATTTTATTGCAGTCAGTTTACACTTATAGGTGCAGTACTTTTCTGCAAAATTTACGAACAACAGGATTATTATTAAGTTGCATTTCTACAGAGGGTTATTCAGCCAAGTGTGGTCAGCGCATTAAAAAAATTCCTATAATTCAGCCGTAGCGCAGAGTCAGATTCTAATAATTGTTTTATTATAACAAATTAGTTTTGATGCTTTTTGCAAATTTTTGTGACAATCGAGCTTAAACAGCCCGCAATATTGGCTACTGACCTAAAGACTCCGACTCTAAACCTTTGACCAGGCAAAATTTGGCTTTCGATGATCTGGCCTTAAAAGGATCGTCTGCTTTTCAAATCTGGATGGTTTTAATTGTAAAAAACGACGATCCGAATATTTTTCATAGCAAAAACGATTCCATATTCTTGCGCGTTCTTGCGGTAGGACGGTTGGAAAAAAACGCGAAAACAGGAAGACACTCGCAGGAGCCATGCTCATTGTGCGAATTCTTACTCACGGAGCTATAGCTATCCTTTTCGTTCCTCCACAAACTAAAGTTGTAACGCAGGTCTTTCTTCACAATTTACAATGTTCATTGATCGAAAAGGACGCTCCGCGGATTAAGCCTGGCAGAGAGGAAGAAGTCATCCAGAACCAGAGATGTGCTCCCGGGAGCACTGCTGAGAAAACAAGGATGTTGCTTCCTGATCGAAAAAACTAGTAATTCCTTCTGAAAAAGGATTGTTAGAAACCCCTGACAGGTTTTCAATGGATTATGGCGAAAACCCAAATTTTAAATTAATTTTGAGTAAAGGGAATCCATTTCCTATAGCTGAACTGGTCAACTGTTGCCAACATGGGGGGGATAAACTTAATTTTTTCATGGGCTACAGGATAGCGAAATCTTGGCTCGGTTGAATTCAGAATATGATTAAATGTTCTGGTTATCTGATAAAATTTTTAAAAAAGTAAAATAAGCCTGCAACGGCTAAGCAGAAATTTTCCAAAAAGTGACCACACTTGGCTGAATAACCCTCTGTACACAAATTAGACCGTATATAAAGCTAAACAGAAATCGATAGAGAATTCATTTTTTCGTCTACGGATATGATTGCGTCTTATGTTCAGTAAAAACATCGGACACAATCAGATATCTTAAACTTTGACCGACCAAAAATTTTTGACACGGTTTTCATTACGCGCGCATTTTGGCTTCGTCAGTTCTGTACGACTTCCAAAATAAACGAATTTTAAAATGTGGGCGACTTTATTTTTCCCCATAAATTCAGCTGATCAGAATTTCCAAAATCAGCTGATCAGAATTTCCAAAATCAAAACAAGGTTGGGCGAAGTCTATCAAATTTCGTGGGAGTTCAATCATACAAGTGGAGGTTCTGCTAAGCATCGCTAAAATGTACGTAAGCGATAAAACGACCGTATGCTAGCGCATACCCCGGGGGCCGGAAGTAACACACTATCGCTAATACCATAGTTCTCGTATCGCGCTTCCTCGTATCAGTAGGATAGGGACGCGCCGCGCGGTATAGTGTAATGTCCGCGCGCGGTCATTTCGGAGCGCCAACGAAAACACGAACGATTTTGTATCCATACTTCTATAAATACGAGTACAAAATCGACCGTATACTATAATAATATTTTGGCATTTATCTTGCGGTTTTCTTATTTGCATAATTTCTAGTTTCCTGCTGCTATATAATAAAAACTTGCAATAAGTACCGACTTATTAGGGTAGGAATCGTGCACATGTAATGTACTAGCACAGCAGTACGGCACACAAGCACCATAGCTTAAAACTTATGATAGCAATTTAATCTAGTTCCGCTTTTGGTTGTTACAGCTATCGTAACGTGTAGATGATAACGCTCTAGTATTATTCAAACTCTTCAGTGAAATTTTAATGTACATGGGGTACGTGATACCGCTTTCGATCTCGTCAGATAAAGTATCATTCCCCGAATCAATGCGCTCTATGTCAACCAAGCGGTGTGATCCATTGTCTTCACTAAGATTTCATTATGGTAAATTATCGCCATTGGCTTCGTGCGATAGCAGGGCACTGTGTCCACCTCTTTCCATACTTTCGAATTTCTTACTTCGTGCACCAGAATTACAACATTTTGCTAAAGCGGGGGAAGTAACACCAGTGACCTGACAGAAATTGGCTGCAACAAAGCACGATGGCATCCCAGATCGTCTTTATTGGGTTGATCCTTGCCGCTGTTGGCATTGCTGCTGCCATGCCAGGTATTAACGATGCACGGTCATGCACCATGCCATGCTGAACTACATTTTCAGACTTTGAATCTGGTTGAATTTAATTTTAATTTTGAGCCCTCTTTTCAGCCAGCAAACAACTATTGCCGCCACCGAAACCAGTGCTTTGCGGGGTAAAAGACGAAGATGCAAACGGTGGAAGAAATTAGGACCATGACGTACATAGGTTTTGTTTTTAGGAAACATACTGCCGTCTGACGGAGGTTTGTGCCACTAACCCGATCCTCTGCATGAAGGAACCATGCGAGCCTCGCCAGAAATGCGTTCGTAAGTTGACATGGGTTCGGTTTATGCTCGTACAGTAGCTAACAGCACTATCATTTTATTACCTACACGGTATTTTCGTTAACGTTAGCGTATGACGTCGCCCACCGTCCCGGCAAGTGCCCCACTCCCCACGGACCTGGCTTCTGCCTGTTCGGATGCGATACCGACACCTACTGTCAAGAAGGTCACAAGTGCTGCTCCAATGGATGCGGACAAGTGTGCATGCCCCGTGTGTTTGCTTAAGCGACAACAGTCGTTAGAGCTGTACGATTTATCTGCTCGCACTATCTGCACTACCTCGTAGTTCTGCACCAAGCAGTACAAGTAGAATTCTGGCTCAGACCCTCTGTCGCAGTCAATACTGTCAACGTTATTCTATACCCTGAGACGTTGCTAAAACCGCTTTAGACCTTGGCTCGGATACGATAGTGAAAACCAATATAAAATTATCTTGTCTAATAGAAAATTCAGAAATGCGCAAATGACATTTTTATTGGCTAGATGAAAGCGGTTCTTCCAGTTACTTATACAGATCCAGCGCTCTATGAAGGAAACAGCTATAAAAACATCAAGATAATTCACCAACTGCAAGAAGGCAATCTAAAAAGACCCAACCGAGCACTATAGTCAAGCCAATAAGCGCGCTAAACAAAATCAATTGTCAGTTCGGTATATAATATGTTGTACATGAAAACGCCCGCATAAATAAGGTTTAAAACAATGCCTGTGTAATGCCGAATGAACAGTTACAGTCGATCGGGAAAGTTACAGAAATATACTACTGTAAGTATCATGGTACGTAGATATGGCAGTTTTATTCCCAGTTGGAGGGGCCCTGACCGGGAATGGCCTGGAGATTTGCGAAGGATGACCAGCGCTTGTAGTCTCCATCTGCAAAAGCATAATTAGGACGCCTGCTAATAGTACTGACCAAAGGAGTTTCCATTCTACAGATTTGTCTTGCTTTGCTATATATCTGCGCAGTCGCAACTAATGGTAAGTATAAAGTGGTGCTGCGCCTACTGAATTACCGTGATATTCTTTAAAGTTTTCGTATAACTAGTTTGACAAATACCTGCGGGAAACTGCTTCCGAAAGTGCGGAAGATGAGAATAGTTTTGTAGTGGCTGGCGTTGTACAAATTGAGCATATTCAGTGGGCAGTTGCAAGTGAGGGTAATGGGCGTGGTATGCCCCGGCGTAGTTCTTGGGCAGTGCCATGTTCTGCCCAGATTTTACTGATTTGGCGTACCCAGTCGTCCCGTAATCTTGCACCTGTATTACACATCAAATTGTCCCATAAAATTTACAGTGAATTCATTGCAAAAACAAGCTGGAAACGCTTTCTTTAATGACAAGCCAAATTCTAAAAAACCAGAAAAACTAATGGTAAGCTTGATTCATAATGTGCGAGTACGAATACTCGCAGTGTATGAATGCCGGAGTACCTTATCTCGCATATGGTAATGATATCATCAAGCGAAACCCTCTTCTTTAATTAGAATTATTACTGAAATAATTTTAATGTTGAACTTGAGAAATGTTAGAACAATGCGAGAGTGCACATGTATGATTGGAATTTGGGGCAATTACATACCGATCCCAGCGACAAATCCATGGTGCTGGCGGTGACATTGTTGTTCCGTTGTCCGCGTGCGAGACGCGGATAATGTTCGTCGCGTGGTGTGGAAATATAGCGCGTCGCACTGACATTCTCCATTGTGACCGGCGTTCTTACGTGCACTTGCGCTGAATGGGTCTCAGCATAAACTGAAAATTAAACAACATCAGCTATTATTGTTATAATGCAGATTAACCGCTATTTCACTACGCTCGTAACCTTCAGCCAAACTTATGGTTGAATAAGCTGACAATTTTCGTCAACGACATAATTGCAATTGAAGGTTAATGAGCTTAGGAAATATGCCCGAAAGTACTTGTTCGCGTCTGAGGTGGGGTAACTGTAGTGTAATAGACGGCAAATATGTCGCAATAACTCAAAATCTGATGCAGACTACGAGCTAATATTAATTAAGCCAAAGCAACCGCTTTACAAATTTGCACGAAATTTAACTAATCTACAGTGTCAGCACATAACCGGTGCAGTTTCTGGCGGTTAGTAATAAAATGTAGACAGGTACAATTATACAAAAATAACATAATTTATTAGCTAGATTCAAAATTCTATGATTTTTAACGTACGTTCCGGCATCTGACTGCGAAGCATGTCCATGGCGACAATGTTCAATAGCAAAATCCAGCAGGGCGATTCCAGGTGAGACTTCTGGACATCACCGAAATGAATATTAACAACACACTGCATTTCCAACTTCTTCCGGTCGATAAAGGGCTTCTTCATGGCATTAGAAATATTGGTTGTAAAGCGCTTCATGTCGAAAATCTGTCAAAAAAAAGTGTCTCGTTACAGCCGAAATTGCTGAATGTACGTGTAATTATGCCGGCAAAACAATCTGCTACTTGTTCATAATTAAACGCTTTAGCACAATGCTGCTTACAATTGTTAGACTTCTGTATTCAGCGTTTTCTCGTCAGCACAAGCATTCTCAACAATATATCATTTTAGTTTTCATTTCTTATCCTAATGAAGTCGGTAATGAATAAATAATCCGGTAATTTTTGTGCGATTTATACCAACAACTTATTTTATTCTATTTCGTCAGCCTTATTATTATTTTACTGCTTGAACATAAACGGTAACTCTTTAATAGTACTGTGATCTACTGAGTAGCTTCTGATGGAATTACCACTGTTATGTGGGCAGCTGCATATTTAAATTTGATAAACTTTAGAAACCTAAGGGGGCCTATACTTATTGTGCCTCTAATTTCTATTCATCTGCTGATTTTTTGCAAGCATTAACTAACAAGGATAACAACTAACGTTTTAAACTACTGGAATGCGACAAGTTATTTGCCGGTAAATTATTGGAAGTCGCTTCGAACGTTCGTACAGTGGTTTTTCTGTTTGCATGGGAAATCCCGGAAAACAGTTCTTAAGTGAGGAAGTGCGCGCTGCTAGATGTATTACTACCGCTCATATTACTCTGAACATGTACATGCATGTCTGTGGATGCTCTTGTCACGGCTCGTTTATCCTGTCAGCGAACACACTGATTTCCGGATGGTAAGTATGGTTTTTAACCAATTCTGTCAACGATATTGAATGTTACGCAAAACCGCTATATTAAGCGCTGAAAACAATGATTGCTCAGTTAGAAAAACGTCCATTTTTACGCACCAAACAATGATCGATGTAGCCGTCATACGTGCGAAAGTGTTTTAAAATGGTTTATATGTACGCTAAAAGCAACCTTATATAGCCGAAATTAAGTAGCCAAAATTTTCAAAACTTTTTTTGCATTTTTTTCCGTTTTTTATACCGTTTTTCAGTTATACATATGAGAAAATACTCGTAATATTCGTCTTCTTCAATTGTCTTGACTAAGCGCAGAGTTGTTTCGAACAAGAAATCTGGGACAAAGGATGGATATAAGTGGTAAAAGTGATTACCATTACGCTCGGCAGACGAGTCAACAGGTTACGGCATTCCGATGTTACTGACAACAGCTTCTTTACCGAACGTTGGCTTAGTTGTTTGTTGAGACTCAAAGAGTTCTTTACATCCATCGTTGTATTATAAAATAAAGTATTGATAAATTTTCTGATAAGTAACTTTTAAAGCGAAAATTTTTAAAACCAGAATAAGATAATGTATGAGTATAAATTTATCACAATAGCATTCATAATAAGTGAATTAATTACTAGTAAATGAGAATTTACGAATAGTAAAGGAAGTATGGGTACCTGCATATTATACAAATTTGCTGCGGTTGTTATTTCAGTGGAACGTAGATGAACGTTTCTTATATATTTTGTTAAATGAAAATCTATAGAATTATAAACTTTCCACAATATTAATCGTTGATTCTGTGGGAAGCGAAGACGAAGGTAAAAACCGTCTCGATATTACAAAATTATATCTTATTACGTTATAAAACACGACAGTATTGTTATTGTATTGCATTGTTTGGTATTATTTAATATACATTGTTCGGCATCGCGAAATTATCGTTTCATAAAGTTATTGGTTACGCTAAGCGAACACTATAAAACATAATCCGATTACTGAATGAGAGAAAAAACGTAATAGCAATGAGTAGATTTCTCAGCTGGCATGTAATTAATATTACTTCGCATCGGCATATAGGCATGCGCACGTCGGAACTGCATGCCGTAGCTCTATTGTTCGACCATAATTCCCGGCGGGCAGTCTTTCCGGTTCGATATCAAGTGCTTGACGCTGAGTGGCCTGATATATGTGCGCTGTCATGTACTTGAAAGAAAGAACAATTTTTTATATTCTATTCCGCCAGAGCCAGGCCGCGTGCGCGTTTATTCCGCGGAATTTAAAATCGCTCAAAGGGATAATTGTCTGGCTGATTTTTCTTTTCTGTTGAAACGATGAAGGAGTGGGCCTGATAATGCCGATTTACGGGCAATTTTTAGAGCATATTCTGGCGCCGATCAGATGCGTTCACATACGATGCGAATGTACGACTTAAAAAGGCTCAACTAAAATTCCGCAAAAAATAGAAGTCATTTTGAACTGTGTCACGTTTTGGCACCGACAAAATTCGATCAGCGTACGTATGTAGAACCCACCGTCTACTACATATTTTTGAAGAAGACAACTGAAATCCCGAGCCAATTTCTAGGCCTGTTTATTCAATGCAGATTTTTGCCTAAAAGCTGTGAGGAATTAACGATTTACAATCTTAAAGCACATATTAACATTGTAATATGTTATATCGCTAGATTTAACAAAAGCGTTTAACAACATTGTTTTATTTTGAAAGCGTAAAATTTTTGTGTAAAGTTCTTACTCCGCAGCTGGCCGGTCTATTAATGCCACGGTTTCAGAACGTTACATAACCATTTCCGCTATGCTTGTCGTCAGTACGCCGCCGGTAACAGTAAACACAATTCCGTTGAGAGATTTTCATCAAATATATTAGCCAAGATCATACAACGCATTAGAAGGGGACGGCAGTTGATAAATCGTCAAGTGATTCATAATTAAGCACCAGCTGTCTGGGGATATCCTACCTTGGCAGCTTTGTTGGGCTCCAGCTGACCGTGATGTTTCAGCAGATCCACGGACAAACAACAATCAGCTGTCAGCGTGTTCCCTGTGCCCCGAACGTACATGGGAGTATCTGTGACCTTTTTTATATGAATATTTCCTTCTTCGTCCATCTTCAGTTTGATACCCTATAAATGCGTAAAAGATGAATTAGGCAAATTACAATGACAAATTGTTTTAAATTGCAGTTAAAATTGGAAATTGTGATTTGCACATAACCCAATACCGTATGCACAGACAGCACACTGCACACCAAGTAGCCAATGTCCAATACTGATTACAATTTTTTTGTTTATTACACTTTACTAATTTAAAATTTTTGCTTCCATTGTTCGTCTTGAGCAAATATCATCCGAAATCGAAACACTATCAAAACATTCTCATGTTACAGATATACAGACTGTAAAGCTAAGAAGTTTCAACAAAGATTGTTTGGTTTATTTCGCAAACGGGTAATATGCGGAATGCACCGGTGACGTCTGCGTTAATTTACGAATGAGTGACTTTTTCCACGTTACGATCCGCATTTTTTCGTAGTGTAGAGTAGCCAAGTTTCACGTGAGCAGATGGTAGGAATCGAAAAAAATTATGAATGGTACCTTTGTTAATTCTGTAATAAAAGCCACATTGGCAAAAATTAAAATTAAATGGGCGGAACTGGTGGAACAGGACACAGCCGGCAATTATGTATATGCAAACAACGGCGTTCAATAAATTCTTTCATATTACTTGTACCAAGGGTTCAACACTGAATCTTGTAGGACACTTTTTCATCATATGGTTAGTCATAAGCCAACATTATTTCAGTCGAACATTCCATAAAATTTCAAGGAATGTTGCCATGATGTAGCCAACGGCCACATCTTGGAGACGACAAATTTGTCAAGAATGGGGATTTTCGACAGTTTTTTTTAAATTATCGCTGTTTCGTATTACGAGAGAAAACTTGTAATTAACAGGTCGTAAATTGGGCAATTATGGCAGTGTATCAATACAAAAGATGGCTGTATTTGCTTTATTGGCAAAAATACTTGGATACTATATGGGTGGCTTTTCTCCACTTCTGTCATGTGTTTTCCATTCGGAACCGCATAAAACTAGCACTAACCACAATTTAATCCTGATGCCATAATCAATCTGAAACTGTGCGTATGAAAGTGAAGTGAGTTTTCGCTCAAAAACGCCGGTGGCTGGATTAACGATTACGTAAACACGAACAGCGTATCTATCAATTAAATCATCATTTAAATTAAGCCTATGCAAAAAGTGTAAAAATGTCCAGGAATAATAGACAAAAAACTGCAGTGAGACTTGCCGGGTCATGCTAATGGAAGCTGAGTAATAACTCCTGTTAACTGAAGATAACAGTTACTTCTTTCAAGCGATATGTGTTTTACAGCTACCTTTTCCTAGCTACGTTTGCAGTACAGATAGTTTCTTACAGCGTTGGTAATTTACACCTACATACCGTTATTAAATTTTTGAAACTTTCAAGCGTTTCTGTAAGCCTCATTACAAATTCACTCAATAACTATTAAATAAAACTGAATTTTTTATGGTGCTCAGTACAATTAATAAACTATACAGTTCTCTTTAAAAATGATTCAAATTGTTATTATTTAAATATAAAAATAACAATTTGAAAGTTTTGGGCTGCCAGTTGATCAGTAGTAATTAAAAAATGCTATACCTCTCCAATTTTCTTCTGAATTTCCAGCGTCTCTTTATGGCGCTTAGCATTATCGAATCCGTTGAGTCCGATGCGATACCCGTCGAAGCCTTTCGCTGACCCATTAACCGTGAGAATGGGCACTCTGGAATACGCTTTACCAACACGCCGGTTCCGCTCCATACAGATGACCTTGCCCCAGATCTCATCGTCAATGTTATCCCATTTATCCAACACTTCGTTCAGATGATCCTGCAAAATAACTCCTTCTTGTAAAGAAGCATACGTAAGGACAAGCTGGAATATCTTTTCGCACAAAAAATCGAACTTTGAAATTGGAAAGAGTATACATATAGCTTTTTCGCTTGGTTACTGAACATTTTTCGAACATCACGGTCAATGTCAGGAGTTACCCAGATGATGGGTCAAATCTGATTCCGCTTCAGCATTAAAATTTAAAATTCGTTATTCTTTATTCGCGAGCGGCATAAGATTAAACATTAAAAAAGGGCACGCCAAGTTAGATAGAAGTATGGAAAGTGTTAAATTATGCATTCTGGTTTGCAGTGACGTTTGTACTGGAATAATTCTGTGTAACAAGTAGTTCGCGCAAATGACATATTCGTCCGTCTCCGTTGGAGACATCAGACAATAGCTGTTTGACGGTTGTCTTTAAAAAAATCAAAAGATGATGGACCATCAGTTGTGGTCGCCCAGGCCATTTAACCGAGTTCCGCCCGCTAACAACCACAGAACATCTTCTATTCTTCTCGCTGACTTTAGCTTGCATACCGAGTATTACTAACACCCGTATTAATTCTTTTTAAAAACCATCCTTTGCCCGCCGCAAGGGTTTCTTTGCGACCGCGCAAATACCTTTGCTCATCTAATCCGTTTTACTGACACTTTATACGCTAAACCATTTCACAAACGCCAAAACGCCAAAAACCTGTAGTACTTAATGTTTCGTAATAAATTTCATGAATAAATTCAATAAAAAAAATTAGTGAAAATTTCTAATTTTTAGGGTAAAAATTCTATTAATAAGTGTAATAGGGCAGTAAGATTCCATAGAATTTTAATTAAACTGGAAGAATATCTCCGAGAAATAGAATGCATAAGAGCTTGTCTATATGATACGTACAACAAGGAAGACTCTGGTATATATAGGCAAATCGGACAATTGGCCAATAAAAATTGCGCACGATTTTGTCGGCTGGCCCTACCAACCATTTCGATTATTATTGTTCTGTATATAGAGACAATCAACAAGTAGTCTTTCCACTTAATAAATTTTATATGGCCCGTCTGGAAGTGAGGTTGCTTATCTGATTTGGACAGCAATTACGCAATTAATTCCAGTTTCCTGCCAAAATATCGCCTTCCTTCGTATACTGTATAACTGCTCTTAGTATGCACTATAACAGTAAATACAAGATTTCACAGTGAGAAACACAGTCCAAAACCTGTTTGCCTCTGCAAAACATAATTCTGGTACGGATAAATCTAAGCAGGTGCTTTTTTCACACACGGTAATGCGAAGTCAGATCAGTATAAACAAATTGAGTAACACACCGTATTTGTGATCAAAAGAATGAATTAAAAAACATAATCCAGATTAATGGCACAATTGACGCCGGGTTCGGAGCGCTAGTCTGAGCATGGCGGAAATTAAACGGACTGTGCAGATTTAAATAAGTACATATTTCACGCGTGATCAAGCCGGCTACTGGTTCATTAGACCAGCGGTGGAGAATGAGGAAAAACGGGAGATAATAAAGTAACCTTGGAAAAAGTGCAACTGGCTTTTGAAGATGGAGCCTTGTTTGGCGAATGATGAACCACTGCCGATGCGCATCATTGCGCTTTAAGAATAGACAAGGGTGCTGGCTTCTTTTCGCGCAGTTTAAATTGAGTTTCTTACTGGTGCGAAGGGAATGACCGTGGTGCCAGCTTATTATGTATCAAATGACCGGCTAAAACAATTTCGGTTCCCATGGAAAAAAACCCTCTAAGTTTTGCGAACAACGACGTTATCGAAAGAATTAGTCTGTAAAAAATGTACTAGCTAAATTTTACTTTTACATAAATAAATCTTTTGACTACCTAAAATCTAAAATAGTACTAAAATACATATTACAAGCATATTAAAACAGCAAAATACTAAAATTAACCTAGATCTAAAACTGCAGAAGCAGATTTATTCTGTTCCATTTTATTGTTAGCTGGATTGATTCGCAGCATGGATTAATGTGTGTACTGGCTGTTACCGAATAACAAAATTTTGCGAAACGTCAGCTGCAACATTTTATTATAGTACGTTAAAGTCATGAATTTATCTACATACAGAATTATATCATGATTCTTGAATGTGTTACACTTGTTATTAGTAACTACAGAGTACTTCGCAAAAATATATGAAGTGGGCGGAAATTTGGTACTATTCTAGCACTTGTATAACGCTGTTTGTTGTGATAACAATTAACATCACTGACTGATTTATTTTACAGTATTTTGCAGTCTACAGGATACTTTCATCGTGGTCAGTATTTCAGAAGTGTCAACTGTAATTATAAAGTGCACAATTCTTGTCAATTTTTCGTTTAAGTAGCCATTAACCATAATGGGAGTATGGCCGAGTGGAGAAATCGAAAGCGACATTCTAACAACAAACGCGCCCTATTTACCAACAAATAATTACCGGCCAGCACGCGCATCTTGTTACCACAAACTGACAGATTCATCTGACGCTTAAGAGAACACATTTGTAAAATCTTGTACGGGAAAATTCAGAACAACGGCCGCCAGATTGACGATACTGTAGTTGGTGAAGACGTGAGAGAAACGGTTTTTGCTGAAAATCTTCGACAATAAAACCAACTAATGCCGTGATTTAATCAAGCCATAAAATCTCAAGTGCCGTTCGAAGATACATAAAAACGACGCAAAAACAAAATAAAATTATGCAATGCGCATTGTGCAGTCATCCAACCAAGGAATTAATTTGCAAAAAATTACATCTTCGACATTTATATGCATAAGTTGTTAAAAATCAAGTGCATTAATCAGGTAACTTTTACTTATCAAAGCATCTTTGCCCAATGCGAGTAAGATCCAAATTTTACAACGTAATTTCATTTACTGGCTTCCAACAGTTCAAATTGGTTGGCAAAAAATAGAAATTACGGATGACGAGGAAAATCATTCATCGCATGAGAAAATTGTAAAACAATTCATTTTTTACGTATTTTCGGTGGCAATAAGGCATTAATCAAAAATGCATGATTTCCGGCTAGTTTGGGCTCAGCAGGAGCTTCATTTAAAAAGGTTCAACATGCCAGGTGAAACCATTGCCGACAATCCCTACCGTACCAGACTAACCAGAGGGCGCGGCAATTTTTTATAGTCCGAGTGCCAGAAATTAAAAATTCAGTTTTCCGTTCAAATGAAGAAAACGTCCATTTCCTCACACTGGATTATTGTCATGCGGACATTTTAGTCTCATTTTACACTGTAAACCGGTTGCGTAACTTTAGCCGGGTTTTATTTAATTAAATTTTTTCGGCTGATCACCGGTGATATGAAGCCGTCTGACGACTGTAGGCAAAATTTACCTATTCAAAATGTACACAAAAGAATAAAAATTAGTTCATCCCGCTGGTGGGGCTAGTTCAAACAAAGTCTATAACATAAAATGCGTTTTCCACACAAAACAACGGTTTAAAATCAAAGAGCAGAGCTAAGCTGCCAGTGCTAAATCTAAACAAAAGTTTAATTATAAGTAGCAATAGATCGCATATATGTTAGTAATTCTGAAAATGCCCAATAAAGTGGAAGTAAATAAATTCCGCAGCAGCTCACACTTTATACATAGCGAAAAATCATTTTAATCCCCCAAGGTCGATTTTAATTTATATGGATTGGTGTGCAGTCGCTGTACACTGTGCATTTTGTAAGTACTTTGGTAAATTACTGATCAATCAAAATTTAGCATACGTCCGAATTCACAATCATGTGCCGGCTTGCTATAATATAGGGTTTTCCATCCACACGTTTATAAAAAATAACGAATATTGAGAAAAGACCACACTGTATTCTTCCTATATACCGTACACAGGCTGCGTATTAAGTGCACAATGCGTATCCTAACGGACTTACGGTAAAGAGCGTATCCGTATCGTGCCAGACTTCAGTATCATCGACATCGATATCTTCCGTGGCAGTGAGCTTATTGAGAGCATTCTGGCTCTGGCTCATAACAATCCTCCGCCGGGACACCACACCGGTTCCACTGCTACCGGCACTACCGGCGCTACCGCTACCGCTACTCCCGCTACTTCCACTCTGTTGGCTCATGGCGGCGCTAGACGAAACAGCAAACAAATGAGCCGATACTTGACAGTGCAGATAGGACGCATGGCCCATCCACAGCTATCACGGTGAATCAACAACAACACCAAGCCAACAGAATCGGATGCGGTAATCCGGACCACTTACCGTTAATCAGGTAGCGGTTAACACAGCCGCACGCCGGGGCTGTGCTGCGCCGAATTGGATCCCCGTCAGAAAAAACGGGAAGCGAAGAAAAAGCAGCAACAAGCTCGTTGCAGTCACCGCGTGACAATTAGCGAGCTGCTATGGTGTTTTGTGTGGCTGTATGTTCACCAATGATGAATTATGATTATGAGAAACGAGCAGGCGTTGAAAAGGTCAACAAGCGCGGCGCTTTCGATTGTGCAGCTATTGGCTATGGTGGTATAGGGATCTTCGGCACGGTGTATGCGTTCGTTATTAGTCGGGTGTTTAACGCTGTACAGATAGTACACAGCAGCACCTGCAGCCGAGGCCAAAGCACAAAACGAAGTGCGCGAGCGCTTCTAATCAGAAGTCGCTCACTGCCGATATCCGTGGCAGTGTAGCGAATGGAGAACTGTGGGTGCCCCCGGCGACTGTCGTGATGTAATGTGTTCGCACAGAGTGCTTCAAAAATTCTACTTCGATGAGTCAACAATGTAGCCGAACATGTGGTGATCATGAAAAGTGAAAGTAAGTGTTTCTTATGTAAAATCCATACGATGTGTGCGCATGGAGTGATGAGTGGTCAAGTTCACTCAACTTGACTGATTGTCATCGAAAGAGGATGTTGGATAATTATAGGGTAGAATTTTCCGATTTTAAAACGATTTTGGATGCGTTGTGTTAAAAGAATGCATAAATGATTCAATCTGATCCGAAGGCACACATTTTATCATAGTATGGGACAGAAAAGGAAAGACCGTTTGAGTAGCTAAAGAAAATTGTCCTCGAAAAATCGGATCGCCACTTACCGTGTGAACAATGAGCAAGGTTGCATGGCAAAGGCTTTTCCCGACAAAAACGTACACGGCACGTTGGCCACAGAATACTTCAAGGTAGATTTCAGAATTAATAAGATTTGGTCTGCGGAGACAGCAATCTTCAGTAGCTATAAATGCAAACGCATTACTGACCAGGGCCACCAGGCAAAATGAAATCTAAAGAAGGCGAAATGCACGAAAAGATCTCGGTTCTCCTCTATGGGAACGATAATGAAGAAAGCGGGCACTGGCGCATCACGAACAAATTATTGTAGCGAAACCCTTTCGCGTACGTTACAGTGTAATAAAAGCGGTTTACTAAGGATGCATTCTTGACCTATTGTCTTCTTTGTTGTCGGGGGGCTCTCTGTATAGAAATACTCGTACAGCTAATGTATCAGCCACGACCAGGCTGAAGAGCGATGAGGCTCATCCGACTTATCATCGTCTTCGTAAGAGCGCAAAGGAGATGGAAAATATATAGGTAGGTGGACGGCAACAGCATGAACGCGTACAAAATTTACTGTACTCACACAAACATGGTACCGGGTAGTTATGGTTTACACAACAGATTTTCTGCTGCTAACCGGTAAAGTTCAATCCAACCCAAGGGTTTGTTATTAATTTGGTAAGTAACTACAGAAACATAGGGAACAGGGATATTACGTTTTTTGCAATAAAACAGTTCCAATGGCTGGCGATCATGATTGCTCCTTGCGATTGAAGAACGTGTACTGGAACTTTTTGGCGGCGCCCAAGCTAGGACATTGTAGCCTTCTGTACTCTTCGAAAATACTCCAGCTTATAGCGGGAATACAGCTCCAGCCGATGGTGCAGTCACTACAGTGACCCTGCTCGGCGAATTCCCACTGAGCGAGGCCATTAATTACTTTGTAGTCGATGACTCGATGCCATACATTTTTAAACCAACGCGAAATTAAAGCGATGAATTTTGTCGAACTTATCCCGCGCGAAGGTAGTTTACAATATATTATGAGCTTCTTTAGTCTTTACGTTCCGACATCTGGTGTTTACAACCCTAGCTCCTAGTACTGGAAACCTATTAGAAGCAATACTATTAGAAGACATTTGTTATCTGATGTGGAAGAACTGCAGAAAGCCGCGCCACGTAATTCTAGTTTAATGTCAAGCCTGGTTACTGGTGCCTCATTACAGTCATTAGTCACTGCGCGATTACGTGGCCCGACAAGGTCTATACTCTAGGGTTTTCGAGTGCCTGCTAAACCACAGTACAGTCTTGTAATAATAAGATATCACAGCATCGTCATTAGGTGTAACTTATTAATTATTTAATATAAGTAAACTTGTTTTGGTCTATAACTGTAAAATAATGTACAGTATAATAGATGGTAATTGACGTACCTGATGCCTGACTCGCTTGCTTGCTGCTGTCTCAATTGCAGCAAACTCCAAACGTTCCCAGAAAAAAAGCTTGTCGTACAAGCGTCGTCCTCTGAAATTGCAAACAAGTTTGAATGAATACGTTGATATATCGCTCGCACATTGTACCGTATTGCATGGTTGCAGAATAATCCATGATGCAACCGCTGCAACGTGACCTTATGTCAGTGGGATGTTCTGCATAGCTTTCTTTCAAACGTAGCCTCGATAGCATTTTCCAGATGCACCGTAGTGAAGTAAGACACCACGGTTTCTAGATGGTCTTCCATGCTCTGTAAATGGCAATCGAAATGCAGACAGGCTCACTAACACAAGACTGTTTGAAAGCGGAAAGTGCTGTTTCAGCAGTTCAAAAGCTTATGTCATTTCTGGTGCGTTCGTATCTATATTATTTTATTTCAAAAAATGTGTGAACATGAATGCGGTACTGTACTGTACTTAAGTATGCGGTTAAGTGTGTGATATTGTACTTTGTTGTGTGGCATACTTCGAGAAATTACATAATTATTATAGATATTTGGGCTCTACGTTGTATTACACTCGAAGTATACTTGGAACACATCTAGATATTAATATTATGTTCTGTACTTCTACTTGTTCTTATTATCTCATGCTTCCAGCATCATCTAAAACCATCTGCTGCTATTGGACCTGTACAATATATGCACATTTTGCAGAATCTCTGACAGGTAACTAATAAAATTAAAACTGCGACAAAAAGACCAGCTCGGTAAATTTATTTATGAAACAAAATTCTGAACTTTGGAAGGATGCTTCTTTGATTGCAGAGATGTTTGATCAACCACCGAGACAGCCAGCGATTAATGTATAATTAGGCGTTTGCATTTATACGAGTAAGTTACAATAACTGTTTGACGGTTTAGTTTATATCACGAAATTCAAATATGATACGAGGATGCGCGCAGTCGAACCGACAGTAAATTTTTTCAGCGAGACCAACCGACAAGCAGATTATTGTTTCACAAAACAGCCACCCGTGGAAGGGAGGTACCGTTTGCACTGTTTGCGTTGTACAGGTGACAATCATCCGTAGATGGCTGGCAGTCGCATGCACTATATACACGGTTGTCGGTTGGTCTCGCTGAAAAAATTTCCTGTCGGTTTGAGTACGTGCATCCTCGTACCGATTTTGTGTGTCATATATGTTGCCATGTTTTTACTATACGAGGATGCACGCAGTCAAACCGACAGTAAACTTTTTCAGCGAGACCAACCGATAACCGCGCGCATAGTGCAAGCGACTGCCAGCCATCCACGGATGGCTGTCACCTGTACTACGCATACAGTGCAAACGATACCTTTCTTTCACGGGTGGTTGTTATGTGAAAAAATAATCTGCTTGTGTGCATGGTTGTCGGTTGTCTCGCTGAAAAAATTTGCTGTCGGTTCGACTGCGTGCATCCTCGTAGTCTAGCGTCTTTTATTTTCTACTGCTTTTTTCCCCTTAAATAGCGCTTTTGTCAGGCGATTGTACCATTTTTTAATATTATTGTGATCTCTGGTTTGATATGTGGTAAACCAACAACAACAACAACAACAACATATGTGGTATATCTCTGGTTTAATATGTGGTAATATCCCAACAACAACAACGACTACAATAAATATGTAACTGGAAAGTGACTGGCAAATTATATTAATTTTCAAGTACTATACTGCAAGATCCAAACCGCAGCAACAATTATAGAAGAATGGTTGAAATTTAAACAATTGATTTGTTAGAACTCAGCACACAGCAACGTTACGCAAGGTCACTGCGAGAGTTTATTCACAAAGTAATATTCAGGGACCAAAGCAGGCAAATGATAAAGAAGCGCATGAGCGTGGGGCAACAGGAGGCGTGGTAGGCGCGGAGCAAGATAACCGGTCAAAAATTAATTAGGAAGGTTCGGAGCAAACTGCATCAAGACTTAATTCGAGATGATTCTGCTCGTGAGATGGGGTCGGCAAAATGTAGAGAAAAAAGGATTCTAAACCGTCATTAGCACAATAACTAATAAACAGTAGAGAAAGGCAATTAACACTCTTACTGGCGTTCCATTCTAAATTTTATCTTTACAGAGAGCTCGTACAAGATAATAATATCAAATTCGTTATCATGCGACAGAAGTAATGTGTCTTTTAAAATGACTGAAAGCCTCGGTCTGGTGGTGAGGTGAACTGGTGAAGCCCGTTCCGAAGTAACAGCGCCTGTACCACATTGAAACAGGGTGCACTCGATCGGCGACTGGTCGATCGATTCGTCGTGTTTTAGACCACGCCTGAACTCTCGCTCTCGTCGAAGCCGGTTCAGTAAGTGTCCGCTTCGCAGTCGCACACACACTCCTTTTAACGCTTCATATTTCTACTATTCCGTTCCCTATAAGCGTGTAACATTTCGCAGATTAACGATACAGTGAGATGTTATTAAACAATACCTAAACTAATTAAAAATCCTTTCGGCAGTCGCCCAGCACTGCACCATATCACAATAGCGTCCATCCAAATATTTGACATATTTAGCCGTGTGACAAATTAGCTATCTCCATGGAAAATCTGACTGCCACCCTTCCGCCAAATCCTTCACTGCATGCGCCAAACAAGCGTCCTATTCAGTTGGCACATCTGCGCACTCTCACCGGCGAAATGACCGTGGAACGCGGTGATCCGGAGGATGCGAGACTCACGGTCACGGCTAGTAGTGAAAATGAGCGACCCATGGCTGATACCATGGGGCATCCGCTGCGCAGTGCTACGGATTCGTTGCTGCCGAAATTCCGCAGTCAGGAGTATACCATTGATCAGATTGGTTGCATCATGGATGTGCAGTTGCAGCGCGGGAATATGAAGATGTTGTCATCCATGCTGGATATGTTTGCGGCACGCAGTGACATTGTTCAGATGGACATGTACAAGCGAGGTAATTATGGTTGTATGCAATCAAATCATTCTAGTTAACGATTAATTGCAGGCTATTTGCAGCTTAGAGAAAGCAATTACACATCAACGCATTCAACTCTCAAGGGATTCAATTGCATATATTGACAACTACCCAACGTTAAACTGAACCCTATATACGTAATACGGCGGCATTACTATATATTTTTCGTATATTGAAAAGCAGATTTCTGTATATTGTAGTTGAATTATCATTCTATTTCTGAAAACGTATAATTAAGCTTGACAGAGTAATTAACATCTTATGATTCTTATCTATAGTAATTAATAGGCCTCTAACGTAAGTAAACAACACTATTTGCAATACGCACAGACTCTTTTTTTTTTAGCTACTGCATGGCTGGCATTCAATCACGGGCGCTTTAGCGAAGTGTACAATATACTAGAATCGCATGCGTTCGGCAGTAGTTATCACGGAGAACTGCAGGATCTGTGGTATCAGGCTCGCTACAGCGAAGCCGAAAAGGCGCGATGTCGCGCTTTAGGCGCCGTAGATAAATATCGTTTACGACGAAAATTTCCACTCCCAAAAACCATCTGGGATGGAGAGGAGACTATTTATTGTTTCAAGGAAAAAAGTCGAGTTGCGCTGAAGGTATGCATGGAAATTGTTGCCCTAATAAGAAATTCTTGTTAAAACATTACAACTTTTTTAATTACAGGATTGTTACAAACTGAATCGCTATCCATCGCCGGAAGAAAAGCGCTATTTATCCCAGAAAACCGGCCTTACTATCACACAAGTTTCCAATTGGTTTAAAAATCGACGGCAGCGAGATCGTGCACCACATTACCATCCCGGGTAAGCCACCAACCTGCCGTGCTCAACTGCACCCTTTCGAAGATGTCTGTTAAAAAAAAACTTTATTTTGAGTTTTAAGTTTTTTTTACACAGAAATAAAGGTTGTTTGTACTTTGTACCGTAATATGGTGTAATGCCAATGTGCCAACACAATTACAATTCTAACTCATGCCACTGGCATGACTTAGAATTGTATCCGTACGAGTATCGTTTGATGTGTATTGTGTAGAGTGTTTCTAGCTGGCCCAGTATCGTGCCCTAGTAGGATTACGAAAACAGCTATGGCGTTTGGTCTCTGAATATTTTTATTGTGTACTTCTATACATGAAAACAAAAATAATGAATTAATGATTAACTATTACTTTTTGGCTTCTCAGTGAATGGGCACAAGACACCATAGGCACCGTTTTCACCCCCGTTTACTATACTCCTTTACTATGTACCTCTTTTGCACGCAGTTTTACTACAGGTACCCCTTTTTAGTGGCCTATTGCCTGAACCCTGTTTTTCCACGGGCACTAGGCAGCTCGTTTTGATGTTATATTTTGCCTATAGTAGGCTGGGGTAGAAGAGGGTGTCTATGTGATTTCCAGTCAAAAATCAAAGTAGCCTTTGAAGCAAACGCAAAAAGGACAAATAAATTATCTGTTTCACAATTCCACAACAAAAACTGCAACATTCAAAATTTTGGTTTGCAAAACAGCTATAAAATCGATTGCTTCTTTTGAAAATCAGAATTATGTATATTTTGCAGTGACGAGTGCATGTCGCCTCCGTACATGCTATACGGCGCGGCCGCTTATAACATGCCTCATCCGGCAGCCAATGTGCACGCGCTGTCCGTGTCCCCCAACAGCAATTTAAATGCACGTCAGTTCCCCATCGCTCTACACCAGCTACAGCCCAGTAACACCCAACACTCCATGGAGTCCAGTTACCATCATAATGCAAACTCATAGTCCAGGAGTAAACAGCAGCTTGGCTCTACACGAAGATGTGGGACATTTCGAGGGGTCGCGGGAGCGTCAAATCACTGGACATCACGCCCAGGGTCACATGCGCTCAACCGACTCACCGAGTAATCATGGGCGGACATCACCCATGCACCGACACAGTCAAATGCAAATGGGCCAAACGGCGATTCCTCATCTTTATCCGGCTGGATTTCGCTAATGATTGATAATAAGTATACTCACAGTTGCAGTCGTAGGATTCTATAACTTCTCTCAAATGATCTCAAATATTCAAAGTCAAAAAAGGGATGTTGTTTAAAGCAAATGTATTTTATTATAAGCGCTGTTACTCCTGAATTTTTAAGTGAAAAGGCAGTTAGTAAACACCTAAAGGTCACGGTTGATAAGTAACTGAGCTAGTTTTTCTACACTTCCAAATATGGATTTGCACCTATGAGAAAATCTAAACAATCTGGTAATCTACGAGTAGTATGATGAAAAGTCGCTTCATCTTTGATTACAATAATTACGAGCATCTTCTTAATCTATAGTTTTGTATAAACGGGACCTCTGATCCTGTATAGCCAAGGATAGTATATAACAGAACAGGACAGTACCCATTATATACTTCCCTTGGTATAGCTCGAGATAAATAACTACCAAACAAATTACAAGAATTTTACTGGGTCCAACTACCATCACAACTACCGGTAGGTGCTGTACGAAAGTTTTTCTAGAAATGCGGCACGGAAATTTGCATTGTGTGTTCACTCGTCGTGCCTTTACGGCTTACTGAAAGCCTTTTTTATTGTATATTGGCATTAAATTTGCCAGATTGACGGGAAAATCTGCGTAAACTGTTTTGAACCCAGCAGGAACGCTGCCAGTCCGCAATGGGCAAAGAACAACAACCGGCAGTAATTTGTTATGCCCGTAAATGGCACTAATAGCTGCGTTGTGCGTCTCTAGTTTCCCTGTGACAGCGCTCATTTTCTTGGTGCGAATAATGAAGATAATAAGGCTTGTAAGCAGGATGAGCCGTAGCTTGATTACACGTTAGACACAATGTGCCTGTCGGCCACTTGCGCCTCGGCTTCCTTCCTGTGCCGCTGCTGCAGTTGATCCCTTAATGGTAATCTGCGCCGACAATCAATGCTAACTGTGACATTTCCTGCTGACATGCGCCATTCACTCCAGCAGCGTGTCCCATTGTATCTCCACCTCTCCCGGCTTCGTTTATCTTGTCTAATTGAGCCCAGCCATAATTGTTCCATATGTAGTTAAAAATATCTCGGATTACAGTCAATGAGCATTCTGGCGTGGCATGCATGATTCCTGTAGTGTTTCAATATGCTCTACTTGTAATCCGATCATGACAGTGGGTTTTTTAACAAGAATTACGATGCATAATTTTTTTGTATATACATTCGATTCTTGTGTATTTTTGTCTCCAATATTAACTAATTGGCACATGAGTTTCACTTGTACGGTACTCATCATACAATACATCAAAATGGTGTTTTATCCACCCTTATACATAGAAGTACTTCGACAGATTCGTTATATAGGTTTCCTATAAAATACGAGCCCATATCTGGGCTCCCGGTTAGTTAAGAAAACCCATCCAATTAAATATACTGGAGTTTTAGCAGAGACGTGTTTTTTACTTATACCGTAAAACAAACTGAAAAATTCCAACATTCGCGCTTCGTTTGACAAAGTTACCAGCATAACTTTAGAAAGATTTTGAATCTGCCGTTGATGCAACTTTCTGAGCTTTGATACAAAACTGGATGCTGAAGAAGTACTGTCAAAATAACTATGTACAAATCAAAATTTTCAACTGCAGCCGTAACGGCTGTGAAAGTGTAAGTAATAACGTAACGCGCATAAAGACGGCTTCCCATACTGCCCGGGAGCCCAGGCAAGGGAAGCTAAGGCGAGCCCATATAAGAAATTTGTCGAAGTAACGCTATCAGCTGTGAATGTTACCACCTTTATGAAATCCACTGTATGTATAAAGGTAACATTTTGATTGCAATATGGTACTCGTACGCATTTGCATATCGAGCTTAAGTAGAGGTTTGCAATTTCTTCCTGTTTTTCCGGTCTTATGTGTATTTGAACTGCATAATTTAATTATGCTTTTGCTTTTGGGTTACAGGATTTAAAGTATGCGTGCCGTGCTGAAAGTTTATGAAAGTTTTAAACAAGCAATTAAACCTAGGTTTTGCTAGCATAGATTTTTTAACCGATTTGTTCAGCTTTGTACAACAATGCCGGCACAAGCCAAACCGCATCGTAGCAGCTCTTCATATTATACTCGAGGCAGAGATGTGTCAGGTAGGACTCTCCAGCAGTCTACTTTAAAAATGGTTCATAACTGAGGTTGGAATTCGGCGGCGGTTCATCGCATTCTGTACATTGTTGATCTTCTGCAGCTGTAGTCTTTGGCGGGTGAGAGCGGGATGGGGATTGATGGGTCCGGCTACCGACAGTTTAATCTTTTCCTCCTTAGGTGCAGATGCTGCTACTGTCTGCTTAGTTGCACTGCCGGCCTTCATTGGTACTGTAGACGGACAAATGAAGCGTTACTGGACAACACCCATTAATGCCTATATGGCTACACGTACAGTCTGTATACTCCAATTAATCACATTTAGCCGGCGTAATCCGAACAATCGGCTTGTTGACTTGTAGCGGCCATCAGTGGCATAACGTACGAACACAGACAGTCATCTAACGTCCGTAGTGTCGGTAATAGAATTACGGAAAAGAACAACGGACAAGCGACCTTTTGTAATCGTTCTGCTCTAATTTATGCAATGCATGTCGAACGGTTTTTCGTAAGGAAAAATTAGTTAATTACAATTTTAATTAGACTGTAATTAAAGAGAACGTAGGCCCATCAAGCTAAACAAAATTGCAAGACAATGCGCACTTTTGAATGATACAAAACTTTATAAATGATTACCGGTAAATTAACTTCTACAAATTAAAATTCAAGATTTTTTAATTGGGTATTTGAAAAAAGTTTCTTAACGTGTTCAAATCACATACCGTAACAGCACCAGTTGCCATCAAATCCACTGCAGTCCTTAGAGCTACTGATTTCTAGATCGCCTGAGCATTTTGTATCAAGTTGGTCGGTCGTGGCACAGATGCCCTTTCCCCCACTGGTCTTCCAGTTGTCTGGTAAACAAGAGATTTCCGCGGACTGGGCTTGCTTTACTTCTGGTACCTGGGCTGGCTGGGCGAACTTGTGCATAATATGTCTCATCAACCCTAGATCGAAAAGGTTGCTGAACGTGGACACCTGCCTTTTTGAGCAGTCATTTTCAATAGCTTTAGAAAGGCGACTGGAAATTCGCGACTGGAAATTCGCTTCGAAATTTATGTAATATTTAGCGCAAACATTGCCTTAATTTAAGTATTATATACAAAATGTAGCGGCAATACTGAATCGGAATTAACATTACAATTAACTCCTATAAGGGATGCAATCAATAATCGTTAACTTGCAAAAATTGTAATGCAAATAATGGCTGATGAAATTAAACAAAAAAATTTTCCTGCAGATGTCCAACCGAGTAAATTTAGAGATTGGTAACACATAAGAGAAAGGCACTAAAGAGACTCCAGTAAACTGATCCAACTAGCATAATTAACGTAACTGTACGAAAATATAAAGGCAGTGCAATGAGCGCATGCAAATATCGATACCTGAATACGTCTTCAGGTGACCGCATTGAATAACCTTCGATAAAATTAATTTCTGTATTAAACTATACGGTTCACCGGTTGCCTTACTTAAGGAATGTGAATCGGGAAGAGTGAAAGTATTGGCCGTGGCCGCGGCTATGCAGGAGAACAACAGCACAATTCTAAAAGATTCCATGGTACGATCTAATAAAATGATTTACTTTAAAACGAATGATATTATACGGAATAATAATGCACCGGAAACTTAAAACAAGACTGCTCGTCTGTGTATAATCGACTTCTAATTATTATCAGATGAAAAAGATGGTTTCTTTATATTGACTTAAGCGAAATATGGGATCCGAACGCCAAAATAGTCTAATTACTTCAGTGTTTCATCGATCGATCGAACTGCTAATCACGTCAACTAGCATATATACGGTATGGCCATGATGTAACGTTGCCTCTTGGTTATGAATGATCGGCTAATAATAATTACTCGAATAGTGTGTTAGAGCGACCAATTACACAGTCGTATGCGGAGCTTGCTACTATTCCGGCATAGTCCATGTTGCCGCTCAATATAAAACCGTCTGGTGTTGTTTATGTTACAGTGCATTGTGTTCGATCGTAAGTCAGCTTGATGAATAAGGACAACGGAACACAGAGAATCATGTTCTTTGTAGGCAATACATACGAGTATGGAAAATTAAACACAGCACACAATAGTACAGAGTACCAGCGTACGTTTGGCTGGATACTTTTACGACCTATTTTACTGAATAAGATTGTCTGCTGTGATGTTATGTATCGTGCTCGCATTTTACAACTGTATGGTATTCCACAATGTCGTGAGATGCAGGACAGTTTTACCAAACAGACATAACAAGTGGTTTCGGTATTATGCGACCTGTCACCGAATATCATGACATCACATTAATGTGACAAATGTTACATTACACAAATTTTCTGTTCGGAAGGTGTATCAACTATCAGCTCACTAAAATACAATGAAAATTTTAGTAAAAAAGAAATGAACACAATAGCACTCGTAATACAGTAGTAATCACCAATAACGAACACGAAGAAAACAGCGGTTTCACCGGAAACGAAACAGCACTGAGGTGTTTAATGCATAATATCATGTAAGCGACGCATCTACGGTAAACTTTAATCATGTTTTTGACGTTTTGAACGTCACGTGTATGTGTCTATGATTTTGTCGGCAGCATGCTGTCAAATCAGTTGATCGTACTTGCAAATGTTTGTCGATGCATGTATTTACTGCAACTTGCAATGCCTGTCAAACAATCAAAAGAATTTTTTTATATTATTGCTTCTGACAAACAGCAAAATTACTAAATACTAATTGAATTAGGCACAATTTCTGGGTCTAGCCAAGGATAGGGAAACTTGGTGGTAGACTGCGCATTCCTTTCTCGAATACTTTTGGAAATCACTATTAGTCTCTGACGTAGCTTTTTGGCGGCCTCAACGCTGATTGGGTCATACAAGTATTGCACTTCGAAATCTGTGAACACACAGATAATAACATCACCTCGTGCAGTCTGTACGAGTACACAGCGTCCATGTTCAGTGGACTTTTTACCGGCACAAACAAATAAGAAGTTGGAAAGCAGTACGTAGTACGTACCACCCAAAGAATTTGTTCCTTTGGAGCTCAACAGTCTAGTGACAACCATTGTATCCAGTGTAACGCTTTTAGGGGGTAGCTGTAGCAGTACATCGCGGTCCGTGTATCCTTCCTGTTAGTCCACCGGTATCTTGATTATGCGTCTTAGGCTCAATCAAAAACTGAGAAAATCTGACCTTTTGTGTAGGTATTTCTCCTGATAAAAATGCAGGATAGTTGGGTGGGAATGCATACCTGCAGTTCAAAAAGTAATGATCGAGCCTATCTTTAGCTCAAAGTTTATACTACACACCAAAGCAAAAATTGTCAGATCCGTATAGCACTTTCGCAAATGCCGTAGGTTAGGGTTCGATTCCGAGCAACACTTCATTTTTGGTTAGAGTGAAAACAAAGCAACCTTACTCATCATATTGGTTAAAATTGGCTGCGGCGTGAGCCACACTACAGCTGCTGATAATGGCCGCTAAAGTGGTAATGATCTGCTCTGGTGAGGTGAAATTGCCATTTCCTGGGATACCCTATTTAACAAAACTGGAAAGTCATCTAACGCGTCCTCTATTAGTAGCACCTGTTTGATTTACCACAATGCCCACTCCACCGACATCCTTGTCTTTTGCCAGTTCCGCTACCCACTGCTGCAGTTCCCAGTCATTAGCAATCTTCTCTGTAGTATCTGAAAATAAAAGCGTTGCATGCTCAGAGTCAAAGCTAAGTAACTCGTAACTCCAAGGTTTGTACGACCTGCACTTTTGACACTGTAATTACTGACCGTATACATCTTTGACAATCACGGTAACATAATCCTGGATTGCCTCAAAAATGGCAATGGCATCATCGCGATACGGATAGTACGGCAATACTGTTTTGTCTATTACGCCACGGTGAGCGCAGTCCTTGGCGGGGATGGCATCCCGATCCAGGCGCCATTGTAAAACTCTAATAGTAAAAAATGTGCGGTGCAGTTGCACCATCCAACTATTTGCAGAATATTGGAGTACAATCAGATTAAAAGATCCCAGTCTATACCCGCGAGCAATAAGCTGAAACATGCCGGAACAACCGACAGTTGTGGTTTTGTCCACCCATCCACCGGGATTGATTAATTTCTGCAGTCCGCGACTGTGATGATAATCGATTACGTTAAGATTAACTTATCACATGTTCACATGTACAGATATGAAAATATTATAAGTGCATCAACAAAACTATCGGAAAAGATACGGCTTTTAACAAGGCACCGTACGTGTTAATGGCGAGAAGAAACAGAAAATGGGGAGCAAGTAGCTTGAAGATAGGATGTGATGGTGATAAATTGCGGTGGGAACACACAGCCACGCCCTCCATCATCAAATGCGTGAATCCTGATAAAACAACGTACATGCAGGCAGCAAGATCCAAATGTACCGTACAGATGTATGGTAAAAATAATAAATATGGAGAACTTGGTCTAGAGGCACACACGTAGTTGTGTTCTTCATTAGTACGTCCTAGAGTAGTGTTAACTCTCAGCCCCTTACCAAGATGTGTGCATGACTGGTGGAAGGTAGCGTCGGCATTGTTGTACCACATTTTGGCCAGAAGCCATCTACTCAATAGAAAGCGAAGACGTGAGCACCTTGTTATTGAGCTCATCGAAGATTTGTCTGAATTTCTTACGCATAAGGATTATCCGTAGGATAAAATACTGGATTTGTGGGAGACGGGTGCTGCTTCAATTGGATGGCCAAGGGGAGAAAGTTGCCCTTTCTATCCAAGTGAAACAACGCGATGGGTGCACATAACTGTAAATTAAAATGGAATTTCACAGTGAAGAGCGTAATATTATCCAAAAGTAATTCTAACCGGTCGATTATCTTTGCATGCGAGGTTATCAAGGATTTTCAGATCCACAATAAAGATCCGGCTCTGTGCTACAGCTTCCGACACCGGCGTGCCATCCAGGATGGCCTCCGCTCGTTTCAAGTCCAGTGTCAGACTGTATAAATTGACGTAAGCGCGGTTATCAACAGAAATTCGTGAGATCATAAAGAATTATGAAGATCTGTACTTGTTAGGAATCTGCTTGCACAAGCGAATCAGCACTGGATTGCATCCTTGCAATCTTTGGGTACCAAACCATAGATCATTGTTCCAGTGCTTAGCTCCCAGTGGCATATCCATGCTGTATTTATACAGTCGGCGGAGATCTTCCCATGATTCCCATTGTGCTAGTACACCACTGCTAACGGATATTAGTTTGCGGTCTTTGATAAACTTTATCTTGTTCGAGACGATGTCCCACTACAAAATTAATTTGTGGACATAAAATTCCGGAAACGACATACAGAGTACTCCAGCCAACAGACAATACATGAAAGAAAATAAATATTAAATTATGAGGTACAACAAACAAATTAGCGAATACAAACAGTAATTGCTGAAAATATACAAACAGCTTCTAGCAATGAAATCAGTGCACCTTATAGGAGTCCGAGAAGGTCTCATCTTCTGGAAGACGCTCAACTTGTGCCGGCATACCGGGCGAGTTTATAGCATACCGGTACACAGATTTCTTGTGCTCCAGCTCCAAGCGGCGATTGCGAGGTTCTTCGTCGAACTGCGGGAGACAGGTATCGTAATGCTTCATTACATACCGGGTGTTGGCTTTGATCCATCTGTCACAAAATCAGTGGAGCGTTAACTGCGAAGAGTTATTATTATAGTGTCGTATTAATCGCACAGTACCTTTGTGCGGGAAAATAGTATTTTTTTCCAGTATTCGTGTCCTCTACGTAAATCAGATCCAGGTACCTGTGGAAGCAAAATACTGCAGTAATACCAAATTATTCCAATAAAAACGTACTAACAAAATGCAAAAAAGAAGGCATTTCCTTTAATCGTACAAGTGTTGTATTGCTTACCAGCTGTCACCAAATCCGAAGGCATCGCGCCATAACTCTAGTTTGGCCACTTCACCAAATCCGACGGGTACAAACGATCCCGGCACGGCAAATTCCATCACTTGGCCTCTTTCGTGGTCGTTGTGCCAAAAGCGGGCCAGTTTCAGTTCGTCGGTAAAAACGCCGGCGGTGTCGTATAACTTGCACTTAATTCTGCAATTCAGATACTGGACTGCGAGACATGTATTAATATTGCAACATATATCCCGGGGGTACTCCCGTTCCAGCTTGTAGCTACGTAAATGATATTCTGCACTGCTAAAAATCGCCCAATGATATTAGAAACTGTTCAAACGTGTCCCAAAAAATACTGATGTTGAACACAGCGCCTTGTGGATTTACAGCGGCTTGATATGCGAAGCCGGCCAAATTAACCCGGCACTCACGTTGCATCGGTTCCAGCGCCTTTCCGGTCGCCTGTCTTCACATGAATAACCAAATGGCTATTTGGTAAGCTGCCGATATTTCCCATTTTCTGGTTGTCGGTTAACAAGGATACTCTTCCAGTTCAAGTACTGATTTTCCAGTCAAGTAATGCTGCCTGCCATACAAGCTTGATACAAATGCAAAATTGGGAACGCGCTGTCGTTATTTCACAGTGTGTTAATTCAGCCGGGTCTGTCATAGTGTGCTGAATGGTTTAGTTTTTTATTGCCGGCGCGCACGGCCATTTTCGCTGATTCAAGAGTTGGTTGTATTTACTTTAGCATCTTTGCTCTGCCGTGTTGGTAACAAGCGTCTGTACTCCCTCCCTCCGTTTTACCGCGACAAGTTGGCTTTCAGGCAGCAATAACACGCTATGACAATGGCAATAGTGTACTGTTTAGCTTTGGAGCGTAGCAGTGCGGCTGTAAAAGAGTGCCTAAGCATTGTAAAGTTGTTTACGTATTGACACGGTAGTTACACGTCGTCTAATGGTTATATTACTTTACTGTAACTACCGCTTACTCACAACGTTAAAGGCAACACATACCACGTATAGAACTACCGTATTACCAGCGACGTTGTGCCCTCTTTACTTCCGGGCGGCATAGACGTTTCAAATAAAAACCAACTTTAAAGCGGTTGCGACTGCCTCATATGCGGATGTTGTCAAAGATGCACTAGATTTTCGTCACCTGGTGCAGCAATCTTATTAATATCGTTTGAGTAACGATGTTTAATCATACAGATACGAAATGTAGCTTATTGTTGCGTGCATAGGTATTCGTATCGCTATGCTCGCGTGTTATCTACTGTATACGCGTATTATAATATTAGTAGTTTCCACATTTTTGGTGAGCGAAGTGTTATGACATCAATAGTAGACTTAGTAGTGCGGTCTTATAATTATTCATGTTAGTGCAGTCAATCAGTTGATCTACCCTGGTGGTCCCCACTCCCCAGTAGCAGTAGCTAATTTTATAAAATTAATAATAACAATTTAGATGTGCGAACTGCGACATGATAGCATAAATAGACTGCTGCAGTAACCGCGTTGCGCATCGAGTGTTCTTAGCTGTGAAAATGTCCACCCTGATTTTACTTATTATCGTTATTGCTTAGCTGGATAATGGATAATGATCACCACAATTCAGGCAAGTTTACCTGCACAGAAAGACGCTTCAAACGGGTTTTAGGGGAAACAATGTTGTGTTGTGGGTACTTTGTGAAGTGACGCCGCGACGGCATCTGACCAGCACGTACAACCGCTTGCAGGTTTCAAAGTTGCAGTCAACTCACTGCCAACAACGAAGCAGCTGCAGAAACATAAAGGATTCAGACAGTTCTAAGTCAAGCTAGCTAAACCATTCAGATGTTTGACATCTGACGACGTTTCAAGCTGCATGTATCCAGAAAACCACTGGACTGCCAGTAGCAGCCATTATAATCACACAAATACAGAAATCCATTATCGTACAACCGCAGTTCCGGATCGATGTAGTTGCCTCGCCAGGTCCTGGAGCTCCACATGGATTTTTTGTCCTGGTCATAAATGACTAAATTACCGTCGCTCTGCATGGCGACCCGTGCGATATTCCTTGCAGTTGACGCTTTAAAACTTTGCCGATAGTCACATTCGCGCCACACGACTAACTGTTTCGCTTTGTATACTTCTAAACGAAATCTGCCGTTCGGAGAGTAGCTTTCAGAATCTAAGTCCAAGTCTTCTCCCGCTTTAAGAACAACTGTAAGGGAAACGTAAATAATTTCAACCATAAGTTGGAAAGGTCAAAACGCGCGTAATAACCTTGGTACGGATATATCTCAGCTGGGTGATAATCCGAAGTTTCGTTGCAGTTTGGATTGTGAAAACTAACGGACCGCCAATAACATCCTACGGCTTGATTGCACAAGTAAAAGTATCCCGAATCCGACAAGAGCAGCTGTGAATCTCCGTATCCCCAGGTTTCCGTCGACCATAGTGAATCGCCTTTGGCGTTCTTGACTACGAAATGTCCGTCATCGTACAGAATCGCGGTAACATTGGGCACGGTATAAGTATCCGTTGCGAATGCTACCGCTTCATCGCATTGGCGGTACAGTACCAGATTGCGGTCGGACTGAAAACTCAATCGGAATGATGATGATGGAGAATAAAAGTTGCCGCCGGGGTTCATCTGATATCCGCTCTTTAGGACGGCTGTATGGAGACAATCACATAATAATCAACAGCAATATTGTGACTACAAATACGCAAAAGCAGATACTCGCGTACTACAGATACTACCGAGCACCTCCACAGCATTGCTTGAATAAGAGGATCTGGGAACTGCGCTATCTTTGAATTCGTTGACTCAGCATTTACCCACCTTGTGAACACATTGGATTATCTTGCATATGCTGCAGCCAATTGGTTGCGTCAAATTCGGATTGCTTCATGCAGCCGTAGGCGATTTTGATTTTGATGGCATCCAGTGGGCTGAGATTCTTTCTTTGAGCGATGCACTGTGCGCTGCACTGTTTACCCCGGCATTTCTTCTTGGGTATTATGGTAGGGATGCTGGTGTTTTTCGCAAAAGCAGTTATCGGGTAGTGCATGACTGACGAATAATCGTAAGGTAGCTTGAAGGTGTTGCCGGACTTAAACTCAAAATTGCTCTTGGAATCTGTTAAAGTACTGCGAATGAGACTACATACATGCCTATTAGTGATGCGGCATTGTATCAATTTAGTAAAAGGGGTATTCATTTACAATGCATTTTCTGCTCGGAATGAATACTAGCGGGGATGTTAATGCTTCTAACAAATTTGAAGCTCACTTTCTTGCACGTTCTGAAAGTTGATGGTAACGTAATCATCGCGGTCCGATCGACTCATTTCGTGGAAGAAACCCAAAGCGTGCATGACCTCGTGTTGCACGTCGCCTATTTCGACGACACATGCCGGCGCCAGTTCGATCGGTTGCGGTTGCGGCCCGTAAGCATCTCGCCCAATGAATGACTGACAACTAAACGACAGAAAAATGAGTTACGAAATGGAGATGCTTGGACTGGCGCTGCTAGCTGCATTGCACTCACGGTCAAATATGGAAGGACAGCACTTACGCGAAACGACGAACAAATCTGAGATAAACGCCTTCGTTAGTGCGTGCGTTCAGTGAATTTTACGCAGTTGGACGTTAGTCGCGACATCTCTTGTAAGGCTTTCCAAATAACTCCGATCTCTCGTGGAGCTAATAAAAGACAAAGATCAGTTTTGATGTCTGTTTAGTAGCTTACGGAGTGGTTAATGGTTAGCATGTTATACCAGGCACAAGTAAGTAATAGCAACTGAGAGCGTACTGAATGTATCGCTAATAGCAAACGGAACAACTCCGTCGGGCCACCGCGATGATGCCGTGTCCATAAAATTAGCCGCTGCTTTATCGGACTACGGTAAAGCAACATTTCCTTGGAATATTAGTTAAGTTTAACGTTTTGGGTATTGTGTCAGCAAATTACATCAGACAATCCACCATCCTTATCAATCCCCGCTATGTCTCCTTCAAATAGTTTGTCACTAAAGCCCAATGAATTGGAATCCCTTCCTATGTATTTGTCCAGAATTTCTGGTGAGATGTACGACTTCCAGTCTACGACGAAGCACCAGCATTATTGTATCTGTACAGCAACAGTGCAACGTGACCAGTATTGATCATTCCAACATCGTTCAAATTACTAATTTCTTTTGCTATCATAATTACCAGCTGGCAGTTGTGATGAACCTTCCGGTAGATATAACAAAAAAATTACAATCGTTATGCTCCATATTTGCATCCATCTCCCGTTCATGGCAGTTACGCGCTCCATTTGTTAACACTAACCCGATCTAACTGAGATGTGGAAATCGTACAACAAGGTGTCACTGAAAAGCAGCTTCCCTTAAAGTTTGGAACTACGTCTGCATTTCATTGCCTTATCAGAATGCTTAGCGTCGTTTGTAGTACTATTGAAGCTGCGCGATAATAATTTACACGCTAGCGGCCCGAAGGAAAAACTAGGAACAATGGAAACTGGTTCACTGTGGAAGCTAGTGCATGTGATTCTTGCTAATGTTTGCTTCTGGCGTATTACGTAACCGTTAGCTGCTAGCGGAGGTGCTTGATGGCGTACAGAAGCTGCTACTCGGGCCACGAAGCAGTTACAGATTTATCCCACTGCGTCAAACCTGTACTCTGTATCAAACGGGAATGGTTGACATGAGACGGTTTCACAACCCGTCATTCACGAAATTAGGAAATTCATCGTTTTACAACAAAAAGCAGTGATCTCACAAGTCAGTTGCCACCAGAGAAGGGCACACCGCTGACCATCAAATGACCAGTGACTATGCGGCGACGTACTTCAAGTACCAGTACAAAAAAGTACAAACTGCAGAGGATGCGACCGGTTAGCAGTTATCAAGGAATCCACTAGACTGCCAGTAACATCCAGCATCGGAGCATAAATACAGAAAGCCATCATCATACAACCGCAACTGGGCATTTCGGTACTGGTCGCCTGCTGCCGTTGTGCTCCATACCGGATCACCATCTTCATCGTACATGGCCAGTTTTCCATCGTATCCTAAGGTCAGTCGAAGAATCGGGCCAGCTACCGGCCCGCTCTCATTCGGCTCCGTAAGTGTCGGAACCTGGAAGCCAAGACGGTGATCGCATTTCCTCCGAAGAAAGAACTTGGAAGCGGCGAAGCGCACGTAGAATCGTCTGTCCGGCGAATAGTAAGCCCGATTCTCCTTTACGTTCTGCCCAGCAGAAACAATGACTAAAAAACAGATATTCTTTAGTTTTTGGTTTTTCCAACGGTAGGAAATTGTCACAAAACTATACAGCGAACTGAACAACAAACCTTTGTGTTGATACGATTCAGAAGGAAAGAAATCCGGATTCCCATTGCAGCTTCTAACATGGTACCCAATGGAGCGCCAATAGCAACCCGCTTTGTTACTGCACAGGTACAGATAACCTGAATCTGACAGGTACAATTTGGATGCTGGGTACGCTTTGTCCTTGCCTTTCCCTCCCGACCATGCTGTCCATAAGTTTCTACCAGACTCGGCGTCGCGCACCTTTAGCTGACCTTCTTTGTCTAAGATCACTTGCACGGGGAAGCTTGCTAGTCCAAAAGTATCGGTAGCAAAGATGACCGCATTGTCGCATTTGCGATAAAGAACCACGTTGTTATCGGGCTGAAAAACGAGTATGTACTCGCCGGAAGGAGAGACTACGCTTGTGTTAAACTCCAGTTCCTCGTTCTGTTTTAAGACAGCTGCAGCGAGAAAATTTGCAACTTGATGAGTTTATAAAGCACATGTTAGTTGCTCACGTACTCACGTGTTGCGCAAACCGGGTGCGTTTCCATATATTTCTTCCAGTCCATTGTCGCCACATCCGCCTGGTCCATACACTTGTAAGCTATCTTTATTTTGATGATGTCCAATGCGCTTAAACCATGGCGTTGGCCCATACACTGCGGTTGTCCACCGCTAGCTTTGGGAATAATTGTCGGAAGGTTTGGATTCTTTGCAAAGGCGTTGAAGGGATAATGCATTATCGATGTGTAATCGTAGGGGAGACCGAAAGTGTTACCTTCGGAATTATTGAAGTTTGCGGTGTCTCCTAAAGAAGCCCTATTATGGAATAATCAAAAATGCTTAAGCAGATAGCATTCTGGCCAGTGGCGAACTTGGTCCAGGGACCTCGCACCGAAGATATGTGCTCAAATGTTTGATGACCTCACGCCAAACACTGCGCAGTGTACAGAATCCCTTCTTTTAAAGGCTTCGCATCAAAGGGTGCCATGGCTCCTCGAGCGCACCCTGTAATTCACCACTGGCCGCGTCTTACCGACGGCTACATTGTCGTAGTTGATGGTGATGTAGGCATCGCGGTCACTGCGACTCATCTCGTGATAGAAACCCAGGGCATGCATGACCTCGTGCTGGATGTCTCCGTATTCCCGGACGCATTCCGGCAGATACTGAATAATTTGTTCTTTTCCCTGTTTTCCAATATACGATATACACCTGCGGCATTAGTTAGCAGGGTAAGTAGTTAAAGACAGCGTCGTGTAAGCGTGCAAGTAAGCGGCGAAATCTCCGGATGCAGTGTTACGTATTAATTCGCCCGCAAAGAAGGGCCTTGTACAATACATAGCACATGCCAATGTGTCGTAACTCGTAAATCTCCTTACTTAGCTTGCATCTGTTCGAGTTACGAAATCCAAACTACGCTACTCATGATCCGACCGACACTCCTGATCAGCATGCTAGCTATCCAATGCGAGATCGCTTACTTCATGCCGCGCACGAATTTAATGTAGTCCTCTTGGTCGGTACGCTCCACGAATGTCACGCATTGTGATGTGGAATCCGACATCATCCGCAGAGCTCTGCGAATCCTAACTCGCTCTTTGGAATCTAGAAGCAATCTGGTTCACAGCGTGCAATGGTTTAATAGCGTAATTAACAGGTACGCTGGAGTGCGAATTCTTACTAAAAATGGGACTGACGAAGTAAGGAACGATACCGTCTGGCCAGACGTTTTCGTCTTTGTTGATGAAGTTAGCGAAGGTTTTCTCCTTCAAGACCAGAACGAAGTGGTCAATTTGTAGTTTCCAGACAACTTATGTAATAATTGACCGCAACTCAGCTGCTAATTCACCGATTTACTGCTAAGCAGATTTACGACAGCAGACAAATTCAGCAGACTTCAGCACGGTTCAGCGACTTTTTACCGCAAAATTACCCTCGAATTCGTTGCTTCTGGATCAATCCCATCAATGTCACCTTCGTAGTGCTGACTGCTGTATCCGACCGTTGTATTCTGACCTAAATACTTTTCCAGAATTTCCGGTGAGATGCGTGATTTCCAGTCTGAAAGGATAGCTTTTCTCTTCCATTGCATCAGTACACACGTTTAGTTACACGAGGTACTGACAATTTGCATGCGAACCTTCCGGAAGCTGCTGGATTGTCAGATCCAAATACAACCACAAAAGTGCAGTTGCACGCAAGACCCCAGGATAACCCATGATGATGATGTACGCGTACGTACCAATGCGAGATGCTTCGGTTCCTGTCGAAAGCACATCCAGCAAACCACAAAGGATGCGAACCAATGCATACACTACATGCAGCATGTAGTGATCAGAATTTAACAGGCAGTTCCGCTTGTGGCGGAATAATTTAAAAAGCAGCCGGTTATACTATCTTAGTTGTGCATGCCTCACAGTATCCTACTGTAGCATACGCTAGGAAACTCGTTTTATTATGACAATTTTTTACAGCACTGACAAAACAAGAGACTTGTATATTTGTGTATTACCCAAACACGCACTTCTTTGTTTCACCGGTGTGACTTCGAAACAACGTTCAATGCATGCGATATTGCAGATTACCCTATTCACATCAAACTTGCCCCCGGCTAACTAACACCGAAACACGAATAAATTGCAGATCTTCTGTATTGCGCCAGTACTAACAATTTCTTCATGTCATACTGACGTGATGATACTGTATTATGTATTATTTGACTTGGCATGGTCTTTATTGGATTTTCTGAATTTGTTTTAGAAACCCGCTCGGAAAAAGGTTATAAAAACCACCGTTTACCTTAATTTGTGAATTAGAACTTAAGGTTGAACAGAAGAAGCTTTGTTCCGCTATTTTGAGCAGCTGGTTAAGAATCCACTGGACTGCCAGTAGCATCCCTGCGCATTACACAAGTAAAGGAATCCGTCATCGTATAATCGCAACTCTGGTTCAGCGTATTGTGGACCAAACGTTCCGGTGCTCCAAAAATCTGTGTCGGTATCATCGTACATCACTAAATTTCCGTCACGCTGCAACGTCAGCCGCGCAGCTTTTAAGGTGTTGGCACCGACCGCTGCGCTGAACCCAATGCCGTCATCGCAAGTTCGCTTAACAAAGAACTGGTTTGGTAACTGAAATCGGGCAAAAAACTGCCGATTTGGCGAGTACACTTTGTTGAAAGATAAATTCACATCGGCGGACGAAACAACTGTAAAAATTATGATAATCTCAGACAAGTTGGAGGCGTATCAAAGGGCAAGTTAATACTTGTACAAAGCGTACAAAGTGTTAGTCGCACTACAGTAGCAATATCTTGTAAAATGAATTTTACATTTGCTTTATCATTCTTTAAAAATCACAGGCGCTCATAGATACGAGTAACTTTAAATTTATTAACAGCCAGACAGTTCACTGCCGATAGAAATTATGATACGGTGATTTGGTTACCTGCATAAATATTAGCTGGAATATAATCCGGCGCACCGTTGCAGTCGCCACTATGAAAACTGATCGATCTCCAATAGCATCCTGTTGCATTATTGCACAAAGTGAAGTAGCCAGAGTCCGATAAATACAGCTTCGCATTGGGATACGTGGCAGTCTTCGACGTCCATGCCGACCACAACTCTTCATTTGAAAGCCCATCGATGACTTTCAGATTTCCGTTGTCATCTAAATATGCTTGACCGCGACTGCCAGGAGCCGAAAAATAAGTGTCGGTCGCGGCAGCAAAAATGTCTATGCCATCACATTGCCGATACAGAACAAGATTGTTATCGCTCTGAAACACCAGTCTGAAGCTTTTTTGGGGAGAATAGAAGTTTTTGTCCACCGGCAACTGCTGCTTATTCAACTCCACTACAAAAAACTACCGTGAATCAACATAATTTCAGGAATTACTACACACTTTAAAGAATTCTTACAAGGCGTGGAGCACACGGGGTTCGTAGCGAAGAACTGCTCCCAGTTCATGTTGCTCAGTTTAGATTTGTTCATGCATCCATAGGCAATCCGGATTTTAATGGCATCCAGTGGGCTCAGGATTTTGCGCTGACCGATGCACACCTTTGAGCCCTTTTTCGGAATGATCGTCGGGAGTGATTTATTGATAGCAAAGGCGTTAATTTCGTAATGCATGATGGAGGCGTAATCGTAAGGGAGATCAAAGGTCTGTCCATGCGTTGTGACGAAATTACTCATTTGATCTAGCCATTAGAAAGTTAAAAAATTAGAAACAGGCAATCGCATAATGAGGATCTTTGCATAGTTGGCGAACTTATAAAGCGTTATGAAACAAAATTACACCTCTGGAGCTATAAACTTATAGTGGGTGCTCCAATTAATAGACATTTTTCGCAACTGCTCCACTTAATGCTCCACTTTATGCTGATAGCCGAGAACATCTACCTGGTCGGATGTTTTTCACATTAATCGTTACGTATTGATCCCGATCGTCGCGGCTCATCTCGTGGTAGAATCCCAGAGAATGCATAATTTCATGTTGTATATCGCCCATTGAACGGACACAGCTTCCGAAAGACAAGCCAACTTGCTGACTGCCGCCCCGGTAACCGACGAACGATTCACACCTAAAAATGAACTGTCGTCAGTCCGTGTTTTTGTTACCTGAATTTTCAGCTTTTGTTACGGTTTTTATTCTACACTTGCATAAAATGGGGGTTGAAATGCATGTAACTCTCTTCGTCACTGCGTCGCACGAATGTAATACAGTTCTGCGTGGCATTGGACATATACTGCAGAGCATTTCGGATGAGGGTAGCTTGCTTGTCGCCTGCGTTGCAGTGCATAACGTCAACTGGTTTCATGTTGAAAAACTACAGATACGTGTGTTGTGAGTCGTGCTTACTGAAATCTCGCGATATATAATAGGGGATCTTCCGAGGCCACACGGGAGCATCGAAGCCAATAAAGTTGGCTTCCGTATTTGTTGGCTGCAATACAACTGCATACAAATTCGCTTTTCGGTAAAATTCTTTATTCTGAATCATAATTATGTATACGTACGGCTATCGAACGATACTCGATGGCTACAAAACAATTTTTGTGCAGCTGCTTTAATATTTAAATGCAGTACGCCGGGTTACCGTACTACTTAATACTAGTGTAATAGTGCGATATGACTGTGTGATATGTGCGGAACAATTGTCTGTGATTCTTACATCAAGGACCACGGTTCGGTCGAACCCATCGATATCGCCCTCTATGCAGGTTTCGCAGGTTTCGTTAATATTTTGATCCTTTGGTCCTACGGAGGCTATTTCATCCAAGATTTCCGGCGCGATAAGGGATCTCCAGTCTAGAATGTACTGATCTAAACCTAAACTCCTCGACTTCGTGTGATGCATTCGCCTTAATCGAAATTTGCACCATATTAATACTTGACATGTGATACCTTCTGGTAATTGCGATCTGACACACAGCAGTCTGGTACTAGTTATCACAACAAAACCAGCAAATGTCCAAACCGGCGTATGCATATCGTTGGTTCAAAGATTTTTCATACGATATTGTGGCAGAAATCAGTCCAGATGACGAACCCAGTAGCATAAAGCGAATTTGCTGGCAACACGCTTACAATTAGGCTAATCTCGTCAAAATTTTTACGTTATTTATGAAGCATGGCAGTTGCCGTAAGGTATCACAAATGGCAATAACAAGGCCGCAATCATGGATACATACCTACATGTATATATCTGTATTGATTGACAGGGCTTTGGGGAATTTAAGATCCAAGCTCAAGAAATGGTCTTTGTCGATTTAACATTAAGTTTTTGCAAGACAAATATAAATGTGGCAGTTGCATAGAATTAATTTTGTTCTTTGCGTGTTCTGCGTTTGACATAGCTATAGAAGTACCGAAGAAATAACACGGAGCTGCAGGAAATATACACTGTTTGTTTTGCCTATATAGAAGTATACAAGCTTTATTTTGCTTTTTGGTTCGCAAGTCAAGTTGCTTCTATATATATACTGTTATTTTTGACAGTCGGTAAGGAACCCACTGGACTGCCAGTAGCACGCGTTTGTACTGCATAAATACAAAAATCCGTCATCGTACAACCGGAGCTCGGGCTCATTAAACTGCGCTCCGTATGTTCCGGTACTCCACAAATCCAGGTCGTTCCTGTCGTACATTACCAAATTCCCGTCACGCTGTAAGGACAAGCGTGCTGCTTGGTTGAACTGGCTGGCTCGTGTTTCCATTCGTGCTCTAAATCCAACACCACGATCACAAGTGCGCTGGACGTAGAATGCATTGGGCAGGCGGAACCGGGCGTAAAATTGCCGACTGGGTGAGAAGATCTTCTTGGAGGTTACATCATCCCCAGCCCGCGCGACAACTGTAAGGTATACCCACGTTTATTACGAACGGCTGCTTCAACACTTGCTTATAAATCATTGTTTTTTGACGACAAAAGTTAATTGTAAAATAGGTGACAGTTAATAATTTTTACATATAACGCGTTAGCCAGTAAGATGTACGGTACGTTAATGTTGAACAGTACAGTTTGAAAGAGTTCTAGTTCTGCATCTGTTTGTTTGGACTACTAACTTACCTCGGTAATTACTTGATGGAAGATAATCCGACCTACCGTTGCATTCTGTGTTATGATAGCTGGCTGATCGCCAGTAGCAGCCAACATCTCTACTGCACAAATAAAAGTACCCGGAATCGGACAAGTACAGCTTGGCATCATGATATTTGACGGTCTGTGAACTCCATGCTGACCACAGTATTTCCCCGGAATAGCTATCAACTGTTCTCAAGTTCCCGTCACTGTCTATAAGAACATCAACACCGGCCGCATAAGAAGTGTCCGTCGCAAAGATATCTTTTCCGTCACACTCTCGATACAGGACAATGTTGTTATCGGACTGCAAGACCAATCGGAAAGATTTTTGTGGCGAATAGAAGCTTTTCCCGGTCGGTATCTGTTGCCCCTCAAAGTTCACTGCAAAAGGTCACGGCAGTTGGTTATTGCGCCGATTCGTTTGTTACAACTAGAAACCTCTCACGGGGCACTGCGCACACTGGATTTGCCGCCAAAAACTGCTCCCAGTTTGTATTGCGGACATGCGACACATTCAGACATTTGTAGGCAATGCGGATCTTAATGGCATCCAACGGACTCATGACCTTCCGTTGTCCCATACACACTTGAGCGCCCTTCTTAGGAATAATGGTTGGAATGGATTTGTTGAGCGCAAAAGCATTGATCTCATAATGCATGATAGAGGAATAGTCGTAGGGCAAGGAGAATGTCTGACCATGCCGCGTCAGGAAATTGAATTTTTGGTCTAAGAAAGTCACAATTAAGGGTTATCTTTCTCTGCTGATCTGTATAACTTCAGACAACTTTACAACAACACCAGCTTAAAGCACCTGGAACGACATTATCCATGTTGATGGTGACATAATTTTCGCGATCTTCGCGGCTCATCTCGTGGAAGAATCCCAGCGCGTGCATGACCTCGTGCTGTACATCGCCGATATGCCGCACACAGTTTGAAAAACTCAACCGTATCTCCTGTTTGTCATCACCTTGACGTCCGATGAAAGAGCCGCAGCTGCCATCGAAATGTATGGTTGTAACTAAAGTTACTCATAATCATTAAGATAGATGAATGAATATTACTTAATTACCCGTAGGCGCTGACAAATTTCACGTAGCTCGTCTCCTGCTTCCGTGGGATAAATGTTATGCAGTTGAGCGTTGCGTTGGACATAGCTTCTAAGGCTCTTTCTATCATCCGTCTATTCTTTTGTTCTACGTCACACACACAGAGCGAACCGTTTGAATCATTTGTTCCAATAATACGTAGGGTAATTCACTTTGGAGTGTTTCAGGTTGCTTTCTAATTTCTTACCAAACTCTTTACTAATGGAAAAGGGAACTATTCCGTGAGGCCAGAGAGCGGTTTCATTGCCGATGAAACTTGCTCCCTTGTCTTCTGTCGGTAGCTAGAACACTCAACACGTAATAACATTTGCTTCAGTTCTTTAATTTGAGTTCACTATATCCAACAGTTTCACTAATGCTTCAAAAGGAGCGGATTCCAAAGTTGGCAGTAAAAAAGTAGTTCCCTTTAAATTTCGATTTCATAGTTACGGATTTTTCGTCCGCCTCGATTGTTGGAAGTTGGATTCAAGATCGAAAAACAAGCTTTCACATAGAAAATTCAATCAGGTAATATGAACAGAACAATCAGCGTACGAGGCGTGTGTCCCTTACTTAGATAGAGCACATTTACCTTACCATACTTAGATAACTGTGCCCGTGTTGTGCACTCAATGTGCACATCTGTCAACCACCCATAGATGGCAACGCTAGGGCAAATTTGAAAAATGTGTTGATTCAGCCGTTGATAATTTCAGGTGCTCACATCTCGTGAATGAGGGAACAAAACTGTTCAAGCAATATCTCAAAGATGCAGAAAAATTCACAGATTTTTGATACCAAGTAATATGGGATTTAGAGCAACTGAAACAAGTTGTAGCCTTTTGAGTTTCTCGTAGACACACTATAGGACCTCTTCGTGGACCCCTTCAACGTAATACTCACTATGCTAAGTCTATGGGAAACAGAAATGGCTCTAATTTATTTCATCCGCTCTAAATCCTGACTTACTTGGTATCAGAAAACTTATGAATTTTTCCACATCTTTTGAGATATTGCATGAACAGTTTTGTTCCCACATTCACGAGATGTGAGCAATTGAAGTTATCAACGGCTGATTCAACAGATTTTTCAAATTCTCCCTGACGTTGCCATCTCTGGGTGGTTGACAGCGCTGCACAACACGGGCACAGTTATCTTAGTATGGTAAGGTAAATGTGCTCTATCTAAGCAAGGGACACACGCCTCGTACAGTAATCAGCGTACAATCAACAGCACAAAGGAGCTTACAATAAATGTACGGAAAACTAGCCGCACAGGACACGAACGACTTGGGTAGACGTACAGACTGTACGTACAATGTTACGATAATTAGTACGCTTAATTAGCGTATTGTGCGCCAAAGTGCAAAGTATACGTATTGTATATAAATTATGATGCGTTAGCATGCCGTTTGTTGCAGACTCACGTCTTCCAAAACTGCCCGATCAAAGCCGTCCATATCGCCTTCTATGCAACCCGCATAGTTCTCGCTGGTGTTGTGAATGCTGGGAGCTGCCGCCGTCAACACGTCCATAATCTCAGGCGCAATCAAGGACTTCCATCCTGGAATTCTCACACCAGCATTGCATTGGCTTTGCACTTTCCAAAAGCTAACATACCTTCTGGAAGCTGAGCTTTGATGCCGAGGAAGAGGGCGTTGGCCAGAATGATCTGTATTATTGGGCGCATATCTCCGAAATAAGCACGTATCACGTTGGAGAAAGGCTCCCAACATAAGGTGCACTAGTGTGTTTTTGGTAAAATGTCGCAACAAACGGCAGCTAAAAACCATGTACGTAATAACTCATGTCCAACAGGGTTCCTTGCTTCTTTTCCGAAAGAATAGTTGCAGCACGATCATGCGACTGCAAGGAAACGCACCCCGGACCTGTTTTCATACGCGAAACTCCCGCTATGCGCCGTGAACAAAGCAAATTCTAATTTTTGCATAAATTATTAATCACGGCAAACTATTTAGTACTATTTGGCATTGGATATAAAAGCTTAAACATGTCTCCATACAACTAACCATAAGTCTTGTATGTCACTGTTCGTGGTCAGAACTAATTAAAATCATACCTTAATCATAACATAATGCGACAGCATCCTGCAGCGCAGCAATAAACAGCCGCTAATACTTAGGTACGCTGATTATACAGAAATTTACCGACTGATAGTTTTTGATCGGAGATAAAACTGTAACGCCATTTACCTATGCCAAATTTTTAAGACTAATCCATTTTTTATGGTTGACTGTGTGCTTAATCGATTACGTAAATCAGTTCTGCAATTCGGCTGATTTTTGTTAGCAAGCAAATGTGTATCTAAAAAACTAAAGCGTAGTAGGCACGTAATAGCACGACCAAGTGCCAAATTGATCCAAATCGAAAAGGCTTTACTTTATCTCCTGTTTACTGCAATTAAAAAAGCTGTAGGCATTGATTTGAAAATGTTGCCAAAATAAAATTAAAGATAACGTTTTAACTTGAGTTAATGTTTCTGAATCACACAATTCTTTTTTGAAAACTGCTGTGGCAGTTCAGTGGGGATTGTAGAAACCGCTAGCTGTATGCCTATTGCCTATCCTAGCTAAGCGTGCATATTCTTCCCCAATATTATTGCAGATTGCAGATAAAGTAAACCGACGTTTGCATAAAAAATTATTGGTTTATCGCAATAAACTGACTTTTGGGAAACGTATGACAGATGTAAAATTCTATTCATTATTCAATCTTTTGTAGCTTTCGTTGTCCTTACTGCTCCAAATCCGGTTCCGGCTGCACACTACTTTAGGCTCACCAGCGCCTTCAGTTGATTCGACTTCGACCCGCGACAGACAGCCAATGAGGAACTGACCCAGTTATCAATCCCAAAGAAATCAGAATGGCCAGTTCCGCGTTGAGACCGACCGATACAGACAATGCTCTCCTACACACAACTCCCGCAGTACGTTTTCTACTGCATTCAGCCTCTGATTAGTGACCTCTTCGGCTTAACGCGTTGACCATCCAACGATCCTACATATTGTATAAAAGTCCATGTAAACCAGCCACAGAATCCATTCCGCTGTTCAGTTTTCTTAACATTTGTGCCGAGTTGACGGATTACCGTTTCGCTGTTACCATCAGCCGAAGTCGATTCCTTTCCTACCACCACCATGTTGCGCCGTGTGTTTAGCCTTCTTGTTATTTTTGTACTGACCTTTCTCGGTACGCAATATAACGAATGGTTACTGTTATTACGGATGCTTTTCTAACAGCTGAGTTTACGTCGTAAAACGCTGGTCCATTTGAAATTTATTTAATTAAAATTATGCGACATTAAATAGTTTTGTTTCGCAGCCCACAATGAAGCCGACGCCAGTCCATCACATTTACGACACCGCCGGCAAGTTGGATTTGGAGGCGGTATTGGGTTGGGTCAACGAGCAGCGGGCTTAGGCAGCCAGTTGCAAGGAATATGTAAGTAATTAAAGAATTTTTTAATAATGTTTTGTTCTATGTTACCTTGAATTATTACTAACTTGCTAACTAACTAATTGGATTTACTAAAAACTGGGTAATTTTTGAAAATAATTAATTCTTAAACAGGCCTGTATTAATTTTTTACCTGATCCATTGGATAGCAAATTTAAATTGAGCCGCTGAATGAGATAGTTTTCCATTAGCAAATATGCATTTGGTAAATTTATCATGTTTGTTAATTAGCGTCCGGCTACGGCTATGGTTATAACAACGCTGTCGGCTTGGGTGGAATAGGCCAGAACAATATGTACGGACTCGCCTTGCCGTTTGGAGTTGGTCTAGGACGATAACGTGGATCATTAGCTTAATATGTGCCTTGATGTGTTTTGTATTCGGTTCCGGTCACCTTGATTATTTTTAAAACGGCTGGTCCGTGTCGTGAATTTGTGGTTGTTGATCAAACTTCGGCTGGTATATTACGAAAAAAGAGCCTTGTCGCTTGTATTGTTTAATAAAAACGAATATCTCATATTATATTATGCCGTATGATACAATTAGCAAGTCATAAATACGAAATTTGCGAGAAAAGCATCTTAATGAGTTACCGAACAACTTGCTTCTTATGTATGATCGAATTACAGTCATGCTTTTGAACGCTACACATGACACTATAATACTAATTTATGAGTCATGATCAGAAGACACCGCGCGCAATATTTAAACGAAGACGACACCTTAAGAATATTTTATCATTAATTTATTGCTTTCACATCCGGTCACATGAAGTACACGCTGAAGGCCGACAAACTGTTGTGTAAATCACTATGAACAATTTGCGAAAACTTGTTGTGCCGGTTTGTGGTACTACATAGACAGATATGTAGATGCAGAAATTAATCGTAAGAACAAGGTGTATGAAACTCGTGTTAAGAGTTTTTTCCAATGATTTCTTGACGCACAAATACTGTAAATCTTCGACTAGGCTACGAATTATTAAGTCAAGCTATATATGGTTGATTGAGTACGTACTACTACGAACCAACTTTCCCCCGAACATAATCATTTAATAATAATAATTTCAATAAATCAGTCCATACTGCGTAGTACGACAGTTTAATTTTCCATTGCAACAAGTCTCGCGTTAGAAAAATATGCTACCGCCTCCCCAGTAGGCAACGTACTCACCGCTACGATTATTTCTTAGCCAGACAGCCACTTTAATTTACACAGAACATTTTAATCTTTGGCAAATTAACAACGCTCCCGTCCCCATTACCAGTCATCCGACCAATCCCCATTCAGTCCCTCCTCCATCTCCGGCGAGAAGGTCCATGCTGGCGGATTACCGGCTCCTGAGGAAACCCGGTGTTCCGTCACTCTGTGGGAGCTGCCGCGCTGGGCGTTGCCCCGCACTCCAAAGTTTTGTCCCGTGCCCGAGACGGAGCCACTAGCACCACCCCCACTGGACTGCCGGGCGGAGGGGTTGGCACTGCCACTGGAGCCGCTGTTGGAACGGCCACGAGGTCGCGGCGTGGTGTCCGCGTCGGAGTCGTCACGTGACGCCCAGACGGCACGCTTGGCACGCGGCGCGGCTTCGTTGTCGTTCATACTGTCGTCCGGGGAAGCGACGAAATTAGTGGGAAGGGCTTGAGCCACTTGACTATTGGCAATGGAGGCCAGCTGCGATGACCTGTAGGAAATGACAGCTCTGGTTAAAAATCAGTACGTATAACTGTAGTCAGTCATAAATAATGGAATAGTCGCCATACAGTAGAATAAATATCTGCGGCATATTTCCGATTTTATGTAAATTTATGTACTATCGGCACCCCTTAGCTTCTTTATGTTCAGACCGCGAATTCACACTCACCAACCACAGGACACCGCGGGAGGAGTATCACATTTGAGTGTCATCTGATTGAACAACGTTGTGGTGGGACACTCAAAATTCGTTCGCTTGTTATCCAAGTCACACCTTTAATAAATTACATTAATTTATGCACTCGTACTCTGTAGGCTACTAAACTTCAGTACGAGTACAGCTGTTAAATTGACGCAAGAGGTATTGATGTTCTGTAGTGGCTTATTTACGGGCATGCTATTGTACCGTACATAAATTGACACTAACATATTAAAGTTTGTACAGTTAGCCATTTAGAAAAGAAACTACATTGTTGATGAGATCAAAGGATACCTTACCTGTAATAATTGCGGCAACCGGACGCTATGTTGGCATACAACCCAGGCTGCGTGCCCGGCAAGCAGTCCGCATTTTGATTAATGTTGTTCCCCAAATTCCTCATAAACTCATTCAACGCTTCCACCACCTCGTTATTTCCCGGACCTTGTTGAACTCCAACGATTTCCGGTTCGGCCACCGTCCACGATATCAGACCAACAAAACACACAATACTCCACATTTTGATGGGTCCCATAAATTCAACTTTAAAATTTCAGCAAGCGCAATGTAAAAAATGCTAACTGCAATAAGAATTCATCAGCCGATTTCTGGGTTTTTTAAGCAGGTTGCAGTAGTGCAAATATTGCCCAGTCATCAGCTGATCAACGACTTGTCTTACAGCAATCCAACAGCAGCTGGAAATGCCGTTAAATTTCTCCGTGAGTATGTGAACCCAAACCGGGCCTGCTTTACGGCGCGAACACTGCTTGCCGTAACCGGAAACGACGAAAAACAACTGTTTATAAACGTTTCACCGTGCTAATTATGCCATAGGCCATTAGGCGCATTTGGTCGCAATGAGCCACGTTGTTGTCGTGTGCTTTCCGGTTCGCGAAAGTGTGATAATGTGCATAACCGGTATAAATAGCATTGTAACGCAATAGTGAAAATGGCGCACTTCGAAATATTATTAATTTTATTATCCGAAATTCTGTGAAAAGGTTGCTTTCATTCCTTTAACTGTGAATGTTTCGACGACAATCGTGGTGTAATAACATCGTAGATTAGCTATGTTACGCGAGATGTGAAAAATATGACGCAGAATTTTATCCGACTGCTGCAATCGCCAGTAATTTATCGCATTGCATTACAGCGCATAAGCTTACTTGATAAAATTTTGCACCAAACTTATCGCACTTGACCTTTATTAATGCATATTGTACGGCGTAGGTAACTGTTTTCCTTGATTGCATTGATTAACGATTAATTATATTAAAATTACTCTGGTGCTTTAAAATTATTGAGCATTTCTTATTGCAAAGGCCGCGAAAAATAATCAAAATGGTAGTCCAAATATTTGCTGTATACAATTAAAAGTATAAGAACAGCCAACAAAAATAACACTGACCGACCGTCGCAGTTTCGACTGCTACAAACAGCTCAGACTGCCTCAACGTTAACAACTCAGACTGTCAACTGCATAGTGTTACTAATAGTTGCAAATATTCATATTTGCAGTTTCCATCTAAATAACAACAGAAGGCGCCAGAACGTAGATAAAATCGGAGCCATTCATCCGGATGTGACCGGGTGGATTGGACGCCACATAGCGTTTCCCGCGGTGGGACTTTTTCACCTTCTTGGTTTCGGTGTCTCGCTCTAACAGGTACAATCCTATGCAGATCATGTCGTAATGGACCAGAGCATAGGACCAGAGATCCGCGTATGTGAGACCCTTAAGAAAACAGCAGTTATGCAATCTTTGTTACACATCAGGGTAAATACTGTTTATGAGTCGAAAGCGATTAAAACTTCTATGTTAAAATTGTGGAATGCAAATGCTACGGACGCAGAAATGGTATATGACCAAGTACAGAGTACATAGATTCGAATTCCAAGTACATTAAAATGATATAACATGGAGTTCCCAGACTAATTACCTGAAAAAACAACATATTTGTATGACTTACCTCGAGCTTAACAAACTGTTCGGACTGCATGCTCATCAGTTTAAGCTGCACTTTTAACCGTCGGGAACTGCGCGGCGGTGCCACTAGCATGGGTGCTTCGTTGAGGTCATCATCCTCAAGAACGGAGCTTCCCACGAGACCCACGCCCTCGGCAAAGGCCCGTTCAAATTCGCTTGACTCTCCGCCGTAGATAAGTTGTGTAAATGACATTGCTAGAGCCGGATTGTAAAACATCTACGAACAAAACTGTTGGTTAGTTGATCGTAAAACAATAGCCCCAAAACAAAAGACAAAACGACTGCCTGTACACACCGACGTCATCATCGAATCCAGCGCTGTCGACACCACCACCGAACCGGACATGTGGGCAAAAGTGTAGCGAAAGTCCAGATAGTTGCGGTCTTGTGACAGAAATCGTACACTTTTTTCATGCTCTGCAATACATTCCAAAATCCTTGCGTACATAAGTAATGAAAATGAGCATATTTGTACAACTGCTACAACGGATTTTATCGCTGCTGTAAGGCGAGCTACCGTACCTAACGAAGAAATTATGGGAACCTGCAGACCGGTTTCATAAGGAAACACCTGACCGTTTCGGTCTATTTCACCACCGGTGTGTACGCGGTCACGGAATTCCATGGATTTTACGTTGAGCGTGGTGACAATAACATCCCGATCGGCCAAGACGCGGTCTTCCAGGGCGTCACTAGTAACACGCTGTCCCGCGCCCGACACCATGACACACATGGCGCAGTAGTCGATGTAGCAGGCACGCAGGGCGGCAGTTACAGCGGGATTGCCCTAATTGCAAAATCAATTGTCTTATTGACGTACTGGCATCAATCGACTGACACCTACATTAACAAGGCACAGTTTGGGCGTGGTGCAAATAAAATTCCATTCAGGACGGATAATTTCCGGATCGCAGAGGATAACGATTTCTTTTAGTTCCTCGTAGGGAAGTACGCTGGAGCGCAGTGGTAATATGATATCGTGAATGCCGGCCACGTTGGATGGACCCGACGCCAGGATGCAGATGAGAATGTGATCGGAAAATTCCCGGCAAGCCGCTTGTTCCAGATTCTGTAAGGATTTCACCCAACAGCTAAGTTATGCGCACCACCTGTACGCGTTCTACACTCAACTGTCGCAACTTACTATGAGGACGTCGCTGATGAGCTGCGGATGGCACCACCAGAACATGCCGGTAGAGTCGAACTGCGGCCGATTCAAGCGCTGAATGGCATGCTCCGCGGTGCCTGGCAGCTCCATCTTGGACACATCTAACGACATACTGCGCTTGACGTGCTGCAGCACTTGTTCACTCAGTGACTTGAGAGGCACGTTTGGAAGGCTGGGCTGTTGGGTCTGTTCCAGGCTCTTGTAGCTATCGCGCCGGTCGGCGAAGAAGCGTTTGTTCTGCGACAACGAGATGGCGCTGCGCGTCAGTTCCGGTGTGCCCAGCACGGATCGCTGCACCATGGGTTGTTCGGAGTAGGAAGAGTTACGGTGGTCAGGGTCCGAGGGGCCTTTAATGGATAGCCGCGGTACTACTTCCACTGCTTGAGAAATGCTCACCGGCTCTGTGTTACAAGAAACAGAAAAATAATACCCCGATATGCCGAGCAGCAGAACTAAGCTAGGTATTTGAGCTGGCTAAACTGAACCCAGTTGTATTATGGCAAAAACAAAAGAGAGTGCAGATTGGTATCATCAGCAGTCTTAAGCGCTTTTATTACAGTGTCATATGCGGAGCAAGTAGTGACCTTTCCAGCGTTTCGGAAGATGCAAGTCGAAATGTACTTATTTTTTACTATGCGTCAACGATCAAAGCCGGAAGCGTTAGTCAAACATTACAAGATGACGTAACACTGACGCCCAACTGGCATTTGCTATGACCGACTTACGTTTACGTTTCCAGCGTTTGCAGTGACATTTGCGTATCCGCTCCGGATTGACATCCGCATGACACTTGTCACAATAAATCGAAACGCTACAAAATCAAAATATGTATCAACAATCTTACGGCCGCAGCACGGGAAGACCTGTCAATTAGATTTGTTGAAAACGCCTCTCGTGTATAATCACCGTGCAGCCTCCCGTGACGTGCGGCAGATCACTTGGCCCCAGCAGCGTTCGTTAATTATGAATGACGGACCGGGATTGAAGAGGAAGCTTGTCTGCTCACCGGATTCCTCGAATGTCTCGTACACGCCGACAAGGAGGACTTTTAGCTTCCGATAACATGTTCTAGATTCGAAAAACCTTAAGCTTTTGAAAACGTCCACCGTGTTAGTGCAAAAAGATACTGCACATACGCTGCGCCTTCTTTGAAGCTCATTCCCCAAAACGAAGAACTGAACGGTATGCTAAAGGGCTTCATTTTCCGCCCATAGGCATACAAATCCGGGACACATTCAGATAAAGTTTCTTGCGGTGTGCGTGCCGCAATCAGATCGGCTAAGATGGTCGCAGAACCCGGCACGCGGCAGTTGATCCCGATGAGGCCGTTCTTTAAGTTCTTGAAGCAGAAGATGACGTCGCCTTTTTTGAGGTTAATAGCAGGGTAGCGGCGCAGAAAGTTCTAGAAAATGCCTTCGGTTTAAATAATTGGAATGACGGTGAAAGGTCACCTTACCAATGTGGCGGTTTTAATCACGGACACCTGGACTTTAATGAACGGGCAGAAGTTTTTAATAGAGAGCACCCTGAGGACCGTGGCGGCATCGTCATCTTCTGGATTGGAGGAGCGGAGATTGGCAAAGACTAGACAAGCGCAAGCGTTAATGGCACGAGCGCGCTCCAGGTCCGCATCGTTCAGTGGCGAGCCTTTAATGTATTCCACGCTCTCTTGGTAAGAATTCAGAAGCACCACAAACGCTTCGTTTGGCTCCTCTCTATCAGCATTATGAAAAATTACGAAGGAAATTGGCAGGCTATCGAACGATAACTAACGTAACAGCATCCCCCTAGCAGAAATGACAACCCTTATTGAACTAAGGCGTTGGTAATAGATAAAACGTACGGATGCAGAAAAACAACTTGAATTTTGGCTGTTCCTTTGGTCTTTGCATCGTCGTAGAAGTCATTGAGGAAATGCATGGCCATCTGGTAGTTAACGTGTCCGCAAACGATTACGTGACTGCAGAAGTGGAGAATGTTTTCTACTTGGAGCGTGTGTAGTCAAGTATGCTACGACTATAAAGTGGTAAAAAATAATTCCTTACTTGTAGTTTAAATTTCGATCAGCTACGGGATAGCGCTGCGGAGCGGGAATCAAATGAGCCACCGACGACATCAGAGTGGCCAAGTAAACCTAGTGGCATGGTTAGCGGGTGACGATGGGCATCAATAACAACAGCGACTGATTTATCCATCCGACAACTTACCACGCAAACAAAAATGTAGAACGTGCTGAAAATCCGCCCCAGTACTGTCTTCGTCACTAGGTCACCATATCCGACTGTGGAGATGGTCACCACGGAGAAGTAGCAGTAGTCCCAGATTGTCTGGTTGACGCCTTCGCTTTCCGGCATCCAAGGATCGCCGCCACATTCCAGCTACAACATTCACAAAACCATCGGTATATCTGTCAGATGTACTTTTTTTAATTTCGACAGTAGCCAGTTTCCGTAACAATAAAGCTGCGGTGGCGCAAACTGAAAACTAAAAATAGGATTCGAAATTAAACACTGTAACCTTTGAAAAAATATTTAAACATTTCGCTCAATTATTATTTCATTTTGCATTGGGTAGCTGAAAATCACTGACACCTGAAGTTATTTTTTCTTTCAAAATGGTGCAGTATATTTCGATCTTTTATAAATGTATTACATAATTAGCGTTTGTATGCACATGCACTTGATTGAGGTACATCTTCGCCTGCATTAAAAAGTAGTTGCCATAAGCATTTACGCTGTGCTTTTTTACCATGGGAGTAAACCATAAAATCTCTGTCGCTCTCGATCCACACATTTTACCAAGCACCGGAAATATTATGTAAGGTTATGCTTTTCTATAAAGAGCCAGTGCATAGTAATAAAAGTTGCCATTCCCACCATTAAAACGGCATTAACGGCGTTCTTTACCATCAGAAATGAGCCACCACCGGAAATGATGAAGACAAAAATAACCGCGCCCAATCGGGCCAGTTGAACTTGCGCGATATTCTTAAGTATCCTCTTTCGATGCGCCAGGTCAATCGCCCAGCCTAGGTTAACCACACGCAAAAAACGCAGCCCTGCAACACATATGCTTTTGCAATAATTTCCGTCAAGTACCCACATATTGCGCGTATATGTCTAAGTATCACTGCATTGTACAGCGTTTTTCATGTGCATGTACCGGGTCTAAAAATAAATTCACTTTCAGCGTGTCAATCATACTTAATCCTATGTCCAAAAACGTCCCTCCTGTTGATTAGTGTGAACTGATTACCCGGGAAAATTAACGAAAGATGACGCCCGGGCAGAACTAGCAAACTGGGTCAAATTTCTCTAGCCGATTTGGCGTTGGTAAATTTTGAAATGTGATGCGGCTATCTTCGCACTTACCGAACCAATTTCGCTTCAGATACATGGCTAAAATTGAGTGGGGTATGGTGAAATAATCTGCATACGTTGTCGTTGTCAAGAACAGGAAGCGGGCTTTCTTGCTCGTTGCCAAGAACTATCAAAAAGGACCGGCATTGTAACACTGTTTATGTGGACGAACTGAATGAGAATTATAATTCTGTAAATACATTTCCTAAATCACTGTTTAATTTCTCGCAATTTTCACGTATTATTATGAGTTATTTATGCGTGCACCAGTTTTGTCGGTTTCTGGGAACAGATAATTTATCTTAACGCACATTAAATAATGTACTGAAGAAAATGTGTATTCAGTCGAAGTTGCGAACTATTAAATTCAGGAAATACGACAAAAAATTTAAGCTGCAACGTATACGGTATACGTACTCGTAAAAGGAAGTAAAATAAAAGATAAGTATTAAAATTCAGATCCACAAGCCACCAAACGTTCCATTTATGATGATTTGGATCAGCGCATAACTCAGTGTCCTCACATTTCCTATAAAGTTCAAATTCGCTGTTATTTTCGGCATTCTTGCTTTGATCTTATAAATATTATTTTAAAACCGCTGGTAATGCTTATATCCATTATCTAGCATAAAAAACGGGCTATTGAGCACCTTTCAAATATGAACGTAAATAATAATAGTTACTCCGTACTCAGTCCGTAGTATTCAGTAATGAACTCTAATAATAATTCCTCCAAGTGACGAACAAGGTTTTTGAAAAAGTGTAGTGTGCGTTCAATGCACGACCTTCTTCAAAGGTTTTTACACGACTAACATAACCGTCTCAATTACATCAACTGTAACTAAAACTTATCAGGCCCCAAAATTTTTAAAATGTCCATTCAACAAGTTAAACTATATTCGTACGTCCACTGTATATAGATATAGCATGTAATAATGTACATGTAGCAGGAATAATAACGGCTGTTTCTTTTGTACGAGTATATTTTAGTATTTATCGAAAATTTAAAATTCATGCAGAATTTTACAAGTGCGTTATATTAATGCAAGGATAGTGACCACGATGTGACAGTTAATACATAATTGGTCTGATTACCAAGTCGACTCCTCCAGGTAAATGCAAAGCGATCCCATGGATACAATGAATCCAAATAGTTTCTAGATCAATTAAGAAGCGTAGATGTAGATTAATTAAGTGTCGTTTAATTCCAGCACCATTTTATGTACAATCTGCATAATTATTTCTATTCGTTATAACAGCCACAATAATAAAGCTAGAGCTAAATTTTATAAAAGATAAATTTTGTAAAATAAACCATCCAGTTACCAGTGACTGGCCAGAGGCTGTTTGGTCCGACACAATCTGGCTGACCGCCATATTGAGCTTGGTCTGCCACCCGGCTTGTCGTCGTTGCATGGTAATTTCCGATCTTTCGCCTTGTGTTTTGCGGTGACGCTGTATAATACTCCATATCAGTGTTGGTACGCCGCACAAAATGGGAAGTGTTAGCGATGAGATCAGAAACCAGTGCCATTTCCGATCGGTCAGGTCACTCTCCGGCCGGAGCCGGCATGGGGTGTAACGTTCGTATTGGTCTATCCTGGAACCAGTAATATATTTATGCATTTACACAATACAATAATTATTATTTCAGTTATAATTAGTTCACCAATCTGGACCGTATTAGACCGTACTGGGTAAACGTTTGCTTGTTGGGCCAAAGGGGGTTGAAAGTTGACCTTTGTTAAGTTAGCTACTTTGGTAATTATGTTCATGTTATTTTTTGCAGTTATTGTTTTCCTGTTCCATTAATCAATTAAGGGCGGTTAAGGACAGTTAGAGCATTAGAAGGTTAATGTCCCTTACGGCATATCTTCACTTGTCGTGACTCTGGCGTTCTGGAACGGTGGCCGTGTAATTATTGCCAATATACGACCGATCCGACGTTCATCATCAGCGGAAATCGCAGACGAGAACGATTAACATGACGTCACTTTCGCCCTAAATGGGTTTTGCACGCATATAATTGCTGCTTCTTCCTCCGTACGCACGGTTTTATATACTAAAAGCCTCTGGTAAAACGTCTAAAAGATAGTTGTAGCTGTTTTCAGTTAAGTCGATAGCACTTCACAAAACAAGTTTTATGTCATTTATTTAAGCAAAACATTAAAACTGCTCGCTAAATGCTGACGCAACGTCAGGGACGGTTCAGGACAGTGAGCATGAATCAACGCAATTGATGCCGGAAATTGCTGTCTGGAGTCTGAAGCATCAAGAACAAAAAAGTAATGAATTATCGAGCGCCCTTGATAAAGAACTAACAGCACCGTTGACCAAGCACATGTACACTAAAATGCCGGCTTATCTATCGGAAGTGGATTTAGTTGCGATCAAATTCGTGGATAGAGAGTATAAGTATGTTTCTTTGAGTAATACATCTTCGGACTGGATGGGCAATTTCATTCATTTGACCAGTTCCGGAATCATGATCAATTTGGAAATATATGATAATGCGTCGACCAAACAGATTGTTTGGTGTTAAAAATTAATGAGAAATGAACCCCCCGGTACTTACCGCATGCTGGTATAGCGGCGACTGAATCGGCATAAAATCCGCGATAGTATGCACACAGTATTAAGCTACTTAATTTATGAATGACTGAATTTTAAATGCTTATGCTGATAAGAGCATTCAAAACGTTCATGACACTTTGAATCGGAAACAATCCCCAAAAAGAAGCAGCAGAGCAAAACCTGAAAAATAGTCGCCAAGACGAATGATGCGCTGCGAAAAGATGAAAAAGATCATGGATAGATCGGCATCAGTCTCAATGGGATTCCGGCCAAATAAAGTGCCGAACAAATAAACAATCAGCGCAATAATTTACATTCGAAACCACTCTGATATAACAACCACGGAAAGTCTTCCTCTTCGGCAAGCTACAATGTTGCGTCGCCGTGGCTGTGCAACGAATACGTCGAAACTTCATGCAAATCATAACAGAGACGACAACTGTTTGTGAGAACACTATGGCCGCCTTCCGCTAAACGGCTACACTCTCCTTCGGATAAAACCAACAAGCCGCAACTGGATACAGTTTTTTCTCGCTTAATCGGAGGAAGACAGCACAGATAGCGGCAGGCAAACGGCCGAGCCAACATCCCACGCGTTCACTTGCTTCCAGCTGGCAGATTGAGCGTGTAATTAATGACACCGGTACTGTCTTGTTAATTGTACGGATATACACTGCAGTTGCTGATTCGTGGCGGTGCAGCACGCGTCGTTTCTCCGTGTGAGAGCCCATCCGTCAGCAGGGCCGGGCGAATTGGGCACAGGACAGTCAGCCGGCGAATTCGGTATGTTTGGCACACAAAGATGCGGCATATATAGCGACATCCGTTGCCGGAAGCTGGGTACGCTGTGTGTGCGTATACGTATGTGTGTGGCAGAATGTAATGTAATTGCTGTCAACGATGGGCTGTATGTCATGTTCAAGCGTTTTTTTCACTGACAGAAATGGCCTCTCGGCATACATTTATGTGACCGGAAGCTGGTGTGCCAAAATTGCGTACTACCGGCAAAAGAAGGCTCTTAAGCTTACTACAAACTAATATATGGAAAGCCAGAGCGCGCAGGTTATCCCCGACGCACGTAATTCTTTGTGCTCCAGCTGTGTACTGGAAATCTAGGCTAACTGTTATTTACAGTGCTGAGGAATTTTTACTTTCGCCAATTCTACCACGTCAAAAAAAATGATGAAGACCGGAGAAAAAAATCATTTACCATGGTACCAAACACTAACCCTACGTTGGTGAGATCAGCAAGTAAACATTAGCGGAATTTGTGCACTTTTACGGAGTATTTACGTTTTACGCATTTGATTGCAGGCTTTAATATGAGTTACTAGTACGCCTTCAGCATAAAGTAAAGTATTCGGTAGATTTGTTAAGGTGCTAAATCCGAGCAGGTAAACGTATTCCGCTTTGTATGCCAAAAAACCATTTTTTGCCTCCTGCCTCGCTCACGAGTTTTATGTGCATCAACAGTTGAGCATCATGCGCAAAGGCTGTGTTTAGCATATTTGCATTGATGTGGAATATCTTCCTGGATCACAAAAAATTTACAGTGCAATGAATAGCAGTGGAAGCATAGTGGACACTGGGCATCCGTCGCTTATGTGGACGATGGCAGCATGCAAAAAGCGCAAAATGTTATACGGCATAATTTTATACAAACTTCGCAAATAGGAGACCGGAGGCCCTGACTATGTGAAAACTTAATACTATGCTCTTTTTGTACCTGTAATGCTTTACCATCGTCAAAAACTACGAAAATGTGAACCAACAGAAAAAGTGTCGAAAAGTAGTGTTTGCAAAAGGTCCGTCATCTCGAATCCAGAGGATGTTTGCGGAACCTAACGGTCCTCGTGTTCTTTCACGCGCACAACAACGCTTTTCGGTGTCATTGGTGCTAATTCTATGACCACATCTACAGGACACTCGTATCCTATTTTTTAGCGCTGCTACAACCTATAAAAAGTTTTCAACGTTGAAATTTAGTCGGTTTCCAATTTGTTTGATTTCTGAAAAATAGTTTTTCCAGAAGAGAGCGTCCTAGAGACTTTGTTTTGACACTGCATCTATTGCGGCGCGGTCTATATGATCGTCCAATATGCATTAAGCATGTCTGAAATTCTGAAATGTTTTTCATTATTTCTGAGACCCAATCACTACAGAAAAGGTAGTCTGCAGAGCAAGTCAGCGGGTGCGCTTTGTTAACTGCTAGGTTTGATTTGCGCTTTGTCACTGCTTGACCTTGATCAAATAGAAATCTGATGAGAGAAAAATGCCCGAAGTCCTTGAGCTTCCGCTTTCATCTCTTCCTTGGTGCGCCACTTCAGTGGGAGCTTCTTGCCAATCTGTTGTAATTTGTAGTAGATTTCGTCGTTTTCGTCAAAGTCTTTTGGGCGGCGTGGCATGATATGCACGTGGACATGCTATCGAAATTCAACATGGGTTTGCAAAAGATGTAATCATGATGGCCTTTGCGCTTACGTTAACACTCTGTCCAGCATCCGGTCCATCCTGCACGGCAATTAGCGATGAAGAGACGCCGTGGATACGTTCCATTCCACGTTGGACATGTTGCGCTGTAAGGAACATATCCATGAGCTCTTCCGCCGGCATGTCGACGATACGCTTGCTGTAGTTCAGCGGCATAACGAGAACATCTGTAGAAATAGCGCATGTAAACTTTTGATGGTAACGGGATCCGGAAAGGTTTCATCGTGAGAACATCAAGTAATTAGCAAGCAGGACGTACGTCCAGGAACAACATTCTTTGGTTTCACGAAAGCAATAGATCGTTCACTTCGGTAAAATACCGCCCATCCAGGCACAACGGCGTCGCCAAAAGCAAACCCTTCATCTTCCTTTGGTAGCCCGAAAGTTGACGTCACGTTGACACACTGAAAACATCATAGTATGTATATTTTCCAAGAACTGTAAGACCCGTATTTGCGAAAATGTTCATGACTAAACCTGTCATTTCTGTCTTTATATTCAGCCTTGCATCACAGTGTCAAAAGTTTCACCATAGAGCATGGATCATCGACTTGCTTAAAATTTGAATGATTATTCTCTGTACCAATTGACTCCGCGAGCCCGAGCGGAGCAAATCCAGAGGATCATAGGCACGTTTTGATCGAAGTATTTGCAGGTTAGCGGTATCCGTTTTCTCGAACTCACCTGTATAAGTTACCGGTACATGCAATCTGAATTTTGTATATACATAATATATAATATATACATAGATATATATATATATATATATATATATATATATATATATATATATATATATATATATATATATATATATATATCTGAATTTTGTATTTTGTATAATATATGCCTTTAATATATATATATATATATATATATATATATATATATAATATATATTTATCTGAATTTTGTATTTTGTATAATATATGCCTTTAATTCTAAAGGTCATTGAATGAAGAGCATAGTTCATCAAACTCCAGTTACTTGCACCAAAGACACATACCTCCATCGGAATATCCCATGCGGCCATATACGAACTGATAAAATTTTATAATAGTCAGGAGTAAAACAGTTTCGGCTATTTTCACCATGTTGTTTGAATTTCGATGGTTTCGAGAGTGACAGCTTTTAATCAGAGCTAACAAGAACTATTGATGTACTGGTAAGCGTTTCTGATGAACATCTTACTTCAAGTATAGAACATCGCGAATGTTTCTGTACATCGCGCCTGAGACACTTATATTGTATTTCATAAATCTCATTAAGCTGTTTTGAGTGCAATAGTGTCGAACGTTGTGACGTTACATGCGTTACAAGCGCACGGTTTCGTCGAACACTTTGATAGAATTTACGCACAACTTAATCCTGTTCGTCTTTTATACCGTAATTGCTTGGTAATGCTTTTAGTTTTGTCGGTATAATATCACCCCTCTTTGTACTGTAACTCATCCGTTCCGGTTACTCATCGCCTGCTAATGAGAGGCCATAAGTGCGACGGGTCCGGCATTACTTCTGACGACTGTGCTTTGTTAGCGAACCTCACTAAAATTAACGGACTTGCTTAGGGACACTTTGTAATATTGCACTATTTGTATTGTCCTTGGACATGACCGTGGCATCATAGCAAAAATCCATATCCAAAATCCCACACAACCTGTAACCGGTCAGTCTGCACAACCTGTAATAGCGCATGTAAATTCGCGCGGGCGCCAGTTTCGTACCATGCGTTATAACTACTCATAAAATAGGAAAAAACTTGCCAAGCTTTTTACCCGCCTTATAAAACACATATAATTCGAAATCAGCCAAAAGTAATATTAATATTCATTTGCTTGAACGTTTACCGACTGACATCCGTAGATGCGTTTTGATCCCGCGTTTTGGTCCTCGTGCTGCATATGTATGTAGCCAACGAGTATTTACGTATATTATGGGATACAGCCTGGCCACACAGTAAGACACATTATATCTGGTTTGCATTACTGGGTCCAGATTGGCAAACATATATATATATTATATATATATATTATATATATATATATATATATATTTTCTCTCCTTTTGCGCTACAGAAGCAGCTTTTCGTAAGACACAGTGCTGTTACTTTTCGTAAGACACAGTGCTGTTACTTCTAAAATTTATAATTAACATAGCCTGTCTACCGAATTCATTATAATACGTAATTGTGCATTTAACTGCATTTCCGTGTTGTGCATTTAACTGCATTTCCGTTCAACAGTACTGTCGCACTATCGCGCACGCTAGCTTCGCAAGAGTGTCAACTTTATGTAATCATGCAGAAACCGCGAGTGCGGTTGGTGTGCTTTCGCTTTCAGTGGAACGCGATAACTGTCACTTTTCCAGTTGAACGGCTCAGTGATTTGAAAACCATATTGAACAATGAAAGAATAAAGTTTATTGTCTGATGGGTGTTTATATTGATAAGGTGTTGACTCTGTGCATTACATGCAGTGACCTTTCTAATACTAGATCTTGCACTGTATGTTGCCATTCGTAAAACATACTCGTATTTTTGTTGAGATGCGGCTGATGATCATAAATGTAGGTACGGCATGATCAAGGTTATTTTCGATTCTTCAGTAACCGCAAATAGAATAATATTATAAAAATTATCATCCAAGTTTTTTAAACAATCTAAAACAACGCTTTTTAATGCGCACGTCGATCGCATTTATTAAGGGGAAAGGACTGCTTTTGGGAAAATAGCACATTTTTCATGTGAATTTCATTGTAGTTGATATGGTTTATGCAAGAAATCCTGCTGACTCATGCCGAGATTGACACAATTGCCACCAAAAATGACCTGTACTTTCTCAAGAAGCTACTGGCCTTTCGCATCTCGGAGCTGCCCAACGCCACTGCCTTCTCGGCCACCACTCTACCTACCATCTTTACCACTGCCTTTCTGTCGTCCGTTGCCACCGATGCACCGACTCTCCAACCGTTGCAGTCGGAATTCGAGAATTATTTAGTTACAAACCTGACCCTGGACGGTAACATTAAGAAAGCGTTTCTAAAAGCGGCACCCAAGCTGAAAGGATTCGGTAAGAACGTGGGAAACATGACTTCAGAAGAGGCGACTAGTCGGCATCGTGCGCTTATGGAGATGGCAATGGAGATCAAACCGTTTGTCGAGCCGCTCTTGTCCGGCTTCGGTCCTAATTTAACGGAAAAGATATCGTCCGTGGGGCAGCAGTTCTTCCCAGACACCAATCATACTGCTCGAGGTACTGGGAAATTTGCACTAATGAAACTATATACGAGTGTTTGCATGGCTCTGCAAGACATGCCAACGACAATGCACTCTGGATATGCAATAAAAGTAATTAATGGAGTAGGATGTTTACACGCCCGTCGTCGTACTGAAACAGTAACTGGCATCGTAGGTGGACGCGGATGGGGTTGGGGCTGGGGTGGCGGCGGCGGCGGTGGAGGTAGTTGTTGTTGCTGTAAGTAAATCAGCTCTTTTACTAGAGTACGGTGTCAGTTCAATGAATTCTAAACAATTAAATAAAAGCCTGATTTGAATAGCACAATTCAAGACATTTTACACGTACAGTAAAACGCGCAACCTTACTACTTAATACGACGTGTGTTGTAGTGAATTAGGCAAGACTTGAACTATGCAAGACGGCAAACAGACTTGAGCTTTGTGTTTTGGACATAATCATTACAGTTTTAGTGACCATTAAATTGTTTTCATGTAGTGCATTATATTTCAGGTGGTTGGGGTGGAGGCGGTGGCGGCGGAGGGGTAATTTTGTAAAATTCTAATAATTTATTTGGCTGTTGAATGTACTGCAGCTTTACGAATGTATTATGATGCACCGCTGTTTTTTAGGGCTGGGGTGGAGGTGGAGACAATGCGGTAAACAGTGTCTTTACGTATTCTGCTGCTCTGTAACTGATTCGTGTACTGGTATTTTTAGTTGGCCTATTATCTGTTATCCAAAAACAGTAAGTCTTGTTTGGGTACTATTGATAATGCGTAAACATTACTATACTAATAGCAATACGAAAGAAAATACTTCACACTCTTAATTTTGTTGACTCTTATTCTTAGATAACAGTGACCTGTCTCAGCTTCTACCGGTAAGTTACAACACATTTGTTACAACTTGCTTATTGATTAAGGATTTTCAGTGTGCTCCGCGCATTTTGCCTTCGTATTCTTAAATCCTGGGTTAATAATTTTGATTTTAGCTTTTGTTTGGATTAATTGCCCTATTAATTATGAGTAAGTTGTGATCACATTGATTTACCAGTAATTTCAGTTAAAAAGGGTTCTTCCATTTTAGAACTGCCAACCTAATCGTGCAACACGGCAGCAGGGCACTGGAAGGCAGTGCAGTGTGCTGGCACTTTGTATCCGTGTTGTTTGGGATAACCGGATGTAATTTACCTAATGTATAACAACGTAATTATTTTGTACCAAAGTTTTTTAGATAATGTGTTAATGTACAATTTTGGTAATACTGGCAACACTGCGCTATTTTTGGGTGCATTCTTTGACGTAATTTGCCTATTGTATGCTATATCTGCACAAGTGTTTGGTCGTGATGCACTTCGGCCGGGAGAAATTAAAATGATTAATAAAAACCGTACGTATGAGCAGCGAAATGAGCAGAGAACCTTGGACGCGAAATGTAACGGATTTTTCAGTATTCATCAAACGGCATATCTAATTCTAATCGAGTATGATTACGTATTTTGCTTTTATTAAAAAGAAGTATCGATCGTACAGCATCACTCAATTAACAGCCGACGTTAAATAACTATGACAAAGCTGTCGAAAACGTAGTTTGTCCGGATAATTAAAAAAATCAAGGACTACGTTATCGATTCCCAGTCTACCGGAATATTACCGTACTATCATATGCCCGTTATCCATGAATCACCACACTGCCAAAAAATTGTGCTACTTTATCATTTGTGAGAAAAATCAAGCTAATCAGCTGCTTGAAATAAATTTCTTGCTCAAGTTGATTGATAATAACACGTTTATTGACGGGATGTCGAAAGAAGTTCAGGGTGGCAGAACATGTACAATAAGCCAGTATAAGAACAAAAAGCTTACAATTAATGACTTTGTACAACCGGAAGTTGTGTACTTAAACATAATATTGTCTTCATGCTCCATTCTTACAGCCAGAGATAGCAAGAAAGGTAAAATAAAACCAGTGTCCATTTACATTAACCCGTTTAAAATGTGTAATTATTGCCAACTAAAAACAAATAAAAAATAAAAATAGACGAGCTTCCAATACTGCCAGAATTTTGTGACTTTGTCCCTGGAAATCGTTGCCAGTATATAACGACGGGCTGAAATTCCTAGCAGTAAGTGCAGCAAATCGTCCAAACCAAGAACCAAATACTGCATAGGAGATCAAGTAGGGAGTTCTGTAACGAGGGAGTCATAATTACTTTCCTTTAGGTCAAGATAGAAAAGAAATGTGAAGTGCGTCAAATTTTCTCACTCATAATCAGGAGAGCTATCAGTCCGAATAGCAACTGCAATAATAAAAGTGATGAACATTTGTAGACAGTTTGACACTGCAACATATTTTTAAACGGTATACCCATTTTAAACGATGTAGCAGCACAATTGCAGAAATTTACTACTGCAGAACGACCCCTTCTATACTTTAAAGAGGTGCGAGGTTTATGTACAGATACTTATGCTAAAGTACGCCGATAGATCAAAATTTTTTAATCCAGCATCAAAACTCATATTTATTCTGTACGCATTCAATGTGTTTGAGATGTACCATTGCCTTGTTTTAATCGTAAAGAATGTACTCGCGTTCTGGACGCTTTTTATAATTGATTATAGTAATCAAAGTAATTAGTGAACGAACGAGACCCACATATTTGACTGAAAACTAATGTCTAAATAGCAATATGTCCTAGAAATACTTATTTGGTGGTAATAAAAGAACTCATTATCTACGTGTTTATACGACTCGTATTTCCGGATCTACTTATGATCCGGAATAATCTACATATATCCAGCGGTACTTACCGGTAAAAGGGAGTCCAGTGCGTTATTGTCTGCCAAATAAGCAGCCTCTCAATCAATTGTGTTGTTAAAGCGTATTCAGAAACATTTAAGACAAAATCTATGTCTTACTGTTTTGGGAAGCCAACACCGCCGCCAGCTGTTTAATAACAGAAACAATCAAAAACACCATAAAACACACCCTATGTGACACCAGTGAATAGCGTCAGATTTTATTATCGGTAAGAGATAGTTTGTTTTACCAGTCCATTGTCGCTGCCCTAAAAACCAAAAAGATTTTTTATCGAATTTTGCCTAATATTTGCGTTTTAACCTTATATACTGTATATATTTCGCAAAATTACTTACTCCGCCTCCGCCGCCACCTGAAAAAATAGCACAATTAGTAAATCAACGGTTAAAATATTTCATTAAATTCCTTTCTTACCACAGCAGCAGCATCCTCCTCCCCATCCTGCAAAGAAAAATCGTCAATTCTGAACAAGATACTGTTTTCCCCATAATCATAGAAATACCTCTTCCTGTTCGGTTCATAGTCTGCAATTCAGTTCCCAGTTTAGGTTCCGCTGTCGTGGTGCCAGTGGCGCTCACTTCGTTGTCTGCATCGCTCTCCAGAAACGACTTCAGCAGCGGTTTAACATGTTTGCGAATCCATTTGGCATCGGTTATCACGGGCATGGCGCTGTCCAGGGTGTTAGCATTGCCGGTTAATTGTGGCATAAATTGAGTTAGTAATAATTTCGCGCTGTCTTCCATTGTTTTATTCTTTTTGATAAATTTGTAAAATTCCATCACCAGTGGCACTGCGGCATCAGAAAGAAGTTTTCCATTGGATAGTATACTGGAAATTGTTGATGACGACGGCTCGGATGTCGTCGTGGTTGCTGTTGTTGTTGTTGTTGTCGCTAATGTCGTCGTCGTTGTCGTTGTAGAAGTGATGTCGGCGAGCTGTCGCAAAGCCAGTAATTTTTTCAACAAAAGAAAATCCGCTTGAGCATATCCGACAGTTATGAAATAAAAAGCAATAGTTGCCACCGCATAAAACAAGACCGACTGCAAAATGAAAAGGTATTGTTATTATCAATATACCAAAATTTGAAAGAACACCTGCATAAAGCGTAGTAACTCTATGCAGCTTACCGTCAGGCGCATTGCTCATGGTACATCTTCGCATATACGGCAACCAGTAAATTGTCCTTTCGCTTCTAGTGCAGTATTGTTTCTTCTGAATTTTCGTTGCACAAATGAGCTCCTATGCGGTAATTTTGACAAAGAGCTTTTAATTACCTTTTAATAAGCTAGTGTACATTAGCGTAAGTGTGCCCTGCATGTTACGCATGCTTGATTCAGCGCTGTTGTAAGTTATTATTTACCGTAGTTTCCGTTAAAAAGACGCAGCCCGATCCTATTGCCGCATGCGGCAAAGGCACACTAGTAAATGACTGAATGATCTGCGCTCCATTGGTGGTCCGTACTTCCGGCCGCTCTGTGTATAAAGTGCGCTTTACGTAAAACATAACGTACCTACGCAAACTATGCTAACACGAACTAAAACATTTACAAAGTACGTACTACGTACTTGTATTTTTATGCTAGACCAACTTTCTAGAATACAGTAGTGAAGCTGACTAGCGAGGTAAAGCTAAGCACGAGCACACGGAATATAAAACAGATGATCAACATTTTTTTAAAAATAGTATTTATACTTCGTAGTTCTGGTCATGTTCGCTCTTAGTAGACTAGAGAAGTCCAAAGGTTCCGCTTTGCTACTTGCGCGCAGGAACTTGGAAATACTGCTACTTATGGTACTCTGCCTGAGTCTGCATACGCAATACCCATGCAATTGTTGCAGTGTTGCAGGGGAGGACTGCTACCAGTTGCAATACTATTATATGTCAAAAGCAAAATTGCAAACAATAAGAGCGAAACATTTCATGGTCTGTAAGGAACGAGATGGCGTATTATTGTACCGCCTGATTATTTATACGATATAATACTGTACTGACACTGAACACATTTCCTATCGTATCACAATGCCCATAAAACTGGTCCGTAAATGTAAACATATTCCGTCCTGCATTGTCCACAAACGAACCTAACCAATTCCCGCGATCGAAACGGGAATGTTTTTTCACCGCTTCTTGCTATAGTATCCGTATGACACACTACACGTCAAATTGAAAAAGGCAGCGCTTCAATCCTTAATTTTTATTATTGTACTCTTACCGAAATGTACCGCATTTTCATAACAGTAATACATACTGCCGGATAACAGTAATACATACATAATACATAGAACTAGATCGTAGCCATGCTTTAAGGGCAGTGTAGAATTTAAAGTACGGGTAGTGAATTCGTCGTTGACCTTTGGTGATGAAAATTCCAAACGCCTACTCCGGTGGAATGGACGGAATTTTACCGCCATTTGGGCAAATACACTTCTTAACTGTTGCGTCGCATGTTTGAGGTCCAGTGTCGCACATGTTATGCGCACAGTCAACTGTGAAACACACATTAAAGTTTAAACAGTACTCGTACTAGTACGTATTTTTAGGACGCCGTGAAAACATTATCGTCTACCATCTATACTTCGGACTGCGAACGAAATAGGGTGAACAACTGACGAGCTCAAATCACTTACTGCATCCGGATGTAATAATATGGGTCCCAACACCAGAAAATGCGTCGCTTGGTTGAAACGGTTCCCCAGAGATTTTGCCGCCTTTTGGACAGACACATTTCTCTTGATCAAGATCACAAGTTTGAGGTCCGGTATCGCAACGGATGCGTGTGCAGTCAACTAAATGGAAAACCATAGTTGAATTATCACGCTTCATGTTCAGATTCTTCAGGGCGTAATCGACACATTGCAGATACCATAACGGACCCGAATACTATTTTCCGTCTTTTCTGAGGATGTTTTGGTCAGTCATAGCAGCACGCCAATTCGCTGTAATCGTATTCGGGTCTGAATTCGTAGTGTCTCGATTACGCCCCGCTGCAATAAAAATCATAGAAAAACATATATGCAACATGTCAAACAACTTCTTACTGCATTTTCTTTCTTGTAATAAATCAGTGACTGTTTTCTTTGTGGGGCATGCGCATTCTTGTTTAGCTTTGTCACAGAACTGGGGTCCAGTATCGCACATTCCAAACGCACAGTCAACTGCAAAAGTGCAAAGGTAATCATTATCAGCTACAAGAATTCGTATTTAAAGTGATACAGAGTGAAAGTCACGAACAAGTCGTCATCCCTCGAACTGGGAAAGTAAGTATCCAAAAGATACTGAACAAAATGAATCGATTATTTAATTTAAGCATATTAAATAAACCAAAAACTATTATCATGCCGGTATATTTATTAAAATGCTAGGCGCGAATACGAAGATGATGTCTCGAACCGGAATTCGTATAAAGTGATCAATATTTTATGCTGTGTTGGTGAGGTAGCTAGATAATAACGGGATGAAAACTCAAGCAACAAAATAAGCGACCGCGCTAGCTTTCTATTATTTGAAACTAGATCGCAGTACTACTTACTGCATTTTGCAGAAACGTAGTATGCTTGCGCTGCGACTGTCAACCACAACAGGATCCGCCACATGGCGCAAGTACGGTTATCCAGATCCGGGGATATGATCCGGCTATTCGAAATCCGTACAAATATATTAGGACTCTAAAATATATCTATATATACGATGTACCAGAGTTTTGCTGTGCCGAACGATCAGTGTTGCCGCATTAGAATCAAAGAAATGCTAACTTACACAAGTATCTTTTACTTTTTTGTCGTTGTCTTCTGTTTTCTTATACAATACACCTATTTTAGCCTTTGGGCCATGCAAAAACTACAAGTTCCTCAAGCCACTAGATTGTTTTTGGCTCGTAAACCTCTTGAGGGTGTTTTTTTGCAGACTTCTAATCTCTTATTTATTCTGTAGCGTTGTGTCTGGCAGCGCGGGCAAACTGCCGTTGAGCAAATTACTATGCAGAGTCCTAACCAATAATACTTACTTTTAGTGACAGGTGTCAGTTGGTTGCCGACTTGCTGGAACACTGCTACAGAAAAAAACAGTTCTTCCCCGCAACTATTGTACATATGAATTCTTATTATGGCCCTGTCGGCAATGGAATTTCTTAAAAGACTTCAAATTGTAGCGAAATGTGTGCTAACGAGTGCTTACGTTGTTTGTGTACATTCGGATGAATAAATGTGATGTCGTAATAATTATTATGGCTTATTAGCAAAGTTTTCCTGCCGGATATGCAGAGAAAAGCACGCTGAGTTGCGGAACCCATGACGTCGCATACATGTTTTTAGCAGTTGAACGTACAGTATTTGCGCACGAATCTTGCCATGCCAAATTTAACGTATTCCTCGGAGAATCGTTTTCGAAAACATTCGTGACCTTTCCTTAGAGGCCGTCTCAACTTTTGTGCAATCTTTTGCAATCGGAAAAATCCACAACAAATCAAGTCAGTGAAAATCAAGAAAACAGTCATGCTGTTAGGGCGGTTTGCGCCAGAGATCAGTGCTGCATATTAAAGTCCAGTGATTACAATGTAAATTCCGCATGAGTTTACTGTCACAGGAATTGCAGTATCCTGTTAAAATGGCTGCCAATATGACACTCAATAATACAACGCCGGCTGCCGGTGATCCGTTAGCTGCATGGATAATGATCCCGATTACCATAACGACACTGGCAGCCAATGTTCTTCTGATTACACTGTACGCCAAATCCAGTCACCTGCACACACCTTTTGCCGTGTACATTGTCAGTTCAGCCAGTGGTGACATTGCGCAAGCTTTCACTGTCCACATCCACAGCATCGTCACTGTGTTGTCTATTAAGTGGCCTTTCGGTCAACCATTCTGCACGTTCATTCTGTACACGACTTGGCTATTCGTCTCTTTTTCTTACCATATGCATGTCCTGATTTGTGTTAACCGTTTATGGGCGGTCATGTTCCCGGCGCATTATCGACATTATCATGATCAGAAAGTCGCGATTTTTCTGGTGACTGGAATGCTGGTATACCTTAATCTGTGGATATTGCCAGGGTTCGCCATTCATGTCATGTACTATGCGGCGGCCGATGGAATACCGGTGTGCATCCCGAGTTACCCCGACCAACTGACGTGGTCAAATTCAACGTACGTTGCGCTGTACATAGTCCCCGAATCAGTAATTCTGGTTATTTATCCAGTGATACTTATCAGAATTTATTGGAGGACAAAATTTCATGCTAGAAACAGGGCGGTTCGGGATGTTACGGATTCAACCTCTGCGCAGAGAAAAAGCTGTGAGTTCGTTATCTTGTTTGCAGTTCGCTTAAGACCTTAATCGCTGGTTTTTCGTAGTGCCATCCAGCAAGCAAAATTCATCGGGTAGCGTTAGTATCCCGTTCAGCATCAAGCGATCAAGAACGCCCCGAGCCCACTTTGCGCTGCTGACCGCCTTGGTGTTACTGGCGGTAGCTTGCTGGACACCCGTATCGGTGGCGTACGTTTTGGTGTCGTTTGAGGGACTGCTGCTTTACAATATCATGACTCCGTGCACTATTGTTTACTTTCTCGATGGACTACTGAATCCTGGAATATTTCTTTTGGCATCCAGAGAATGGAGGGAAACAATGCGAAAAAAGTTTTCGTAACTTTTGTTCGTAATTTGTTCCTGGCCATGGCTATCAATGTCCTCTAATTTTGCTTGCTTACCTTAATGTCATTTTCGCGAGGAATTACAGATTACGTAAATATTCATACGTTTCCAATTTACAAGTCCCAGTTTTAAATGTACAATAACAAATTTGTAACATTGCTTAACATTGCTTAACTCTGTCATGTCCTTTGCTGTAGTAAAACGTAAGCCCGGTTTCTGACGTGGGTGATTAATATTTCATCCTACGTATTTAATAATAATTAATATTTCATCCTACCCATCCTGCGTACCAGCGTACGTAAGTGCAGTACAGTAATACGAATAGCAGCAGCTATAAAAAATAACTGTCGATCGTGTCAGAGGAATTGGATGGAGTGTTATCAGTGAATATAGACACTTTATAAACACACTGCTACTGATAAAAGCGCAAAAGTAAGTAAATACGGTGAAGATCGTGCACACTTACGTATAATAATGAAAATTCAGTTTTTTGCTGCCGTTGATTATTAGTTGGGAATTTATAAGGGTCATCGTTCCGAACCATTTAAAGAACATGCTTTCTGACGAATGTTAGGAGTCAATCAGTCAAACCGCAAAATTAAATGCCGTACTACGAATAAAACGCGGGTTGTGCGTCAATAGTCAATGGAAGATGGGTGTGCCGTTTGGCATAGTATTACGTAAATCGGTTCAAGCCTTTCAAGGCTCTTCGTCAGCCGGCTAGATACCGTAGTTCCATAGAGTCTGGCCATGGGGCTCCGATTCTGAAACCTTCTAGAATAGTCTTATATGGCGCTGTCGGTACCTTCTACATGCGTGTGCGAAAATCTACAGTCACATAATAGTACACTCATGCGGAAATAAATATACGCTTGTATAAGCATATCCCTTCTTGGTTATGTATTTGTCGTGGAATCTGTGTTAAAACCTACTGAACAAGTACGTATACATAGAGTACCCTACTCGTAGACAGTGTCCTTTCTTGTGGTTAGTTAATTCGGTTCTTTCGCTGCTTACTGTTAGTACATAATACATATTAACTGGCAGCGCCGTGGGGTATAATACTTTGCCATTAGCAGATGCACACCGGAGCGGACCAAGTGCCGGTCCTGCCAAAATTAAATACTTACTGTAGGCGAAAGTTTCCCCACAGTTAAGTCTCCCGTAAAACTGCGGTAAAATTAATCATCTAGCTCATAATTATGATGCATAATGCATAACTAGCGAATTACATCACTGCAGGTCATGAATGCAACTGTTTGCCTCGGGTGTCATCGTTAACTGGAGCCTAAAGGTTGTAAGCATAGTGCGGTACGATTATTTTCCCAGTATCATAATTATTAATTTTTTTGGCTAAACTGAGCGAGTGTTCGCTATATATCGGTTTCTGGGCATGACTTTTTGGACCTCTACGATGGCTCCGTACATATCACTCATATGTTCACTGCTGCTAGTTGTGCAAATTATCACTGCAGTTCCGAATAAACCATCGGCAACAGGATGCGGTAACTTGCCTAAATTTATTGTAAATATAATAATGATCTATAATATTTAGCCCTGGTATATTTTCACACCGTACTACGATAGTATAAGTATAACTACACCCCTCAAGAATTAGGAATTCTTTTGCTGTGAATCTGCGCACCACAGACACACATATTTGTTGAAAGTTTATTGATTGCAACTACAGCTACCGACTGTTCAAAACAACCATGTGAAACGGGATTTCCGGCAACATGTAACGCCAAAACGAAAGATTGTGAATGCCTAGAAACTCCCCCAAGACCAGCAAACAGTCCGAAACCGAGCAGACCAAACCCTCCAAACAAACCACCGACAACAGGATGCGGTAATTAGTTGCCTTATATGATTATTGTAAATATTATATTCAGCCCTGCTATATTTTGATAGCTTCTCTAATTGTGATCTGGAAATTATCGGACGCGCATACGTATATCTGTTTGAAGTATAACTTAATATATTGTTTGCAAATGCAGCAACCGACTGTTAAAAACAGCCATGTGAAACGGGATTTCCGGCAACGTGTAATGGCAAAACGAAAGATTGTGAATGCCTTGAAACTCATCCAAAACCAGTCAACAATCCAAAGCCGAATAAGCCGAATCTTCCAAATAATCCAAAACCTGCTTCTAAACGCTGCGGTAATGCACACACGTTTGAACATGCTTGCTTGCAGCCTTGCAGTTAAATATTAATGTTAATGTAATATCACTTACCTACGGGTAGTTGATAGTTTTACAAAAACGTGCATACCTATTCTTATAATTGTACAAAATAACTTATATGGTATAATTTTATCATTCCATGAAAAACAGTTTGATTACGGTACTTCGAAGTTTCATAATTATGCCAATTAACTTCAGCTATGGTATTTTGCATTGGATTGTTCGCAACAGCCATGCGAAACAGGACTTCCGGCTGTTTGCAACAAGAAGACTAACGAGTGCGAGTGTCTGGACGAAGAAGGAACCTGTAGCGTTGGCATGAAATTAAGTATGCACAGATAGATTATCGAGATACCGGGTATGTCCAAATTTTCAAATTCGTGGTGTTTGATGCATGGTGTACTTGAGCTGCTTTCTTTACTCGTACTGCAAAATCGATGCTGTCAATTGGTCCATCTCCTGCAAACATCTCCTGCAAAATTTTAAAAACGTTTTTGCGCGCTGGCAAGGTGGAGACACATTACGAACATTGCCAAAGGAATTCGAATTACTGGTTCCTCGTATAAGTCGCATACTTGCACATAACCATAATCCTAACCTTCGATTTTAGCTGACTGTTCCAAGCAGAAGTGTAAAACCGGGAAGCCTGCCGTTTGCAATAAGAAAACCAACCAATGCGAATGCCAAAACGAAACAACACCAACGTCCAACTGTGCCGGTAGGGAAATTTCTAGGATATCTGACTATGGATTTCCGTGCTAAGTAAGCTGCATAGCATAACGTTTTTGCATTTCCAGATGAATGCAAAAAGCAGAAATGTAACGGAGGAATACCGGCCGTGTGCAGCCAAGCGAGTAAAAAATGCGAGTGCCCCAGAGCCATATTTTAAAATGTTCTGGAAAGCTTTCAAATTCGCTAATTCGGTTACGCTACAATCGGAGCAGATAACATCGTGATACATGCTCAACAGCAGAATCAAATTTACTTCTGACAACAAATTTCGGTCCATAAATCGCTTATTAACAATGACCGGAATACAGAAAGAACGTAAACGAACGTATCACAGAAATTTATTTGGAAGGCTGAAACAGCCAACCGATTTGAAAAACAACCACATGCTTTTAACTGGGGGAAAAATAACAACCGCTTTTTGAACTCCACAATCGGCTTCAAAAATTTTGAAACAATTCTTCCGGACAAATCGCCGTACCAAAACCATATTCTTGGGTGACATCCTGCTTCGAAATGTTTGCGACAAAACGTCCATCAATTTAATATCAACGCTTCATTTGCACGAAACTGTAAGAATCTCTTGTCTCCTTAATAATCCAGATCATCGTCCTTGTCTTCACCGATCCGCAGCTTTTCCACTCCATTCTCAATGGTATCCGAGGGCTCCTCCTCGTCGAAGTACCGATCCTCTTCATCCCGCCACAATTCCCGGACGGCCACGTCCAGTCGCTCATCCCGATCAATTTGCGCATAGTCCACGTAATCGCCATCCCGCCCCTCCAGAAACCGTTCCTCCATAATATGGCGAAACTCTTCCCGTAGCACCTCCTTTTCCCGATCATCCAGGGGATCTTCGGGGACCGCCTCCTCTTCTTCCTCGTCGGAGTCTGTCTCCTCCGTCTGATGGGCTTCGTATTCCTTCTGCCGGACGAGAAACTCCTCCGTTCGCGGTGTCTCAATCAGGGATTCCATGAGGATATCCGCGAAGGGATGATCAGTTCCCGTGGATTTTCGCGCCTTCTCCCTTGCACGTTTCTCCTCCGGATTCAGATATTTCTCCACTAACTCTTCATAAAGCAAGGGATCACGCTTCTGCATCTCGGCTTCGTCAAAATAACCCGCGGCTTGCAGACGGGGAAGAGCGGCGAAACGGCGATTCTTCGTTAGGAGTTTCTGGTGTTTTGTGTCAAAATGTTCACGGAGATCGTGGAGATGAATCTGGACGGCGGGATCCACAGAAAACTGCTCAAAATATACCAGATCGGGGGGCTCTAGAGCAGGGCCAAAACGGAAGAGGAATTGCGCTGGAGATTTGGTGAGGAGATCGGCGACGATCTGGCGTTTGTCGTCCAGGGAAAGCTCGGGTTCATCGCGGGACTGGTTTTTAAAACGGATGTCTGTGGAGGCACAGTTGGCGACCCGATCTATTAAGACATCCATGGTTCGTAGTGCCTACATACAGTACAAAGTTGATTGCTTCTTATATTATACTAATTTCAAAGAAGTAAGAAAATACTTCGCTGACGTATTTAAAAAAAAACTTTTTAAGTTTCAACTCACAACTGTCACTTTTAAGTTTTAACAGATGCGTGGTGGTTTTGGTCTTTTGGATGTTCCAACTTCCGACGCTACGGCAGTACGGCGACTGGCTGTTCTGGTGGCTGCGAGATGGATGGCGGTAGCCACTTTGACACCCCTGGCGATTGCGCATTACGCACTCACTAATTGCTCGGCGCTACGATTCAACTTCCCTGTCAAAGCCCATAAATAAATAATCGCCCTCAAGCGCAAAGTAAATAGTTTCTATGCTGGCACACGCAGCTGCTACTCGGGCGCCGCCAAATCCCACTCCTGAGAAAATATACTCCATAAACACGCCGAAAATTGATCCCGTCTTCCCGTTGATGTACTCGTATATTTTGGGTGCCAAGCACGCTTAATGCTCGTGAATCACAGGATATCCGATCCTGATTGACTCCGGTGCGCTATGCAGGCTGCAGGCCCGTTAATTGTTTGCCAGTCATCGATTCTCTGTACGAGTACAGTATGCCTCTGTACGACGCATTCGTTCGCGTTGTGACTCCACTCCGGCTGTGCACTCGATCAGCCAAAGCGGTTATTTCACTCTGGCAAAACGGATCGGATTGACCTGGATTCTGTCGTTGTAATTTTGCTGCTTTTATTTTTCCCTCCTGACTCTGATCCCATTTTCCCCAGGATAAACCGCTTTTACAGGATTGGGTATTCATTCTTCTACCAGCCTTTGACGAAATTGTCCGCCTCGTTGGTCCGGCTGCATCAGTCTGCACCGGACGACTTAACCTGCAAAAGCAGCTTAAAATGCTTGGAAAGCGAATCTTCCGGCGTTTGCGGATTGCCAGTTCCTTTTTGCACAGCGAGTTTGCTGTGCATTTGTCGCCAGCGTAATTAGCAATGGATATTATGGCTTGTCTGCGATGCTACTTCATGCATTTATGGCGGAGCAAACTGCTACAGGTAAATTAGAGGAGCTTATCGAGGAAAAACTTGCTTGCAGGCAGTTTTGACTTTTTGCTAGTGTAAGTTATGTTCGCTAAAACATGCATTTTGATTTGCCGTTTGCGTTCGTCCGATAGAAATTCGGGTTGTCTTGTCATTCTGCCATTGTTTTTGTGTATGTATGTAAAACATTATTACAAGCCGTTTAACCAGTGATAAGCACTTTACAAAGTTTTTACATCGATTAATGATTACTCACTTGTCAAATCTACTCTAGCCATGTATTTTTTAGCGGTATAAGTAATAAATCGCTGTAAACTTTTAATCGCAAATTATGCACTATACGTACGCATGCCGTATTGTAGTTTTTTCAGTGTGATACTGTATTTCGTAACAAGCGCATCAGCTCCCGTGGTCTATAAATTGAACACATGCTGAGCTTTAGAAGTTAATCAGAGAAAAGATATTCCCAGTTTCCCCTGGAACGATATTGATTCGATTTTCTTGAGGGTTTGCTATGCATTCCAGACATTTTCTGATAAATTCTTCTCTGGATTGTGTTTGCATCATTTATGCGGCTGTAACGCATCAGTGGTCAAATTTGCTTTGATCAGTGGAAATAATTAATGAAGCTTGGCGCTGTCGTGTGGGCTCGTATGAATTGTGCAAATCCCTGCCACACATGATGTAATGTGTCGATGTGAATGGTGAAAAGCGCTGATTTGACCATTTTTCGTTCCAGATGATGGACAAAACACGTTTGCCACTACACTTGTCAGGGCTTTGATTATTCCACTAGCCATTCCGGTTGACTGGCGTTTTAAGAAGCTACTGTACCTGTCGATTAAAAGCACAGATTTTGCCCCCCACACACTTTCTGCATGCATTGTCGGCAACGTTATTGCAAGTTGATTGCGGCGAGACGCAAATGTCGGTCGATAATCACAAGCAGGACGGGAACTGGGACGACTACGCGACTGGAATTCTGAATTGTGTGTTTTTCTTTTGATTTATACGAATTCGGGTTTTCCCGTAATTTTTAAAGTTTTTAATTTGTTTGGAACCGTCACAGATTTTGGACAGTAACCTAAACTTCTGCAGACAAAATTTGGAATTTTACCTTTTCTTTTTAAAATGCCATCTATTAAGAAAAACATTCGCAAATTAATGCGCAATCTGTCCAATCCGGGAATCGGAAATCACTCGCATCAGAACGGTTGCGCTTCGACGGAAGGCGAGAAAGCCTCCACAGGGGAGCAGCGTGTATCCTCACGAGGGCGGGCACTGCGTCGGACGGTTTGCTCGGATTCCGTGCACCACTATGAGTCATCGACGCTGTCCCCGTCGCGTACCGGAAGTGATCGCGAGTGGACAGTGCATTCGTCACCGCATCTGCGCAGTCCCAGTGCGGAGGGTGTTCTCGAGGAGGAAGATAACGGGAACTTTATTCAGCGTTATTTGAATGGGTAAGTGGGCTAGTGATGTAACACAATTGTTGCGCAATGTAGGGATTAGTTGCTCGAAAAAATTTTGTGTTTAGGGAATGGTTGACAGATGTTGCGACGACTTGTAATTGTGGCAGATTTGTGAAAAACTTGAATTCAGCATAAAACAATTGACAGGAAAATACCTTTATTGACCCAAAAATAAAACGAAAACGACATACGTACTAATTATCTCATGGTTAGTACTCACTTGTTATTTGTTTAATACGCATTGTTAAAATTAATTTGCATGTCAGATGGGATATACTACTACTAATAATACTCTGATGCTTCCATTACGTATAGAGTATGGTTTTTACAAAACCGTAAAAATGCTGTGTGTTTATTTTGCATTTTTCAACCGAGCTGATTTTCCGGTGTTTACGCATGTGTGAGAGTTTTCTAATATTGGTTGGAAAATGATTAGCATGGAACTTGCTCGGCATAATATGAACTCGTCCATCATGACATTTTAATGTATCGATGGGAAATATTAATTTAAGCTTGTAAGCGATCGCGTTCGTTAGTCATTACCAACTGCCCGCGCACATTTGCGAATTGAGCATTCATGTTATTCTAACCGGCGAGACCCTCATGCTCGATCTCCTCGATTCTCTTACGCCGAACGCTGGAATATGCAGAGCAATAGTCAACAACTTGTAACCGGAAATTTCGAGCCTTTTAATAGTCGTTTCAGGCCGAAAGCGGCGATGCCATTAAGCTCTATCATCACTGTCATGTCGAGAGAAAATCTGATTAATCCATAACGAAAAATCGTGGGGACGCGGGCCGAGATGTCCAACTCAATTAGTTTAAGTAGGATCCCTGATGTTTGCTGTTGCTATACAGAATAATGATAAAAAATGAGACGAAGTTTTAGATCTGATTTTTGTCGTAATGAGGAGAAACAAGGGCAGATGATGTTTCTTTTTTAATTTGCGCGTGTGCAGTGAATTAACAGTGGAAGTACTTACTGTGCATAAATTTCAGCAGAGCTTTGTCGTTTCCGTGGAGTATGAATTGTATTTAGTTTTTTTAAAAATTTGTACTTACAGATACTGTTGTGTGACATGCTTTCCCGTATTTGAGTTGCTTTATGGTGAAGTTTTTTGCCGATTAGACCTTTACAATTTACTCTTGAGAAAAACTGCATCGAGAAAAGAATTGAATATTGGAATATTGGAGTAAACAACTTATCGCAAGGAATTGCTGCCACAATACAAATGAAATCTTATTGTGTGAGGATGTAGACTGGTCCTATTTAATAGTTAGAGAATACTTCTAGTACTGTAAAATCGATTTTGAAAGCGGAAAATAAATTTGGTTGCAAAAGTGGAATAATGCGCAAGCAGCGTAAAAATTAACTCAGCAAGCCGACCGGAAACTGATAAAACGACCACTTTTTTCTCCAGTTTACTTTGTGCATTTTCGTTCCCCCCGTCTGAGCCGGTTTCGCTTGGTAGTTTAGAAAAGGAGTAGCTTCCTGTTATGTTGTGCGTTTTCGTCCCCGCCGTGATGGATCGATAATTCTTCAGTAGCTTGTTAGAGTCCGGGACGCGGTGAATTTAATTAGGGGATATTTACAGCATCCCATCGATTATCCCTACTTCTTTGAAGAACAGTCAATGATCGTGTTAGGTTGCGTGGAGCTGCTACGTCAGCGGGAGGGAAAATTATTGTTCGACTAGCACATTTTCCTCTGGTAAAGTTCGTCCGGGTCTTGACCTTGTCACGCATGGACTAAGAACGGCTGTGGTCGTCCGCAGCAACGGACGATGTTGGCTTCACAAAAGGGAAAACAAACGCTCGGATGATAAAGTATATCGCTTTATGCTGCCATTAATTCCATACTTTTTGTTGTTAGTGACATTGCTAAAAGCCTGAAACGTCTTCCTTAGCTCTAGCAGGTTGGTCGCTTTGTGGCAGTTATTATGAGTTATTGCAGAGGTTTCGCTCTTGTGTGCTTTCTTTCCTACTAGCTCGTACTGTATTGATGCAGCTTGCTCAACTTTGCCATTCTGTGCCCATTTTTTGTTCTTACTTTTTCTCGGCTTATGCTCCTCAGTTTTTTTGCGTCTGGTATTTCCTCTCATTTCTCATTTTACAATAGGAAGCCTGCTGTTTTATACATGTGGACCGGGGTTACCGCTGGTAATGCATGAAGACTTAGTCCTGTTTAAATTTTCTTTCTGGTCTAAAATCTTTTTATTCTACGTGCAAGTTTTTGTGCTGTCAATTGTTTCAGTTGCAGTATTCGAGTGTTTTTCCAATCCTTTCTAGAGTTACCGACAAACACAACCGAATTTACGTAATTTTGTTGAGCTCTTTAAAATGCGAAATGTCATGTGTGGACAGCACAAAATTCGTTTGGCATTAAATGCAAATTTCTCTGCTGATTAATAAGTAGTTTATCCGCTCGTTTTCTGCTGACCCGAAAGAAATTGGTGAAGCCTTTCGCGCGTTGTTCGTTTCTTTTGTGGTAATCTACGATAAACAAGTTCGATCGGACTTGAAGTACTTTCAGCCTGTACATTTATCCGTCAGTCGTGCATTGCATTACGTCTTAAAGCCATTAAAACTGATTGATCAGGTAGATTAAAATGTTTGTATTGAATGTCACAACGATGTTTTTAGTTTATTGTGGTACCGTAAACAAAGACGGTATATGAAGCAGTACTTACTACATTATTTCTGAGGTCTTCAATACTATACAATACGTACGAGATGCTATATGCGAATACTATACGAATATGCGAGTGCCGAATACTGTAATATGCGAAAACTATACACATTACTCGTAGATGATAGATACGTAACACTGGCTTAGATTTCAGTCAGGGTTTTCGTTTGTTCTTGTAGTTTAGAAGCAAGGTACTTAAATAAACAGTAAATAAGGCACAGAAGATAAACTTTTAGTCAGAAATGGGAAGGAATGAATTGTAAATAGTTTGACATAATATATAATTGTACGCAGTTGAATTCTTGTACTGTATTTACATGTTATTAAGGGTCAGAGAAATACCGAGGACCGCCCAAATCCACTAAAGTAAAGCTTCTGTTCTGGTTTTCAGTCAAATTCCCATGCTATACAAAAAACGCGTGCTAAGGAGGGATGCATCCGTTACTAAATGTGGCGTTGTTTGTAGGGAAATCGTGCGTCTGCATCCAAAAGTGCAGTTCGACCGTACCGGCGAGACGCTTCCCGTGCATGTCTTGGCCCCATTGGATCCGCAGGTGTGCGTGTGTGTAACTGGTCCCGATGAGGGCATCAGTCAGATCCCGTACCTGGGATCGCGGCGGATCTATGACAAGTCCTCCACGGAGGATTTCTACGCTGCCTTTCCGCCGGATACAGAGGAGAAGCTTCGCCATATGCCAGCGATGCTGCGTGCCGCCTACTTCGCCAAAAGCGGCCAGCAGTGTTACTTGCCGCGACAAGCCTTTCAGAATCTTATAGTCGGTGGACATCGCCCGCCAAAGTCAGCTGGTAAAGATACAAGTGTGATGATTAAAGGCGGCAGCGACCAAATCAACGGCGAAGGTGACACATGATATTGTTTATGTGATACCATACGCTATATAAAAGAGCGACTAGCTAGATGTTTTTTGGTGATTTATTTTTCTTTTTTCTACCTATGTAGAACTCCGTGTTGCAGGGTCGCCTTCGCTTTTTTCATCGTATTTTCCGTCAGATTTTTCTGTTAATTTGTCCGTTATATTTTGAAATCGTTGCTTCATTTTTTCGTTGTTGTCAGTTTATTTTTTTGTTAATTTTGAAATTTTTATTTGGTTTTCTTTATTTTTTGTTTTGCGGTCATGTGTTTATATTAATTACTCTGTGTTGCATTGTTATTGGCTCACGAAAAACCGCTGATCTTAAATGTCATATTGATTTTGTGCAGTTGCTGAAGTTTCTGGGTTTTTGTTGCAGCGATTAAGGTTGAAACAATACAGCCTCCATCCCAACCGCATCCGGTCATCCCGAACGGCCTACTGGCACCCAACCACAGCTCCGTCTTAGCCAAGACCATTAGCGTCGTCTCCATGACCCACATCGGTACAGCACCGCGCGCCCGAATCGATGAACTGTTGGAAGAGGAGATCCTCCTGCCTGTCACACCGACCGCCCAACCTCCCTCCGCCGTCAATCCCAGCCCGATGGTTAATGGAGCGGAAGCGGCGATGGAGCCCGATGACCCGCCAACGACTTCCGCTGCAATGCCGTTGCTCAACGTCATCATCGAGGAGAACGACGCCATGACGGAGGCGGCCGTGGTCGGTGGAGTGGGGAGTGATGCGGAGAGTGTCAGTGGGGCGTTGGAGGAGATGAAGGTGGAACTGTTTGCCGAGGTGGTAACGCGGGTGGAGAGTGCAGAGGAGAGCGAAACTGGCGGGGAAAAAGTGGAGCCCGTGGAGGAGAAAGCGGCTAAGGAGAACACGCCAGTGGCAGTGCCGAAAGCACCTGGACATCGGCGGTCGTACACCACACGAGAGAGTGGTAAATTGAAAGGTATAAAACGTCTTTGGAGAGTGTATTGGAAGTTGAATCGATTTAGTTTTGCTGATTACGGAAATTAACATTAGTTTTGCGGTTTTGGTTGTAGACCGTAAGCGTTTTCGTTCTCTACATCATCAGCGTTTTCGTTCTCTACATCATCAGCTGTTGGAGGATTTCCCTTTTTGTTTGGAAAGTCGCCTGCCTTGGCGGGGATTGGAGCCCAACGAGAATGACCCGGGTCTCTTTACGGATCTGAGCCAGTACGGCTCGGGAACTGACCGGGCGTATGGCGTGTCCACCACGTTATACGAAAGACATCCCTTGACAGGAGAAACAGCAGGTGTGTACTTACTTTCAAGTGTTAACGCATTCTTGCCAGTTTATCCTCAGCGGCGGGTCGCTGGTAGTGGAACCATGGGCGTAATTTGTTGGTTATGTGGAGAACTTTTTTGGGGCAAGGTTTTGCGGTGATCGCAGAGGAGAGTGTGTGTAGTTAGCTATTGTAATACAATACAATAGAGTTCGTGCAGATGCCGTGACGTAATATGACAAATTGCACAGTTCAAGTAGGTATATGAACGCGCGGTCGAGTATACATGTAAGTTTGTGCGAGGGAATACGGCTCGTAGTAGTAAGATTGCTTTAGAGGATGCGCAAGCACATACTTCGAGGAAGTATGCCGTAGGGTTTTTTTCAGTTTTTGAAAACTGATAATTATGGTATTGTTGTAGGCAATCCCGTGGCCGATGTTTTCGCGGTGTGCGCCCGCGACAATAACGCCATCTTGGCCATCGCCGATGGTGTCAATTGGGGCGATAAAGCCAAAGTGGCAGCGCAGTGTGCCGTGCGCGGTGCTGTGGACTTTCTGGAAGCCGTTCTTTTTCATGATGGACGATTGTTCCGCAGCACTAAGGTATGCTTGTCCACCATTAAATTTTATCGGTTTGTGGAAACACTGGAACCGTGTAATTGCAGGAGTTATTCTCGGTTTTGTTGGATGCTATGCACGCGGCGCATAATTTGGTGCTGCAGGAACATGGAGCTCTGGCTACTTTATGTATCGCTGCTGTATGCCCACTGCAGGATGCCCGACGATATGTTGTATGTGTTTGCAATGTGGGAGATAGCTTTGCCTATGTGTACAGCCGGAAGCATGGTGTGCGAGAGATTACCAAAGGTACAGTAGGTTGTTACTGTTTGTTTGGCTGGTTACACCCTTTGAAATAGTCAAAATTATCTTGACCTTTTGTGTTACGGCCACGAAGTACAACGCCATGCGCAGTTTACGAATAATTTAGTTGCTCGTGAAAGTCTGACTTAGACTGATACTTTAATTCTGTTGATATTGTACATTCCGCTTCGCTTTTGGTCTCCGTTGTTGAACTGTTTACTTGATAGAATAAGTTTGCGGTGTGATATCGAACAGTAATTATTTTTAATAGGTTCACGTTCGTGTAGAAGGCAGTAAACAGTAAATTCGTTGAGCAGTTCAGTTTCTTGTTTTTTATCTCGTTGTTTCAAGTTTTCCGCGGAGCTGGCTGTAAAATGATTTCTCTAGGCTCTCACAATGTGAATTCTAATCGTGATATGCGGGATGCTCTGGGTGCGCTGGGCCCCGTGGATGGATGCACTCCGGAGTTGTCGAACATCACATGCTCGATGACGGTTGTGGAGGCGGATGATATTGTCTTCCTGACGACTGATGGCATTTCCGATAATTTTGACCCGGTGATCGGGAAGTTCTGTGTGATTGAAAACGACGAGTCGGTGCTGAAACAGTTGAGCGATAGGGCTACGCAGAACGGTGATTCTTCCATCGGCAGCAAAAAGCAAAAAGGTTTGTCTTAACGGAAATACCGTTAGAAAGGATTTCTCGTTGTGCATTTTTCGATATGCCGTCCCGTGGTTTTTTCTGGCGCAATTTTGAAGAGAGGCGCGTAAAATTTCGGTTAGCAGTAACATTGGTGATATACTATCAGATACTTTATTCGATGTATTTTTTTTATTCAGTTTGAAAAAAAAACTAATTCTAATCGATCTGGTCTGCGTTAACGTAGGCCGCTTCGATGAAGAGGACGTACGGATTCCATTGTCATTACCGACGGTGTCCGCCCATCAACGCCACGAGCTGACTCTTTTGCGCATGGAAGATCTGATTCGGCATGGAATTACGCTAGGCGATAAGCCTTGCACCAATGCCAGACAACTGTGCCAGTGCTTTATTACGTTCGTTTATCAGCTGACGGCGGCTAAGCGGCATATTTTGGAGGATCCAGATCTGTACCCCGGTGAGTTATTATCAGAAAAACACCATGCGTGCCTGCCGAATTTCTGGCTTGTCATTAATTTTTGAAAAACTTTGTACTTAATTGTGTGCGCCTTTCGTAATAGCGGTAGTTGGACCGGTGAAACTTGTATCTTTCTTATTAACGTGAGAAAACTTGAATTTATATCATTTTTTAGAACCAAAATCTGACAAACCATCAAGCAGTCGCGCCCAGCAACGTCATCACCGACGGAAAGCCTGTGAACGTCTGGCACTGATGCCGGGCAAAACTGGACCACGCCACCCTGGTGGCTTACCAAGTGGGCGAATGGTGCGATCAGGAGAACGGCCGTCTACCGCTCAGCTATAGTCAGGTCCTTTTGAATCTGCACACACCCGGCGATCATCATCCGGTGGAGATGGACGGCGTCAGTGAAGCGCCGCCAGTAATGTTACGCGAACAGCGCTCACTGCTGGAAAGGTATTCAGTGATTGGTAGCCCGGATAAGCACCGGCGCAGTCTGCCTTTCCGGTCCATCGATAGTCCGGATGCAGAGCGGAGGAGTGTTATGATCAGTAATGCCGAGGCGGTGGAGTATGAGATTATCAATTTGTGAGAGCGGGAGGGCGATTAATTGGGGATGGCCAATGCAGCTTGTTGGAAGGATCTCTCGTGGTGTACTTTATCTTTTGATTTGCAGTCCGGTGATTTTGTCTAGGTTTAATTTTTAAAATTGTTCCGTTTGTGATCGGCATCCAGCGGTGGGATGAATATGTCCGTTTACTGTCCGTAGATGCAAAGTCGGACAAAATAATAAACGATGGTCATTGGATAAGGATATGTGAAAGTGCCCGTTTACGGGCTTGGCTACTCGAAATTAAATCAATCAATCAATTTTCAGAAACATGTGGGTGCTAACTGCTAACCATTACTTATAAACTGCCCACTGCGCAGTAGTGTCAAACTACTCGTATGCGAAATGAGCAATAACACTGTATTTTAGCGGATATCACAACATCACCCCTGCTGTAACTGTTACTTGATTGTTATTGGAGTTATTACCTTTTCTCACGTGCGAGTTTTGCGTACTCGTACCGTTGTCTCTCGTACCCTTGTCTTCTAATATAATAACTGGTTCTGAAAATCTTTTTGAATTATGTTTGGCTCTGTTTACTCTTTTTGAATTATGTTTTGCTCTGTCAAGGAAAAAATTCACCGGTGCAATGCATAAGCCTTTACGAATGCTAACTTACCTGTTGCCGGGAAGCTGGAGAAACAAGTCATCATTATTTCTGACCACCAGAATACCTTTTTTCGAATTGTTAATTTATACAGTGCTCGCACTTCACGTCACTACTTATATTGATCGAAGCTTGCTGATATCAGCACGAGAGCATTTTGATTTTATACGTAACTGTACGCGGTGCATCGGACCTTCGGTAAAGTTTCACTAGCGAATCGCGAGCCTCTCATGATCGAAGTGGCTGACAGTCAACAATTTTCAAAATTTCTGTTTCTAACTGTTAAATGATATCATACCGTAGAAGTGATTGCCATATCGGGTTCAAGTTCAAGTCTATGCCGTGGCTCATTTATGATATCATTTGCGTATACCGCGCCACCAGCCGGTGCATAAATAAAGCTCACGCCGGCAAAGGAAATCGCAAACCACGTCGAACGGTTCGTCAAGGAATGTTTCGTCGAAAGTCGAAACACCAGCCGAACTCTGCGCAGATAGAGCCTGAGATTTTTCATTGTACTGTATCTTTTTTTAAATTTAATTCATTTTCTTAATACTGTTCTCGTACTTGTCTGCATTGAATCACAATCACACCGCACTTTTATTGTCTGTGTGCGAAAGGTACGAAACTGTACAGGGTACACAACTAATTTAAGACACTAAAGTCTGAGTCGCCGTTCAGAAAATTATAACGGTTTTGCTATATAGCTAGCTGAATTTGGTTACCTGCTTAACAAAGAAGGACCGGACCGTCTTAACGTTTCTTGATTACGTGCATCTATGTTCTGTTATCGTTCAAAAGCGGAATTTACTGACTGTAAAGTTAGCGACCACAGACCACAGGAAACCGGAGGCGAAGCTGTAAGTATTTGTTTTTTAAAAGTACGGATAATGTCGGCAGAAGACGCCCCACCTTTCCCGCTCGAACTAACCAATTATGCAACGCAAGAACGCCAATGGCCAACCACCGGCAACCACATACTAGCTCAGTACGATGACACTTCCATCGTTGTCTACCAAGCCTTCAAACCGTCCATCGCCAAACAAATCGTCCACCACCAGTGTTACCATCATTCGCAGTGCATCGCAGCCGGTGTCAGTATGCAGCGTATGACATGGATTAAGCCCAACTTCCTGTGGATGATGTTCCGCTCCGGATGGGCTAGTAAGCCCAACCAGGAACGAATCCTGGCCATCCGTTTAAGCCGCCAAGGGTTCGAAGAAATACTTAGCGCAGCGGTCATGTCCCGTGACCTCGAAGGAAAGGGGCAAGGCAAAGATGACCTGGTGCGCTTACAATGGGATCCCGATCATTATCCGGATGGAACAAAGGTGGGGTGTTATTCCGATGGGCGACGAGCGATCCAGTTAGGGATCCGCGGGGAAATGTTTGCCAGGATGTCGGAGAAGTTTATCGTCAGGGTGGACGATGTGACAGAGTTTGTGGTGGCGATGCGAGAGCGCGTTGGAAAGGAGGATCTCTTAGTTCCTGTGGAAACGGTATATTGTGTTGAAAGTGAAGAACTGGCGAAGAAGATCTGCATTACATCGTGATCCGTCATTGTTGTCTCAGTCTGTTCGTTCCCGTGTTTTTATCAAGTGCATATTGAAAAATAGTTTGTCATTACATGCGCTGATACTGGAGCTGTCGGGACCCCTTCTTTTGAAATAAAATTTTATTTTTCGATCGTTTACTATTGAGGTAAAGCGAAGCCGCGGTCGTAAAGGAGATTGTGTGGTTGTAGGTACAGACCATACAGTACTGTACTGTAGTCCTACGAGTAGGCCTTATACAGTAGATCGGCTTCGGTAAAGCACACGAATCGTGCTTCGCAGCCATGAAGTATATGTAGATATTTGATGTACTAATAGATTAATTTTGAAGCGACTGAGCGATTTCACTGCGATCATACTCTCTCACCTAAAAGTTCTTGCAAAGGTCATGATAAAAATTAGTAAAAGCTGAAGTTGGTTGGTGGCAAACCTGGTAGACTGTAGGGCAGTGTAAGCAATTATTGGAGCTATAGATCGATTCCGATTCGGCGATTCGGCACAGTCTCACGCCTGCATAACTGCGCAATTTTACCTGACGTTGGAATTGTGAGTTATTTTTGGTCATGATTCGCAAGAGTATTCACGGTTAACTATTCTGACAAATACTTACTGAAAACCAAGTACGGAATGTGTCTTAAAATATTAATTCGATTATAATTATTATGTCTAGCGTACTTCTATAAATAATTTTATTCTGTATATTCCGAAAACGATCAGCCAAGCGCTTCTGTTTTCCCTGATACAAAGTATAATCGTAGAATATCGTGTACTGGCTGCTTTAATCAGTTGCTGATAAGAACTAGAGCAGTATTGGTGATATGAATGATTTTACAGTAAATGCGGGCGACTCACAATTTCGAACTACTAATCCAACAATTATTATTGATAGAAGTATCATGCTGCATTCTTCAGCGACTGCATAAACTTCAAGCGTGCTTCATACGGTCATACCCAAAGGCCAAAGGCGACACATCACTGCCTGCACGTAAAAATCAGATTTTCATTTGTCATCTTATATTTTGTAATTACTCGTACTAATAATTATTATTTTACTATTAGTACCGCACCACGCTGCACTCATTCGCATCATTCGCTCTTAGAATGACTCTAGATCTCTCCAGTTTCCAAAAAAATATTTCATTTTAACTCGTTAACGTTCCAGACTGTGACAGAAATGGATTCACACTCACTCGTCGTGGGAATCGATTTGGGAACGAGTTATTCTGCGGTTGCGATATATCTCAACGGGAAAGTGCAGATTATTGACAACGAGTTTGGCCAACGAATGACACCAAGTTGTGTGGCATTCGAAGAGGGTCACTTTATTGCCGGTAAAGAAGCGCGCGATAGCAGTTCGGCCAAACCAGTAAGTACTATTTTCGCAACCAAGCGAATCATCGGGAGAACATTCGACAATCCCGACGTACAAGAATATATGCTGAAATGGCCGTTACGCATAGCAAATTCCAGCGACGGCCTTCCGGAATTCGAAATCAAAGGTAGTTATGGGACTCAACGTTTCTCTCCAACCGTTATAACCTCATTCATTCTTAGAAAAATGAGAAATATCGTTGAAAGATATCTGGGAGACCAAAAATACCAGTTTGATAAATTAAAAGCTATGATAACAGTGCCAGCGTCTTTCACTGATTCGCAGCGCAGAGCAACGAAACTGGCAGCAGAAATGAGCGGATTCGATATTCTGGCTGTTGTCAACGAACCGACAGCCGCAGCCATTGCGTACGGATTCAACCGGTCAGAAACTAGCGAAACCATTCTGGTGGTCGATCTTGGTGGTGGAAAACTAGATGTGTCAATCATACGAGTTACCGAAGGAAGAAAGTTTGAAGTGCTATCAACAACAGGCATTCCGAATCTCGGTGGCGAGGATTTCGATGAAAGACTGGTACAAAACATTATAGCAGAGTTTGAGGGGACATACGGCGCGAATGTCGATCGTCGAGGCGAAGGGGTGGCTCGGTTACGACTGCGCGTCGAAGAAATCAAGCGTGGCTTGGACAAACCAGATACAAAGTTGTCGGTACATCTGGAAGCTTTTGACGGTAAACGGAGTTTGACAACAACGGTGACGACGGCTTTGTTCAGTGCCCTGTGCAGTGATCTGTTTGTGAAGATTCTCGAGCCAATCGACGAAGCGTTGCGACGTGCTGGCTTGAAGAAACCCGGTATTGACACTATCGTGTTGTCGGGCAGCGGCTCACGCGTTCCCAAAATCCATAGTTTAATTATGGACCATATCAATTATCCAGTTCGTGCGAAAGTAGTTAAGCTTGCTCCAGGATTTGCCGCAGGTGGCGCTGCAGTGCTTGCGCATCATTTCGCCAAGGTCGATCAAGATTTGATGAGCGATGACCTCCAACTTGAGTTACACGAAACGTCCTCGTACTGTATAGGAGTGGAAGACCCGGACGGGTTTATGGTCCCGCTCATTCCACAGAACACGAGAATCCCGATGCAGAGGACATTTACCAAACAACGGTTTGCAACGCAGGTCGACGGAACGTTAAAGGAAAATATCGACATCTTTGAGGGTGATGAACCCGTGGCCCGGATGAACCGGGTAGTTGGATACTTTCCTGTAAGAGCATTTGCAAAAGACCAATTTGGAATGGTGGACATTAACGTGACCTTTGAGTTCGATCGCTCTGGTATACTCCGTGTCATCGCGCTGGATAATCGAACCGACAAATTAATTCCTATGAGGCAGCATGGGATATTCGTACAAGAGCTCGAAGATGAACACCCAGTCGATCAGTTTCACCAGCATGAAAGATCTGCGGTAATCGCACATTTGGCCGATATTTCCGAGCCGCAGCTTTCAGCAACGCACCCTGCGGAACCAGTGACCGATTTTACGAATTGTCCAGCAGAAAACAAAACTCAAGAAGCTTTGAAAAACGCAGAACAGATAATAACAGAAGTGAATCTAGTAGAGACCATGTCACAACTAGGATTACACAATGTCACGCAGCCACTAGAAGACGGAGAAGGGTCACCTACCACATCGAAAATTTTCACTCAAAGTAAAAGTTTACTGCGCAGAGAGGAGAGCATGATTCTAGGTACTTTAGTGGAGAGGGTGGAGAAAAGCCAGACCGATCTACTAGTCCTGTTCAAAGATTGTCACTTCTTATTGTTAAATGGTGATAACCGGGAAGACCTGATTTCCTGCTCCGTCACTTATACGTTCACGACAGATATCTCAGAGCTATCGATACTGAATGTTAGCGACTACGGTAGAGGCAAATTCAAGCGAGCTAGAATTTTAAAAACCGGCCTGGAAATCCGCCCGTTCTCCTCGTGGCTACAAGAAGGCATCAGCATGCAGATATCTTGTAAGTACGAGTACTCGTACAATGGCTAGTTCGTTGTTTCATTTTCTGGCCCACATATCAGTAGTCTAACTGAAATTTTTTGTTTTCAAAATAGTTGCGAAGAAAATACCATCGACCAAATGGCACAAAGCCGACGGCAATCAGCCTTCCGGTTATGAGATTCCCTGGTCCGCAGATATCTGTGTAGAACATGTTCCAGACGAATGCATCCTCCAGTCAGTTCGCCTTTCGTTTATTAACCCGGAAGGACAGGGAAGTCCGATAACTGAAATAAACGCACAGAATGACTCAGACCTGTCCCGCGTAAACGAGAAACTGCTGAACATTAAAGGTCAAACATACTGCGAATCCAGTGAAGAACTCGGTGTCTTCCGCAAAGCGTATTGCTACGTCCAGATGTTAGTGCCGGTACGGAAAATTGTTCGGCAACAGTTCAGCCAGCTCAGACAACCATATGGAACTAATCTCCCAGCGATGTCAACACATTGTTATAAGGGACCCGATAATGTGACCTTGCGAAATAATGAATTCAGTATTGACGTCAACCGCGCATCCTTAATAAATGTATCCGCAAAAACCGCGCAAATTTTCGCTGATAAAAGCATCGGAAAAGTCGGTGTGTTTTATCTGGATATCACCAAGGAAGCGATCTTAGCAGTGTTGCACGCTGCAATCGGTGATGTCAAGTCTTTCGCGCTGGATCCGTATTCCATCCCTCCACGACTAATCTACGAACTGCTGTTTATTTCAACAGCATGGGACATTAGTCATCTAAAACTGTGGTCTCAGCTGGCACTTGTGGAGCGAATAGCTACTCCTGGCTTCGATCTGAATTCCATTCCTATGTCCGATTCAGTGGAGTTCATATGGAGCAGCTACGATTTCACCGGTACGAATGTCGTTTTATCGGCACTGGTGTTAGTGCTGCGTAGCATGGACTGCAATGAAGCGCGGTGGTTACTCAACGAACTCTTCGATTCCGAGAACGAAGCGCACATAAAGACACTGAAGAATGCGACCGAAGCAGCTGGCAATATAACTTCGCAAATCGTTGTTTTCGTTAAAATGCCATCGGAAGAAATGGTCATTTTGAAAGTGGATGGAAGAGATACTGTTGGACGTGTTAAGGCTCTTATTGCAGCGGAAGAGGATTTGCCTATTGACCAACAACGGATTTTGTTTTATGGTAGAACGCTGGACGAAGATTCGAGTCTGACCGAAAACAACGTGCAAAATGGTGCTGTACTGAATCTGTTAATTCGGAAGCAGTAACATGGTTACAAAATCACCGATAAGATAGTCTATCATCGCGCTCCCGATTCAATCCAAAATTCCGAATCGGCTGACGAAAGTACTCGTGTATTTTCAATACTGTATTAAATTTGTATTACTTCGCGTTGTACCGATTATACGTTCGATCGCATTTTACATGAGCATGCAGAGGGAAGATGGCTTTTGAATGTTTATTCGGTTTTGACTCCATGTACTGTACCTAGTTCCTGTTAACGTTCAAGGTACCGAAGAGCAAGAAGTTATATATGCACGGCCGATTTATTGCTGAGGATGCTTTTTTTGACTTTTATGACTTCATCGTCGATGTCGTCTCGGTTTATAGTTTTATTTATTTACCCACAGTAAAACCCGCAAGAAAACGGCGCATGCAGCTATGGAGTGACGCGGACAGTTGAATACGTAGGATTACAACGAAAGTTGGGAGATTCGAAAATTAACAATAGCAGGATGACGGTCGCTTTAGCTTTAATTCAGATAGTTTATGGATGGTCAGTGCGCCCACTGCGTTGTACAGGTATTACTCAACATGGTGAGCGAGTAACTGGAAATTAATCAGAAATATTTCGGAGATTTCGGACATGCTCCCGCGATTGTTTTGTCTTGCGCAATGTTGCGAATGTATGCCCTATGCTGTTTCGGTTGCAAACAGCGATCCAGCGACTAACAATAAGCGTAATGCATGCATGACTCCTTTCGAAAGGAAGCAATGCCAGAATTTCATGACAAAAATAATTATTATTCTCTAACCGAGAGCCACACCAATAAGATATATCCATCACAAATCACATCCAGCGTGCACCGAGCTCAAACGGCGGCCAGCAAATTAAACACATTAACATCCGCTAAAAAACCAAATCAAACTAAACCCAGCAACAACACAATAACCAAAAAGACTCAAAAGCCAAACACACTGAGAGAGAGCATTCATTTTGATTCCAGATTTAGGAAGATCGTTTGGGATTGCGGAAGTTCGCGCCGGCATACTTGGCCTGACCGCCCAACTCTTCCTCAATGCGCAACAGCTGGTTGTACTTGGCCAGCCGTTCCGAGCGGCAAGGAGCACCCGATTTGATTTGGCCAACGCCCAATCCCGCCACCAGATCGGCGATGAAGGCGTCCTCCGTTTCACCGGAACGATGCGAAACCATGACGCCCCAGCCGTGGGACTGCGCCAACTGAGCCGCTTCGATCGATTCGGTGACGGAGCCGATCTGGTTGACTTTCAGCAAAAGACAGTTGCAGGCTTTCCGCTCCTGGGCCATCTTGATGCGCTCCGGGTTGGTGACGGTGAGGTCATCGCCAACAATCTATGCACAAACAGCAGCTCAATATACAGCAGGTGCAAAAACATTGCAGGGAATCCCAATTTAAAAACATTTAGGAAATTAAATAAAGAAAAATTTCAAAGTTCTGCAGCGATGCCAGCGCATTACGGAAGTTATAGCAGAGTACCAACGACAACAGCCAAGACCAAGACCGCTGAGCAAATTTGTCTGAATTTTCTTGTAGAAACAGATGAGCAAATTCAGAGAAGCAGTGACAGACAGATAAAAGACAACAAAATATCGATAAATTGTATTATGTAATTAGTACGCTAGCTAGACATACAAAAGCAGGAAAAAACAAACACAAGCACATAAAAAATGCTTTGAAAAACCACAAGCAAGGAACGCCAGAATACAAATACCAATACATCCTCTGCACTCGTGTTAATTAAAATTAAATTTATGAGTTAAACATAAACAAATACAAAAATTATTAATGGTTCACAATTTTTCATGTACATATTGCACATTTACCTACAAAATTACTTTTACGCGTTTCTCGATTTTCCTGGCTCACATTCTATGGTTTTAAATAAAGCAAAACCAAATAAATTCCAACCAATTCAATTCCTTTAGTTCTACATATCAAGGCGCGACACCGCGCATTTTTTGGTATTTGATTGGCCTCACCTGGATATCGACGCTTCCGGTCAGTTTAACCCATGATTCCCAGTCATCCTGGTCAAAGGGATCTTCCAGAGACACCACATCGAACTCCTTAATGTAGCTCTTGTACACGTCACCCATGGCATCGCCACTCAACCACTTAGACTTGTCCGAATCCTTGTTTTTGAAGTCCAGATCGTACTGTTTGGTGGCCTCCTTGTAGTACTCCGATGCAGCCGTGTCCATGGCGATCTTCACCTTATCCGTGTAGCCAGCCAGCTGAATGGCATCCTTGATCAACTGCAGTGAGTCGCGGCCTTCAGTGATGTTGGGAGCTGAAAAAGGCTCAGCCATTCACTCCTTTTGGTTATGAGTTCACTACTAGTACTGTACTGCCATACGCGGTCCGTGCGACTATCGAATGACTGAAATTGTACGGTACTCTAAAAGCAGTTTTGCTTACCAAAACCACCTTCGTCGCCGACACCAACGGACGATTTGCCATAACGATCCTGGATGACTTTCTTGAGGTGGTGGTAGATTTCACTGCCCATGCGCATCGCCTCGGAGAAGTTTTTGGCACCCAGCGGCATCACCATGAACTCCTGCATCGCCAAGCTGCAATCGCACCAGACTGATACCATGAATGCTATAACAAATTTATTCGCTCCTCTATTTACGAATTAATAAATATGATATTAAAACATACACCTACTCGAATATACTCTTCACTGTTGATTTTATTTTGCTGATCCTGATTTTTGCAAACAATCTTTTTAATTTTGTTGCTTTTATCATCATTAATAAATAATAATACTGATAAGTCCGCCGTGCTGTCATACGAACCTTATCGCTTGTGCTGCAGTATCAGCATGATAGCATCTACCGTATCACCCAATATGGCCAATAATAATCCTTACCGGTTTCCAGCGTGGGAACCTCCGTTGATGACGTTGAAAGAGGGCACTGGCAGAATGATGTCCTTGTTACCAGCCAGACTGGCCAAGTAGCGGTACAACGGCAGGCCACTTTCCGCCGCAGCTGCCTAATAAATCACAACAATTTCAGGAAACTCACCAAAATGAAAATAAATACACAAGTCGTTTACATCTTGCATAAACAATGGTACATCACTAAAACTTGTTAAAGAATTAAACCAGTGGTCTTTCGCTAAAATCACCCACTTTGGCCACGGCCATGGACACACCCAGGATGGCGTTGGCGCCCAGACGCCCCTTGTTCTTCGTCCCATCCAGCTGGATCATGAACTGATCGATCTCCTTCTGCTGGCTGACTTTGAAGTTCTGCGCAATCAGTTTGGGCGCAATCTCGTCGTTGACGTTCTTGATGGCCTTACTGACGCCCTTCCCGTGGTACTCGCCCTTGACATCATCCCGCAGTTCCACTGCTTCGTGGATGCCCGTGGAGGCGCCCGAGGGAACCGCCGCGCGGAAAACACCCTTGTCCGTCGTCAGGTCCACTTCCACCGTGGGATTGCCACGACTGTCAAAGATCTGACGAGCGAAAATCTTCTTGATCGACATTTTTTAGCGGAATATCAGGTGATAATGAAAAATGCAAAATGCAGGCGGGAGGATGTAGAGCAGGAAATCCAGGGACTGAATGCGCGAGTTAGCAGCGCGACACCGGGCTTTTATACACCGCTGCAACGCGATACCATTGAGCCTCGCCCGTAGACAGCTGATTTGGTTGACGTAGAAAACTTGGCCCCGGGCATTTTATAGCTGCAGCGCGCTACTGCCCGGTGGAAAATTATGCGCTGAAGTAGAGCACAACTGTACAGAGATTTCATTTCCGGTGGCACGTTTCTCGCTTTCCTCTCGGCCGACGGCATGAGTGGTATCGGGCCTGCTATCGGCTAGCGTTTTGTCTCTGGACTTACGAGTTACGTTATCTTACATATCTGACAGCGAGGTAAGTACTGTACTGTATGTATCGTCCTCTCAATTCTCATTGTCAAATCAGCGTTATCAACAATGGTGTACCGGCATAAATTAAAACTGACACTGTTATTTCGTTCAGCAGCGGAAATAGATAAATATTACTCGTATTATGCAATGACTGCTATCCATATAGATGTATTAGATTACGAGTACTTACTACTTACTGCCACTAGACTTTTTACTAGAGTACAGTCCAAACCCAAGTCCAGATGTACAATACTTACAAATAAGTACAATTATTAAATAAACTTACTGAAGCATACAATATTTGATGCAATACGCATGAAGTATGAACAGCTACTGAACGTACGAAAAGCGTGATATTTTTCCGAAAAATTATACTCGTAGTGCATTCAAATCGAAAAATCTTAAAAGGCAGTGCACAACAATAAAATTCCAAAGAGAATGGCACAGCTCCTAAACAAAACACCAGAGACATAAACTCTGAGTTAATACAGTAGTCTTAGACCTTTATCTGTATAATAGATCGTACCGGTGTCACAGTTAAATTCGAGGAAACATTTATGAATTAAATAAAAAAAAACCATTCAATAACAATCATAGAAAACATCATCCCTGATGAAATTTCCTAATCACCTTCCCGCCCCGATAGATCATCCCATCCACAATCCCCGCCACGGTAAACAACCCTCCTACAATGGCACAGACACTGGTCAGAAAGTGCATGGTACTCCGGTATTCCTCCTCCATCTTCACCATAATGGGCGACAACTCATAATACACGAACAGTCCCGGCAGACCCTTCTCCAGCGTTCCTGAGCGGGCCAGCGATTTTTTATGCGTCGTCAGTGAATACTGGAAGGTGCGTGTCGTAAAGTTGTGCACCGAAGCGTACATTGTGGGAACGATCTTGGTGTAGTAGCTGAACATCATGGCGCCCTCGCCGGCCACGGCCATCATGTTATCCATGGGGTCAATGCGGCCGGGATACGGAACGCCGTAAGAGTAATGGTGGACCAGATGAGTGGTGTTAACGTCTTTCGCTTCGAAAGGGATCAGGTTATGCACGTGCGAGTGCATCCCGGAACCGCCGAATGTCGATCCGGGGGCGATGTGGAGATTGCCTTGAATTTTGTTCACTTCTACATAACCTGTAAAGTAAGTCAATCCCTGCAATTTTTGTGGGCACTAACAACAGCAACAGCACAATCACAGTAATATTCTACGATTATTGCTTTTTTGACCTAATTAAATGAGCCATTTTGACTGCTAATGTTTTTTCTAGAATTAACCTGTTGTTCGGCTAAGACAAAAATACCAGATGTAACTACTCATTGATGCGTAACCTATGCAAAATACTTATTAAACATATTAAACATGACACTATTTCAAAACACGTGAACAAATGAAACATCACATAAATCACTCGCATGCATTTTCATGCGTTACTGCAATACAAACCTAACCACTATTTATTGCAGCAAGAACGTACTCATTAAAAACCAATGTGGCAATGCAGTTTAAAGAGAAATCTAGACTCTAGAGTAGAGCTGCGATTTTCAAGCCGAGGCCAAAACACAGAATTCTACAATATCCCTACTTGGGTGGTCCCTAGAAGCTACAGCTGTCCAAAAAAAAGATGTTATACAACGTACCCGTGAGTCGGCATCCTTCCTTATTAATGGAAATGTGCTTCTCTTTAAACTCCCTTTTACACTGCTCGAAATCCTCCGTCGAACGCAGCGCCCAGCCCATCTCCATGTACGCCGAGATGATATCCTCACAGGAATTACAGCATTTCCGCTGCGCATTCTCCGCCCCGTAGCAGCTCCCACACGTCCCATTCAGCCCTACCGTCGTGTGCCCCACGCGCACCACCTCCGTGGGCTCCTCCTGAGCCAGATTGCCCAGCATGTCCGTCTTGTGTTTGGTGATGGTCTTCTCTATGGACGACAGCCGCTCGCCCGACGAGTCCATCACGTCCACGTTAAGGAATCCACAGGAAATCTTGTAGAACGTCACATCCAGGTTGATGCGCAGTTTCCCCGACCGCGACACGTCGACGAAGAGTGTCTCGGTGACTTTGAGCGTCTGGTAGTGGTTGAGTTCGGAGAGGAAGAGCAGCAGCATGAGGACTGTGCAAAGAATGGTGACGATGCCACCGGAGAAGGTCTGGATGCGGATCTCATCCAGGGTCTTGGAGAAGGCATCCAGGGGACGGATCTTATCGGCCAGCTTGCCCAATGCGGCCATTGTCAAGGCCGGATCGGGGAACTCAGCCTACTTCCACAGTCCTCCCAATCGATGTGATCATCAAACACACGAATGTGCGAATCGCACAAGCACTCCACCGTTACCGCACCCTCACTCGCGCACTGTTAAATTCCGAAATTTCACCAGATCAGGTTGGAAGGATAAAGGATTAAAAAATCAAAATGAAAACATCTCGAATCCCGATAAATCAACGAAGACCTTACCATCTAATCAGATTTTGTGTATCTGCGGCGCTTCGTAAATGCAAAAACTTTTTGGATTTTTCACGAATCCGTTTATTTACCCGCCAGAATTCGTGTATCGCCTACGTACACGGAAATGCAATGTTTATGAATAATTTAAAAAAGAAACAATGCGCAGCTCAGTGCATTACTTGTATAAATTTATGCTAAGCAAGTCATGTTAGCAACAGGGTAAAAATGAGTGCTCAGTTTACTTCCTCGTTATTTGAGCAACAATTGTTGGCGAGCTTCAAAGCTTGCCACTTGTTTTGCGCTGCAAAGTTCTGCACATGCCAGTTTGCATCGCTACTTCACAAATCTAAAAGTGTAATGAAAAGTGTAATGAACGTTTCCCTTAAAGTTCTGGATGCTGCGTAGACCTCTGAGTGGTATCATCCAATTTTGATGGCTTCCATATTCGACCAGTATGAGGAATCCGCCCGATCGTTGCCGCGTGCTTCGTCGCAGAGTGCGGTTCTGGGCAGCAGCGTGGGCAGAGGTGCCTCACCAGCTGGTTCCAATCCCTTCGCCACCCCCACACCGCGGACGATCAAGAGCCGTCAGATGCCTGCTGTCCCCGAGACACCCATCTTCAACAAAGAGCGTATTGAGTTTCAGTAAGTTTGTCAACTTTGTCTACAATTAACGAGTAAGTATTGAGCGAGACATGTACCTATCGCAGTAGCATCTCGGTTGTTTTATGACTGCGGTCGGAAATGTAATTTGAATTATCAAATCATTCAAATGAATTGAATATATTACATATCATACAGTTTATACACCATTAAGATTTATGATAATTATTATACCATTAAATTATACCATTAAGGTAAATACTTGAGTTAGTAACAGTATAGTTAAAACTTAAGAACTTTATTTCACTGTCACATTATACCTGCAAAAAAGCTGCAATGTATAATTGGCATAAAAAATCATGAAGACTGTGCGTTGTTGCATTGCACTACGGAGTACGTAGTGGAAGAGCGCGACAGGAGTAAGAGTGCTAGTATTCAGCAACGCATTCTCTGCAGAGGTACTGTACTTGTAATAGCTGTAGCAAAAATTAAAATGAACAAATATTCTTGTGCCTCGATGTTGGTAAACCGAAGCCACGGCTTTTTTGTCCACCGTTTTATTATGTACCTTACTACCTGATATACAGGAACTGTAAGTCAGTAAGTGCTTACTGTGACAGGATTCCCAACGGCAAGAGTGTCTCGCGCATGGCCGTCTGCGACCGTCTAGTCCTCCTTTACACCAAAGACAACACGCTCTGCCGCATCGATCTCCGCAGCAATCCCGACCAGATCGAATCCATGGACATCCGCACCAGTTCCCCCAACGACGGCGTCGAGGACATCTTCCTGGATCCGCTGGGCCGGCACATCCTCCTAGCCATGCGCTCCGGTGAGGTGCTGTACTTCTCGCGTCATTCCAAGAAATCGCGCACCATTCTGAAACTGCGCACGCACATCCTGACTGCCGTCGGCTGGAACTACCAGGTGCTTGATTCCCCCGCCGGACCGCTACCCATTCTTTTAGGGACTCAACAGGGGGTGATATTCGAGACGGAATTCAATGCCAGCGCCGCGGAAGCCTCGACGGTGTTCCTGGCAGCCAGTGTAGAGTCGTATTGGAAGCAGGTGTGTAATTTGGCCCAGCCGGAGCCAGTACACATTCGCGGGATCTATTTCGACCGGTTAAAAGGAAAATCCGGAATGTATGCGGTGCTGGTGGCCACCAATACCCGTCTGTACCAGTTCCGGGGAACGCTGGGAAGCACTACCGATGCGCCGCTGTTTCAGGAGATTTTTATGTTGGATCCGGAAAAACCGATGACTAACTTTTTGGAGCTGCCGGGGAATCCGCGCCACTGCTGTCTGGCCGCGTGGCGACCGGTACAAAATTCCACGTCTCCGTCGTCCTTCGCATGGCTGAATGAGCCTGGAGTGTATTACGCGGATATCGGAATAACGGGCGATACACCCGACAGTTACGTGCTAGTGAATCCGCAGCTGTATACGTTTCCCAAGGAAAAAGATAAGGGTAACCGACCCTTGTCCCTGGTGACGACGGAGTTCCATGTGCTGATTCAGTATCCGACGGGTGTGCGGGTGTTGTCCAAGTTGTCCTGCCAGATTGTCTTTGATGATGTGTTCAGTGTGGAACGGTATGGGAAGCTTATGGGCATCTGTCGAGATCCGGCCAGTGGAACGGTGTGGGTGTATTCGGAGGCGGCGGTGTATCGGTACAAAATAACGGATGAAAGTCGGAATGTGTGGAGAATTTATTTGGCTAAGGGAGATTATGATTCCGCTCTAAGGTAATTTCCGAATCATCCATTGGCTTATTATAATAAAGCGGATCCAACTACAGAACGTAGAGTTGTGTCGCAAAAATGATTTGGTTGTTGGCACTTACAACTTGCGAATCAAAAGTCAGCACTGGTTTTCGAATGTCTGATGCAGTGAGTACTGTTGTAGCTCACCTAAATTTGCGCCCAGTGGGTATTGTAAATGCAGATTTAGTTTTTGTACGAGTATGGCTTCTGAGGTGGTGATGACAGGGTACAGGGTATAGCAGATATTTCGTTTTCGTACCCAGTATTTCGTTTGAGGGTGTTAAAGCCATTATCATCGACGCATTCTCGTCCTCCTAAATTGTGTTTTCTTGCAGGTTTTGTCAGAACGACCCGTCAGTCAGCAATATGGTGCAGATTTTAAAAGCCGAATCGCTACTGCAACAAGGACAATATGAGCAGAGTGCGGAAATCTACGCCACTAGTGAAGCTGCTTTCGAGGAGGTTGTCCTGAAGTTCAGTCGTCTCCGACAGGAGAAAGCGCTCAAGTTGCTCTTGCTCAAGAAGGCTGAGTTGTTCAAATCCAACACTCGGTCGCCACAGTTGTTCATGGTTTGCTCCTGGCTCATGGAGATCTATCTGAACCATTTGCAGCAGCTGAAAACCACGGAAAAAGATCAGGTTGCGTACAAAGAATTACTTGGTGAGTGATGTGTCACTGTCTTTTAGTGTGGACAAACCCATTGTTTTGGCATGACCTGACTGGTGAGGTTGTTAATCTTCCGGTACTCTCATACTCGGCCTCGAATATTAATAGAAAAATTAGACTATCTAATACCTTGAAACCTTCCCTACCGTTAACAGTTCACTAAATGTTAAATTAGATTTTAAATCCCGAATACAGATAGATGTTTCCTTTGACGCATTTTTTTGGGGGTTATTTAACAAAATAGATGAGATAAATGTACTTACACAGATGGATGGTTCATAAAAATTAATACCGTACGCGCCGGTAACTTTAAAAATCTCAGTTGATTTTTTTATTCTGTTTATTGGATTAAAATCAGAGTTTAAGTTAGAATTGTTGTGCAATCGCAGGCGAATTCCGTGAATTCATGGCGAATCCTCAATTTACCGATGTTTTTACTTCCTCCCCGGATGTTTTCTGTTCCATTCTGCTTAGCCACGGCGCCGATGAAGAATACCTTTTTCTAGCCAACCATCTGGGTGACAGTCGGCGTCTCATTGAATTCTATCTGGAACGCCAAATGTACAAGGAAGCTATCCGTGTGCTCTCCACCCAGACCAGTGCCACGCCGGCAGGGAATGCCGCCGAATTGATCTACGACTTCTCGCCGCAGCTGATGCGTCATGTTCCGAAGATGATGGTAGATCTGTGGATCAGCAAAAAAACATTGAATCCTCATCGTCTGCTGCCCAGTCTCCAGCGGTACAATGGAACGGCGATGGACGGAGAGGCTGGAGAAGTGGTGCGGTTTCTGGAATACTGTGTGTTCGGAGTGGGCACGATGGATGGATCGTTGCATAATTATCTGGTAGGGATGTATTGTCGGATGCGAAATGAGGAGGCTCTGCTGCAGTATCTATTGACGATTGATGAAGAATGCAAGCGAAAGAACATGGAGGTGAGTTATTATTTTCATGGTTTGTCCTGATTCCTGAAAGCTCTTTTCGTAGCATACTAGCAGCGGCAGAACTGCGTTGGAAATTGTAGGTATTATGACATTGCCTTCCAATGTTGGTTGTAGCAAGGTTGATTGTAGTGTGGTGGTTTGAATTGAGCCATTATCGATAACTGCGTGGGGTACAGGGCTTGTACAATATTTATTGAATAGGTTTATGAAATAACGCGGATTAAGGCGAATCATCTGGTTGTATTTTTATTTTTTAATTGCCTTAATGATGATTTTTGTGGTAATAATAAGTGGTTTTAATGTCTTTCCAAGTTTACACTTTGCTACTCTAATGCCATGACAAGAGAATAGCATATTAAATTGTGAAAGTGGCAGTCGAGATCGGTATCTATTCAGGCACAGCATCCAGTTATTTTGTATGCGGTACTTCCACTGTTGTGATGGTTTGCAGGCAGTTTAGGCGCCATCCATAAATTACGTCACGTGAAAATTGGACATTTTTGATACCCCCTCCCCCTGTGTCACTTATGCTAACAAACCGAGATCCCCTCCCCTGAGCGTTACGTAACAAAATTAGAACCCCTCCATCGATATAGCATGTTAACGTCATAATCGTAACAAATTTTTAAAGCCCCCCTCCCCCTTGTAACAACCAGTAACGCTTTCAGGACCTCCCCCCTCCCCCTGCTTGCGTGACGTAATTTATAGATGGCGCCTTACAAAATTATCGTACTCGTACTAGTGATACGTCTTCTTTGCTTTACTGCCAATACAGTACGTTTATTAAACTGAAAAGAGCGGCCGTGTTGTTACATTACGAACGAACTAGCGGTGTTTGTTAACCACATTATTGCGCGAGCGCTAATACCACTGGGTAACGATGCTGGATTTGTGGAATTTGAAAAGTGTTACGTGACGCTCTTCGTGGCGTCAGACAAATTTTATACTCTTGACGATCAGTTACAGTAATAGTAGCACCTCGCTGTTCGCGCTCGATGCAAACAAAAATCGAGCTATATACTAATTACTGATAGATTCTACAGCAAGGGTTTCAACAAATTTTGCTACGTTCTAGTTGTATGACCGTAAAGGAACGCTCCGCCTTTGCGTCGAGCACACCCTGCCGCGCGCCGCTGTCCACCTGTACTGCGTTCTGGACCTGCACATCCAAGCGGTGGAATTGGCACTGAAATTCGATCCCGACCTGGCCAAGAGCATCGCCAAATCCTTCAGCCTGGACAACGACACCCGCAAGCGATTGTGGCTGCTGATCGCTCAGTACATGGTCACGCAAGACTCAGACATTTCCAAAGCCACCGAGCTGCTGCATGAATCTGGGGATATTATTAAAATCGAGGATATTCTGCCGTTCTTCCCGGACTTTGTGACGATTGACGATTTCAAGGAGGCCATCTGTGCATCGTTAGAGGATTATAATCGGCATATCGGAACGCTGAAAGGTGAGGTCGAAGAAGCGACAAGAGAAGCGGAGGATCTGCGGGGAGAGATCAGTGAATTCCGTAGTCAGTGTATGTTTATCAATGGAGGCGAAGTGTGTACCAAATGCCGGTTGCCCTTATTGACTCAACAGTTTTATGTCTTTCCTTGCAAACATCATCTACATGCGGATTGCCTGATGGCACTGGTTCGGGTAAGAAATCCACTTGTGATAATCTGCTAATGTTTACGAATCTTGAATTAGTGGTTTTATGCGAGCGCTTTTGAAAGACATGAACAGCTGTGGTACTGATCGGCAACGAAAAGCGTTGATGAATTTTGCTGTCCAACTGAAATTATGAGGCGGCTGCAGTTATGTTTAGAAATCATGAAGTACTCGCGCATTAAATAGCTGCCAACTTGCGATACATAATGTTCCATTTCATTACGATAAACATAAATTTAATTTGCACAACAAAGTTACCTGGTTCACAATTATTCTTCTGTGGTTGTTTCTTACATAATGAATGGACAAAATGATAATGGGTGTATTTATTTTTAGCCTAATTTAATGGGGAACAAGCCAGTGCTGGTGGATGACTTGCGTAAGCAATTGGAGACTATGAGGGAACAGGATGACAGTGCGTCTTTGCACTCCTTCGGATCCGGGGGAGCGGCGGGGACGTTAAGTAAGCGAGAGATGGTCAAGCAGGAATTAGAGGATCTAATAGCCTCCGAATGCCCCTTCTGCGGGCTGCTCATGATTAAGTCGGTGGATTTGCCCTTTATCAGTCCCGATGAATACGATGCCGTTACCGGTAGCTGGCAGTGATCGTGATACATGTGAAATCGAGTTACTTTTTTTCGATTAAATGCTGTACGACATCGATGAGTACAGTACTTACCTTGCGCTTCGTTGGTGATGTTGCTTAAAAGTGCTAGTAATATGATTGATTGTTTTTTAAGTGCTGATATTTCGGTTACCGTTTGTGATGATTTGAGTAGCTTGTTTCTGTTGTCTTGTTACCATGCTGTTGTGATTTTATTTAAGTCGAAGAATATTATTGTGTATTTATGATTATGCGTACAGGATCCATCCATTATGTTGCATCCATTTATAGTTTAGTATTTACAATGTTGTCGATACAACTTACTGCTCAAAGCGCCATTTTATGAACTGTAACTGTAAATCGCTGGATCGAGCGTTCCGACCAGTGTTGCAAATTCTGAAGCTTCACAAGGCCTTTCTTTTACAGTGTTCACGATAGTAGCGATGATGGTAATTGCTTTTTTATTTCACGAAGTCCAGACGGCGTAGCTTTTTTTCTATCGTATCAGCTTTCTACTTACCACTACCAGCTTAACAGCATTCCACAAGGCCAGGGCGAATCGTACGTAGAATGCTCGGTGGCGTAAGGTACCGAATTACTACGGGTACTGATTTTATGGGGTTTTATACGACAATACATTCTATGGTCATCTGTATTGTACATCTACATGCAGAGGTCGCGGCACAAACTCATTTTCATAATAAGTAACTCTGAATTATTTTGATTTTTGAAAATTTGGGACCATCATATCTTTGTAAATAAATTCGGGACCATTATATCTTTGTACGTAATTAAACTGCTGGCGGCGCTTGCCGCTTGGTCAGTGGTCAGTGACCACTGGTCAGTCAGCACTGAGGCTGGCTGAATAATCATCAGTCAAAAGTGGTAAAGTACAATACAACGCTACGAAATAAGAGAACTCGATTGGATTGTATAGATATTTTGCTGGCAGGGTACGTACAGACTACAGTGGTACACAAGTATTTTAATACGCTTTGGATCGAGCCGTTTAGGATGGATAGATACGCCTGATACGGTATGACGAATTCTGCACCTTGTGGTCTGCACCGAGCGCACTCCATCATTTTATACGTAGTCTCTTCATGGCTGTTTAATATGTAGACCGCTGTCCACGTACCGCATGACAAAACGTACAGCGCGTTGCATGGGACCAAATGTCAGTAGTCAGAACTCGGAGTCGCACATATAGTATGTAACGCTGATAACAGTTGTAAATCATAAAATTAATTTGATTTTCTACAGAAAAACTGTAAAATGTAAAAATTTTGGTATTAGGCTGCTTTCGTTACATCATGCCACCGTGGTCTTCCGCTGCCATCAACTGCTTGAGTCAGTACAGGAAGAAGAAGCGTCTGCGTTCCGAGAACGTACTCAACATCTTCGCGCAGTGGCAGAGTCGCCTGGACGAAATCGAAAAAATACTCCAGGATAGCCTCAACCAGGATTTCACCGATGGAAAGTTCACCAAAAACTTCAAGTTTGCGCCAGGTAGAAAGGCAATACTAATCTTTCTGGAACAGTGTGGTGGTAGCTGCACCTCATCGTAATTTGGATAGATGGATAGTTATCGTAATGCTTTGGCTGAGAGTTGTGCCAATAGGCCGAAAACTAAGGTTGAAATCTGGTTTGACCACAGGTGACAGCGTTCTGGTGTTATCGAATTCGGGATTGTATTTTGCTGGCAGGGTAAGTGTACTCGTGTACTTGTACGAACATCCTTTCTATCCTTTCTAAATTCGGAAGAGCTTACCAATCCAATATAAATCATATGTATGCGTAGAAGTACTTTGTACTTCTTTAGGTGGCCCGTGTGTTTGGTGTTGCTGTCCCCGAAAGCCTGTATGGCGGCGATAAGCAAACATTCTCCAGTTTGCCAATAAATCACTGGGTTGCCACAATGGCGGTACGTTTCGATGGCTACGGACCGCGGTAGGTTATGAATTCATGTCTATACAGCTGAACATCCATAGCTTTGCTGTGCAGGTTTATCGCCAAAATAGTGAGTCAACACTGTAAATGGCGTAAAGGGTGGTGATACACGCCGGAGTAATTTAACAAAATACAGGTGTTTTTTGTCTTTCTAGCTGGCACGAAGTCCATGCTGAGAACGAAATTATCCTCCGCCAACCATCCTGTTTAACCAACACCCTCGGAATGTTGTTCGCGCACGAGTTCAACACATCGCGTTGGTGAGTTAAACTGGATGAGACTAATTGGACCTGCGAGCCTAATGATGCAAATTACTATGCATGACTTCTTTGATACAGCATGAAATACCAGTGCATAAACAAAGAAATGGGCGAAGGAACCTGGTTCCTGGAGGACGAGGTGTATAAGTGGCTCGAAAGCCTGTGGCAACAGGAAACAGGTGAGGTCGTCACCTTTGCCACCTACTCCGGTCGCGCCCAGGCGGAAAGCGCTCTGAGCCATCTGGCGGTTCATTAGCGAACATTGGCCCGTGGATCTTACAGTTTGATGATAATAGAGTGCATGCTTTATTTTAAAAGTGTATAGAGAAGTGTTTTTATTGGCCGGCCATGATCTGCTGGTGAATGATATCTTTTCAGTTTATACGCAAGTAATGGTTTTGATGGTTTTTAGATTTTGTTTGGCTGTTTGGTTTCAACGTTCACTTCTACTTGAGAGGTACAAAACATGCGCAGGTTTTGATGTTTTTAGTAAGTTTTAAGATTGAATATTGTAGCGTTAATCATTCTTGTAACGCTTTTGAACGAAAATTGTGATAATAATGTACGTGATAAATAAACAGCTTCTGTATCTGTATGTTGTTGCGCTAGCTGATTAATTGCAGCAAACTACCGGTAACTGAAACTAGACATTCAAATCTGGTGTCATTTCGAAAAAATTTCAGCAGGTTATAACCGGTTATACATAATATTATTTAATTCAAAGGTGGAACCGGCAGCTCCTTAATATATAGTATGTATACATACGTAGTATCTGTACATCATAATGTAAAGTAAAGCATTTCAAACGTATCTGCAAAGTGGTTGTCGTCACGGGAGTATGTTTCTTAAGTACATGCGTCAGTAGCAGTAATTTTCCCGAGAAACAAGCACCGTGCAGTGGTCGGAACAATGGAGTATCACGGACACTCTTAATTTACGTTTCGCCTACGGAAGGTTCCAGACAGTAGGGTTTTTATGTATGTAATCACTTGTTACTGCAGAGAACATCGGCTGATTATTACTAGAGCAGTACTTATTGTAATTCCGAATATTCCGTCCAAAACGCTTTCCGTACTTCCGCGGGAAGTCGGTGTAAGGCACTGTAGATGCCTTTTAAATGCCGTGTTAGAATAGGAGGTTTTTTATTTGGAAATTCCCTGCGCTGACGGCGCACTCCCTCCAGTGCTTGCTTAATCACAAAATGCTTAAGATCGGGCGCTGGTTTGTTACGAAAATGATGTAACGTCACAATGGCTGCCACATAATTTTGCACCGACGAGAATTCAAGGCTGCGCGACAGCTCAGCAATATACAACCTGATGGTGCGCGGCTTCGCCGGTACTGGCTGTAGTCGATGACGATCGCAAAATTTAAGTATCGGCACCATTGAACTTTTCTAGTGCGAAGGGATGACGGCGCCAAAGCATTCAGCCGCAACGAGTTCAGGATCCGGTTGAGATTGGCTGTTTGGGTACCTGGAACAGTAGTCACCTGTCAGGCGCAGTGAACTCTGGCCACGGTTAATGCGGTCAACAACGGTTGACTTATAGATGTCAGCAGTGGTGATGCGGCTCATAGCATCTGCAAAACTGTTATCGGCACCAGGAATGTGGCAAGCGTCCACATAAAAATCATGTTGGCACGAAGCATAAAATACTAACTTCAACCACTTTAAAGCCTCCAGAGATTTGCAAAATCCGCGTTTTAAAAAGGCAACCGTGGACGAATTGTCGCTTTCAATCAGTATCGTGCAACCACCGAACGCCGGTGCCCAGACCAAGATCGGGATGCAAGCGGCAACCATTTCCAAATAATTTATGTTCGTTCGTAAACTATGACTAACCAGCGGCGGACGAATAAAATTTGTCAGTACGCGTAGGTGATGGGAGATATCCGCTAAATCCCAACTGCCGGCTAACCAGCTATTACCCAATGTAGCACCAAACCCAGAAAACGACGCTTCTGTAGAAATGCGAATCACGCGGCGTGGCTTTGAGATTACACATTGCGTCATACCATTAAGCTGCGGTGCGACTGTTTGCCACCAAACCAACTCACTGCGGATTAGTGCAGTTACTCTCACTCTGTGGTGAGGCCGCTGCAGTTGAGTAACTGCATCTATAAAAATTCGGGAAAACGCCCGTGCGCCTTTCACTGCTCGCGACGCAAAACAAATCAAACCCAGTAACGACTGCAGTTGAATTTTACTAAGTTTTTCATTATTTTCAAATTCAGCGCATTTAGACACTAATTTCTGTATCTTCTCTTCTGGTAGTTCCACTTTCTGCGCCACGGAATCGATAATTATGCCAAGAAAACGTACTCGTTGCGTGGGGTAGATAACCTTGTCCCAATTAATAACGAAGCCGAGCAATAAAAGTAATGCTATTAGCGCCTGCTGAGCGGCCGCGCATAATTCGTAGTTGTCAGCGATCACCAGGAAATCGTCCAGGTACGGCACAATTTTAAAACCACGTCTACGAATCATCCGCGCTACGGCGGTAGATAATCGATGAAAAATACTTGGAGCACAAGACAGGCCAAAACTTAAAAAGTTATCGACATAGTATTCATCAACTCTGTCAAAACGCCAACGAAAACCCAGCAGCTGCCGGTGCGGCCGAAACACGGGTACTGAACGGTACGCCGATTTTAAATCAGTGACAGCAAAATAACACCCTGGTTTACATTCAGCTAATGCGGAATCCAACGTGGCAAAAGAGAAACTTTCACAAACGGCATAAGAATTCAGTGAATTAATTTCCGGGCGACTGCAATCAGTTATCGGGCGAAACCCGCCATCTTTTTTCGGTACTGCGCCTATAGATTGAACACGTATTGGTTTCGTAACCTGCCTGCTTATTTTGCCAGCACGTAACTCGTCACTAAATATTCTATCTAATGAAAATTTCGCGTCACCAGACAAAGCACTGCGGTAATTTTTGCACTCTGCAGTGCGAACTTCATTAAGATCCGGTACAATAGCAAAACCAACGGCGATACCATGCAAGATAAAATGGCGATCGTGATCATCACCCAGCGCATAAAACCATTCCGCTAACGAGCGAGTTAAAGAACAACGGTCAACTAAATCTGAGTCAACAATATTAGTATAATGCAGAAGTTCACTGTTACCAAAACAATTACTGCGAAGAGCAGTACGAATACATTCATGCGCCGGTGGAGGAAACGCACTGCTAATGTCACTAGCGAGAGAAACGCTCTCAATTGCGTTGTCCATCCGCGGTGTTGTTCCCGCTCTGCTGTCGAAATGCCGGTCCACGGTTTGGCTGCTGCCCATTGACATTTCCGGTGCGGCAAAAGCGTCCTTGATGAGGTCCGGAACAGAATTCGCAGTGGTGTGGGAACAAGCAGTTACCGCGTGTGTTACACCTCCCATCGTTCCACCGATCACAGGCGAGATATGGCCCACGGGCTGTCTGGCTACTGGCGATTTGAGAGCGAAAACGAGGCGGGCCGTCATACGGACGGGACCCGCGCGGAAAGCGTCCGCTGTCTACAATCAGATTGGCAGCGTGGAAATGGCGGTGAATAATGTTGGTGCACGCCGAAAAATCGTTCAGCGCTAGCTTTTGCCGATTAGCTAATTTCCGAAATTCTTCGTCAAATTGCAACACGTATTTCGACTGATAATCGCGGGACTTCTCAACCAAAAATTCGATATATTCTACATACTCTATTAAAACCGCGTTATGATCAGGCGATCGAGCTAAGTCACGGATTATGTTCAGTGCGCCGCAGATAAATTCGCCAAACTTAAGGTCACGCGGACCTACTTTTTTACGTCCGTCATCTGCCAGCATGGCGCGCGAATAAACTATCTCGTGCGGAGGCTTCAAATCTCGGGCAAACTTAGGCAATTCAAAAGCGGGAAAATCTAACGGCTCGTCTAACATGTCACACTCACCCGACGCTTGGGATGATGGTCGGACCGTTGCCGGCCGGACATTAGGATGCCGCAGAGGTCCACCGGACGCCTGCGGTTGCTGCTGCCCAGATACACTGCGGGATGGCTCGCCCGGGAACAAGTATTTTGTCAGCTTCAACTGCTCACAGAGGATGCCAATGGCCTTGGGGATCAGGTCCGGCTTTTCCCGAAGTAACTCCAAATCATCACCTTTGACGAACCCGTTTGCCTTAAGTTGCGCGACCCCTTCTGTGGAAAGACCAATTATACCGGCAACTTCCTCAATTGGTCCAATGGAAATGTCTAGCTCAAGGGGCTGCACCTGTCGATTCTCCTCCTGGACAGGCGCTGAAGGACGGCCCGCCGCGGGCGGTGCCGATACGGTGGCATTGGAATGGGCTGCTTTTAAAGCGCTGAACAAGCGGTCCACTAGCTGAGCTTTGTTACCGGCGATTGCCTTTCCTAAACCTCTTAACTGGCTTCTCAATTCTTCGTTCGACTTCTTCTCAAGATTAGTGCGTGATTCCATATTTGATGAGGAAATTAAACAACTGACTAACAATCAACTGACAATAAAACTTAACGCAATTTTAACGAAACTGATTCTATCAGAACAAAATGCAATATATACTGACAATTCAACGAAAGGTCACTTGTAACGAATGCTAACAGCGGTAGTTAAATCGAAGTTATAAGTAACTGGCGCGATCGGACCAGAAAAAGAAAGTGAACTAACTGTACATTCTGCTCTGCAAATGCTTATATACTATCCGCACATTCTTACTCTTCCACATACAAAGACACCGCACTCGTCCACAACAAGTCATTAGCAGCTAGCATGCAATTATTACAGCGACTGCCTTTTGTCTTTCCCCAGGTGGTCAGATGCAGATTGGGTGGTCGTTATCCATGTCTCTGGGAAGCGGTCACGCGTCGTTATAAACAGATTTCTATAGAAATCTTTCTCATCAACAGTCTGTAATTATCGCGTGCAAGAATAGCAAAATAGCTATTGGCTAGACATCAACTTCAATCGATATTCTAGATGTGGGCGACTTTCTTGGGCATTCTCAGCTGGAAAAATGACGATCGGTAGTGGTGAGGAAGAATAGTATGTGGTTGCAGGGAAGGCGCGCAGGAAGATTGTGGATTCTCATGATTGCCCTCTTTTAATGGAAGAATGCGACTCTTGTCGCGTATGAAACTTTGCCGAAAAAACATAATTAGTCGATCGTATGTATTTCTGGCTGCTTTACGGTATTCGGCGCTCAGGACAATTAAAATCACCTGAAGAAATAACAGTGCATCAAACTTGTGACTGTAATTGACCTTTAAACGATCACATGCTTTGTCTCATTTAACAGCATCGTTTCGAAATATATCTGAAAATATTGTATAAATATTGTTTAAATATCGCCTTTTTGTTTAAATAAGTATCGCCAGAGGCTTTTGGCTAGTTGCGCTCATTAGTACGGCAGTCTTGCCAATCCAACAACTGAACACAACCGTCATGCACTGCACAATTCAAAGGATTACAAATACGGCATGACTTCCTGGAAAATAAGTCTTATTACTTACGCAAGCAATCGAACAGTACTATAACAAAGGATCAATCAACAGTTAACGTGACTAATTCGTGCCACATTGTACGCTTCTTACCGGCGTCCCAGCTGATCCGAAGAGGAGCAGCGAGCATATCCACACAAACAGCAGATCTCTGCCCATCCAGAATTCCGGCGCATACGCCGCAATCGTCGGCATGGGAAGAAAACACAGTGTGTACCATAGACTGGACACAAACAGCACCACAGACATTCCGCTCTGGCGTCGCTGCCGACGCATCTCAATCAGCGGGACAAGCGGCGTCCGACAGCGCCGCACCGCTAAGGTCACCATTACGGCACTGTACAACAGAGCTTGTAATAACAGCGGCACCGAGATGCGCAACGACGTCAGAATGGAGAAGATCCAAGTGTTACGCGACGCTAATCCACAAATACCAGCTGGTGACAATAAACCGTAGTAGCCATCGCGATCGCTGACGAGAAACGGCAACAGCGTAATGAGACCCATGCACCAGCTAAGCACGATCATGCCGATTAGGCTCCGCTTATTGGAGCAGAGCGGGTAGTAGTGGGGGAACATGATGGCCACGACCCGGTTCAGGGCCAGACAAACATGAATCCAGTGTCCCACGGTGTACAGCGTGTAGCGAGAGGCCACGATAAACGTGCAGTCGATGAGTAGTGTGCGGTTGGTCTGTGTGAAGTAGATGTAAGTGTTGAAAAGATACACGGGGATGAGGAGAAGGATTTCATGGAGCAGGAGCTGAACGATTAAGATATGGGTGCCTTCACGAAATGTGTCCCAAACAAACAGGCCAACAACCAAAATCAGACTGAGGACGGCGGAGATTAAGGGGACAATACTAGCAACAATGTACCAGACCATGACCGCATTTGGATCCAGTTTGTCAACAGCCGAAGTATTGTACCACCATGTCGCGTTTGAAACCAGCATTCTGCCAACACAGTCGGGCCTCGCTGAAGCACACGATCGGAGTCCAGAAAGCGTTGTCGACTAACTAGCCGCTGCTTTTATCGGACGGATGTTTGGTCAGGTCGGTGGATGTTTAGTAGTTTATCAGCCGTTGAGAGCCAAATTACGAGGTTTCGCTGCAACACGTGTCAATCATTTGACTGTTGTTACAAGGCATCGCGGTGTTGAGTTGCTTTTGAACCAACGGAAAAGGTGGGTCGGACCAGTTACCGGAGACGCTGACGGCATTAATTACACATGTAGGAACCTATAGTCACGGCTACTCTAACAAGTACAGTACAAGTTACTGCCGATTTTCCATGTGCCGGATATAGCTTTACGCACGCCGCGGTGGACTATTATTTTGAGATGGTAATTGTCGTGATCACCAGGGAAGGAATGGCAGGTTTCTCGATCGATAACTCTTGATGTCTTGTTGGAAGAACGGGTTACGTCGAGTTGTAGTTGGATCCAATCACAATGAAGAAAAGTTTTAAATTTGGCATCATCTATACAATTCAGATGACGTAGTCGTAGACAAATAAGCAGTGCGACATAGTGTGGAAACACAAATGCAGTAAGAGTGGCACGGTATTTCGTGACCTTAGGGTTTACTAGTGCATGTCCTCGATTTGTTGATGCACCACATCGTCTATAGCTAAGCACTGTCACGAGTAACCTATACTTAAGTAAGTATGCGGATTCTAATAGATATGAATACCGGTATCTAGACAAGTAACCATATCAATCGTTATACTCCGTCATAATTACTTACTTATTGTTAGATCAAGGTTGTCCAGTTGCGTGGCGTGATTATGTGATCCCGCCTTTATTGCAGAGAATGTGGTCATCACGCCGACCCCAGATATTATATGTATAACCATATAAATGCAGGTAAAAGATAGAAATATAATATATGACCGCTGTGTCAACCAATTCAATTTTAATTTGCACTTCGGCGGTAACCTTCAAAGTGAATATCGGTTGATAAAAGTACGGGAGCGGCCGAATTCCAGCGACGCGGATAGGTGCTCCTAAACCTTAAAGATACCAGGCCCACTTGTTGAAGTACAAATCGTTCTGAAGAACTAGTATACAGTACATAATAACCTGGTACGACATAAACCCATACAGAATACCAAATTCAAATTGAAAGTGCGTGTACTACAAATGCATGGATCTTTAGAAACAGGCATCCATCATTGGATTTAAGTTTTGACCAGTTAACGTAAGGCCCGTAGCGGTAACCAAAATGTCACACCGCATCTGCTATGTTATTTTCTGTTCTGCACATTCAAAAACAAACTTTTCCAAAATTAGCCGTTACAGACACTTTCAGTCTTCAATCCTAATAAGAGCTGCGCTCCGGTCTACCAATGCACAGTTCGGTGCATTTTCCTAGGAATTTAATTCTTATGCTCTTTAGAAGGTATCTTTGAACAATTAGTTTGACATAAACTATGCAAGTGCAAACTGGTCGATACCAGTAATTTTTCATGCTTTATTCAGCACTTTTCTGTACTGTACCAAAGGTTTCCAGTGTCTAAATCGGTAAACCAGGTCCAGACCGTGAGCGAAAGTTATTAACTTGGTGAAAAAATCATTAGTCTGAAAATGGTCTCCAAAAGCATTACGATCGGAAGGAGAACTAATGTAGTCCGTCTGGTATAATGGGCTTCAAATTGGTGCCTGCGAGACTCAAAAGACTTTGCTGGAAAACAGCGAAAACCCTTTGAAGCAATATGAACTATTAAAATGCACTTCAGCAAAAAATAAACATTACTGGCGTCGGAAAAACGTTCTAAAAACAATAGAAAGCCTGAACATAGTATTCATCTGCAGTGGATACGAAAATAGTTATGAAGCAACTGCGTTGTCATCATGCAAATCCTCCTCATCCAGTTAGCCCGCTATCATATTTTTCGATTCTAAATGGCATCGTCACAATGTAGTATAAGGCAATCACACCGCCCTTGCGGTTGCCCAAAAGTAAATCATGTTGCCTAAAGCATACTGTTTTACAGTTGTAGTGTGTTCCTGGTGAGCCGCTAATGGTAAGACTAAACTACAGTTTTTGAGTTAAGTGCTTCATTGATTCATTAAAGATGTAATTTTCTGATATCGCGATCCACTAAATCTGTACATCGAATTTTCTTACCGCCATAACTCCCGAACCGGTTGTTGCGCGCACAAACGGTTTTCCCGCCCATGTATACAAATCATCTGGCCACAAAGGTGTTTGGGAGTGCGCGAAAGCGAAATTTTTCGTACATGTACACGAATTTGGTACCATGTATCGGGCCACTTCCCTTAAGTATGGTCGATCGGGAATTACCGAATCGCCGGCTTTCAGTAAGTAGGCAACTGTGGCACTGAATTTTTCCAGAGTTTGGTAGTTTATACTCCATATTAGCCCATCACTCTAATTTATGGTCACGTCTATATCCAAAAAAGTGAATTTTAAATTTTCTAGCTGTACTTCGCTTTTTCTTATATTCCGGTCACTTTAAATATACAGTTTCATATTCCGGTCACCAGGTATCAAAGTGCCTAACAAAACAAAATTCACAGAAATGGCTAGTTTTCATAAAACGGACCTCTCTCATTAAATCTGGATCGAAAACATCAATAAATTTACTAACAAAATAAAACAAATAACAGAAACTCTAAACCGGGTGAGACTCAAAAGACCGGTGACGGAATATGAAACCATTCACTCAAAGGGACCGGAATATGAAAAATAATGAAGTATACTATATATGTAGACTGCATTAGGGATAAAGTGCAGCTGCAGAAATCAGGTTTACCTTCCAGTAACCGCTTCTCCGCCTCTTTTTCTACAGTAATCCAAGTTCGATCTCAAACATAGTAGAGCCAAATGAGCTGGACTCCGATGGAATGCAAATTAATCATTCACCTTTCACAAAAGGTGACATTCATTTGCCTACTGCGTAATAAAAAACGGTGACCTTTGATGTATTCTCAGACTTTTTTGTGAACGTTCACTGGTAAGTGCGGCAGGAATCCAGCAAACATCAAAACAGCAAAAACCAAAGGGTAAATTCGCTGTTTATACTGAAAATGTTACTTGACAGCAGTGTACAAACTCAGTAACTAAGACAGCCGAAGACAAAATCATCACAGGTTGGCTAGGAAAAGTTGAACGGATTCTTCTGATCAACCAGCGGTAGTTTCACCCTCAATTGAGTGGACGACTTATTTTTGAAAAAGGTTACTCGGTGTAAAACATTAAAACTAATATCAGAAGTACTCTCGGTTGCAAACTTGCATGGTCAACACCGTGCTAAGTATGGACCTTGGTCCTACGTACAGAGTAGCAGGAGTATTGAGGATTTGGTTAACGTTTTCAGGATTTTCGTAGCTAAGGTGCTGTAGTATCATCTTCTGAACTACGTTTCACGGACACCCATAATTGCGGAAAATGCGACAAATTCTGCGTGAATCGGGATAATAAGTAAAATCGGGATTTGTTGCCGAAAAACGCTCATTGCATTTTGTAATTCCTTGTTATACTGTGCGCAATACGTACCCATTCTGCTACTGTATTGGATTCGGCCTAAATTCGCACCACAGTTTTGAAGATTTTTTTAACCACTGCAATACATTGACAAACATGAAACAGGTTCGATGAGTGACAATAATAATTTGGCACGTTAGTATTGTTAGTAAGTACGAGCACTCAACGCTTGTAGTGCTCAAGAAGCCATGCATATATCTGTTATGTACCGTATCTTTGTAGCAGTCAACAAGGAGCTGCTGCCTTAAGACTAACATTATCATTCCCGTTATGAATGACCGTTATATGAACGAGCAAGTTAGCCAACTGATCGGTAGTCAGAACTCGCATTTCTTTTATGCGGCAACAAATGCGATGTTAGTGCCCCGGTCATCAGCACCCTGCTTGTTGGTAGGACCAGCTTTGGCCAGCAGACTACACGAGTTCTCGCCGCGCATAGACGAGAACTGTGCCGCTTGACAGCTGGGATGAATGTCGCACATGGCCTGGCACTCTTCCGCCGGTGTCCCATAGCTGCTGTCCACCACCGCTTGACCTTTCTTGTTCTTCAGCAATGGCGACTTTATCTGCACTCGGTCGCGCTGGCTGAACTTTTTATAGGCGAATCCAATCAACTTGTTTTGATCCCGCTGGAAGATGCAGTCAAAACTGGCCGGCACCAGACCGCACATTCTGTCTTTGGTTTTGAAAACAGCGAAACGGCATTTGGAATCTTTTCGGCACTTGTTGGCACAGTCATCTTCCGATTTGCTGGATGCATACGAGATCTTCTGATCACAAATAGCGGTGCGGGAAGTGATCTCTGTCATCTTCCCTTTCTGTAAAGAAAACGATTTTATAGTAAGAAATTAGTCGATTTGCATCAGTTTGTGGCGCACGCTAAGCGAAACTCATCACAGCCCAGATTACCAGATAGTTTTATTCTGGCTATACCTATAGTAAGTACCTAATTATGTAAATACATACGTTAACAACAGTGAACGCGTTATTACAAAACTACGCCATCAAGACCTTGCGGTGCAAGATTTTTTATTACAGACATTCGGTGGTAGCTCACTTTGCACAACTCACCGTGTCGCTGGCTCCGTATACGAGGCTGGCTGAAATACGAAAGTTCATGTGATTAACTTTAATTTGAGTTAATTGCTTATCACCTGACAGTGCATAGAACAGTACCAATACGTAGGTACAAACAGCGACACAAGAGTAGCGCTACGATCTCAGTTGTTTTAAAAATGGCATAAATCTTCGCTAATTTCGATCTTACCGAACATCATCACAGAAATCAAGGGAAACAGTAAGGCCATGTTTTGTGACAGCCGATTGCTGCAGAAAACTACCGGTAATAACAAGAAGCTCAGGATCGATCAGCGGTATGACTGAGAAGAAAACAGAAATACCTCCAAAAGAGAGATATTATTTTCACCGCACTTTAAACTAGTAATGATAAACTGAGTCCCGACCCGACTACCACGTTTTGCCAGCTTTCGTTCCGGTTTATAATAAACCTTTTTTGGCGCAAACACTTACAATGAAATTACATAATGATAATTGCTACGGGCACTATAATTGCAGTATTGCACCTATGAAACTGTACGTTAGCCTGTAGGGCGCATAAAATTTAGTGTTAGCCCACTTTGTGCATGCAAGACTCTTTTTTATTCCATCAGAAGTAATGCATTTACAAATCCTGCTTCTGTTGCTCGCCTTTACATGTCAGAATATTAAGAATTCTTGATCATACACTTATCTGTAAAGCAGCTCGGCCTTAAAACAACTACAACCGGAAAAACGGATAAGCAGCATCCCGCATGACCAGATACTGTACTTACAGTAGTTGCACTACCGTATAATTATATGTGTGCGGTGCACTTGATAACTTTCTACATAAAACAAATTTCTTCCAGTGAAGTAGATTTTACTGCTAGCAATATGGCCCTTACACTACGAGTAGTAAAAGGAGCAGAATAGAACAAACATGCTTTCTTTATTCCGTATTGCATTTGTGATTATAGACAAATCTGGTGCATAGACAACAAACCCCAGTAAAACAACTTGCAAAAAAAACGTTAGTTAAACGTTAGGAGACGGCTAAAATTGACACACATCCGTTCACCTAACGGTAGTTACACGTTAAACTAACGTTTTTCCTACAAGCCGTTTTACTCGGGAAAGCCAAATGGAATAAATACTGTACAAATAGTCAACGCATGACATAAGGTAACAAAAAATCCCAGTCAGTGAAAATACTAAAATGAATCTTAAGATTGAATTATGAAAAAAATTCACTCCATAATTAGATCACCGGAGAAAAAATGCCCTCAATAATTAGATTTTCTTTGCAAAGAATAGCAAGTGCCACTTGTGACTGTTTTCACAGCCGTTATAAATTATTTACAGTGATTGAGATTGTCGGCACTTAAACGAGATGAGACAACATGGTCTGTCCACATACACAGATGCTGGTAAAAGCAAAAGGGAATCGGGCAGTCTTTTGAACACAGAAAAAAACTAACACAACGAACATAAAACATTTGCCCGTCGCGATGAAAGACTTGTCACATTGAGCATTTAGTCACAAGGGTAATTATCTCTACACATATTTGTACCGAACGTAAGTATATTTATGTGACTGCACTGCTGACAGCCAGCTGCCGGTTACACACTGACCAATGCCGCACATTGTATCCGGATCATCTTTCTCCGATCGGAACGCCAGAGATCGATATCGAGCAAGCTGGATGGGAGACCATCGGTTGTTATTGGAACGATCATTTATCATCATCAGATTATTGTTTCCAACTGATCATGCATTTTGCTACGGCTTTAAACGATGACGCCCCAGCGTCCGAGCCGATGGAGACGAGGCGACTGACTGAGCTTCCTGTTTTGTGCCACCATACACACCATGTATAGGTCACTGCGTCATTAATTTAACATAGTCTATTTTATATCAAGGGCTAGGATAGTCCTGTGGATCATAGTCCAGTAAATGTTGCAAATATTATCAATTTTAAAGATAATAATTATCCATCAACAATTTTTGTGATAATGTAGGATGTGGTTAATCACTAAAATTAATAATAAGTTAACTGATCTTTGAAAGCACAATACGTACGTACAGATAAGTTATAATGTGATCAGGTTGCATCTTTGAAGTTCCAAGGGTACGTAAGAAGCACACACAACAAGAAGCGCTACAAAGTAAAGATTATTGCTGTATATTTAAGTACATTATCAACGCAAGGTTTGTTAAATAGTAGACTGGTTGTCTGGTCTTTTTGGCGCGGAAGTTTTTAAAAAAAGCCGCGTATGCCACGATTTTTTAGCTTTTAGCTCGCAATTTCAGTTTTTGGAGTTTTCAGCTGATCTGCAATTTTAGTTCCTTGTAGTGCTCCAAAACTGTGGTATGTCACGTCTTGTGTAAAATTTTTGCTCCCGAAACGTAAGTAGCTTGCCAGCCGCAAAATGTGAGGAAAAGGCTAACGCAAATAGTACTCTAGCCGCTAATGACCGAAAACCAAACAACGCTGGAAAACTATCCTGTCAATCGAGGTCACCCCAGCAATTTTAATAATTTGACGGTACAGAACACGCTGGAAAATGAATTCCATCAACCTTCCACTTGAAAATGGGCGGTTCTGATAGTATGACTCACCGCCGGCAAATGATTAAGCGATCCAGTGGGAGCTGTACGCACTCGTATAGCAGGATCCTTTTCAGATCCGTTAGCAGGCGATATCAATGAGGATGATGGTGTGTTATGTGTGCTGGCGTTCATGTATCTGTTTGGTTTCCTCTGCGGCTATAATTACCATCACTTCACAACCGATAACCTCATCCTCTTGGCAGGCGCCAAGCTGCAACATTGACTTGCAGTCGTCGAGTATGGATCCATTGGACGCGCGATGGTTTGAGCTGATTTCCGCTTCGTCTGGCCAGTGACCCACTGCCAAGAGCAGCGGATGCCTATAACGCAGTAAACGCACAATGCACACTCATTAAGCGCAACCCTTTCATTAACTTTGTTTTCCTCAAACGCATTCACTTCCGTGTATCAGCTGGGTAAATATCCCTCTTCCCATTAAATACCGCAAATTTCTACAAATAAAATCCCTATAGAAATATCACGCTGCATTTAACAATCGAAGTTTTGGATCAGAATACCATTGCACTTTGACGGAAAACATAAGTGATATTCATGAAATTTATAGAGTTATCACCAGCTAATTGAAATAATGTCAGTTTACTTCAGTTCTAAAGTGGCGAAGTGCGTCAGGAATTTGAAATACATTTCGAAAACTGCGCCGATGGCTGTTTGTTATGAAATATGGGCAACTTTAATTGATTATTAATATGTTCGATCCATGCACAAAATGCAAAATATCCGCTGCCAACAGCTGATTGGCCGCATGAATAATGCCACTGACACATTCATAATTTCCCACCCAATCACGCCCATTGCCAACACACGAGCTACCACTAACAAGTAAACTGCACCCACAACTGCTGCCCAGAACGGTCGACTAAATCAGCCGAGCAAAATTAGCATCTGCTTTGGTTATCCTCAGCAGCAACCAAAGCAATCCCGAAAAATTATGACTACATGTTATACAAGTAACCCGATCTGCGCGAGTGTGCAGTGCAGCCGGTCCCCATAAAGTCAAACATGCAGCACGAACGCCGGACCATGAGAGAGATATCTTGTCATTAAGGAAAAGTAGACCACGCTGCGTGTGTGCGGATGTGTGTGAGCATATTATGTGAGCAGCCGGGATTAAATGCTACATATCCTGATCAAGGAGAGCAATCCATTTCGCCATTGATCCACACGGTCTCGTCTTAATTTTTCGGCCGCTTTCCGCATCGTCTTGACCAGTGGGATGTGCTAGTTTTTCCCGGCGCAGCGCTTGCCCGGGGGCATGAGAAGACGCCGGACGAGATACTGGCGTTACACACCAAGACAACTAGTCAGTTTTGCCACTTTAAGGATGCGTTGACCCACTGTGATCCCTGATCTGGTCATTGAGGGGATTTTCTTATCCGTTGCCTGCACGCCATTGCCTTGGCAAGTGTGCGGTTGTGCCACGGGAGGATTTAGCCGTAATCTCTACCAAGGGGACTGCCGTTTATCCCCCAGCGTGATGGTATGTGGAAAAAAACCCAAGCAATAGAGTTTTCGAAATTTCTTATAGCTTTTTAATTTAGCGGTAGATTTTTTTTTCAAATCAGTCGGTTGTTAGATGTTATTTTGATTCTGTTGTTTTTTAAACGTATGCATTGGCGGCAAAGCTAGTCTCCGATCCGCCAATCAGACCTTTGTTGTCACAGTTGATTGGATATATTGCAGGCAGTACTGAAACGGCTGGTGTTAACGAGATGCCACATTCTTACGTTATTCGGTTAATTACGAAATAATTCTCTGTGCTCACTGAACGCTAACAAAATTTGTAATGAATCGAATGTGTTGGACATCTTCGGGTACAGAATTGTTACACCAAGGAGTGCATGTCAAGAATTGCATAGAAAGGTGTTATTAATTTTGGTGTGATCAGTTTACTTTTTTCTCACAGCTGACATCGATTTATTAATTTTGAATCTGAATGATTGCACATGTGACATTTGTATTGTACGTGCACCTTTATGCATACTTGTGTGCGATACCGGCCTTTCCGGTGTCCAGGTGATGGTGAGCCACTGAGCCGTTTGCACTTGACTTGTGCAATAGAATTGACAGTGAAATAGGTATAATCGTGTATCTAGCCATAAACTTTGTGCATATTGCGGTTTAGAAAAGCTTGGATTTATATAATAATTATAAAATAATGCAATATATAATGAGCTGTAAAAAAATTCTGACATCCATACCAGAAACAGAATTTTGATTCCCTTTCAGGAAATGCTTTAGCTTCCACAGCTCAAATCAGCATCATGCATCTTCTTGTTGTGACGACGATCACTTTCTTAACACTTACTTCCGCACCTCCATGCCATTGTCGGCACCAGGTCGACATAACAGCACTTTGTCCCGACGGAACGTCCTCGTCTCCCGCACTTGAACAAAACAACCGGAAGCACTTGTCATCTAACACCGCCGCGCGGGCGCCCAGGCGGCACCGCCGCGCCAAACACTTGGCCCTTCCGGATGCACCGGAAATCCCCCAAGTTGACACAATAAGCGCACGGAGCATCGGATTACACTGGTCCAGTTCGACCGGGTCAGCAGCCGCCGCCGCGACAACGCGGCACGATGTTCCCATTCTTTATTATTTGATCCTGGTGCATCAAAACGGGGAAAATGGTGCACGCGCGCGGATGCGCAGTGGGCCAAGCGGTCCCGGTGACGATGGGCACTGGGAGCAGGGGGAACCGCCACCCGCCCGGCGGATTCGTATGCCGGATAATGCAACAAATTTCATGGTTATGGGACTGAAACCGGTTACGCCCTATACATTCCAGATTATAGCGGTAAAGCAAACGCAATCGGTGCTGTTTATTGCTTTAGTTGTATATGACCACAAAATCGCATCGGTATTTCGTAATCTGCGATTATTATTTGTTTATTGTTTTATTAATTTTTTGTGATTTTTTTCTCCGTTTTTTATTCGCAGTTAACTGGTTAGATCTGATTTTTATTTTTATGTGATTTAACAATGCCTTGCGTTTGATTTGATCTTAGGTAAATTCCAAAGGACATAGTCGCCCGAGTCGCATGTCTCCTGTGTACTGGACCAAAAATGAACCACAACCACCTGGAACGCCTGTGCTCATAATGGTATATTTTTGATTTTCTGTCGCGTATATACTTCTACCGGTAATGCCCGGAAATCTGCCGATAGATATGAATAAGTGCGTTTAAAACTTCGCAAACAGAAAGAAGCGTCAAAAACTCCATAACTTTGCATTGAATAAAAATGATGTGAATAACTGATAGCCTGATGCTCTTAAAACGGAATACGAATTATACGATAGCGATTTTTGCTATCGGCAGTAATTGCGAAGAAACTTTATTGCGTACGCTTACGCTACATGCCGGTTAGAATAGTTTCTACAGCTTGGGCGCATATTACAACGTATTTAATACAGCGCTTTTTATAATAGTATTATGGTGAAAATTGTGTATTAAAATTCTGTGCACCGGCATACCGCGAAGGGCAAACAAAAATGACAGACAACCATCCGGAAATTGTAGGCTCAGAACGCATCCAGCACGTCCATCCGGCTGCAGTGGCTGTCGCCACCTGCTGATTACGAAGACAGCGGAAGTCCGTCCGTGAAAGGTTATCGCTTGACCTACCGCCAGGCAACACCGGCCACCTGGTCGGCCTCCACGGAAGCCCCGGATGGGGATCTCACGCCAGCCGGCTCCAATCCGGGCCAAGTGCACGAAATTCTTATTGATAATCCGCAGATCCACACGTACGAGATACGCCGACTGCAGCCCTACCAACGCTATTACATCAGCATCCAGGCGTAAGCATAAATTTTTGTCATTTCCGCTTGCACAATGCCCTGCTGCAACTCAGCCTGCAAAACGTATCGGAAAGTCTGTACATATCTGTAGTAAAAAACTTCTGAAAAATATCTCTTTCGGTAAAATTGGCTTTACTTAACTTTGGAGATAATCTAACGAGCGGAACTTTAAGAAACTTAAACGCTTTTTGGTTGCAAAAGCTTTTTCAAACTGTGATCACCTTACGATTTTGTATGTATTGTACCTGTACGAAAATACCGTAGTACTTGGGCTGCTAGTTTGGAATATGCATGATTAAATTATGGCCACTGAGCTAAACTGGAGGATACTGCTAAAATTACAAAATAAACTATTTTTCACCGGAAATAGCATTTAAATTGATGGCACTTTTGCGAAAAACAGTGTTTAAAGAAATAATATATCGGTGCGTTAAAATTGCGGTGTGAGTATAAACGTTTAAAAGTTTTGAAAACTGACCACATTGCAGCTACAATGATGATGGCTACTCCGCAGCCCACACCGAGGTCATCCGCACCGCGGAAGGTATCCCCAGCGCTCCGTATGATCTTCTGGCAGATGAAGTGACGGATACCAGCATCCAACTGAGCTGGCTGCCGCCCCTAAATCCCAGCGGGATTGTTTTGGGCTACAAACTACACTACACACACCCTGCCGGCTACACAGATACAGCGGTGGTCAGACTCCCCGATCGGCCTCGAAACTCTTCGCACGCAGCTCTGGAGAATGAGAAATTTCTCACTTCCGGTACCAACACCAAGTCTTCGCATGACATGATAAAATTCGTATGAGTTGATCCACCGTGCGCATCTGTTGTCAACTTGTCATGCAGCGTTTCACAAATTTTGCATTACTCATGCTGCATATCGGGCCTGTTGCGTCAACTTGCGTGTGCACGTATATATTTAAAAAAAACAAATCATATCACATATGTAATTATGGTAAAGGCTAAAGCTGAAAAGCAGATAAGCTAGGTAAACTGTTTACGACGCGTAACTAAATAGCAGACAATTAATGAATGCAGCTCGGCACTTGCCATAAACTCTTGTTGTGCAGACCATCTGCGTCGGATCGGTCATCGCATCACCGGCTTGTTGCCGTATTCCGTCTACTACATCCAGGTGGGCGCCTACACCTCAACCGGCACCGGGGCGCTGACCAGTAAGGGTCTGACGGTGTGGACAGACGTGGAGCGACCGGAAGTGCCGGATATCAACAGTATTGTGCGGGTGGCCGACAATGCCTTGCTGGTGCAGTGGGAGATGCCGCCCTTGCAGGCCCTCAATCAGCGCCCATCCCAGACGGGGCGTGGTACCAGCAGTTATCGGACGGCGCTGACGTTAACTCATTTTCAAGTTCATTATCGCCACAACGCCGATAAGCAGGAGGCCATGATTCAGGTAGGTCCACGGAGATTTTATTTCAGTTTCGCGCTTTCATGAAGTATCGTTGCTTACATGCGCTTAAACAGGTGCAAAAGTGTTAGCAGATTTGTGATAATTCTGTATCGGCAAAGAGAATGAGGTAATAATAAAAATAGGGGAGCCGCATAAAGGCGCTGGAATTATGTGCCAACGTTAGTTTGCCTGTTTGCCATAAAAAGAAAGCGCAACAGAGAACAGCTACGTACAATACATTACGAGAATAGGCCTGCCTTTTTATTACAAGGAAACAAAGAACTATTATTCATTTCATCCGCAAATATCACGCAGCGCTATTTTAACAGAAGTTATAATGGTTACTTTAAAACAATACAGCCAGTACATAAAGTTAATTACATAAGTGCACAATAAACTGTGCTTTTATGCGAGATGTACAAAAGTTTTATGTATTATCGTTCTACAGTAAGGTGCGTAGTGCAGAGTCTGCAGACTGCAGCGGTATTTTAAACTAAAGATCTGCACTCTGCAGTACTTACTACTTACCACTAGTAATTCGCAAGATTGCCGAGTTATCCTTTAAAACAAAAGATTTTATGGTAGACAGCTCAAGAAATTTTGGAATAATATGATAACAGTAAATACGGCGCGCCTGTGAACTCCCAGTTGCGACGATTGTACTTTACTCAGTTTGCTGTACTGACATCCAGAATTCCCGATGTCAGCCGTGATTGCACTTGTTTTACTACGATGTTCCAAGTTCCTTATGCACGAACAACACGGGGCATGGAATTCTGGTCTGCTCTAGACAAAACAAGTCTTTTTTTGCTTGGTTTATAACTTTCTGTCCATTTCTGTCCTTATCGAGTGTCGACAATTATTTGCGGTGTGAATTCTTTATCTCGTTCTTGCCAATTTTGTAATGCATAATCAGAGTATGTAAAGCAGTGCCATAATCATTCCTCCCCAAAGGCCAAAGGCGAAATCAAGTTCACTCATCATTTTGTCAGTATTAAAGTCGAAGTATTCGAGCTATGCTCAAAGGAGCATATAGATATTTATATCGGGGTAATTAGAGAGGGAATTTTCTGAATATACACTGTTTATATGCTGATCTGGTGTTGCTGTCGTTCTGAGTCTGTACTCCATAGGTTTGCTTGTTCGAAGCTTACTGCATTTTCGTTTGTTTCCGTTTTTCCGTTGATATCGCGAGGTGTTTCCGTTTTACTGGATCCGTTCTGCTGTTTGCATTTTTCGCTGCTGACATCTGGCAGCCTGTAGTCAGAACTCAGAACTTTGACGATAGCTAATCGCTGCTGAGGCTAACGTAAGAATTTGCAAGGGTGTTCGAGTAAGAACGAGTTGGTTTTTCTTAGTGATTACTCAGAGACTAAGACATTAGCATGGTATTTTCACTTAACCTTGTGAAGTTAAGTGAAAATACCTTGACATTAGTTCGCTTGTGCCATCGATTTATAGCAGCAGAATGAAAGGTCTCGACATGCTCTGATGGTTGATCGATCCGGGGGTTGTTACAGATTCCAGTGCGTGCCAGCAAGGGGAACGAGATCAAGACGCGCAGGGGCCCATCAACTGCCCATCCAGTGGACGCGTCTCCCAGTGCATCACCCACTGAGCCCACCAAGAACTACTTCATTTTCAATCATCCACACGATCGCAACGACTGCCCCTTCCAGCCCTATCGTCAGTACAGCGAATCTGCCAGGGCTGCTGATGTGGATGAGGGCGATTCAGACGATAATCACAGGTATGCCCGCTCTGCTCGAGAAGTTCCTTACAACGAGCTACAATCTCTGCAAATTTGCAGAGCATTCAAATTTAGTATTTTGGTGTGTTCATTCCAAAATTCTCCGTAAGAGCTCGCGATCAAATCGTGCTCGATGATTTATGAAAAATGTCGAACTAGTTACTAGTGGATTTTTTACTCGTTAATAATTATTGAAGTCGATATTTTACTATTTTGTTCAGTGTGAAGTAATACACTGTATCACTTTTACTCGTAGGAAATCGTATCGCGTCAATTGCATGTCACTATTGCATATGAGTACATTAAAAATGTCGGCATAACATAATATGAAACTGAATGGTGAGCGTATAAATTTATTTCAGAATTATTTTAATGTTTCTACTGTTAGCTACATACTATTGTTGTTGAGTTTTTGGGCACTTCATCTACTGACTAGTTTTTTTCCCCTCCTGTAGTGTTTTGATTTTAATTAGTTACGATTGTTGTCGTCGTCCGAAAGCGGGAAATAATAAATTCAATATTTATAAATGGACTTTATCCAGCAGTTGGTAAATGGTACTGTCTGCTGTTACTGCCTAGTTATAGTTAGTAAGCACTTCGGACAATCAAACGGAAGTGATAAAAGGCTGTCTTAGAATGTTGGCCATATCGGAGGAGCTGCTGTGAACGTTGCTTTTCATAGGTGCATAGCGGAAGCCGTCCTAGGCAACCTGACCCGCACCGGCTCCTACACCATTCGCATCGCCGCAGTGCGACGCAGCATCGTGTACCCACAGACGCTGCTGACGAGCACGCCGTCCTCCCCGGCCACCTTCCAAATGGACTCCACCCCCGACATGGACACCGCCGCGGCCTCCGTTGCCCCCGTGACCGACTCTTCGGCGTTCGATCTGTCCGTAACGGAGGTGGGATTGATCGTGGGGGTGCTGCTGATGATGGGCATCATGCTGGTGGTCTGCGGATTGTACTGTGCCTTCCGCAAGCGCTTTTTCCTCCCTGGCTACTCGTACTTGCAGTTGGGCATGAATGGGAACGGGCATGCCAATGGGCATTGTGGCAAAGGGGTGGCGCTGTCGCCGTTTCGTATTTCCAAAACAGGTACTTCAAGAAGAAGTACGCGTACTTATCCTTATGTACGGAGTAGGCTTTTGCTTGACCGGAAGTTATGGTGCGTATTAAGAGAAAAAGAAGCGTATATATACAAGAAATTATATATACGGGTGAAAAGAAGCGTATATTATACGCTTCTTTTTTCTTAATTTCTTGTATTATTGTGTTTTTGAAACTGGATAGGATAATAATTTCGACTGTACACTGTACAATACTACATTATGTTTGTCTAATGTCCAATGCAGAAATCAATCCGAACAACCGGATTCCCGGAACAGAACTGCATGTGCGAATCAAGAGGCTGTACGCTGACGGACAAATCGGTCTCTCCCGCGAATATGAGAGTCTAGCCAGCGTTCTGTCGCAGGCCGCTAACAGCACCGGCAATGATGCTTTCGTCCCGAGCATGAAGGAGGCCCTGAAACCGGAGAATCGACCCAGGAACCGCTACATCAACGTCCTACCGTACGACCACTCGCGGGTCAAACTCAAGACACAGTGTACGGTGGCCACTGTGGGAGTGGAGAAAGAGAACGAAACGCAACCGCTGACCAACGGGAAGCTGGACACGGAAGCGGAGGAGACCGATTCCACGACGTGTGGAGGATGCTTCAGTTCGGGGAATCTGGTTAAAGGACCGGTGCCGATTGATTACATTAACGCCAGTTTTGTGGATGGAATACATTCACCGGATGCGTATATCCTCACCCAAGGTTGGTTTAGCATTTTCTGAATTGTTTTACGCCTAACAAAAACTATTTGAAGTATTTGCTAATTCTGGTTACCTTTGTTTTGCATAAATCAGTTGCTTTGGTCGATGAATGTTTGCGATTTGATTAAAATGATTGCCTTTTGAGGAACATTCGTCCGGTATATGCCTTTTGTTCTGCTTTTTAGCTCCAATGAGCAACACACTTGCAGACTTTTGGTGTATGGTGTGGGATTACAACGTCCGCGTGCTGATCATGCTGACCAATTTGGAGGAGAACGGACGGAAGAAGTCCGAATTATACTGGCCGACGTCTACCGACCATCCCATGACTTATGGGCCCTTCACCGTGGCCTTGGTCAACGAAATTGTTACCGCATTCTATACTGTCCGCACCTTTTCGCTGACATATAAGAAGCCGGGGGAGGAAGGGGAAATTGGTGAAACCCGACAGGTGACGCAGTACATGTACAGTGACTGGCCGGATCATGGACGCCCGGACATCACCGTGCCGCTGCTGCGCTTTATCATCAAATCCAGTCGGGCTTTCGAAGATGACAATTTCGGTAAGAATGCTGGATTTGTACTGTGTATTGTACTTTTCATATTAATTCCACTTTGGAATAATGGATGGATTCGGAAATTGAAGTTTCAGAATGAAATCATAATTACTGTACAGCGCTTTAGGTTTGTACAGTATTTGGTAAAATCGAATTATAATGGATATTCAAACGCAGACAGTTCAAGATTGATCCGCCTGTACAGCCCGCAAACTATGTTCATACGCATTATTTGTGCGTATTAAATAGCTCTTGCAATAAACTGGAAGTACTAAATTCGGCAGCGGAACAGTTTTGATGGTGACACTCATATTACGTTATATACAGGTCCTCCCATCGTCCACTGCAGCGCCGGTGTGGGCCGCAGCGGCTGCTATATTGCCCTGCACTCACTGATGCTGGAGATGGATCGCACGGGCCACGTGGACATCTTCACCTATCTGCTTAACGCGCGCAAACAGCGCATGGGCCTGTGCCAGAATGAATCACAGTATGCTTTGATCTATGACGCCCTGCTGGAATACATTCAAAGCGGGCACACGGAAGTGTACGCCGCCACCTTCGAGGAGTACATGGAGACGCTGATGAAGGCTGACATGGAAGGACTGAAGCTACAGCACCAGTTGGTGGTGGCCGCCCGCACGACGACGCCAGGGTCCAGTCATTACAATTTTTCTAATAGCTTCGAGTACGCAATGCAGGGATTTAACAAAGGAAAAAATCGCAGTGAGAAGTACATGCCAACGGATGTGCATAGTCACCGAGTTGGAATAACGCCCCGGCCGGCCATTCTGGGCTCTGATTACGTCAATGCATCGTTCTTGCCCAGCTACTACAAAGCCAGGGAGTTTATTATAACCCAGAGACCAGTGGAAGCGACTGTGACGGCATTCTGGCAGATGATCTGGTGAGTAAAGTGGTTGATAAAAATCTCAAAACAGCTAGAAACTCCACTTGTGTTATCTAGGTTTTTATTGAAACGGTTTTACATGGGCCACCGTCATAAATTCAAACAAAGAATATAGTTGCACTAATGAAACTGGCACAGAGAATTTACGTTCAAACAGTGGCTGCGTCGAATCTGATTTTATAGAAAAGTATACCGTAAAACCCGAATTAAACGCCCTGGGCTTCTATTTTTTCAATACCTTCTGTTTTTGGTATCTGTAAAAAAGAAAAAAAGCTTGCCTTTTCTTTATTGATACGAAGTCCATGTGGATAAAAATTTAGTAATACAGGCAATCAAAGTTATTTTTCTACTTAAATTTATGTGCATCCAGGTTTGGAAGGGTGTTTTTACGGTATTCAGTGATAGTTTTTACCATATGTTTACAGGGATTACAAAATCAAAACCGTTTTCCACGTGGTGAACGGCGATGCCACCGATGTGACATCGTTTATCCCTCCGACCGACGCGCCTCTACGCAGTGACGACTTCTCCGTCACTCAACTGTTATCAGACGCCGAGACCGGTGAGATCCTGCCCCCGTCCAGTCCCACGGTGCCGTGGGAGCACCGCACCATCCGCTGCCAGTTGGCGCTGAACCTTCCAGACAAACTGGCCATCGTCAGCGAACTGGAGTGTCAGATCGTGCCGGTGAAGCTGCCGGCCGGGGAGGATAAGGCCTGGTGGAGTCTCCTGGAGACGGTGGAGGGCTTGATGAGCGGTGGCGGCAGTGGGATGACGGTGGTGATGGATGAGTTCGGTGGTCCGGAAGCGGCCTTGCTGGCCGCCATGGTGACGGTGAGGCAGCAGGTGCTGTGTGAAGGCAGCGTGGATGTGTATCATGTGGCGCGGCTGTATAACCACATTCGACCAGGTGAACCATCGTGTGATAGTGTGGACTGTGGTTTGGTTAGGTGAATATGGTCATTATGCCAAGTCGAAATTCTAGTCTGAGTATAATTTTGAAGGAAAAACTACGGCGAAAAAAGCTGCAGCAAAATTGATTTTTTATGGTTTTAGGAAATATTGCTATTCTGGTAGTGACCATCGAGTGGAAGAACTTAATTGGAAATGTAAAAAAAGTAGTTCATTCATTAATGGTATTAACTGTTGAAGGCTTATTGTTTCAAACACGGTTGAGCTTTTTGGAGCATTTCGAAAAGATGCGATAGTATGGAATTTTATCATATCAGATCCCCAATCCCTAAAGAAAGATGGCAAAATAGTATTAAGTGGATTTCATACAATCTGTTTATACGGTAATAGTTCAAAGTTCAAACATGTACAGTATAATCCGCATCGCCACAGTGCAGATTAGGTATATTATTATCAAAGAGCGAGTGAAACGTGCGTGACGGTGCGTATAAAGGCATACGGTTACTTATGGTTTGTTTGTATTCGTGAATATGTGAAAGTGTTGAACGGCTATATTGTCTTAATACGCCAAAAATTCAGTTGGTTATCGTCATAATTATTGATCGCCGAAATACTTTGTGATACCGTACAGCATATTTACGTACGAAATACCAGCGTCGTAACATTAATGTTCAGCATTTTCGCGTTTCGTTGCGGAGCTGTGGCGTGGGTTTCCGTTTGCACTAAGAAATTGACGAGTTATGCTTCAGATAACCACCTTTAATGAAGTAAGTAGCAGTTAATCAACAAGATGTTAATTCGTGGTTACATTTCAGGAGTGTTTGAAGACCTGAACACATACCGACACCTGTACGAGGCCACGAAAAGTGTGTGCGCAGCAGCCCGCCATTCGCTTCCTGTATCCAATGTGTTTCTGTCGGCCGCCGGCACTCTCCAGGTGGCATCCAACACCACGATGACCGTATCGCTCAGCAAGAGGCTATCGGCCATCCTGGAAGAGGAGAGCGTGATTTTAGCATGATTAAAGAGTGGTTTTCTAAATGAATAGCTTTTACTAATAATTTCTGTGCTGTTTCCGGTGCTGGATTGGGCTATCAGCCGGCGATCTCCTTCCTCTGTTGTCACAACGAGGCAGTTTTATACAGTGGGTTGCTTTTTAATTTTAAGTCATTTTAAAATTTTAATCGTTTCATTCCTTTTGCTACTTTTGGTTAGGTTTCTCTGAGAAATTAAACAGTCTGCGTGGCAAATTACATAGGCACGTTAAAACCGATTTAATAAACATCTTGAAATCACATACTAAGTTCTGATCTTGGCAACTGGACTTCACGAGAAACAAATTAGTGTGTATGCCACCGTTAGTTAATAGTCACAACGTTCAGTGCATGTCATGTAGCTATCATCTGTAAATGGAATATTGGCATCAATCAATAAAGAATCGTTAGTAGTGCTTCGTTAGAACGTGCTGGAAGCATGTCCAGCGAAATCTATTCAGTCAGCCGTATGTGCAGATAGAGTAACTCTTTCTAGACAATAAAAAGTGAATATTTTAAAGATTGAATTTGCTAATACGGGTATAATGAGCATGAAGCGTTGAAACGAGGCGAAAACATTGAGCACAAAACTAAACAATTTCTGTACGGATGGCTTTCCCTAAAGACTAAAGGATGGCAAACTGAAACTTCTCTAGTATTTGGTATGCCATGGTACGAGCAAGGTGGTACGAGTATTACGATAATGCGTATTACATACCCAATATATCCGCTCACCTTTTATCGGGTGCCGTATGCTGTTACGTGGCATAAACAAACCAAAATAGTGATATCGTGTCCATTTATTTCCCCCATTTTTCTGGCTGTTATATGTCTTAATAATATTTATTACGGAAGTCAGCCAAAAGAAGGTGTGCCCGGTGCCGCACTAGACTTGTGCGGAGTATATCGACATTAATGAATGACTAAATATATTTAATCACAGTTAATTGTGGGTGCACATCCCTCCCATTTTTGTGTTTATGGCCGTTTTTCGCCTTTCATTCGTTTGTTGGGTGGCTTTGTTTCTCAGAGATGGAGATTCTGAGATGTTTCCTCGATGATGGAGAGTATGTGTGCTTAGTTGAAACCATTTTCTGCAGTTTTGGCAAGTGAATTTTTCTCCCTCCCACCGACTCCCATCGCATTGTTATTACTTGATTGTGTTTGTTACATTTTTTCGCTCATATTATTCACGTCGTTAGTTGTTCTAATAAATAGGGGCTGACGGGCCTGCACCCAGAAGTCTTCGAGTTCGGCAATATTATGCTTGTTTCTCATTGTAAACACCCACTATTAATTTATTTCCCTCTCACGCCGGAGAGGGAAATAAAAATTCGCAGGTCGCAAAAACTGCAGTTTTTGCGACCTGCGAATTTTTCGATTTTTGTAAAGTTATTCATGTCTGGCGCCTCTGAGGTATGAGAGTAATATATGGGCAGCACCGATTTGTGCTTATTCTGCTATACCCCGGTAGCAATATCCCCGACACAAGGCAAGCTGGCAAAAGTTCCGCTTCAGTAGGTTCAGGCCCCTAAAATTCTGTTATTGATGCAAGCACCTACGGGTTGCTAATAGCTATGCGTACTTGTGGAATGTCTTGTACGATATAGGATTCCCAGATATTTGTAGATGGCACTGCCGGCCATGCTAGAAAGGTCAGCACCTGCCGCAGAGTGAAACAGTATCGTATAAAAACTGCATTATTATAAAAATAATGAGTTACCTGGATGCTCCCTTCTAATTTGATGGATGCTCCTGAGCGCTCCTTAATTGGATTCCATCACTTAAATGCTTTGGCAGTCGTATCGCGAAAAGCAGCACAGGACTTTTGGGTAGAACGTATACAAAGGAGAGCCTCGAAAGGTCAATAATTACTCAGCAATACCTGCTAAAAGAAGCTTATGTTATTACGTAATGCGTCATGTGTTTCATTGCTTAGTATCAACATTGCATATGCATCACTATATTATTATGATTTTCTTTTTTTCATTTCTTTACTAAGATGCAAGATGCATCGACTCAATCCAACTGCGACTAACGGGAAAGTGATTTTGTTAATCCTTAACTTTCATGTGATGTACTTGTAAGCATCCATAAAAATGCAGTATTTCTTGATCGCAATCGCAACACATGCTCAGCCAGCATAGGTATGTATAATTCAAAGAGTAAAATTTGAGTGGATCAGATCAATTTGAACTGGATTTGTCGTGGTGATCTTGAGTGTAATAACTAAACGCACATGATTATACGCCAGCTGCTCTGGTGAATTATAAACGCCCACACTTGTGCACTGGGTAGTTGGGCGCTTCTTGGGAAATAATTTTAAGACGTAGCCAGAAATGCAAGTGTTAAAAACAGACTATGCAGAGTGCTCAAATTACCACTTAAGTAATTGTCAAATTCGGCATGTTACAGGCTGTCTCCTTATTGTCCAAAAGCTTTATAAAACCCCAGACCATTTGATAGAAGAAACGCTTGACCTTTGTTTACCAGTTAAGCAAAACTTAATATATTAATAAACTAGTAGTAAAATCAGTTCGAATCCATATATCCAGTGCATCATAGCATCACATGGTTTAAAATCAAATGTAGATCAATGAGAACAATACAGCAAAGTAATTAGCCGAGATTAAGTACAATATTGCAACAAAAGGGTCAGAAACATGGAATTCAAGCGGTACATAAACGTTGCACTAGCACAATATCATATACTAGGCTGGTTTAATCTTGCCGGGCATGTCGTGCAGCTCACCACACTCTCCGGAATGCGGTTTACGGAGGATGCAGTTTTGTCGGCGGAGTTTACAGTTCTTCATGGTCTTGCAGATGGCGGTGGATGTGCCACGGGTGCACTCGGAGCAAGTGCTGCCGGTGGACGTGGTACTGCCGCGGCGGTCACTGTTGGCCGAAGTATCCATAGCGGACAATCAAATCTCAATGGACAGAATGGGATTTCCGTCGCAGTCACAGTTTCAATGTGTTCCACACAGGAGTGATTAAATTCCCGATCAACTGGATTAAGCGCGTCGTCAAAGATGAATGCCGGTTAGAGTGGCGGAATCGACGGAGCGGATATGCGCTTATAAACGTGAAGCACTGCAGTACTGTATCCGGATCTGTGCGCAGTACAAGCGCGGTAGTCGGATGTTGATGCCGCCGCTGACAGGAGATTAACGATAACGGACGGATATGCGATATGCCGGCTGGGCAACAACAAGTACAGCAGGGGAGCCACTGTGTTTGCCTAATGAATGGAAAAAGCCATTTCGACGAAATGTGCCAAGTGGGATGCGGAGCGCAGTGGTGCCCCGATCCGGCAGCACGTCTATAATGATATCTACTGGGAAATGCGCTGCGGCGCTGATGGATGCACATGCAAATTAGTGGTCAGAAGGCCGGGGCCGGAAGCGACATATTGAGGGACGCGCACCCTTGAACACTTTCTCCCGAGATAATGCAGCCACTTAGACAGTAGTGCTTTGTGATATCTTCATAAAAGACTGCTTGATTGGTTGTGAAAGGAGAGTGTGATCGGCGGCCCAAGTGGGAACAGTGGACTAACGGCTGTTGTTGCCGGTAGTGGGTGCGTGCGGATCGATGGAGGAATTAGCAGTTCAGCCATTAATCATTATTAACTGGATCGTAATTGCAGTGGTCCACTGTGTGTGGTACACGACATTTCTGTTTATTGTGCATGTAGTTGATTTATGAATGAGTGCTGGCTCTGGTCCAGGATGCTGGCACCATCGATTAGGGTTAAAATACTTTCAGCAAGCTAATTTTCTGAATGACAAGTGTTTACCCTTCAAACTGATGTGACTATTCCACAAATTGCATAAAAATGGCGTCGTCTGCGTAAATGAAACGTTTCCCAGTAAACGCTAACCGGCAACGTAATGACGATAAAGTGTTTGGTTAAAATGCGTATATACGACGGTATGAGTACTTAATTTTACATTCTTGTCAACTTCGCTTGTTATAAAAGTGAAACAATCCAAAGTAAAAAAATGTTTGATATAGTGCGCATTTTAGAACCCAACACTGCTTTAAATAACAGTTTCAAAACAAATATGATTTATTAATAGTTAATGTGTGTCAGTCGCAATTTAGCCGGTTGCATTGAGATTCGGCATGGACGCCAGAAATATGGGTGACAACGGCGGTACATTGTTGGCGCCGGTATTGCACGTCGGAAATTGGGTGTACAGATCCCACGTTGTCATATCCATATCTTTAAAACTTCGACAGACTTTGGGAAAATACTGATTTGCTAAATTTTCAATGTAGGTTTTCTGGTCAGCCGTGAGTAGAGGCGGCTTGATCCTGGTGTAGGTCCATAAGAACGGCTGATCGCAACGAATACCGTCCGGGTTAGTCGAGTTGCACTGATACCACAGCTGTACCAGGTTGTAGTCCGTAAACAGGCTGATGTAAGTGAAGTTCACTAAAATTACAAACACGCTTTTAATTATCGTTTTCGCTTTGTTTCATAGATCATACACATATTGATGGTAAGTTGATATCTTTCGCTCAATAACACTAAAGTCGAATATTGTCGCGCTAGCACACGTAAGATAATAGGTACATTTATCTGTTTTTATGTGCGTGTTTCGATTCAATAGCTGCAGTATGACGTACGTATTTCCTATATTTTTATGGTTTGCTTTTGCATGCTTTGAAAATCAGTTCGCTTTTTATAGTTATTTTTGTATGAATTTTTCGGCAAATTTTGTTTGTCTTGGTTTAATTGGTTTTGACTAACTGCAGCACGTTCCTTACTTAGCGTTGCGTTAGCACCGCCTCGCTGCACAAGTACATGCCGGGTTCCGTCCGTTGAGATGTTTCCCTGCTGGGGAAAGGCCAGGCACATCAAGGGATCCTTCGGTGTTGGAATATGGAAAAAGAAGTTGTATATCCATGTGACGTAATAGGAAGAGCCAGCAGGAGGATTAGGACTGGGTCCGAGAATAGTGACGTTCATCATGACGTTGGTAGCTGCCGGGTCATTTCCGATCGGGCCATTGCGGTACGTATACTCATACCAGATTCCAGCCACCTATTTACCCAGATATGAGTATTTATAATGAAGCCTATTTTGAAATTAAGTCCGCCCTTGCTTTCAACGAAATGCTGAGCTTCCGTGCAAAATCGTACAAACAAGAGAGTTGATCGTTGATCATTGATCGTTGAGATCTAATCATAGAATGAAATTAGATAGAAGTTTTATTTATACAGATGCTTGTTACAGTTAATTTTGATACACAAAGAACATTAATTAGCGTTTAATAATATATATATGCTGTAATTTTGTGTTTAACCTATGTTATGGTGAATAACTCAAGTAATATCTATATATTGTTAATATATACCGTTATTATTTTTTTCATTCCTAGATGTTATACACGTTTTATAGAAGTCTAAGTGCCGAAATATAAAAAATTGCATTTCTTTTGTATTTTGGCACAGGCGTACCTTCAAAGGATCAAACGGCTGTCCTGGTGGATTCGCTGGGATATCTGGGCAATACACTTGGCTTGAGGCGCCAATGATTGCCATTATTCCTGGCATTAAATACAGTAGAAGCTTCCTCATTATTCTAAGCGTCCAGACTATGCAGTACCGGCTAAATGCAAGGCAAAGTTAAACAGTCAATGATGTTAATAATTTCCGGTACGTCAACAGTACTCGGCTGCAAATGTGATCAGCACTACAGCGACTCTATAAAGGTGTACTGTGTACAGAATATACTTTCTATAATTTATCTATATCTGTATCTGCATACCTAAAACGGGTCATTAATTTTTGACAGCAAACAAACAAGTCGTTATGAATACAGAGCAGGACACAAAATTATTGCAAAAACAAGTTACACAAGATCCAATTATCGGTTTCTTTGACGCAAGACAGATATTACTTTGCTAAGTAATTATTAACATTTTCCGCAGCGTATAAAAATAACTGTTGATCATTCACGCAAATATTGTAAGGTTAACCATAATGGGAAGCAAATCATGTGATGCCTTTACAGTATCGTGTTATTAGACATACCATAATCATGGTCAGTACATTAGAGGTGAATAACTTTGTTGCTACCAACAGTTGTAAGTTGAAAAAGCAAACGTTTTAACCGTGTATCTGCACGATAGTGACCATATAATATTTTTTCTGTATGATTTTGCGCGCTAGAGTAAGTTAATGTAGAATACTTAATTAGAATCGATGTGGTACTGTTTCGGTGTTCACTTTATGCAACAAAAACGGAAATCACCGCGATAAATTACGTTATGTCACCACCAGTCGGACTGAAAGCAGTAAATAATGATTATTCATCGCTTTAAGATTAATCTAAGAACTTACCAAGTTAAAGACTTGCCATCGGTCAGCGAACATTCGACCAAGAACTTACGTATGCATACTGCCAGGAGCTCTGTTCTTGAATCCCAATTCTTAATGAATTTCAATGAAGATGAGTCTGCAAAAAATAAATTGTACGGTAAAAATTCATATACCTCTAAGTATTTCAGTATAACTCGTGTGTAACATGAATGTTGCCATTTTGGTGTGGTTCTTATCTGGTAGGTGACTGTCCGGTGCCCACTGCCCTGCGTAGTGTGTAAAATATATGTGTAGTCCGTACTCCGTACTGTAATATAGATGCAGCAGTTGCCAGTAGTGCACCAAAACGTTTTACAGGAACGGACCCGATCCGAATACCCACGTAAACGTTTACCTTTTCTAACTTCCTATTTTTCAGCTGAAGAATTGCAGCAGAACTTAAGTACCACTAAGATTTTATCGTGCAGTATTTTTTATAACGTGCTCAGCACAGTATACTGAGCCTGTAGCGTGCAGTATTACTACGATAACTGAGTTAAAGCTTTTTAATTCATACAGTCCAACCTTGGATATCTTCTGGACAGCCGGCATCATGTCAACAACGATTTCCTTACACCATTTTACCGGATCCTGGCGATATCCAAGTACCACAACAAGTAAGCCAGCGTTATAGAATATGTAAAGCAACCAAACAATTAAACTATGTTGTCTTCCCAGATAGACGGTGTTTGGTATAAATACCGTCAACTGAACCAGTTCAGCGGAGCCACGGGAGTGATTAACGATCGTGTCAAATGGACCGTTGTGGCCAGTACAGTGGACACCATCACCAATCGGTCCGCGGTGACACTGTGGGGCAACTTTGCTCGCTACAATATGCCGGAGAATAAGACTTGTCAGAACCACTTCTGGACGGGCTACTTAACCGACACCGGTCGGCATAACGGCGATGTTGCCACCACGGAGCTGCATTTCGTTTTGAGTAGGACACAACGCTGACCAGTCTTATTTTTTTCGGATTGAGTACATTTTTAGAGGAGGGCAACGGTCAAATACTCTACCACGATTATGACAAGATATTCGTGGAGTACGCCTGTACCGGGCCGAAACCGGATGGGACCTGCAGCATCCCGGTGATTGCGGTGCAGACAAGGGTCAAACCAACCGACTTATCCCCTGCAGATATGGCGAGCTTCGATGCTGTCCTTAATAAGCTCTTCGCACCGTATTGCATCACGGTGGACAGTATACCAAAGCAACCCTACACGGATGACCTACCGTACTGTCCATTTATCGACCCGCCTGCATGCTCGGCAGCTAATCTGCGAGGTCTTTCTTTTGTTAAAAACGCAGGTGAGGTCAAACAGTACATGGGGAGAATATAAGATTGCAGTTCTCAAACGATAATTTTGTAAATGAGAATGCAGACAGCTCTACGCCTTTGAACTACGGCACTACGACAAAACTTTTGGGTAATGAATGCCGATGGCCCATCGCCGTTCCAACCGATGACCTTGTACAATCGTACGATCCGACGCAGGTAAAAACGCGCTCGAATGGCATCCAATTAACAAACGATTTAACATCCAAATCGATAGTATGAAAACGTTTTCCAGTAATGCAAATTCCACGCAGAACTTCCGTTACTCATAAGTGTTTGATTTTACTGCAGCTCACGGGTCAGTGGTACGCGTGGTACTTCTTGTCCGTGGAAACCGATGTGAACACTCTGCAGTACACTTGGAGCAGTATTGACACCGGTTACCTACCCCTGAGCAACATCACAGCGAAGTCCATGTGGATGGAGTACACTTTCCTAAACAGTTCTGGATGCCAACACGGGTACTATGTCGGTGACATGGGAATTAACGGACAATCCGAGGGGCTTCTGGGTCCAATCTCACAAACCGGCGACCGCGGTAAGGTCTTTTCGCAGCTCACAACTTTAAACGTGAGGTGACTGGTTGGTCTTTTCAGTTATCCTTAAACTGAACACCATGTATTTTGACGGGACCTACGCCGTGCACTATGGCTGCATTGTTCCCGACCCGGTGAACAACCGGTGCCAGCTCCCGTTTATTCTGATTGGCGCTCGTAACAGTCCACTACAGGTCAACGAAGGAAATCTTCGCATTTTTCCGAAGCTTGTTGGTCTCTTTGCCAAGTACAACTGCTTTGTGGTGCCGACGGTGCCCTACTCAATCCTGCTGGACGGCCCGTCGACGTCCGCCTGCCTGTTTCAAGGAGGCACGGATTGTGTCAAACTTCAAATACAGGGTTTGCAAAACACCGCACCTGCCAACAGTACTACGACGCTTCCGCCCGCCAGTTACTCATAATTTTTTAAAGCTGGGATTAATTAATTGAATAATCAAAATCAGAAAAAGTTGTGAATATAATTAAATCAGTGCGCCGGTTACTAGTAATAGAAGGCTGGCCTTCACTGGAATCCGCGGTGTGAATATTATTTATTTGAGGAGGCTTGTGCTATGTATGTCTAACATCATTATAACTTGTACTCGTATCAAAATAATTTAGTGTAAATAAAAATCACCGGTGATCTTTAAACTCCTGACTACATACTCGTATCTACAGACAAGCGTAAATTCCGACTAACAAATACCAAATACGAAACAATTTTCACCGAAGAAAAAATGCGTGCAGGTACGTTACTTACGGTGCGATATAGATATTCACTTGCTTGAATCGGATCACAGATCTGTACATACCGTAATTATTACGTTCAAAACCATTGAACGCGAGGCAGTGGCAACGCGTAGCCATAAGTCAAAACTGTCAAATCTTACAAAAATCGGTAATCCTGTTTTCAATATGATTTCCCGATTTCTTCTTCCCCAAAAAGCATGCTTCACATTCCACGATTCCGTTGTAAGTCTTAATTTTACAAAACTACCCATCCTCGAGAATCACCCTTTCATTGGCCAGCGTACCGTCATATCCGATGTTTTCTGCTGTGAGCGTATGAGGAATTCATCCAGCAACTCGGAGTCGGAGGACGAATAGTACGCTCTCACTGGTGATGGTCATGATCATCCTTTAATCTGCGACCTTTGTTCCTTATTCATTGCAGTTCTACAGCAGTTATTTTTACCCTGATTTTTGGGGTTGCTTTTTAATCTTTAATTAGTTTGTTATTAACGGTCTAATAGAGTCTGCGAATGGCATTCCATAGAGAACGCTATGGCTGTAATGTGTACAGTGCAGTTACTACAATTTTGTAATAACTTGTATCGTAATTATATCATGTAATCGTTTTTCTGTCATCATTGTATCATCAAGTAATTTTAATTTGGTGACCACTCCGTACACACCCTTTCACTACCTTTTACTTCGTACACAACCTTGTGCACTACCTTTCTTTCGGTACGCTACCTTTGACACTACGAATTCACTCGGTGCACTAACAAATTTTATATATGCTTAAAATACTTATGATAACTTTTGCACTGTGTCAAGTGTGGAAAGCGAAGACTGTACTGTGATTGTAATAGTGTCGATTCTAACCCTAATTTTGCGATATTTCAAGGCGCGCAGTTTCAAACATTCAGTCAGGTCAAAGAAGTTTTTGTTGAATATCAGAGACGACCCTTCACCCTGTTCAGTATTGAAAAATTATATACTGGGTATTTGAAAAAAATATAAATAAATAAAATAAACTGCATTGGTCAAGGAACAATTCACAATACACCAATGGTAATGAAAGGGACAGTTCAGTATTTGAAGGCGATAGCGTCCATTGAGGAAGACGATGACGATGTCAAAGCCGCACCAAGACACAAAAGATAGGCGGATGCGAGAGAAATCTCAAAAGATATCGAGAACCGTTTGGCTGACCTCGAACCACAAAACATTTCCCCGATTTTTGGAGGGAAATAATTTTGTTGACAAAATGCCGAACGATGAAAGGAGCGATGCTGAATCTGGCGAATCACTGCGAAACAAAACGAATCACACCCGAAAAAATTAAAAAAAATTAAATGTAGATAGTGCACTTGCAGTGCACGCAGATCAAGGTAGTGCCGAATGGTGGTGTACGGAGTTAAAGGTAGGGTTCAAAAAGGTTGTGCACGGAATGAAATATATAGCGCAAAAAGGTTGTGCACGGAGTAAAAGGTAGTGAAAGGGCGTGTACGGAGTGGTCACCTTTTAATTTTTATCGTTAAAGCTCGTATGATACGAAAAGTATGGTTTCTCTTGTCAGCAAAGCGCGATAAAATGGTGCAAACGAAAATTTACTGATCCTGATCGTGAGCGCTTTGTTATCTATTAAAATTTAATCGGATCGGGGTTCGTATTGAATTCCACAGCGCTGGAAAACCTTTTTGACAACAATTCAAAAAAGGTTGTTGACGAAAACAACAAGCGATACTCGCAGTGATATAAAATCGATAGAAAACGTTCCCGTCTTTCCCATCTACGTTGGTGGTGGTCCGGTCGTTACCGGTCCCACATCTCCCGCTTCGACCTTGTAAAACGGCGCGGTGGCGATAAACTGGGACGGTTGAGTGATATTTGCCGTCTGTACAACACAAAAAAGCAAGTTCAAGGCTTCAAGCTATGCTCTTGTGATACATGTACGTATAATAGAAACGTATTGAAAAAATGCATACTTTCACTTATGGTTAGATATACAAAAGTGATACCAGATAAGGAACTCATAAGAAGAAGGAATCGGTCATCCATACAGATCATGTAGAGCAGGTATTCGCTGTGCTACTGTATCCACTCTAGAGTGGTACTTTAACCCTTAATATACACTTAACTTAGGACCCATTATTTAGAACGTGGTCGCGCACTCGTATACCCATCATTCTATGCGCACTCTTGACCTAAACATACAGCTACAGCAGCTTACGTCAAACATTCCGCCGGGATAAAATCCAAAGGTTAGCGTGAATGCAGCGATATGGTCTCCCAAATCCCAGAGATATGCCGCCCGTATAGCGGTCGCGTTAAACATAGTAATGGTGTAGTTTAGTCTCTGGTTGGGACCGGTGGCAACGGAACCCGGCACGCCCAGATCAAAAGTCAGGTTAACTTCGTACTGGCTTTGATTGCGCTTGACTGTCTGATGGTAATGGCCATCGGCGGTTTTACCCCAGACGACACGTTCACCCAGGACGACGATATCGCCTGGGACTCCTGAAGGTCAAAGCAACGAACTACAAGCCCGTGGCACGTGCTATGGAATGCCAATCTGTTTACGCCATTACTGTCGTATTATACTGGTCAATTTAGGATTGTAACAACGTACTTACCGATAACGGCTCCGGTAAAATTCAGCATATTCTTATTTAATGCCCATATTTCGTCATATGTCCCCAGGAAAGGGTCCAGTGACCAGGGAGAAGTTGAATAATCTTGACAAAATACCGACTCGAGAAACAGAACTGAAATAAAGTTCAAAATGGAAACATCAACAGAAATGTTTGTCTCATTCATGATTTTGAAGGATCTAAAAATTTTGTACTTGATCTTATGTATTACTTGGCTATCTCTTCCCTTAAAGTAATTAAACTCGAGCGAACTCATGTTAAAGCGAAATTCTGACATTATGAGTATAGCGACCACGGTCACATATTAAATCCACAATCAACCCCATGTATTGTATATCTATATATTATATATACTTGTACAAGACTACAAGTACAGACTGAACTGAACGCATTAAATATTGTACTGTAGCCAAACACAGAGGTCAAGGAATCCTACCGGAAATTGTAATGACAATAGCTGCTTTTCGATAACAATGCATTATGGTCAGGGATGAATTACAGAAGGTTCAGACAATCGGAAAGACAAAAACTGATATATTTTGGCTTTGACTATCGCTATTATTGTGAGATTGTTAGGTTGTTGGAAAGTAAATGATATGTAACACTAACTTGTAAGTACAGGTGAGATGTTGCAACAAAGAAAGATGTGAGAGTACTTCTTGTTAATTCAAGGTGTAATTAGCAGTTCTTTCTGTGCTGGCAATTAAACAATGATTGTGATTAATCTTATGTACAAAATTAATAATATTGCCGGGATAACAAACATGTTAACAAATGGTTTCCGGCGGTCAAGCAGACAAGAAAAATCCACTCAGTATGACAGTGTCGTATGGACGCTATCAGAAGTTTTTGTGACAAGCAAAAGTTATACAATTTGGCGCGGTATTTTTCGAACTTGTAAAATGAGCCAGTGATACGTAGCGATCTTAAATTTATACAAGAAAAACCATAGATCATTTCTACGTGAGCCGTATACGTAAGAGCGTAGAGTTACTTGTATATAACGGGCCGTACTTCAAGGAAACGAAACTTTGTTCGGTTCGTTCATCTGCACACCGGTAGACAAATAACCAAAAAGCTCATAAACATTAATTTTATTGATTGCTTCGTACGTAACAAACACGTGTGCGTAACCGCTACAAAATTGTAAACACATTATGCAGGAAACCGTAATATCGCTGGGTAGTGGAACCTTCAGCGAACTTCTCATTCACTAAACTGTCAAACTTCTCATTCACTAAACCGAGGAAATTTCGCAAATGCCAACCCAGCAAATAACTGCGGATACTTGATCCATTAGTTTTGATGAAAACTAACTTTTAAAAAATCGTAATGCTTCTGTGCTGCGCTTTTCGTGTATGTGTGCGGTTATTATTCTAAGACTGAATGGTTAATCCAAAACCATTTTCTTCATAAAATAGCATGAGAATTTATTAAATACCATCAACCGAACGAATAACACTACCTGAACACTTATAAATTCATTATCATAAAAACTGTCATTCCCGTTCGTTGCGCATACGATGTAAACGGGCTCATATTAAAACCGAACGGAAAACATTGGTTTTGAACGTTTGTATACAAATCATCATCAAGCCAAATTGCCGTCCGGATTGGTGACGGAGGCCAGCATGCGTTTCATGTGGCGGACCTGCTGCTGCCAAACGCTGAGACCGTCTCGCAGCTCCACCCATTTTACTTTGGAGAAGGACGGCTCCATGCACGTTGTCACGCGGAAGCGCTGATGGGCGGCGTCCATCTTACCCGAGATCAGCCGGGTTTTCAGTGCTGCAACGGAGAAAAGTTTGATCAACACCGATATCAGACGCTGATTTTCAGTATATTTTAAAAATTAAATATTCAGAGTTACAGATTAATACTTTTACATGCAATTTTCTTTTATGAAGTTGTTGTATTCACCTACATTATACAGCGGATTCACGTGTTTGAAAGTCGGAAACAAAATTTTTAAACACTTTTCGCATCATAAAATTAACCGATCTCTCATGAGCGGACCCATGAAGATCGAATACCAACAATAAACAAGATCATTAAAACACCAGTTTCCTGCATTCGAGATCCAGCTCAGCAAACGAGATACCCACCCAGCCAACTCAATGAAAACCCAAAAAACCCAGATACAAATTATAACAAAATAATTACTTCAAAAGCATGGAAAATGTCTGTAACTTATGAGCGCTGAAGGGCATCGAAAATGAGAGAGGGATAGAGATATGAAGAAAAATACCTTCGATGATAAAATTCTCCACTTCCTCCACCTTGCGCACCTTATCCGCCTCCGTTTCCCCGGCGTCCAAGTGCAACTGCTTGGCGATTTCGGCATAAACAATCTCCTGCTGACCGCGGCTCATGTTTAAGAAAGTCAATAAGCGGATTTTCCGTAAGTTGTCATCATGCGATAGACCTGCGAAAATTCCAGTTTTTATTTACAGTAATTAATTAAATTAACTCAAAAGAGAGATAGATATCAGTGTCAAACTGAACACTCTCATTCAATACGTGCAGCTAGTTAGCCATCGTAACTAATTCCTCATGGACTCTGTGGAAATATTCAAATAACTTACCTATTTTCTGCAGTGCATCGGGATTTTTAGTACGGAAATGCATATACTCGCTCACGTTTCCGGCAACAAAAACGTTAAGCAGCTGCGAAATCCAAAAATATTGTCAGCCTAAACATGACTTGTATCACAATTACTGCGAAATTTCAAGCATGAACATGCTCCGGAGTCTGGATTAAAAATTGGAAACAAAACAAAAGACAGTTTACCCAGCTCTTATGCATGTAAAACAACGACATGAGTCTTCTTACTACATACATAAAATACTGTAATCTATAGCCAAAATTACTGGCATTTAAACGTTTTCGGTATTTTTGATAAAATTTCAACTTTCGTTGCTTACATCAAAAATCGGCTGGCCACGCAACCCTTGTACTGGTTTCAGATGGGTAAGGTGGTCGAGCGAAACTGCATACGGGTCAGCGATAGCGTCACGCACACACCTGCAGAATTAACATTTAGATTGTTATTGTAAAATACGCGTCGATAGAAAAAATTGCAAACGAAGACAAACAGACATGCAATTTCTTGCATTATCGGAATTAAAGATGTCTGAAAATGTTACGTAAGTGTTCATGTTTAGGTTTTCTGCACATTACTACGAATAACTGAAGACCTTGGCAAATGATTATGAGTGGCTGAAGTTAAGCTTACAAAAACATTTCGACAAAATATGCAAATGTAAGCAAAGAAATACTGAACAGCAACTATATGTGGAACATACATGCGGATTGTGGAACATATGTGTGGACAAGTGCATAGTCAAGCGAAGATTGTTTTTGTGGAACAACCTTAACTTTATTCCACAAAAACAATCTCCGTTTCACTATGCACTTGTTAGCCTGCTACAGTTTTCTAGCGCTAACTTCCGGGGCAATACAAAAAGAAACATAATTATAACAACTTCAAACAGTAAACCCAAGTTCTTCTTTAAAAGTCTAAACAAGTAAAAGTTTCTATTGCCAGCATCGGAGAAGCCACAAAGTTTAAAAAGGTTAAAAAGCGAGGCTCCTATGCCATACTTCCGCACAGTAGTGGCATACGAACTACAATATAATTAACTGTAACATTGTATCCCAAAATAATACTCACTGAAACGCTTCTTCCTTGGCTTCACCAGCGGTTTCCAGTGTGAAAGTTTTCAACAACTCTACCATAACTCGCGAAGCTTTTGTGCTGCAAATTAGCAAAAACAGATCTTCGTTAGGACATTCTAGTTTCCGTTTGGCGTCTTATTAGGCTTACTTCTCCTCGGCTTTCAGCAGTGCTGCGTGCAGTATACGCCACACAGCACGAACACGACTATCATCCAATTTCCAGCTTTTCATCCACTCTTTAACCTACAAAATCCAACCAATGTACCTAATCATGCATTCACAACGGGAACCGCAAAAACAAACGACTACTCATGACGCGAACCTTCCTTCAATTTCAACAAACGATAACAAAACCAGCTCACTGGCAATATAAAAGCCCACGAATAATAATAATTTACGCGAAAAGACTATGCCAGTTTTCAGCCGGAATTTACAAATGACTAGACGTACAGTAATCTGTGCATTCCGATGTCTCACTTGCTACACAAATTTACTGCAACACCTGATGCCAACTCGAAAAACTAACTTTGATGGGATCCGTAACCACGCGATGAAGGAGCGAGCAACCGGATGCTAATTCCAGCATGCGACAATATGGCGTGAAACGCAGATCGGAAGATTCCGGCAATCCGTAAAATAAAGTCGACAAACTGCAAAATACTTTTGAGTCAAGTGCTTACAATATCCTTCATGATATTTAAAACTTTACGCAAGTATTACTGCAGGTTGAATAGCAAGTAATAATATAAATAATATAATGCACAAAAGATGCTGGAACACAAAAAAAATACCGTATATACAAAAAATACCGTATATACTCCTTACACTCGTAATCGGACGACCGCAAATTTGTTCCCATTTTCTCCACTGATATCGGCGAGTTTATTGGCCAACATAGTGGCTAATTTCTCCCTTGTCTCCTCGGGAACTTCAATGAATAATACACACGCCAAAATCCCATTCAATAAAGATTCCACCATGTTCTCTGCAATATCCCAGCAAACATCCAAAAATTAAAAATCAAGGAAAAAATAGGCTTTTAAAATGAAAGATAACCAAAGCCGAGAAACTAAATCAAACAGAAAAACTATCACATCCACAACGCAAATTACATTAGCGGAAAGCGAATTCTACTAATAATGGGTATTATCCATTGTAGTTGACCAAGTCACAAAACGGTTTTAATCAATGAACAACCACCTTGAGTTTTTACGAAAATTTAATACGATTGTTTCAGAAGTTACCTTAGTAAAAGATTGGAAAAACCGAGTAAGTTCAGAAGATTCTACCAATATAGATTACTTGCGTTATAAATATATAACGATTTAAATCATTTTTATAATATCATTAACTTAATGAATGAAATCACATTAAATTTAAACTGGAGATATGATAACAAAAAATCAACCTTCCAAATCCTAGCGGCTATTGCGAAAGACACGGAACAGCATACCTTGCGCGAGTCTATTGGTGAGACTGACATTTTCCACCAGACTGAAGAGAGTGAGGATGAGATCGGACGTGGAGGCCGTCGGCGGACCCTCGTCCGTGTCGCGATCCGCCACGGGTACCACGATGTCCGCTTTCAGCTCATTTTTGAAATACTTGGCAATATCCGTCAGCTACAGTTAATCAGAGCACCACGTCATTAGATGTCATTATTTGGAAGGGAAAAACACAGGTTGCGGGATGAAAACAGCAGAACAGCTGGAAGGAAGCCTGAAGCTGGGTTTTCGTCTCTGACACGTACCTGTTCGTTCAAGGGTTTAGGCATAAACAGTGGCACGCTGGCTTTGATCTTCATCGTATCCTTCAAGTGCATTTGATCAATTACAAAAAGAAATGATAATTCTCTGTTATAGTCAATTAGGGAAAACGCTTATTAAAAGTTTCCAAACCAACTAGATCGAACACATCTAAAACTTTAAAACTTCAATTTTATTCACACTTCGTATACTCTGACCGGAATGAGAAAAAAGAATTAATCGAAATTGTTTTTACACCAGTCTAACCGCGTCGCACTTTCGTAGGCGGCTCGCGGTCAGTTTTTCCTAACCGAGCCGAAAACGCTCCAGCAATAACAACCGCAGTCAGTGCCAGTCACCATCAGCCGCAGCTTCTGAGATTCTGTCCCTGTTTAGCGAACTTATATGGGTAACGCCGGCATTCACTTCCTTCCTTTCAGTTGTTACGAGAAGTATTGCTCACATGGATCCGCTTTGCTCGAGCTAATTATCCGCTCACAATTCGTATGCCAAAACAAAAAGGTGCGTACCCTCGTGCAGCCCATGTACTACAAAAAATGTCGCTGCCCGGGTTCGAACCGGGGACCTTCTGCGTGTAAAGCAGACGTGATAACCACTACACCACAGCGACCAGTTAAGGTTAGTCAATAACACAAGCGTAGCATTGCGCTTTAAACTACGTATACGTTACTACGCGTAGTAAAGGGCATTAAACTTGAAAAATTAGAGAAGGTGTGCATATAAAAACGATAGCTTAATGATCTAAGCCCTCAATGTTTTTATTTGCTTCCGACCAGGTAATATAGATATTTTGGAATGGAAAATTAAGTTCTAGACCGGTGTTCCACAGGAGTCCAACGCGGAACTTACGCATATTTGCTGGAGCAGTGAAGTTCCCGAACAGTCAGCGCGGCAGACTGACACCCTTATCGTGCGGAAATGTCTTTAATTTGTATTGATTGGTCCATTAATTAACTGGTTTGCCTCCTCTTGATGCATGATCAGAATGAAACTTTGGCGTATACTGTAGTCTGTAAAGTATAGATCTGTAAGGATCTGTAAGTAAAGTCTGTATAAGTATTGTATTTATACATGTATTGTACTGTGCCTTTATTTATACAGCAGCCAGCAGGGCGTTTATACAAGTATCAGCGTGTAGGTAGCAAATTAAATGTGACGAAAGGACAATTTTCAAATGCAAATTATTTTTGAGATCGTAAATTAATTAAGGTACCCAGTTTTGTATACAGTATAACAACGAAAAACATATAACGACGAAAAACATGTTTATCGCATGTACTTCCACACTCCAGCCCGTACTTTCTAAGCTCCAAGTACTTTCCAAGCTCCATGAGCGGTGTCCTAACCGCTTTGACGCTATATGCCGATGTAAAAAAATCACCATGACTTCAACATGCGATATGCATGGTACAATGTAGGACGAAATGGTCGCATAGCCCCATACCCAGCATTCTGTACGCATGCGGTGCAGTGCAATTGTACGAATCGGATATTTTGAACTCAGTCGTACAGTGCACCGCGCTGCATTCGTACTGAATGTGGATATGTTGGGTATGCGACCATTTTGTCCTAAGCTGTAGCTGGCGTATTAAGATTTATTTTATCTTGATTCGGCTAACGAAGGACCGGCAAGCCTCCATACCACGGTAAACTGTGGACGCTGCACCGACCAACACTTGACGGGAACCCGATCTGTAATCCTCATTCAGCAAGAGGAACAGTGCCTGCCAAGTTGAAAAATATGCACTTTACCGATATTTTCGACTGTGATGAAAATTAATGGAAATTTGTGATAAAAGACTTACGACGGCTACCGAAACTTCACATCAGTAATTAGTAGCCGAAACAGAGAACAATGACATTGTCAGAAAGGTAACTCTTAAGTCATACGCTGTTATAGCCAGCACTGCAAAGGATCCTACGAGTAGATTGAACCGCTTGCCCTTTATACGTACCGGATGAGCAGCATAGCCTAACAGAACTGTGGTATGCAACCACGAAACCAATCGCCCGGGCCTTTTCTCGGGCGGCACGGCAAGCATAACGATCACAGCCGGCATATTGCACATTATATTCCAAATCTCCGCTGCACATAATGTTTTGGCAAGAGTAATTTTCCGCCGTAAAACATTACGACGAAAGGTAGTCGCGTTAACACGAACAGCTACGCTATTTCGTCGTTTCACTGCCATAACTGTAAAGATGGTAATATACAGTATGCCCAACACTACCGCTGGAAAATACTGCCCAACGGTCAACATCGAAAACAGCACTGCGCGATTGGTCACTTTGATTGTGTTACATCCACTCGAGACCCCGATGCCGAAATAGGTGGGCAGTTGCTCGGATAGCACCACCATCCATATGGTCAAGATAAATATACATAGGGCTTGTTTAGAAGTTGTTTTATGGTAACTATGCGGAGCCAGCAACGCGATAAATCGGTTCACTCCAAGAAAAAGTGACGTCCAGTTGCCCAAGTGTGCGAAAATTGTCTGGAAGGTGTCAACCAGACTACAGTCAAAATAAGGCATCGACTGACCGACCCATGCGCTAAAGGTAGGCAACAAGCCTATCGGACACATAACACTGCACAGGACTGTGTCGGTCACGATTTTGTGGATGACAAGCCATCGGGAGCCGGTCTGCAGACGGCGATATGTGGCGATGGATAACAGGATTAGCAGGTTTAGAATTGTCCCAGCAAGGCATATGAGTAGGTATGTAATCAGCCAAATTTTAACTCCACTTGTCGTTATAGAATTATGCATAGTAGGTTGCTGTGAGGCAGTGTTGTGGATGCGAACATGGTAACTGTGATTGGACGAGAAATTACGCGTAAAAAATCGCGATGGTGGATACGAGGCAATCATTGTGAAGGGCCAGAAAGAGCGCATGATATTTTTTCAGCGATAAAAGGTCAGAGGAGTTCCATTTATGTAGACATATGGAATAATGCAAATGCCAGTAATTAACATGTATGAAAAGACCGCTGAAAAGAGGTTTGCCTTAACTCGTAATAGAAACTAAAAAAGCTGCAAATAAAGGATTTTGGCCGAGGAAGTCGCACAACCGCATAATTAATATCCAGACAAATACCGTACAGACAACTCAGACAACATATAGTGGTTGTACGCTAGATGACTTCTATACAGGTACGTCTTTATGTTACCCAATATTATGGTCCCTAAATCTCATAAAAAGCGCATTATTCTCCTTCGACATCGAAAACTGATGGCCAGTCAAGGATTATGCACAATCCTGCAAGCCAGACGTTTCCTGCCATCACTTTTAAATTCTAAGGTAGGCCGTAGGCGTGCATACGTGATGCCAACATAAATAGGGAAGCCAAGTGCCGTGCCTGTTTTCCGCGACAACATTTGCAGGAACATCTGTAATACAATAAATTATGCACTCAACAAACGGGTAGATTTACGTAAACGACTAGACGGTATGATATGGTTTAAACTGGATTTTAAAGCATGCCAGCATTTTTTACATTCGGATACCGAACCATGAAAAGAAGCCGTTGCTAAACCCTTTGCGTGTTCTGTCATTCCACAAGTTGCATACACATTATTATAAGTCATGTCCATAGATATAATATATATACCATTGATTTGATTTGCGCTTCGAAAACAGCGATCAGTGATTAAAGCTCACAGGTAAAAAAACTGAAAAATCGCTGGTTTTGTGCTCTTCACTTCTAATTAGCAATAAAAACAGACACGCGACAATGTGACCTTAAAAGTCTGTATCAGTGGCATTAGTTAAAAAGCGAGTTTGAATCACCTGAATTAACTTAAAATTGTTAGGATTCTAGCCAATCTGTTCGTAAAAGGTTGCGGCGCGAAACTTGTTTCCATCAAGTTCCAAATTACTACACAAAGCCGCGACCAAACTTTGCCATTTTCCGTGTAAAAAAATGCGAATTATGCTGCGATGTTACGACATAAAAGGTGATTCGCCTTTGTTGATTCACTTAATTGATATTGTTCAGTTGCTTCCATAAACCGCAACCATTCTAGCGGTTGTGCCAATTATGCCGGAAGAAGTTTGCAAAGCTGTACGAGTAAAATGGTTCTGTGTATTTAGATTACAATGTCATCCATAAGAATAATGTCCATGCCGGACGGGCGAAGTAATCCCAAAGGAGTTAGCCTAGAAATTTGTCTATCTTTAGAAGCGCGACCTGTTGCGTAAGGAAACTGTTTGGTTGTGCGCGCCTATTTCATAATTAACAATTCTAAGTAAAATATTGTAATAAAATATACTCGTTGTCCTGCTTCCCTAAATGAATAGATATTGTCATTATTATTTAATTCTACTCTTCACTTACTTATTATGCCATATCAATCATTCAATGTTTAATGGTGAAGGTCAAGGCTCCTCGTACCACCTTATATTATACAACTGATAGGCTCCTAGTAGGCTTTTACTTTCCTCTTTTTTTCAGACTTTTAAATCATAATTTAATGCCACATTTGCCCCGCCATTTTTGTTTCGCGCTTCATAAAGCTGCAGAAGATGGCAAATGTAGTCCTTACAGATTAGCCGAGGTTCCGGCAGATTTGAGCTACGGAGTAGTACTATTACGTACTGTATACCGTTCTACAGGTTGATTATATTTCTTGATTTTCGAATTTTTTTAAAATATTATAACAAATTTTTTAAATTTTTACATGTCTAGTACTATAATTTTTATTTGCCATTTAAAAACTTAAAAGGTGGCATCCGGAGCCGAACGGCTGTCTCGCAAAGGTGGTAAAAGGAGCCAGCGATATGCGACGTTTCTACTTATTTGAGTAATTATCGTATTACGTATATTAAATGGTTATATTTGTAGAACGTTTTACCTCGACACTGCATTAACTAATACAAACACTGTATTACTGTAAACACTGTAGCGCTGTAATTCTGAAGCCAAGCCTGCAATATTTGTTTCTTTTTCATGTTACGTACAGTGCCTTCAGACTTCAGTAAAAAAAGTCGTACTTCCATGGTGAAAAGTATGGCCAACAAGTTAAATGAAATTAATCCGAGTGAGTACTGTGCATCTATCTACATGGGACATTTTGCCGTTCTTGAGTCGATTATAACTCAAAGAGATAGCACTTCGGCCCAGAATTTTTATTTCTCGTTGCACCATAAATAATGTCATCATAATTTCTGCTTCTTGGCTTTGCGCATAGTTTGTTAATTTTCTCACCAGTATGGTTACATTTAACTTTATTAGGCACTTCGCAATAAGTACATAGATGCACGAAAGTTTTGTTATGGTCAGACATAAAACCCATCCGAAAACCCTTCTAAAAAAAACCCTTCCGGCGCCGTTGTGAAATCATTCAATACCTTCGTTTCTAACGTCACTGAAATCGTTAAAATAAGCTAATAATAATGAATTACTCATTGCCGCCGAAACAAAGAAAATGATTTCAGTTTTGAACATAAAAAACCGCTGGACAATTACATGCAAAATAATTTTAACAAACATTCCAAAGCGACCGAAGTTCATAACTCATTCATAATAGCGATATCGGAGGACATGGAGAGTGACCTTGCGCAACGATGTGAGATTGAGAGTTTCCACAAACCCTGGAGCAAGCTCATCGTCCGGAGAGAATCGAGGATCGCCTTTCTGCCATTTGCGCAGTACCTGTTCAAAATGCAGCAAACGTAGAAGTAAAAGTTAAAATAATTCGCTTTTAACTAACCCTGTAGAACCGAGCACAAGTACCTTACGAGGTACTGTGCAGCAGCTATTTACACAAACAAAATCGAGTACTTCTATAAATTTATTGAAATGTGATACGCAGTTTGCTTAAAGATCTCAAAAGTAGATATGTTACGTATGTATGGTAATATGTTTAAAGCCCGAACCTTCATAGCCAGATCTAGAAGGGGAAAAGAAAACTGGAAACACTGAGAATGTTGGAAAAGTTATGTGCGAGCAGATCAGATTGAGAGTGATTATTCGTACAATCTTCTATCATTTTACAGAAAACGGTTAAAAGTCTTAAAACAATGGCGGTATTAAGCTGACCGAGTCTTAATTCTGAAGCCAAGCATGCAATATTTGTTTCTTTTTTGTGCTACCTACAATGCAAACATCAGGCAACTTTCATAAAATAAGAATTCATACTGTACCTTTGTAGCAGCCTTCTTAGATTTTGGGCTTTCGCTCCACTCTTCCAATAGCTCTTGCTGTATCTTTACCATGTCCGCTTGGTTGACTTCCGGGCAAAAAGCCTCCAGCAGAGCTATCAGGGCATCCGGTGACTCCGCAAGCGCTTTTGCATCTAAAACTGCTTTCTCCAGCCAGATATTTGACACCACTTTCGACCTCGAAAATTCGTTCCCTTTCGGGCAAGTAAGCTTGCAAACCAAAATAGTCGTTCAAACGAGACCGGTGCGGAGGCCATACGGATTCCAAAAAGCCTCGTACCTCCACATGCTTCAGAAACAGTTTATCACAAGCGTCGCTCCACTGATTACGGAATTGGATAACAGACTTATCTGAAAAGTCCGAAAGGTCATCGGCCCATACTGCCCGTCGGGCAATGACGATCGTGGGAATTTTAATTCGCCGGGCCTTCAAAATGGCCGTTAAGGAACGATACGGAAAGTGACACATGGTGTCTTCCGGGGTGCTACCGGTGATAATCAGCAACCGTGTACGACGACTAACCATTGACAGTAGCATCCAGTACCACTCATGATCGCGGCATTTCGCCAAATCAACCGTTAAGCGCAGGTTCCTTTTTGGCTGCCAAGAACAGTTTCCAGGATTTACAAACAAGGGACGCTCTCCCCAGGTCCAGCACGTCCACAAACGAAAAGATTTCGTGGAGTATTTCCAGAGGTAGTTGTTGGATTAAAAACCCAAGAGGTTTTGGTACATTCTGCAACGGGTTTGGCTTTGAAACATGCGACAAAGTTAAAAACATGCTTTGAAACATGCATGATTTGATGCTTTGAAACATGCGACAAAGTAAAACTACTAACATGCTTCGTGAAATCCGATGTGCCTCAATAAAGAATTATTGCGAGACTAACTGTATAACTGCCTGAAATACGGATCACCCACGGACATTGCTGATAAATTTTATGGAACAGTAGTATAACAAATACAGCGGTCATGGTCACAAAAAGAGGAAAAATGAATAATTAAAGGAAGGAAATGTCTTTGGTCCAAATGAGGAAGGAAATTAAACGATCAGCAGTGCGTGTGTCATGTAAACTAAAACTGAAAGCATCTTTATCCGCGTACTTGTAGTCTTGTACTACCCGGTGTCAGAGTGCTGTGCATATAGCACAGGATAGTGGCACATACGCCTCACCATCATTGGATCGGCTTGCCATATGCCAGCTTCCAAACACGACGGAACGTGTTTGCCATTCGAGTGCCAGTATCGGAACCGTTAACATCGATTCCTAGCTTTTTCGGATTTCATGCCCTTTTTCTTCATTAGATTTGCCTTTTGGTGGCCTTTTTAGCATTTATTTCACGGAAATAAAGCGATCTCTCGAGGAGATGTTGTTTCGTTGTGTTTTCTCTATGCAGCGTGAGCGCTTCTCCGAGATGGTGGTGCCTTAAGATCCCTGTCATCCTCATAGTTTTTGCACTCGATAACGGCGTTCTCTCATACACGCCGTGACACGGAAGTTTCCTCTCCTTCAGTGGAGACCTCGGTCCACCAGCGATAGCCAGCAAAGAGCAGCAGAAGCAGAAGAACCCCCGCTACCAGAAGCAAGGAGCGTCGCTGGTTCGGAAGGCACGCGGCCGCCAGCAAGGAGAAGAACCGCGGAGAGCGTACCAAAGTGGTAGGCATTAAGCCTAGAATTTAGAGTTCACAGGATTAATTCCCAAGCAGACGGATTATTTCTGTCCAGAGAATAGATATAGCTATTTTGAGAAAACAAGGAAGGAAGAAAACGGTTGTTTTCGAATAATTGAACACCGTGCAGTTAATTTGCGATTAAAATGAAGAAAGTCTTGGCCATTGTGATAGATGGTAGAGTAGTGAAAGTTATTGTAACAGATATTGCTACAGTCTACCTGGACGATATCCTTTTGTGAAAAGGAACGATTGTTCCATCCGAAACTATTAATAATTTATTGAGGGAACAATCGTTAAAGGTTATTTGCAGCGGAGCGATGGCTTCACAGAGCGGATTTCCTGATTCTATTTGAACGTTATGTCAAGGAACTAGCTGATCTTTATCAGCGATAGCCGTCTTTTGTGTGGGTAAAGCTGCAGAGCAGCTCAATAGAATTGCGTGAAGCAGGCCATTCATAGCTGCCCAGGCCAACCTTCAGCCGTATGCTGCAGTGCAGCGACATATCATGTAACATTGACCTACAATGCAGATTGCATATTAACTCACGAAATAATCTCAGATAAAAATCGGGAATTTAATCCCGAATACTACCACTTGGTAATCATCGAAATTGAGGAAGGCAGAATGCCTTTACAGCGCTCACCGGTAAGGAAACAACAACCGGCTATAGACAGAATTAAACAGGGCGTAGAAGACGTCTTAAAATCGGCCAGTAAAGTATTGAAAGGAATAACCGATGAACCAGCAAAGGCTGGCACAAGTGATATTGCACAACAAGACAAAGTCACCCGTAGCAAAACGAATCAGTTGAAAGGGGCAGGTGTGGAAATCACCCACAAAGTCCTCGAGGATAAACCTCGCAAACCAAGGAAAGCAACCGTAATGGATCAGGGAGATAATCTCCTTGATACACCATTAATGCAGCCACCGGAACAGTTGTTTTTCCGGCCACTTACTCCCGAGAAAAGCCGACAGGTTAATCCCGATAATCGGGAAGAAGTACAGGCACCTGCGCCAGAGCGATTTGATAGTACTACCGAATCAACGACCACAACAGGGTCGTTTTCTCAAGTGAGCGAAAGTGAATTAAACAAGTCCGCAACGACGGAGGAGGAGGAAGAACCGGTAACAGTCGTGCCTAGCACATTGCGTAAAACGCAATCGTATACCGCTAATCTGAATGAGTTGCTTAATTCAGCGGCAAAGCCGACAACAGGTTCCAGTATTGTGGAATTAAAACAGGCGACCGAAACTATTTCGGCGAATCAGGTATTGATTAAGGATCTGCAGAGGAAATTGGAAGTAGCTGAGGACGAAGTTCAACATCATAAGAACCAGTACCAACATGCACATAGTTCTTTTAAAAATATGGAAAAAATCGTATTGGGTCTGCGGGCCTTAATAGGCGAAAAGGATGCGGCAATGGCTGAATTAAGAGGAAAAATAGACGAAGCACGCGTTAAAATTTCCGATTTAAGTCAGCAAATAGCTGAGAAAGATACCATGCTCGATTAAGTATGGCAGGGAAACCAGCGATTAAAGACCAATAACTTTAACCATATGACAGATTTGAAAAATGTGCAGTCTATGCTGCACGAAAGCCAAACGGAACACAAATCCCTTATTGGGAGATTTAATTCCCTAGCAAAAGACTATCGAACGTTATACGATCGACAGATGAATCCAGAAGCTGTGGAATACGGTGAGCGACCGCTCAGTAGGGCGTATGCCGCAAACACCGAAGAGACACAATTGTCTCGGGCACAGCATACACCCTCGGCAATGAACGAGAGTGGTTTCCGGGAAATGCCGAGCACCGATAAGCAGCAATATATCCGCAGTATTTTGCGAGAAGAAATTCAGCGAGCAGGCATCGGACAAAGCAGGACGGTAAGCCCTGTAAGAAAATCAGATTTAGCTGAAGTGATGCGACAGCCCGTACCGCGTCCTAACTACAATGGTAGTAAAGAGGACATCGACAGTTTCATCATAAAATTCGACATGCGGCAATCGCAAATCGTTGGGTAACCGACGAGAGGAAGATCACCGAATTGGCATATTGCCTTAAAGATGATGCCATTATTTGGTATAATGGATTAATAACGTCGACAACGCCGCCGACAACTTACAAAGAGTGGAAGAAACAATTAATCGCCCGTTTCGGCGATTCAAAACGAGCAGTAAATGCGCTAGCCGAATTGGCAAACCGCACGTATAAGCCTGGCCAAGAAACACTTGAAACCTATTATCAGTCAATGATGACATTGCGCGATCGCGCAGGATTTAACGGATCACCGGAACAGGTCGTGAATTTCCTCGTAAAAGGGTTGAAAACCCATGAGAAATTGCACGATAAAATAGAAATAATGAGACCGCTGACACCAGAACAGTTTCTGGAAATAATTCGTTATCTATCGTCGAATAACCCTGAGAAATATGTAATCCCAGTCGGCAATGTCCGACGTAAACAGGATCGCGATAGCGAAGCGGTGACTGTACGAACTGTACAGGTACAACCAAAGACTTACGCGGCAGCGGCGGCCAGCCCGCCGCGGCCAAGTAGTAAAAATAGTGGCAAACCCAGTTACGGTAACCGTAACAATAATACCGGTAATATCCGTAGTAATATCAGCAAAGCTGAAAGTAGCGATATCCGAAATAGTGGAGAGGATAATCGCGCACCGTCTCGTAAAGAGCAGTGGGCAAATAATATTAGTAGAATACAGGAAGCGACCGATCGGTCCCCAGCCTTGCAGAAAACTTTGCGTGGCAACCGAGTAGTAAAATATTGCCAGCACTGTGATTTGTGCGGGCATTATTTCCGAGACTGCCAGTTCCGTGATAAACCACGGTGCGAAAATCCCACGTACCTCGCCTATCACGACCCAGAGACTGGAAATCGGCGATATGCCGCCGATTTCTACCAGCGCCGTAATGGCAGTCAATCAGGAAGCGAACCTAATTCGCCGGCCAGACAGAGGAGTAATTCCCGCCAGAGTATCGGCCCAGTAGAGGATCGGATACGTCCGACGCCTGGATCACCGTTACCGGATAATAATCCGTTTTCTGGTTTGGCTGATCAGGAAAACGAGGAAGGGCGCTAAATTCCGGCTTTACCGACCCGATTCCGTCCAAACCGCCGGGCAAAACCGAAATAGTCACAATCAACGGATTGCGTATCATTGAATCCGATGAATCATCGGATAGTAGCAATGCTACCATTAACTTCTGTACTGCAGTGATCAATTACACTGAACCTAGACGCGCATGTCCGCTAATGCTGAATGCATCTATTAACGGGCGCGAAGCGCCAGTAATGATTGACACTGGAGCTGAAACATCTTTGATTTCTAGCGAATTTGCTAGTGAAATTAATGCAGCCAAAATACCATTAATAAAAGCCTTGCACATCCGCGGGATCGGCGGAGTGCGTGGGTTCTTAGTTACTCATTATTGCCGTATAATTGTTAAAATACAAGATTTCGAAGCAGTACATTCAGTGTACATTAAACCGACAACGGATGAGATCAAGGTTTTATTGGGGCAGGACTTTCTGCAAGACACCTTTTACGCAGTTCGAAACAATAAACTGCGCTATTTGGAGTATCAGCCGAATAATACACCAGGAACTGTTATACTTAACAGACCAGCGTCACCTGTAATTCAGGCTACGAAAACCGCAGAAGTAATCGATTTAACGAGACCCGCAATAACGGAAATACCAAAGGAAAAAAAAATTGTAGAAACTCTACAAATTAGTGGCAATATTGCCCAACCAGAAGAAAGTGTAATCTTCCTGATACCCGTGGCAACGGGAGAAACTAATAATGCCGCAGAGAGGTTACAAGCAGCGGAAATCGCCGTACCAATTGGGAGCAAAGTCTTCCCGATACCCGTGGCAAAAGCCACGATAGATACCGTAACGAAAACAGACAAGGTCGTTAATCGCAAACCGTTATTAAAAAAGCAAGTTAAAACCCGGTTACCCGCAAAGGCAACGTTTCGACGTCTTTGGGGAGAGTACAGAGTACTCATAAAAGAAATACAAGATCTAATCAAAACTAAAGAGGACGGTACTAACGTCATGTACTTATTTCTGGACGACGAAGTACCGGTACCCGGTATTGATTCTGCAAAGGCAGAAGAAATCGTACGTAATTTAGCAAAGCAGTACAAAGCGGAGTACACAGCTTTGGAGGAGAAACAACGTCAGTTAACTGAAATATTCAAATATCTTAAAATACCACTACCGTATATATTGCGTACACCGTTGCGTGTATTAGCGCAGTTAACGAGACGTAAATTACCGGTATTGCCGTACCAGTTGAAGGAGTGTAAACCACTTGATAATTACGCTAATGAAACGGTTGTAAAAACCATAGCAAACCATAATCGGTCAGTTAGTTTTGCGCCAATGGCGCGGGTAGTTGAATTTATAACAGACGACCCACCTACCGTAGTGAGAAAATCTCTTGATATTGCCTCTACTAACGAGACTAATAATAATTTAATAAATCAAACTAGCATCGGGATAGTACCGGATTCTAACAATATAATTATCGTAAATGCAGAATTGGTAGGGCCCACTGATTCTGCCGAGATCACTAATGAACCTCCGACTTGGGAATTTTCCCAGTCTCCGAACATTAACCCTACTTACCGCGGTACACGCGTTAAGCCTATCAAAGTCTTCGCCGGCGATAAACTATTAATTAATCCGGGTACTAATTGGGCGACAGTAAATGTCCATTTCGATGCAGATGAGCAATTCGATACCGACAAATTTTTATTTCTTCCCAGTCCGCATATGTACATTGAGCGGCGTATACGGCCGATGGAAGGAGTGGTTAAACCACTGAATAATAAATTTGATATGGTATTCGTTAATTTTCAACACCAGCGGCAGTCAATCAAAAAAGGCCAATTTATTGGCTACTTAGAACCGTATGAGGATATTCCTGATGTGAGTATTCAGATTAACGCCACAATGTTGGCTGAGATGACAACAGAAGAGCAGGAGACAGTGATTAAAGCGGTGGATGAATTAAAAATTAATCCGGAATTAACCGCACAGGAAATTAAAGAAATTAAAGAAATATTTCTTGAGTATCCAGGCTTATTCGCGACGAAAACCCGTCCGTTTGGCGATGTCCAAATAGTCAAACATCAAATCGATACCGGTGATATTGCACCGATTAAATGCAAACCGCATAGAACTTCGTGGCGAGGCCGCGAAATTATTCAGGAACACGTTAATGAAATGCTGGAAAAAGGGATAATTCGAAAGTCGAATTCTCCCTGGTGTTTTCCCGTAGTATTAGCCAGCAAAAAGAATCCCGATGGAACCATCGGCACGCGATTTTGCGTTAACTATATTAAGCTGAATGACGCTACTAAGAAGAATAATTATCCGCTTCCAAACCCGGACGAGCTTTTACAAGCCGTCGCGGATAATAAGTATTATTGCGGCTTCGACTGCAATGCAGGATTCTGGCAGGTGCAAATGCACGAAGACTCTATAGAGAAAACTGCGTTTATTACGCAGGACGGACTGTATGAGTTTTTGAGAATGCCGTTCGGTGTTTGTAATGGCCCTGCAACGTTTCAGGAAGCCATGAATAGGACATTGTCGGACGTTCACTGCGAAAATATTTTCGCTTACTTAGACGACATTATTGCCGCCGCTAAAGACTTTGAAGATCTTAAACGAAAAATACGTTTAATGTGTGAGTGCCTTTTAAAGGCTGGTTTCACACTGAAACCGAGTAAGTGCCATATTGGCGAGACGGAGCTGCATTTCCTTGGACATATCGTGTCCAAGGATGGGATAAAAACGGATCCTGATAAAATAGCAGCTATTGAGAAATACCCAAAGCCAGAGACTGAAAAGGATCTGAGGTCATTCCTCGGACTTTGTAATTATTACCGTAAATTCGTTAAGGATTTTGCCGGTAGAACACGCCGTCTATACGGCTTATTAAAAGGGGAAATTGATGTAAAAGCGAACTGGTCGATTGACCATGACAGTGAATTTGCTGATTTAAAATCAGCATTAATTAATGCGCCAGTATTGGTCAAATTTGATCCGAGTAAACCTACCGTAATAGAATGCGATGCATCAACGACAGGAATAGGTGCAATATTACACCAAGACGGACACCCGATTATTTATGCGAGCAAATTGCTTACCGATGCAGAAAAAAAGTATCCGATTACGGAATTAGAGTGCATGGCAGTAGTCTTTGCGTGTCGGAAATTTCGACACTTCATTGAGTACTCACACTTTTCAGTACAAACTGATCATCAAGCCTTAACTAATTTGCTTCGATCAGTTTCCCGCAAAGAGGGATTGAACGGCCGTTTGACACGCTGGGCACTCCAGCTAAGTAGTCATAAAATGACTATATTATATAGGCCGGGAAAACAATGCGACAACGCTGATGCGTTGAGTAGACACCCGGTGGGAGAAGCTACAGAATGCCCAGACGATGACTGGGATGAATTTAAAGATTCAAAATTCAGTACTCCGTCCATTCGCGTAGTAACGATAAGGGACGGAGCCGAGCATGAAGAAGAGGAGGACAATTTTAAGTTCTACAGAGTAGAACAGGAGAAAGACCCGAATATCGAGAGGATAATACACGCGTTAGAAGGACGCGTGGAAAGTGTACATTTATTAAAGCGACCCGGTTATTCCGGCTATGAATTATGGAACGGTGTATTATATAAAATTTCGGAGAAAGATGGCCGAATTAATCGCCGTTTCGTTGTGCCAAAGCACATGAGAGTCGATATCATGCATGCAATGCATGATGCACCAGCTAGCGGTCACTTGGGCCGCGCTAAAACTTATCAGGCGATAGCCTTGCGATATTTCTGGGAGAATATGGTCTCCCAAATAATTAAATACGTGGACCATTGTTTTGCTTGCCAGCATCGCAAGACACTGCGCAAAGCGCCACCCGGTAAACTGCAGCAAATTGCTATCGGCGAGCCGTGGTTTAGAATGCAGGTAGATTTAAAAGGGCCATTGCCCAAAACAACACGCGGAAATACTTATATCGCCGTGGCGATAGACGAACTTACAAAATTTGTAATCGCAAAACCGATACCAGATGCAAAAGCGGAAACTGTCGCTAATTTCTTAATTTATGATGTGTTCCTGCCGTATGGAACACCTCAGATATTGAACACCGATAGAGGAACACACTTCCACAATCATTTATTGGAAGCAATAAATAAAAGATTAAGAATACAGCACCATTTTGGTGCTGCGTATCATCCGATCGGACGTGGACTTGTCGAAAGACAAATGCAGACAATAGCCGACTCACTCGCGATGTACGCTAGTGATGGCCGGGAACGTAATTGGGACAAAGTCCTGCCGTTTGTTATTGCTGGTAAAAATCGTAGCAAATAAAACGACAAATCTGTCGCCGTATTTTATGCTGTACGGTAGAGAGCAGGTTATTCCTGCGGATTCCGAAACGAAGACAAATTTGCCGTCTGATCACGCGACAATTCGCGAATACATGGAGGAACTGCGTTACAATCTAAATCGTGCCCACGATATAGCGGAGTTGCATATTCGCAACGAATTTGAGAAAAATGCCGAACGCTTCGACAAGGGTCGATCGGAGGATAACTTTAATATTGGGGACCTGGTGATACTTAAAATAGAAAAGAAGAAAGGGGAGACGGAGTCATTTCGTCGCAGGTTCGAAATTGAACCATGGGAAATCATCGGGTTCCCATACACTAACGCTGTGGAAATTAAACGGATAAACTCCGATAAAACGGAAGAAATACGTACCGTTAATTGTGAACGAATTAAACCGTACAGAACAACGGAAGAGGATCGGAAAAGCGAAACTCTACTAATTAGAGATCTGCTGGAAAATAATAATTTAAGTGAAATCCCCGATAATCAGACGGTCCGCGCCTTGGCAGATAATTCTGCCGCTAATTTCCCCACTACCGATGTGGTCCGTACCTCCGCGGATAACTCTGCGAATAATTCCCCCGTAATCGATACAGAGGAATGGGAAACAGTAGAAGATAACGATAGTAATAATAAGCGCAACGGCGCCAATAAATCGGTACCTAAAAAAAGGTTCATGTTGAAATTACGCAAAAGCGCTAATGGATACATTAAAATTCACCACTTATTAGTGGGATCGAAGCACGCAAAGTGTAGCTGTAAGCACGCAATGCAATAGCTGTTTAAATAAGCAATAACGAGCGTTATTACTGTATAAACACCGTACTAAAATCCACAATTAAATTGTGTATTTTTCCCATTGCAGATATCTCCGCAATGGATCGCAATCAGCGACCATCCCGACCGATCGGAAGAGGTAATCCTCGATTTTTCGCCCCACCCGTAGCGGGAAATCAGGCACATCGACCGACGCAGCGATTTGCTTCCCCGAATGCAGGGAATGTTCAGAACACCGGTAATTTGCCCAATGTGGCACCAGAAGTAATTCCAGTGACTATGTCACGCTCTGTACAAACCGATCCCGTAATTGTGGCATCATATGCCGAATACGAATTACTTCTGCGCAGTAATCGGGAACGCGACCTGGCATCGTATAGACATTCGTTGGCAGCAACGGCTGCCCAACCAGAGGAAATAGCTGCAGTTGATCAACTGCATATTACTCCGCCAGCGGAAAGGATGGCGAAGGCCATAATAGCGCGTGCAAAGGCACAGAGTGATGCAGCAGGGACTTCAAAAGAAGTTGAGGAAGTCCCTCACGAGTCAATTGTGAAATCACCTGTTAAATCACCTGCAAAAGCAGGAGTAGAGACAGCGTTAAAGGCAAAGCTTAAACGGAGTAAATCGCCGAAACCACCGGCAGACGCTGACGAGCGATTAGCTAAGTTAATCGCCGACCATGAACGGCAAGAAGCCCGAGATCGACAGCGTTGGGGGCAATCCTTCGTAATGGAAGGTCCATTTGCTCCAACGAAGTCTAAGGGAAAAGAATTACGAGTAATTTCGATACCGCAGCATGTCTTAGAGACACCGCCGATTTTAACGCAAATACGGCCACAGTTGCAAGTGCAACCGCCCCCGGCGTTCTGGAAAGAGACTGGCTTGAAGCCAGCCGTAATCAGGTTCCCTACTCCTATGGGAGTAGTGCAAGCGCCGATTGAACACCAGCAACCGGCTGGGACATTTAAACGGGGTACGAACCCGGTTCGAATCAAGGAAGAGCAGAGTTACATAATCCCGAAATTATCGGGATCGCGTACACCGTCGCCCGCTGTTAGTACAGTATCACATAGGACACATCCCTATCGCGTGCAAAGCACAACCTCACCAGGTGAGGAAGAAAAGAAACGTAAATTAATGGAGGAAAAAGAAGAAATAACACGAAAAGTCGTGCAAGTAAGGGAAAGGCTGAGACATCAGCCGTCATCGTCGGAAGACGAAGATCAGCCGCGCCTCGTAATAGACGAGACGCGCAGTGATAAAGCACAGAAAGGTAGTGACGAGGACCTGATCAAGTTCTCCAGTGGATCAAATGGAAGAGAGAACTCTCCGGAAATTCCGGAACCAAAGCCAGATGGATTACCGAAAATAACGAGTATTAGCTCGCCAGTTCCTAGAATGTCGCCTTCCCCAGTAAAGACTGGACCGTCGCAACCACCGAAATCGGTGCCTAGTGAGAAGATAGCTGAAGCAACGGCTGTGACTTTGGACATTATAAATAATGTCCGGAAGAAGGATAAGATGGCGGCATTCGCCCATCTTTTACAGAGATATAGGGAGATTATTGCTCCTCGGTATATTGATACCGAGGAATATGGTTTAATTGTGAAAGTTGCCGCAGAACGCGGTACGTTGGTGGAAGTGTATGAAAATTGGTTACCAACAATGAAGTACGCGATAACCGCGAGCCGTAAAAGCCGATATGTCGGGATGAGAGTCACAGGAAATGGTCGAAGCCGCGGCAATCGCTATCAGGGACATCCACAACGTTCGTGGATCGACTATTGACGAGATTGTTAGGTATATGTACCTAACAATGCCGTTAGATTCAGTTAATCCCGAGCAGCGTTATTCCGATGTTAACGCCGCAGTTAATGAGGCAATAGCCACAGGAATAATCGTAGATGCGGCGTTGGCCGGGAATAGTGGGCGATACGCCCTGGCGGAGACAAACCGCAAAAGAATAGCGGAATTAACTGGTCAGCATGTAGAGGAAGTCCCGTATTCCCCGGCCAAACGAGTTCCATTTGGGCAAAAGCCCATAACAGCAGATGAGCCGAGGAACTTGTTGGCTCAACCGTCGCGTCACGAATTGGCTGTTGCCATATACAAAATCGAGCAGAGGGGGGAAAACCCCACAGCCCAGCGAATTAATGAATATTTTGGTACATATCCGCCTTATGCGGTGCAGTCGATGCTTCGTACAATGTACGAAGACGCCCAAATCACACGCCGCTACGACGGCGAGACTTCACCGTCATACCGCTTCGGGCGTAAAGGACTCTCGTTTCTGCAGAACGTGCAGTTCGATAAATTAAAGCAGTGGGATGAAATTGTCGTAAAGACAATTGAAGAAATCGGTGACCCTGCTGGTTCATCGCCGGACGAAATCATCCAGTACATTAGGACAGTGTGTCCGGCTATAGCTAATCACGTAGACGATGCAGTGACATTAGCGATAAGTCGCTTAATTAGCGATCCGAGAATTGTCGGGTTAAATGATCCACACCGCGGGATGGTTTTATCCGTTATACTGGATCACGTAATCGAGGAATAGAACAATATCTCCGAGATGGTAGATGCATATATTATGCAATAAGATTCCTGTAAATACGCCAAGATAAATCGCCGTAAAATACTGCCTAATTTAATTATTTTAAATTAATTGCAGAAATGGACGAATTACCGTATGCTTATGGGCCAATGCGCTCCTGCAGACGATGCCAGCATAATACCAATAATCGGAAGTGTGTGGAATGCACACTCGGACCGAATTTCCGATCGGAAAATCCACAGATTACCGTATCCCGTTTGTATGACGAAGTGCTGCTACGCAGCTTGGATGCCTACCGTACCATCACACTGCCGGAATACTGGACAATTGTCTGCGCCACGCCGTATTACTACCGTGGTGTTTTTGACAGCGCTGTGCAGTTTATCAGTGAGGGCACTGATGAGTGGTCCTACGCAATTTACCCGGAAAATTTCGGGCGGTGTACAGCGGAACTAATGAAGCGCGTAACTGCGCCACCGAATCATGTAAAATTACCTGTAATTAGTGATTGCGGTAATTTTGAGATATTTCCTTTAAATAAGGATATTCAATATTTACCGGGCAGGGATAACTCCCATATTTTACAGAATTTGCCGGCAAACGCCAGCGGACAACAAACGCCGTATCAGCCACAACAAGGCCAGTGGCAACCACCAGTTATGTTTCAGTCACAACAATATCAGCAGCAAAGTCTGCCAGGATATCAGCCGCAAATGCAGCAAACGCAACCACCTATTCGTTATTCGAATATGGCGTTGCAGGTACCGTCCGGTGCCTTGCCACCTGATCATATTGCTCACTTACAGCAGAGCCTTCCCAGTGGAAGCTACCAGTATGATCCGGAAACTCGGATGATAACTCCATGTCCATGGCCAGCCGGGACAGCACCGAAAGAATCACAACAACGGCAGACTAATCCGCTGTTAGCGAATCTCCCGCCATTGACCAGGAATACTCCAGCAAGTCAAACGCCGTATCCGCAACAAACGTTGCAAGTGCAGTCTTCAACTTCCAGAGCTGTAAGTGAAACAGTTTTAGATTCAGAGCCGAATTCAGGTGCTAGTTACTCTAGCAACACTAGCAATGCTAGTGGTAAAACACGGCATAAGATTACTTATCAACCACCGAATGTGGGGAAAACCTCAGATAATTCGTTTGTAGAAGGCGATATAATGCCTGGTAAATTGAATACGGCTGCTAAATTTCAGAAGAAAGCAGCGAATTGGAATGTACGCGCAACGCGCGACAAACCAGTACAGTATAAGCCGGATGCATCTGTATTGTTGATGCCGGAGCGACAGACACATCCGCAGCGTATCGCCGCGATATCGACGTTATTCGTCGGGACCTTGATCAATATATTGATCGTGTTGCGTCAGTAATTGGCACCGTTAACGCTGATTAAAGAACCGAAATTGGCAAAGCCATCACCGATACTTTGGACTTGTTACATACCGTTGGGTATGATTTGCGTATTCGCAATTCAATCAACATGTACCAAAATTGATTTGTTTCGGCAAATGGAAGTTCGGCGATATGAAACGCCACGCCGTAATGGACTGCGTAGCGCGCTGGATATTTCCCAGCTCAAGGAAAAACTTATCGAAATTTCCGTAGTGGATTGGGAATTAATTTCTCAGTTTAAAATCTTATTCACCGAAAATCCGGAGGAATTCTTCCTTCAGTTCATATTACCGGACACAGATCCAGCAAAGTTCTGGTTTTTCTGCCGTGCCGCATGCGCGCTCCAGCGTAAAATCGCTCCCATGAAAATCACGTGGGATACGATCAATATAGGATGGGGACTGAAGAAGTACGTTCTTGTCATCTTATCCGCGTTAATGGGCAATTGCCACGCTCACCACTGGGCCCGGACTTATAGGCAGGTTGAACAAAATCGCCGTCTGAAGAGTTACGTTAACCGCTTGGGCGAGCCTCTTAATGAGGAACAACAAGCAAAAGTGCTGAACGATCTTTTGCATGTGATGCAAGTAGACGGACTCAAAACCGAAGCTATCCATAATGGACATTATGACGGGATATACGATCTCGTAAAAAGATTTGCCGAGCGTCAGGGGAAGCGCAAAGCCGCTCCAAATTCACCTGATACTCCAATAGCGAGCCGAACAGTGCAGCCAGAGCTGAAGAAATCGGTGTCGATGGACACCGACGAAAGCGAGAAATTACCGGAGACAGCTAACACTGCGAATGCAGCATTAACTGTGAATACCGAATCTGCAGCGATCACTGCGCCGTCTAGCGAAATTCCGCAAACAGAAGTCGCAGCGTCGGTGGAAGCACTGACGATCGCGGAAACTCTGCCGGCATTGGAGCAGCAACCCGCGGCAGAGGCGGATGATGAGATGGCGGGACCAGAACCGTCAATTAGGAATAACTTCCTTTTCCCGTCGAGACAAGCCCTTCGGGACCGACAACTGGAACTGGAGGCGATGGGACAGAGTGAAACCTTCACCGAAGTCGATCACCTGATCTTCGCGGTGCATATCCCGGATAACGAGACCGATCCACTGTACTATCCGGGTGGAAATGATGAAGTGGACATGTTGGAAGATAGCACCGAAGTTAAGACTACGTCTGCCGTATTGAGCGACGCTCTTAAGGCATTAAACGAAGAACCGCAGGTAAAACCGCCGTAAAAGCATTAAATGCTAAAAATTCAATCGCCGTATAAGCACAACGAATTGCATACTTAATTTTATTAAAATCGCCGTATTGTACTACGAGTACACAATTTAATATTAATCGCCGTAGTGCGCAATGAATCGCAAGAATAACTTTATTGAATCGCCGTAAAGTACAACGAACATAACTCGGAATAAAACGCCGTAACGCCCAACGAGTGCATCGGATTGAATTTATTTCAATCATTACAAAAATGAATTGCCGTAGACGCACAAATCGGTGCATAATACTCGGTTAAAGAATTGCCGTAGCGCATTAATTGCATAAACAGATGAATAGAAATCGCCGTAGATGCACTAAGCTGCACATATGTCGTGGATCGACGCAACAATGCGTATGACTGGAGGAAAGCTCCGGAATGGATCGGAAAACCTGCGAACTAACAAGGATTAACATGCGGGATTGGATTTAACTGGAATGGGAATTTACCGGAATAATTTTACCGGATTTTGTTACGAGTTTAACTCGTTTTGATTATTTTTACGCCGCATTTTGCAGCGTGTGTTCTCACTAACCTGTGATGGAATAATTGGCACATTTTTTTAATAAGAGTTGCTCATTATGTTGCAATTAATATGCATCTTTTCATTTCTTCTTTCATTCCTGTTTTGAGCCTCGAGGGACCTCGGCATCCCGTCCCGTGGCATGTCAGAGTGCTGTGCATATAGCACAGGATAGTGGCACATACGCCTCACCATCATTGGATCAGCTTGCCATATGCCAGCTTCCAAACACGACGGAACGTGTTTGCCATTCGAGTGCCAGTATCGGAACCGTTAACATCGATTCCTAGCTTTTTCGGATTTCATGCCCTTTTTCTTCATTAGATTTGCCTTTTGGTGGCCTTTTTAGCATTTATTTCACGGAAATAAAGCGATCTCTCGAGATGTTGTTTCGTTGTGTTTTCTCTATGCAGCGTGAGCGCTTCTCCGAGACCGGGTAGGCAGTTTGCTCAAAGTGATCCGTTATCCAGATTCCAGAGCATCAAAGTATAGGTATAGTATTTTGAGCGCGTAACTGGGTCATTGGTTCCGGATGTATGCGGAATCAGTGCCGCACACAAAGATCTGCGGCCAGGTCGGAATGGGCCATAATTTTGGTGCATGCCATACATGACCCAGATGCAAGCGTGCTCTACGTTTACTGATTTTTTTAAAATTTTCAGTAACAAATTTAGGTGATATTAATTTTGTTAACAAGTTATGTAACTGCAGGAGAGTGCTTACTATACTTAAGTCTTACCAAAGCAGCTTGCAGATCGGCGATGGCTCTTTCAATAGCTTGGCCCTCATGATCCCGCTTTATTCCTTTACCGGCACCATATTCTGCAGCTAGATCGTGCAGAATCTTTTCCTGGAAACAAAAGTTGCGTTAGAAATAATGGCCGTACTTCTGCACGTCGCAGTGATACTTATATATCGGCTACTAAGCCAGAAAAATCAGATTTCGAGCTGAATACTGTAGTTGTAAGTTGTAACTACCTACAGCGCACTACCAAGTATACATGTCCATTTGAATTCAAAAAAAGAAACGTTATCTATATATATCATGGACAAGATTCCTGACCAAGAAAATCAGTGAAAATATTTCTGCTTTAGTTAGCTGTACGGGATTCGCTAGCGATGCGCATACGCCAAATCTGAATCAAGCAACCCAGACTAACTGTAAAATACAAGCAAATTACACTGATTATACGAAACATCTAATCGATCCGCAACTTACACATTCGGCTGTTGTGAGTATTTTCGCTGATGAAGAAAGGTAGGCCAACTGATTTCCGTTTTGTCCGACACTGATGGTATTGGTTGCGCGGTACCACATGGAAGGAAAACTTTTCCGCTTCACCACCGCCAGTAACTTTTGCTTCCTGGCAGCTCCAAGTTAGCCTTACGAAACTGGTGTCGCCAGTGCAGGGGAACCCATGTCATAAGCGGCAATACCTGCTCCCACTTCTTGATAAAAAAACGGCCTTTTTTCCCACTTTGGTCTTCAAGGCACACACCGTCGGGGACACCGCCAACACCTTAGCACCGTACCAACGCCAGGGCTCCTTCCGATTAGACTGCAACAACGTCTGTACAAAGTCATTGACCTCCGCCCGGAAACGGCCGTTTCTTTCCTGGGAAACGTAGCAGTTGCGAAAGGGAACAGTTTCCGCGCGGTATTCAGGATAGCCGAAATCCACCACCAAGCCGCGGTCGCTGTCCACATCGATGACCTTACCGTGGCGTACCAGCTGGTCGTTGTCCAGGCAAACGTCGACAGCGCCGTAGCGCCACAGATCGCGGTCGAACATTTCAAAGCAGCTAACACTTACAAGGCTGCAAAAAAACTGGAACCTGATTTTGCTCCAAACATTTATATACAGGCGTTATGTGTATTGTGTGCTTGATCGGAAAGGGTTTCCGAGCTACACTGAAAATTAATCTCCGAGTTGTAGAAAAAATCTTCGGGTTTAGAAAATTAATCTTTGAGTTATACTAAAATTTCTTTTTATAAAAGAATAATTCCCCAGACGGTTGAAACAGTTTAGACATTAAAAATAGAGTCACTAAACAGCAGTCTAATGCCTTTTGAAGCAGATCTGCTGGCCTTCGCTTTCTCGGAGCACAGTTGCACTCGCGCCTTTGTTGGAAGTTTCCTTAACCGGATGTTATACTAACAGGATTTTGATAGGTCACTTTCGCATGGCATAGCAATTATTGCATACGAGGATACGCAGTAGGCTGAGCGAGCATGCTCAACTGCTCATAAGCATGGAATGAGCTACCCGTCTTAGAAAAAATTTACAAACAGGGAAGCGTGAAGTATGTATATTGCGTTCCTGTCAGTTCTGTATACAATACAGCCGTCGCTCGATCGAGTTGGTCTGTCATGATATAGAGGCACTAGGGTTAGCAAGGTACTTACTGTACTGTATCTAGTTCTTACGAGAAGGTCATTGGATGGTAAGTTGAATGTGGCATCTCGCAAACGACGCAGAGCTACCGGCATGTCTTTGTCTGATATACCTTGTACTGATAAGTACGTATAATAATTATGTAAATGTATCCAGTTTTGTTTTGCAAACAACTGTAGATCAGTACTGACTTCTTAAACGAATGCTTTGTTGTAAGGACGCTAAACTAAATCTTGTATTGTAAATCATGCCAACAGTCGGCATGATTTACTGTGGAGCAGTACTGAGGAATACTAAGGACTTGTGCCCAAGTTTATGAAACAACTAAAACTTTAAATGATCTCTTTCTGGACGCGACTATTTTAAAAGTGCTTTTTTGCTTTTTATTATGTTAGGTCTGAGGTAACTCTCGGTCAAAGCTTAACGTAATATTTCCTGTTGGAAGTTTATGCAGTACGAGCCAACCATTAGTTCTGTGTGTACGAGTACAATTGTAATCGTACTGGTTCCATATAGTCTGCCTCGATATTTTTGAAAACAGATTTTGCTCAAAATACTTAGCCTTTCGACGCATACAATTACTTACCTGATAAGATTATGCTAACTACGTAGCCATTAAAAAATGTGCAAAGCGATGGCAGGAAGTTTTGTTTTGCCTTTTGAATTAAATATCCTCTGTAATATTATTGACACCGCAAGTGCCGCAATAATCTTTTCAGTTTTCTTGATATCTAGGAAAAACCGGCTGGGTTATTCCCCGTGATTGCGCCGAGATTTCTTTCCATTTTTCTCGCTTTTCTAATGCGAGAGTTATTGCTGGACTGCTGCTGTTCGTTGCGTAGCAGAGCGCGATCCACTTGAACTGTTCTTCCCGTCATCTGGCGGCTTTTGGCCATGGTTAACCAGCTTATTACCCAAATACAGCAGGCAGGCACCCAGTACTTTTGCCGGAGTGTCAAGAAGCATACGCAGCAGCTTGCCGCAGCCATTCCGGTAATCGCGACTTAATGCGAAGAAGAACACCTATTCCGCGAAACGAAGCGTGAATGCTTTAGCTGGTGCAACTGAACTTTGAAAAAGGTCACAAAATTACAGCAGTCAATTTACAAAATTGAATAACTTACGGGATTAGCGGCATATTCGCACACAACCACCGTTCGCATCCAGTACGCCATCAGCGGTCCCACCCGCATACGCGGCGGAATCAATAGCAGCAGTATAATCGGCAGCTGACTGCAGACCGTATTCCAGATGTATGACGCAAACAGCAGTTTCGCCATGGCGTATTTTTTGTCGTACACCTCGCGACTCAGTCCCGGCGCCCCTTCGTTGGCAATCCGGCGTCGTCTTCTCCAAACGAATGCAAAAATGGTGACATAGAGCACACCCAGCGCTGAAACCGGCAAATACTGTCCCAGTGTAATGGAAAAGCTGAATGCTAGGTAACTGGTCACCTCACTTTGTAACGTGGAACAGATTAGGAATGGTGAAACGCCGCTGAGAAGCCCGAAGCCCAATACGCCCGGCAGCTGGGACGAAATGGCGATGATCCATGAAAGAGCAAAAAATACTCCTAGCATCCTGCGGTTGGAGACTCTGGAATAGCTGTGCGGTAACAGCAAAGCCACAAAACGGTTGACGCCCAAAAACAACGCCACCCAGTATCCCACTTGCATCAACAACAGCTGGTGGAAAATCAGGAAATCACAATCGAAGGCAGGCAAAGCGTTGCCCAACCAGAAATTGAGAACTGGTGAAGTGATAAGCGGAAAAACCACACCACAGATCAGACCGTCAAGAAACTGTTTATGCGCAATTAGCCAACCAGAACCGGTCTGGAGTGACCTTTGGGTGACAACCGCAAAGAAAATTAGACCATTGAGAATCGTACCCATGCCGCAGACAATGGCAAAGACGATCAACCAGATTTTGATGCCGTTGGTCATAGAAAATGTAAACATCGGTTGATTCCACGGGGCACTCTGAATTGTAGCATTGAATTCGACACTGCTGTTGTTGGCATATGAAGCCATTGTGCATTTATATGCGATAAATAGCTGGTTCTTAAGATCTTATCGGATGCAGATTGCAGATTAACGGTTGCACACTTAATGTTGCATATAACTGGCTAAAAAGGATCACCGCATTACGTCAGTATTATGATTGCAATAATTGGTGAAATTATCGAACCTGCGCACGTTGTATTACTGCACGCTACATTACTATGTAATTTCCTTTTCGTCCCATCGGTAATAAAGTGCGTAAGTCACAAAAGCTTGCTTTTCTGGCATCGCTGGAATCCGCAAAATTTAAGGACGGCGACGGTAGGTTGCAAGGCAATGAACAACAGATCTAGAGGAGCTGTTAATAGTTTATACTGTCTGCGTGATGTGGATTACCATAATTCCAGACTATTTTTGCTAGAGGAGCGGCATCCTTCATTTCCGGCAACTGTGTCCTGGAAGGATGAAATTCTGGTTGTTAATGGATTAATGCTTTGATCTAAGCCGAAGTGCCAACTTGCGGTTATTAACTTTGTTCGACTGCAGTTCACTCTATTTGTAGGCACTATTTGTAAGTTGTATAAGCAATCAGATGTCCTCGTATAACTTTACGTTCTTGGTGCTCCTCTAAAGAAAACCGGCGATTAGGAAATATCTTTGTAGGTTGACATTTGCAAAGGAAACTACTGCCTTCTTCCACCACTGTTTTGTTTCACGTTGAATCCCTTAGTAACCATTGCGGAAATTAGTATGTGAAATTATATGTGTTAGTGCAATTGTCAATGCTAATCAACTATGCCACAGATAACATATTCTGTTTTATTCTAATCGTAAAAACTAAATATTGTAGCGATAGTATTAATTGTACAACCGATAAGGCCACCCAGTTATGATTCATCATTCCATCGTGTTAGGAATTTCTGCCTACTTTACCGGCTACTTCTCCTTCTCATGAATTTCTAGATTTAGTCTTGTAAGTACTCAGCTTGCATCAACTTGATCAACCTTGTCCTAATCTCTTGCACTAAATCTTGCTCCGTCTCTTGATTCCCTTATCATTAAACATCTCTTGATTCCCTTGTCATTAAACAAGCCTTGAGTTACGTTGTTGCGTTTGAACGCTTGGGATGAACATGTGTCATCCCAATCGGAGCCACCTGTATAATTGGGTTACATCAGTGTCCTCGGGTGTCCTCGGCCAGCATCGTTGCCTGCCGTGCCACCTTTCATCCTAACATCCGCATAATCGTGGTAAAGGCTGATCGCCACCCCACTAGAACAGCAGCCTCATAGGCTGGTGGTATAATACATTTCAAGGCAGTAAGCATTCGTTGAAGTCAATAACAGTTGACATCGGAGCAAGCCGAGAGAGGAAAGCTAACGAATCACAGACGGCTTCAACCAAGGTACCAGTTCGTATTTTACAGACCTTAGGGAGATGGTATTAAGAAATTTGAGGGAGATCGGAAGCCGTATAGCCGCTGCTATTAGCCAGAAAGACGTCAAAGATTTTTTCGGCAGAGGCTGCCCTCCAGATACAACGGGGAATGGTGTATGAGTAATGGGCACGATTCCGGAGCAAGATAGTATTGCGGAAATATTCTTGCTTTGATTTGCTTGTTTGTATACTTATATGAAGTTTCGAACAAGCTGCTGTGTTAGAATTACTAATGGTCACAGTGCGTGTAAATTTAGTTGACAACCTTTGCATTTTCACATCGATTGTATTTTTCACTCCTATTGTTTTATCACGGTACATTCGGCACAGGTCTGGTGGTAACAACTAAGTCATTAAATAACACGAATGAAAGCGTATTCCAGTAAGCTGAATGGTCACTGGGTGGCTGCATCTGCGAGCACATTGTTTGCATGGCAATAAAACTCACGGGATATTCGCAAGATGCAATTACTATGTAATGGCCAAATCCGCCGCAAAAGTAATAGCCGCAGATAAATGACAGCGAGACTTGGAAGGATGGATGACAGCGAGACGTGGAAGTTGCCGGACACGGCGCAGGACTGTCCGGGAGCGCTGCAGCCCGAGCCGGTGTCGGAGCAGGTGATGGGCAGCGCCGCAGGTGTGGATCTCGTCCATGGCGGCCGTGTCGAGCCGGTCCAGGGTGGACGCGTTGGCCTCGTCCAGGTGGGATGCATGCCTTGTGGGTGCGGAGCGCCTCCTTCACTGGACGAGTTTCCGTGCACTCCACCGGGGAAATTGTGGGCAAATGCCATCTGAACGCGGAAACTGACAAACAGTAAAAGGCAAAATTGGAAATCATTGCGGGTTAGGAAGGCGCAGTGTTCGGTAGATCTACTGTCTACATAATATGTAGAACAAACGTTGTGATTTGTGAGTATCTCTAGAATACTCGATATTCACGACTCTTATGTCCAGATTGTACGCAAATATTCTAAGCAATGATGTGTGCAGTTATGTGGAATAATTTACTGGGGGCTGTACCTTGGTGTCCAGTGCCTTGGCAGGCATTGAAGTTGTGTTGATGATATTGCCCAAGGCGGTGATATAGTGACATGAGATTTTGTCGCCATTGTTTGGCTGGCGAATTAATGTTGTCAGCCAGCTGATTCAAACAAATCTGCATAGCTTCGTAAAATAATTCAATTTTTAAGAAATCGATCTCGTGTGGTTCTATTCAGTAATACGAATAAGCAGCTTAGTAAACCGTCACAACAGTTATTTTGTTACATTGTATTTACAATATTAATCAGCAAGTCTGTTTGATATTCATAATTGATCAGTAAATGTGATCGATATTCGAGATCTATGAATTAGTGCAGAGATGACATTCGGTGGGCGTGCGCCGTATTCCTTGGTTACGCTTATGTTACCACATCCCTTAGTCAGTAAATAGTCACTGCTTCCGTGATAACAGAAGAGGTGGCGGACGCGGTACATTCTCCAATGTTTCTTTGATCCTGAAAAATATAAAAAAAGCACCTTACCATTAGAAACAATAACTCTAACACATAAAAACCCCTGCGTTGGAAAGCACAAATTTTTGGCTGATCTCGTTCTGTAAAGTATGAATGCTGTTATTTTGCTAAACAATTTTATGTTTACCATTGATTTCTAATGGAAGCTATTGGCATAGATACGATAAGGCAGTTTAATAAGGAAGACAGGAGAACTGTCAAAAAGCCCAAAGTTAAAAGCCCACCAACTGTCAAAGTAACGCGTTGAATGATATTACATGTTATCAAGTCGGCAATGCATACCCGTCTCCATTGTCGGTAACATGGAGCATTCGGACAAGTTGCCATCCAGATGCTTCGTTAACTTAACGCCGGCCGATCCATACGTTTTCTTCGAACTTGGTCCAGACGTTTTCTTCACGATCAGACTATTCCATGTGCATACTGATCCCTTGCTTTACGAGTTCTCATTTGGGTATCTCGGTTTTGGCTTAGCACGTCGCTGATTTTGTTCTTCAGCCTGCCACGCACCAGTTATTCTGTTTCTTTATTTTGCGTATAAGGAAAGTAATTGTCTACGTGGCTGAAGCGATTCAGGGTGCCAGCGTATTCGCATTCACCATCTTGCCCACACTTCCGGGTAACACCTTGAGAGTTCCTCAACACACCTTCGTGACTGCACAAGGATGTCAAACATGCATATGAATTACGAGTAGCCTTTATTATAACGTGCACAACACATCAAACCTAGCCGATTGCAAATGTTTCGGTTAATTTGCTATTTCTTAAGCTCATTGTGTTATTTATACGAGGTAATTCAAAGGTCGGGACTTATTTTTGTGATAATACTGGAGAATTTTAAGATTATTAATTTTATGTTATTGCTTTTGCACGTTTGTATGTAGCAAGTAGAAATGTGTATAGACCCATTAACCTGAAATTCAATCAAAGTGTACTTTTCTGTTAATAGAACCTGCCGCTTTCATGCATTCTTATGAATAAGGCATTCTTGTGCGCTGATCTGATTGAAAGGTCAGGGCTGTGCTTTTTAAGGCAGAATAATATGCCGATACTTCTACGCACTCGTTTGTAATTTTGGACCATGCACACTAACTAATAACTATAGCGTACCTATATGCGACATCTATTTACGGGTGCACCGTTGAGCAAAAAGAAGCATCAAGCAAATTAAAAGTTTTCTTAAGTTCTGATGTTTTGCATGGTCAAATTATAGATCGCAGTTGGTGGTGGGACCTCATTAGATCCTGCATACCGTAAAATTACCTTTAATGCAGTTTAAACTACTCGTAATAGAAGTCTCCTATTTTTTCGCTTCGATTTGTGCCAGTTGCAGACGTCTTCAAGTGGTAACGGAAGTAGCACTGTGCCGGCATTCATTAGTGTCGCGCAATTTTTCTGGTCAGCGTCAAAATATGATTGCAGGTATCTGGTGCGAAACGGCAGTTGTTATATTAAGAATATAATTTCAACCCTTTGTCCATTGTTATTTTTGAAGTTAATGGTTGTGTTGAAAGACACCATTACTTATAATTAGTTCTTTGCATAGTTATACAAGGATGTATACTTCATGCGGCTGCGATTCATCGCTTACATTAGCCGCAAAATCTGTTAATTGAAGACTCATGATCAGAAGTCTTCATCTTTTTAAATAAGTTCTTTATAATTTGTCAGACTGCTGTATGACAAATTATAACGAATCTAGTTAAAAAGGTACAGAAGCCGATATTTTGCAGTGGCGATCGAATGAAATCGTTCAAAAGCTGTTTGCTGCCATGCTGGTAAATGGTAATCGTCGCTTAATTAACAAGATCATCTGCAGCACATGATCACGAGAAGCAATAATGTTGTGTCTGTATATTAAAAAACCAATAATGCATAATCAATACGTACAATAGTTGAACTGAATGAATACCTGGTGATGAAAAGGCATTACTTATTACCGAAACCTAATATGCAATAAAATTAAATCAGCAGAATTGAAATAATTTTGTAGGTTAGGAAATTCGCTGGACATCTGCTGTCTCTCGCAAGCTATACCTTATAAGGTATACCATCCACGCACAAAAAATACGACCGCTGTCCTATGGGAGGTGGCAACGTTTCTACCGCCGTGAATTGTTTACTTGAATGAAAGGATGCAAGCTTGGCAAAATGTTCAGAGGGGAGGTGCGCAGCGAAAAAAAAGCACTATCCAGTCTGGAGAGATACGGCTGTTGGTCTGACGTCCCATCTACCTCGAGTGCTAGAGTCCTTTCCGCCGACTCCTCGATTGTCGGCTCCCACCGAATCCACGACAATGCGATTGTACAAGAATAACAAGCAGCTGCTGATCGCAGTGCGCAGTGACCGAATGAAATCGTTCAAAAGCTGTTTGCTGCCTTGCTGGTAATCGTCGCTTAACAAGAGGAAGAACATCTGCAATAGATTCTTGCAGTGCTATCATGATTTGTACACTGCTGCAAGAAAAATAAAATTTGAAAAATTAGGTATGAGTGCCAAGGAATTTTATTTACGCTGTCGTTATGTACTTCAGTACTTGTAATATCTGCCTGCACACGCAGTTTAATGAATACATATTGGTATTGTGGCAGACAAACAAATCGACCATAAAATTTTGTACCGGATTGGCGGCATATTCCAGAGCGTGAATGGTGCGCAACCACAGCGACAGGAGCGCGCGATTGCCGGCACTGCGTGGTACCAACTGTATCAAGGCAATCGGCAGCTGACTGCACACCGTATTCCATATGTAGGACGCGAACAGCAATTTGGCAATGACCACTCGCCTGCGCGAGACATCACTCCGTTGTCCCGCAGCACCCACTCGACTGCTCATCTTAATCCGGATTGTTAAAAATATCGTAATGTAGATCACACCCGAGAGTACCACAGGAATGTACTGCCCGAACGCGGTCATCACAATGTATGTGAAGTTGTCAGTAGGGCCGAGGATTCCACATGAGTTCACCGTAACACCGAACTTCATGCCAATGTTGAACAGGGTCGGAATATCGCAAACGAGTACGATAAACCAAGAAAATGCAATACATCCGACTAAGGAGGGTTTCGCAGCAATGACGGAATACTTGTGTGGCAATAGCAGCGCGAACAACCGGTTGACACCCAGAAAAAAAGCCGTCCAGTAGCCAACCTGCATCAAGGTCAACTGAACAAACTGAGCCCACACGCAGTTCACCGTTAGCCCCTCGATGTTCACATACAAATTGATTACCGGGGAAATCATTATGGGGAAAATAATAGCGCAGAGTATCACATCCAAAATCTGCTTGTGAGCGATTAGCCAACCGGAACCCGTTTGGAGCTTTCGCTGTGTTAAGATGACCACCAAGAGAAAGCAGTTAAGGATGATGCCGAATCCACAGATCAGTGCATAAACAGCTAACCAGATGGTGGCATTCGACGTTACACGAAAAACAGAATTAGTTGGCAGTGAAACATTGGTTGCCGCAGAATCGTTGAATGTTCCCATGATGGCATAAAAGAGTGCTCACCACAGCCGACAACGTCTGATCATGAAGATGTCTGATGTGTTGCGGTTGCTGATTCATGCGCTGATGGAATAATCCCGGCTTTTATATTCGCACTTATACCTACAGGTGAGTTGCACATCATCGCAAGTGTTCCGATTAACAGAATCAATAGAAGTGCTAACAAGGTTTTTATTCAAATTAGCTGCTAATTCCCAGTGCCACGAAGAAAGGGTGAGGCAGTGCCCGCGACTGCTTAATCTTTTCTTGTGACCGCACGATCAATCACGACTCACGAGCTCTTTTATTCCAGCATTCCATCTTGTCGATTAAATTTTTTTTCCAGATATTATGTTCACACTGCGGTCAGCGCATTCTGGGAATCAACGCCCCACGCATTCTGGGAATCAAATCAACGCATATTGTCTGGATGCGAAATGACAATCGCGATTAAATTTCTCTTTTAAATACAACACTGGCGCAAAATCCTCCTACATGTCTTCACTTTGAGAGTACACTTTAGAAATTGCTTTAACATGTTTTTATGTTTTATTGTTAGTTGAATGGCATAAGCTCAAGATCTGCTGAATAATTTGCTCCTTTGTTTGGATTATCGCTGATGGTTTGGTGTGCTTGTGCAGTTTCATGGCAAGATCAGCTTCGTTTGAGCATATTATAGTACATACAGGAAACACCTGCGGCTACCGCCTCCGGGGTTTCTTGGATCGATTTTTGAAATTTTTATACGTTATAGTGACAAAGTTATATAAAGTTATATGAAATCTCTGGTATACTCTATACAATACTCAATATACAAGTTGCAAACGGCAGGCTTTTGATGTTTGTTTTTTTGATGTTTTATTTATGCTGCATATATGTACTGTATATGCATATTATACTGTATGACACACGGAAACGTCGAAATCAAACACCCTCATTTTATTTATAGAAGTAGTCATCGAAGAAGTCCATTGTTTCAACACAATACCGTACGCAAGGGTCTTTTTGTATTACATACAAAAATGTATTAAATAAGATCGTTTTGTATGTTTACAAAAAGTACGGCCCCTTGAGTACGGCACTGTTCAACCGTACCGTTTTGCTTTTTTGATATCTGTTAAGCCGTTGCACTGAATCGCGATTCAAGCAGTGGCCGACATTGTACTGTAATGATTCCACGTTAAAAGGTGTCTGTATTTTAAAACCACGTTATAAGCCACAGTAGCCTGTTTTTAAAATTTTTTTCGACTAACGGTCACTTGTTGCTGTTATGTGCACGTCTGTTGTCAACCAATTGGTAAAACTTTATGACCGCTGATTACTTGTACCTAGCTATAGCTGGATCGAACCTAGGAGTCCGGCAGCTGGAAAAGCCTCCGTACCACCCGCATTATTAAAGAAACCCATAAAACTATGAACTTCTATAAAATGATGACTATCGGTCTATCGGTAAAATTGAAAAGCAACGTTGTTCAAGAAAACAAAAACCCTGAATACAACCAACCATATAAGCAACCATTTTTTACCATCATTGGGGAGATTTGGGCTTTCGGGACGCTGCAGAACCACCCAGCAGGTGCCGCATGTGGCCTGCACATACTTCCTGGGCCTCATCTTAGCGGGTCCACCCTACCACTCTGTAGAGTCTTTTTAGGGACTAGCTTTTAATACTTTGAGATACAATCGAGAGAAACGGAGGTGTGACAAGTGGAAAAGCCGCAAATCCCATTTCACCAGTCAGCCCACAAAACGGAAATGCGGAAGTGAGCAAGTAATCAAATCTGATTGGGTTTTTGTACATAAAGTTTTCAGATTCAGACGGATGACGGCATAACTCAGAATCCATAAAAGTGTCAGTCCGATTAACAATACACAAAAATCGCCCTCGGGATCATAATGCTAAACCTTTAAGACGGTAAGATACATGTACAAAGGATTGGTGTAATGGGTAAACCGATTTTCAAATGGGAAAATTTTTCCTTTTTTATTACTTACAACGCACTACAAAAAGGTGTTCAGACATAATCGTGCCAGCCACTGAGGATTCCATGACCTAGCCATGCAGATAAAGCTGTTTTCGTCAACAGCACTTTTTTAAGCATCTTTAGGCGGCAATTGTATCGCAGCTATAAAAAATAGACCGAATGCGCTGACCTATCCGCCTCACAGTGTCCGGATTGCGTACCCATGAATGGTGCGTGTCTTCCATGAGAATAAGCTGCACCGATGCTGCATCCATTAACGTGTCCAGATGGTTGTATTGTGTTTGCAAATAATGTGCGTGTAACAGCCGCTCATCTTCCGCAGAAAACATGTCACTTAGTCGAATAGCGCGGAAGAGAAGAATATTCTGGACGTTTCTCATCATGTCCTGAAAGTCTGTCCTGTCCCGAGTATACCGATAGTGAATACGATCGAGGATGTACTTATCGGGACAACCAATAGTGCGCCCTGCAGCCGGCACATCGAAGTATGAATCAATAAACATCAGACTGGAAATTTTGTCTCCATTCTGAGATAACTGGCGGGCGACTTCGAGCGCCAACGTGCCACCAAAACTCCATCCCAGAAGATTGTAGGGTCCACATGGCTGCAGTTGTTTTGCGTAGTTAATATAGAATCTGGAAAGCTCTTCAAAGGTCATATCCGGTTTGTCCCGATAAATGTAATAGTTGTTAAAAAGAATCAGATGGAAAGCTTTTAGCTCTGAAGCCAAATTGTTCAGATAACTCTCGGCGCCTCCCTCACCAGGAGGAAAAACGAAAATGACGGGGGCGTTCTCGTTTCCGGGAAGGTCGATGTAAGGCTCAAATTCGGCCAATGTGCTCGCTTCCAGGTCGATAATTTGCTGAAGGGTTTCTTTAAAAGATAAAGCCAGGCATTCGGTTCTTTCGTTTGCCAGTTGGCTCTTTATGCTAAAGCGTATTTCGTCATCGACACAAAGTCCCGTGATCTCCACGATGTCCTTGTTCGCAAGGTGACTGTCAGCTGACCTATCCTTTTCGTAATCAGATCGAATGTCCGTCAATGTCCAATCTGTATCCTTCTGGAAACCGAATCGGCCTAGGTAGTTAAAACAGATCTTGGGCAGAGTACTTTCGTAACCAATGAAGCTGCCGTATCCCAAGCCTTTATTTGGAATGACCTTATGTAAATACTCGACGACGTGCAGCAGTGTTTCTTTTAAACTGCCTCGTACATGCAAAGCCACTGGATACATCGTTGTGAACCAGCCGACAGTCCGGCTGACATCCATACCGTTCCAGGGCTCCCTTCCATGGCCTTCCAAGGTGACATAGTTAGTGTTTTGTTTGGTCGCACTTTGCAGGGCGTACGCTAGCGCTGTTAGCAGGACATCGCTGATCTCGATCATTTTCAGGTTTCCTTCTCGTCGCAGTAGGCGGTCGGTTTCTGTTTTCGACAAGACTATAGTGTTTTGATAAGCTTTATCCCGGGTGACTAATGGTGTTAAGATACGCTTGTTGTACAAATCAGCCTCACTGCTCAGCTTTCTCCATAGGGCTTGTTCCGCTTCTGCGTTTTTAGCATAGCCTTCGATGGCTTTGCTCCATTGCCGGTAACTTGTGAGTTTTTGGCCCAGCTGCCCACCTTCGTAGAGGGTTTTGAGGTCGTCAGAGATAATTCGCCAGCTGACAGTGTCGACGATCAAATGGTGCATCGCAAACCACACTCGCGCTGAACCATCGCAGTAACCGTGCAAATAACCTGCAGCGTAATTTATATGAAGTCACGTGACCTTTCACTAGGTGGAGAAAAAAATCTGGAAAATTCTAATTTTGATACCTACAGATAGCTTTGTTGCTTAGGGGGTGTGTCGTAATTTATCGGATATCTCGAAACACAATATATTGCGTTACTAATGCTACGTCGACTATGACTAACGACATACGGGCCAGTATAAATAAACAATAATTAGGATTCTCACCAATGCTGAATATGGGACCGCCTGAAATGTCGAATTCATTCTGAAAATTTAGAATGCTTTCCGGATTTTGATAATGTTCCACGGAAAACACTTTAATCGGGACTTTTCCGGTGTTAACTTCGTAATTCTGTGCGATTGTATCTCCGATCTTTCGGAATCTTAGACGAAAACCATCGTGATGTTTGATCAGCTTTTCTACAGCTTCCTGCAGCACTGGAAAATTAAGCGGTGGTGTTTTAATGGCAAAAGACTGATTCCAGTGGTTTATGTTATTTAATTTCTTGTCGAAAAACCACTTCTGGATCGGTAGCAGCGGAACCGTTCCGCTTAAAATCCCCTGTTCAGTTGCAGTATTCAGGATATCCACCGCATATTGCATTCGATTGGGCGAAACGGCGTTCTCGGTAATCTCGCGTATTGTTCGGAACCTAAAAATATCCTTGAGGGTAACGCTTGTCTGTGTCTGTTGACGCATTCGTCCAATAAGCTGCAGTGACGCAATGCTGTCGCCGCCGAGGCGGAAATAGTCATCATCAATACCGACACTGGGAACGTCCAACAAATCCGCCCAGATTTGGCAGAATTGTCGTTCTAGATGGTTTCGAGGTGGGGCGTACACTTTCTGAACCGGTACAGCGTTTACATCGGGGAGCGCACTCATGTCCAGTTTGCCATTTATTGTAACCGGAATTTTGTCTTTAATTTGTATAATAATGGCTGGTACCATGTAACTTGGGAGTTTTTTCCCTAAGTGCGAAAGAATTTTGTTTTCCTCGAGTAAACAATTTTCCTGTGTTACAACGTATCCCACAAGATACGGATTTCCGTGATGACCTTTGGGCAGTACGACACACTGTTTAACCGTAGGATATATCGCCAGGACTGCTTCAATTTCACCCAATTCCACTCGTAAACCGCGAATTTTAATTTGCGTATCATCGCGCCCCAGATACTCTAGCGTGCCATCCGCAGCACGGCGAACCAAATCACCGCTTTTATACATTACTGCATGCTCACCAAGCTGCTTTTCGACTTCTGTCTGGAAAAGGTTTGGGAGGTATCGCTCGCTGGTGAGCTGCTGTCGATTCAGATAGCCCCGTGTAACACAGTCGCCGGACAAGTAAAGTTGACCAACAGCACCTTGTGGCAAAAGCTGTAAGCTGTTATTCAGAACAAAACACTTCGTGTTGGACAATAAGCTGCCCAAGGAATTCTGATATGCATCGTTGGCTTGATATGTGCAGACCATATTATACACCGTGGTCTCAGTGATGCCGTACGCATTGTTCAAAATGCCTTTATATTCGCTTCGGATCTTCTCAAAGTGGATGCGCGTAAATGCCTCTCCGGCAACGGTGACCATCTGTAAGCTGGGGATTCTCGATAAGTCGATTTGTTGCAAGTATGTTGGTGTGCCACTTAGATAGGTCAGTCGATTCTCATTCAGGTACGTGTAGAATTCATCGTCAATGGTTAAGTTGTTGGCCACCACGATCAGCTTTCTGCCGTTTAGTATCGACAAAGCCATCTGTTCTATGGAGAAATCAAAAACATAGTTGGAAAGAAGGAGTACGCCGTGGTGCGGTGAATCGACAATATCCCTCGCGAAATAGCGGTCTATTAAACTGTTTCGCAGGCTGACCACAGCGCTGTGAGGAACCATTACGCCCTTGGGCTGTCCTGTTGTGCCAGAGGTGTAGATAACGTAGGCTAGATTGTTTGCATCGGCAAATGATTTACAGTTGTGCAATGGTTGTTTATTCAGTACTGAAACAAACCCTGGGCTATCTATTCCGATGGCTGTCACCGTAGAACCGACAAGGTCATGTATTCGGTTAATATAGTGATGATTAGCGATGACAATATTGGTACTTGTATCCTCCAGGATGAATCGAATGCGCTCGTCAGGATAGCTGGGGTCAATAGGGACGTATGCGGCACCGGATTTCCAGACTGCGAGGATTGTAATAATGGTTGTCTCGGATTTATCGAGAAAGAGACTCACCAAAGTATCGGAACGGATGGAGAACATGGACCGTAAATAATGCGCTAGTTGGTTAGATCTGTTATTGAGCGTCTGGTACGTTAATTCAGTATTTCGGCACACCACCGCAGTGGAAGCTGGTAACCTTTCCGCCGTTCGTTCGAATAGCAAGTGCAGGAGTGGCGTAAGCTCATGTTGACGATTGCACACAGAAATTATGTCGTCATCTAATACACAGTCTTCTTCCTTGACCAAATGCAAGCTGGCGAGTATTCGGTCATCGGCGGCATTTAGTTTCGCAATCTGCCTCAAAATGCAGAGATAGCTTTCCGCCATGCTGGTAATGGTGGTTCTGCTAAACAGACTTGTCGCAAAGTTTATTTGACCTTTCAACATGGCATCGCTTTCGCTAATCGTCGTAGTTAGGTCATACTTCGCCACAACATTGACTTGGGTTTGCGGTGTATAAGGGTGTGTTTCAAAAGCACCTTCGTGAGACACGGCTTCCGGTTTGTCGGCAGTTTCAAAAGGATTCAACGAGAATACAACCTGTTAAAAGAAAAGAAAGCAAATAGCAGTTAACGCTATAATAGTAGCTGCACCACGTCCGCCACCATTTTTCTAACCGTACAGCGCTCATATACCTATCTCGAATGACCCACCTGGAATATCGGGTGGCGACTGGGGTCCTTATCCAAATTCAATCCTCTTACTAAGTTTCCGAAAGGTATTTGCTGATGGGTCTGACATTCGATCGCTTGAGCGCTGACAACCTGAATGTATTCCATGATGCTCATTTTCAGATTGACCTGTATTCTCAAAGGGAGCATATTAACAAAGAAACCGATCAGATTTTCCAGTTCGAGCCGGTCGCGATTTGCAACGGGTGTGCCAATCACGATATCGTCCTGCTTGGCGTAATTGCTTAAAAGAAACACGTAGACACTGAATAGAATGGCAAATAAGCTGACACGAAGTTGCTTTGCCAGATTTTTCAGCAGTTCTGTAGTTTGCTGGTCAATCTCGAAGCCGACATTTTCTCCAGCATAGTCGATGTGAGAAGGCCGCGAAAAGTCGGTTGGAAGGCGGAGACTCTCGAATCCATCAAGATGCTTCATCCAAAATGCTCTTAGATTATCTAGTTTCGGCTGCGAAAGGAATTGCCGCTGCCAGACAGCATAGTCTTTGTACTGGATAGTGAGATCTGGAAGATCTGGCACCTGTGACACAGAAATTTGATTTTTCTGATAAAAAGTATAGTAAGCATGAAGATCTTGCTGAAATATCTTCCAAGACCATCCATCGAAGCAAGCATGATGAACGAGAATGTTAAGAACCAAAAACTGCTTATCATCTGCAACCTCAAGAACGGTGACCTTTATTGGCAACTTCTCATTCAGCTTGAACACATGCATCGATGTTGTTTGGAGTTCGTTGTCCAGTGTCTCGAGCTTGTCGACAAAACGTTCATCAACCATAAAGATTTCGTCGATGATGTTATCGGCAACAATGTGCTGTTCGTAGCTGCCATCAAGTTTCGATCGCTGAAAAATCGTTCGCAGCGCTTGCTGTCTGCCAATAAGCGAAATTAAGGCTCTTTTAAGGTTGCTCTTGTTCACCGACGAAGGAATTCGAATGCTTAAAGAGACGTTGTAGGCACTTGTGCCATTTTCATAATCCTGGATGAACAAAAGTTGTTCTTGTGCCAAAGATACCGGAACGTTTTGCATGTGGGAGGAAACAATGGGTTGTGCCGCGCTAGCAGCTGCTAAGATGCAGTTTGACAGCGCTTCGATGGTCCGATGTCGGAAAATGGACGCAATATCGATGCGCGGCTCCGAGAAGGCTTTTGCGATTTCAAAAAACAGCCGCTGCACACTGAGACTGTCACCGCCCAGGCCAAAGAAATCATCGTGTATACCGATTGCATCAGCGGCAAGCCCGAGTATCTCCGACCAAATGTCACGTAATTTTGTTTGCACGGGAGTGGTTGGCACAGCGATCGCTTGGTGTGAAGAATAGTCAATATCTGGTAGGCTCTTTATGTCTAGTTTGCCGCTAACCGTTATCGGAATTTCCTCAATACGCATTAACCGATGGGGTACCATGTATTCGGGAAGGCTTATCTGCAGAAACTTCTTCATTTCGTGTTCAGCAATGTAAGCGTTGGACATGTAATATCCGATCAAGTATTTTCTAGTTTCGTCATTCGCAGCAGATGTATATTCTTTTGTCGTTACCACTGCCCGTTTGACGCCGGGATAAGAGATCATAGCCGTCTCGATCTCGCTAATTTCAATGCGCAGTCCTCGCATTTTTACCTAGAAATGTAAGAATACTTTGATTACTACGAGTAGAGTAGGGTAGGGGAGTAGAGTATCTCAGTTTTAAACAGTGAGCAAATGGATTACCTGCATATCATTGCGGCCCAAGTACTCCAGTTCCCCATTTGGTAACCATCGCACCAAATCACCTGTTTTGTATATCCGTCCGTTTGTACCCTGTAGTTTTTCTTTCTCCGTTTGAAAAGGATTTGACCGAAACCGATCCGCGGTCAGTTCCGGACGGTTCAAGTACCCCCGTGCCACACCGACCCCACCAATGTATAATTCACCAACTCCACCGACAGGCACACACTGCATATCGTAATTGAGAACATAGCACTTAGTGTTGGCCACCGGAAATCCGATACTTTTGTTGGTTCGCTTTTCGTGAACCGGGTATAACCGTTTGTGGCTCGTGATGGAAATCTCGGTGGGCCCATACCCATTGATAATCAAGCCTTCGAAACCTTTCCGTATCTTGTTAAATACCGGCTCGCTAAAATCCTCCCCAACCGCATCGATGCGGGTCAGCGAATGTTCAAATCGATCGTACTCGTACATCTGCAGGACAGATGGCGTACCGGACAAATAAGTGACCTTATTGCGCTGGATGTATTCGTACAGCCGGGCTTTGTCGGTGCGCATCTCATCGTTGAGGACAACAAGTGTTTGTCCATTCAACAGCGCATCGGTCATTTGTTCCACAAAGTGATCAAAGACATAGTTGGAAAATGATAGGAACACTTCCTCTTGTTGCTGAAGCTTGAACACTTTACTCAGCGATAATTGCAAATTAACCACACCCATGTGCTCCACCATGACACCCTTCGGATTCCCTGTTGTTCCTGATGTGTAGATGACGTAGGCCAGATCCGTACTCGATGACGTCGGTCCGACGTTATGCCACAGGCATGCAGCGCCCTTTAATACCGATTCAATTGGCAGAATCAAAATGTCCTTGCCGGCAACTAGCTGAAGTCGTGCAACGTGACGCTGATTCGTAATGAGGATTTTGGCTGAGGTGTCTTGCAGGATGAACTGAATTCGCTGGTCAGGGTAGTTGGGATCAGTAGGTACATAGGCCGCACCCGATTTCCATACGCCCAGGACGCTAAGGATCATTAATTCGCTCTTATCCAAGACAAGAGCGATTAGCATGTCCGGATGGATGTTAATCAGGCTGCGCAAGTGATGCGCCACCTGGTTGGCACGTTCGTTGGTTTTCTTGTAGGTCAAGCGACGGTCCTCGTAGACGATGGCGGTTTTGTCGGGATTTCGTGCCGCCATGTCTTCGAAGACATTGTGCAGAGTCTTCTCTCGGGGAAACTGACTTTCGGTATTATTCCACGCGTCAAAAAGAAGTTGCTGTGATGACGGTACGTAATCCAGTGTACTACTGTTTTGTTCGGGATTTTCATTAATTTGGTTTAGCAGTTTAGCGAAGACGTCCAGTAGCTGGAGGACAGCGGTCTTTGAAAACAGGTCCCCAGCAAACAGAAGAGTTAACTTGATCGACTGGCCTATTTCCTTAGCAAGAACGGCTAACGGATGGTCCAGCTTTTCCACTGTAAGCTGCTCTTGAAATCCCATCTTGTCTCGGTGTGGATCACTTCCGCTAGCATAGTTCTCCAATACAAAAAGACTATCAAAAAGACCATGCTTCAACGCCCCAGTGTTAACGTGTAGCAGCTCCACGTTGCTTCGATCGTTCATTGCTGATATCTGCAAGAGCGAAAAAAATGTGGAGCCCTTTCCGTCATATCATTTTCTATAACGATAAGTATGTTCCATAACATGAGAATGCTTATAGTTAATTAGTTATTGACATAATTTTTAATTCCCTCTTCTTCGTCCATACAACTGTATACTACATAGCACTGTACTAAAGTGTACCACCAGACTTAACCAGTTACAGTATACTATAGAAGTATACGTACTGTAAACTCTCTAGCTTATACTCTACTAAACGAAGCTGATAGCCTGATACGAACTGCTCGACCTCCTGCCGAGAGTTTAGCACATTGCTAAAATGGTCTTTCCAAGAACAGATAAAAACAGTAATGGATATTTATCTCTACGCCGATTTATTCAAACATCCAGTAATTAACTATCCGATTTTTTCAGTGATTTACCTGCATTTGTATGGATCTGATGCATTCGATAACACTTTGATGGCTGTCGTTTTCGTGACTGACCACTAGCGGTAACGTATTAATAAACAGACCCACTGTTGATTCAATTCCGTCGATCGGAATATTACGTCCAGATACCGTTGTTCCCACCACTGTCTGTCTGCTACCACCGCAAACGGACAATACTTTGTGCCAGGTAAACTGCAGAACGGAATGGAGAGTAACGCCGTTCTGGGAGCAAAACATTTTCAATCGCGCGCAATCGTCTCCACTAATTATTAGACTCTGCTCCAGCTGTTCTTCGATATGGTCGTAACTTGCCATGACAACTTTGTATTTATGCTCTTCCTTCAGAATACCATTCATATCACATCGCTCGGAGATTCGTGCCGTTTGCTGCTGCCAGTAGCCTTCGTGCTCCTTGCGGTGTGCATGTAGATGTCGTTGGGCAACCGCGTATGTGCAGTCCGGCTCAAAGGTCACCTGATCCTGAATTAAAACTGGATCTTTAATGACGTCCTCAAGGACAGCCGTACATCTTAATCTAAACCAACTTGTAATAGTTTCCCGCAAATATTCGTAAACATAAACAACTTCTATGGATAATACAAGTAAGTATACTTCTATATCCGAACGAGCACTCATCATTGCACCATGCGACTGTAGTGTGTACGTATCTGACGGCTACGTACAGAAGGCGAAGCAGGCTCTAGCTCTCGAGAGAGGCCAGGAATAAGGAGATTAATTATTAAAAGAAGGAAGTGCGGTTACACTGTTTGACTGGATCATGCGGGTATAAAACTCATGGGCACAACGAAAAATAACAGCAATACTCCAACCATCCACGATAATATGATGGCAACTAAACACTAGCGTAAACAGTTCATCATTCCGCTTTATGAGGTAAATGCGAAACAGATTGCCTTTCTCCAGATAGTATTTCTCGGCTCGATCACTGTGAAGTAGATCTTTAATCTGCCTCTCTTGCGCATCGAAACCGCCCTCGTTTGATAGATCCACGAAGTGGTAGTCAAGAGCTTGACTGTCATCCACGATCTGCACAACCCTCTGGTCAACAACCTCGAACCTCAAACGCAAAGCCGGGTACTTCCGCTGAGTGTGTATCCAGGCATTATGCATATAGTCAGGATGGATTGATGACCGGTATTGGTAGACATTCTGCATGGTGTAAGCATCTCCGCTTTCACGTTGTTTAAGGTATCGGTAGTATAGTCCTTGTTGAAGACCGTTGGCCGGCATAACCCCTGTCTTCTCGTCGGTTTCCTCGTTGTATACCGGTAATAAGTTATCATCATTAACGATAGAATTTCGTTGTATGTGAGAGGCCAAATTTTGTGCTGTTCGCATTGTAAAAATATCCTCGACTGTTAGAGCTGTACTTAGTCGCTTGCGAACCTGCCCGATAACATGGATAGCTTGGACGCTGTCGCCGCCAACGCACAGAAAGTCATCAGTCGCGCTAAGATGATCGAAAGGGATATTCAAAACCGTTGCAAAAATGTTCAGGATTTCTTTTTCCCAGTGGTTGCATGGGGGGACTTTTTCGATGTTGCAGGCAATGCTGACGTCCGGCAGTGATCTAACATCCAGTTTGCCATTAGTTGTTACCGGTATCTGTGCAATTCGTACCATTCTGTGTGGTATCATGTACCGGGGAAGTCTGGTTGCCAGATACCCCAAGATAGCTTTTTCTTCAGCATCGCCAACGAAATATCCCACCAAAGACTTTACTGCACCGATATCTTTGGCCACAACAACACTTTGTGTAACACCCGGGCACGCGGAGAGATGTGCTTCGATCTCTCCGGGTTCAATGCGGATGCCGTGTATTTTGACCTGATTATCGTTTCGACCAAGGAATTCCAGCTCACCGTTGCTTAACCATCTAGCCAGGTCTCCTGTCTTGTACATTCTGGCATTATGACCGTATGTCTTCTCTTGTTCTGTCTGAAAAGGATTTTTGAGAAATCTCTGGGCCGTCAGATCTGGCAGCTGCAGGTATCCTGGAGAAACTCCCGCGCCTCCGATGTATAGTTCACCGCTTTCCCCAACCTTGACTGACTGAAGTTGTTCGTCTAAAACGTAGCATTTCACATTGTTCAACGGTTTTCCGATACTGCGGTCTAATCTTTCCGATCCTGCTGGGAAAAACTTTCCTGTGGTGACAAAAGCTGATTCCGTAGGACCGTATTCGTCGATAATGGTGCCGGTGAAGGTTTTCCGGATTTTGTTATAGCAGTGTTGCGTTAGTTCCTCTCCGGCGCATAATATTTTGGAAAGTGCGGGACATGCCGAGTAGCTGTACTGCTGCAGCAGGGATGCCGTGCCGTTCAAGTAGGTGATACCTGACTGCTGCAGAAAACTACTGAATTTTATGGGATCATGTTTATGCTGATGCGGCACAATGACGAGCGTTTGGGAATTAACAAGTGCCATTAACATTTGTCGCAGAAACGGCTCGAAGACGTATTCCGAGAACAGAGCAATCCGTTCGGAGCCTTCCTGCATCTTGTATCTCGCTGACAGGTCGACAATGCTGTTGATGACATTTTTGTGCTCTTTCAAGACACCTTTCGGTTGACCCGTTGTACCGGATGTGTATGTCACATAAGCCAACGTGGAGACGTTGTGTTGTGGCAGTGGTTTCGACAAGAGCGGTTTCAGATTATCAACAGCAATAATTTTGTCCGAGGGATACAGCATGGACAGCCGCGATGTATACGATTCGTTAGCAAGCACAGCTACTGCCCTGGTGTCGTTCAGAATGAAACGTACACGATCATCTGGATAGTCTGGAGCGATGGGAACGTATGCGGCGCCGGCTTTCCAGAGAGCCAAAATGCTGATGACCAGGAGCTCGCTTTTGTACATAAAAAGAGCAACCAGCTGGTCGGGATTTGCTGTCATGATTGTTTGGACGTACGAAGCCAGGTGGTTGACCCGCTCACTGAGCACCCGATAGGTAAGTTGTGTACCTTTGTTGATGACTGCCAGTTTATGAGGAGCTCTTTCGACTGATTCTTCAAAAAGTTGTATTAGATTTGCAGCCGATGGGAAGGGCGCATCCGTTTTGTTCCATTCTTCCACGACGTCCAGCTCTTGTGGAGAACGGTTATGATCCGGGCTTTCGGTCGAGTCAGAGGTGCCTCCGAACTGGGCTTCAATCGTCATTTTCCTATAACCATTCCAGACTATTAATGCTCGTAATGTCTGAAACGCATTAGACAAAAATTTACGGATGACATCTCTCATTATAAAATTCTTTATCATCAGTACTGTTACACACTCTGGTGCTTACACACACGTACAGATAAAATGTAATATCTATGTTATGTATTCAAGACATGTAAACTGTCATTACAAAATACAAACAACGATAAATACGTACATACATGCCGAGCAAGTGGTAAATGTTCCGCGCAGATCTGTAGCTGTTTTTTTTTAATCTCAATTTCAGTGTAATTAATTTTGCATTCAGCTTGATGCTACCGGGACTTGGTGCCACAATAACTTTTTGATGCAATTGCACCACTTTTTGGTGCAATTGCACCCTGCTTTTCTGAAGGAAACCAATCACATAACGGCATGACTATTTTGTCCCGCACTTTGTCTTAAAGTAGCCAGGCTAATTCATATAATTTTTAATTTTAGCACGAGTAACTTTTTGGTAGTAAGGCACTTACACGTTAATTACTGCAAATCCAAAAGACCTAACTTAACAGATCCAAAAAACCTAGTAAAGCAGAAAATACCTTACTGCAGGCTGTTATGCCGACAAGGGTGTGGCAAATTCACAGTCAAAAGGTGTTTTGCTACAAAAACTGCGGCAAAGTAGCCGCTTTGATACATAATTTCTTGGTTTACCGCTCAGCTTCACAAAAAGGACTTCCTGCAGATATGATCCTTGGCGTTCGTGATACTTCTTTCCTATTTTCTTCGTTAAATCATTGTTTAACATGCAGTGTATATCAGTAATGTTCAATAAAGCAGTTACATACAGACGTGAATGGGTTTTCCTTTAAGCGAGCACACACCCCAATAAATGATGAAGTTTGAAACCGATCCACAGTCAAATGATTAATAATGGTTCCCAAAAACTTATGAAATAATAGTGCACTGTATTAATTAATATTTGCAGGTTGAGAGCGCGCCAACGTTGAATTTAAACAAATGTTAAAGGTCACGGTTGAGCAAAATCAGTAATCAGTGCTTTGTTAGATCCGATCAAATCGAGTCTTCTGTGCATTTAGAAACATAAGCTCAGTATGAAGACATTCATTGTCGATGCATTTTGGGTAATATCGGTTCGGATGGCTTTGAACTTTTATGAAGTATGTATTTACCCAATACTAGATACAGTGGCAATACAAAGCCTTGTACTGATTATATATACCTCTGTGCTTATCGGGACTTATCTATTCCTGACAACATTGTTGACACGGATGATGTATGGAAAACAACCTTCTGACGTCTTTAGAAGGCGAACTGCCATAACAGCTTCGTTTTAAGATTTTTTTATAAACAAGCACCGTCTGCTCCAAAACAGTATCGTCCCAAAAAGTCTAACCTCGTTTTTGTATGTACGTGCATACAACTTCACTGTACTGCATCTACGGAGAAAAATTGGACGTACATCTCACCGCCTATGCTTAAAATTAATAATACCCACTGTGTGAGGTAGCCGTATAGAATCAACTTTGACTGTATTTCTGAATGGACTTTCGTCAGGCCTACCTTACATCGGCCAACGTTTTATCAACGCATTAATTACTAGTAACTGTTTTGGGTTTATCCGCCATTGTCTGCAATAAGGCGGACACTACTGATTATTATTTGAGGATGCAATTATATGAATGAGTGTTGTTATCAAATTGTTTGCATGGATGAGAAAGCTGTTTCGTGCAAACAAGGACAATTACTGCTTATCACATCGAACCTTCTAATTAATGAGCAACAACAACAGAAACCGGAAGGCGCGTTTCGATCGCATCATGGTATCGCATCATATGTCAATGTTCAAATGCAAGGCACCGCTTGTAAATGACAACTGCAACGCTTTATAGCGGACAATGTTTAGCAGTTGTCAACTGTACCTAATTGTATCGCTTTGGTTAACTACCAGTACAAAAATTTTCGAAGTGCAAATCTATAACGCAAAAATGCTGACCACCGAGGTCAGCATTCCAACTATTGACATGTCACCATTGTACGGCGACAACACAGCGGCGAAGCTAGAAGTAGCACGGCACATAGACGCGGCATGCCGCGGCACAGGGTTCTTCTTTGCCAAAGGTCACGGTGTGGATTGTCTGCGAGAATTCTTCAACATTGTCGACCATTTCCACAAGAAGATAACAGATAAGGAGCGATGGGAGATGGCCATTGCGGCGTACGATCCGCAGCATAAAGATCACATCCTCACCGGTTACTACCTGCCGGTCAAGGACAAGAAAACCGTACAGTCCTTTGTAAGAGTTACAATATCTAGCTGTTCTTGTTTGTATGGATAATTTGTGTTTCGTTTTTAGTACATCCAAAATCCAACATTCAGCGCCGATCATCCCCTTATTCAAGCCAACACTCCGCTTCACGAGATCAATGTATGGCCGGACGCTGAAAAGTATCCCGGTTTCAGAGAGTTCATCGAAACCTATTACTGGAAAGCGTTCAATGTGTCAAAGGCTCTTCTTCGTGGCATCGCCTTAGCTCTGGGCAAAGATCAGGATTTCTTCGAACCATTCTTTCAACCAGAGAGCACCATGTCGTCGATGAGACTTATCCGCTATCCGTATATCGATCCATACCCACCCGGCGCCATCAAAACGGCCGCCGATGGAACGAAACTCAGTTTCGAAACGCATGCAGATGTTTCTCTGCTGACCGTCCTGTATCAACCATGTAGGCCTTTGATCTTCAAAATCTGTGAAAATGCAAGGACATGACAAACTCCTTTTTTTGTAGTTGTGGCCAATTTGCAGGTTGACACTGCGGATGGATACAAAAGCATCCCATCATCGGACGACTGCTACCTGGTGAATGGTGGATTATTCTGCAACGCATTACTAACAACTATTACAAGGTCAGTTGGAGCAAGGAAAGTTTTGGTTCTAGATCCTTTTCTTGGTTATCTTATGGTTGGTACCTTTGTTACAGGCTCCCCTCCATCGCGTGAAGTTTGTTAATGCGGAGAGACTCTCTCTGCCGTTTTTTGTCCATCTAGCCAGTGACAGCGTTATTGAAAGCTTTTCTCCACATGGAAGCGCCAGTGATGTTATGTGCAACAATCCACAATATCCAGTACTGTCTTATGGGGAGTTTTTTCAGGAAGAACGCCAAGTGCTGATTAAAAAAAACGGACAAACGTAATAACCCAACCAGAACTGTTTTATGACTATCGTATCTTGTTTATCATTAAACAGCAATGTTTTTGTATGGCTAGACTATCGACAAACAATGGAACCAAATAAAATTATGGGTACTATAAACCGAGCACAAAAGCATAATTTTTATGACAGAAATCTCCGCGTGTGAAATACGGTAGTTATTGCAAAATTAACAGGGGCCCGTACTAGGAAGACTTCCGCATTGGAACACATTTAATACGAAGTACAGTATTATTTCTGAGAATTAGGTTTATCTACGGTGTGGGTGTAGTGCTAACGGGAAAAAAACGTGTAACATTGTAGCGGGATGTAAAAAGGTTTAATAGCGTACGGATGCATCATGCATGCGTCCCGACGAATACGTTTATTGAAAAATGGAAACGACTTCCTACCGGAAGAAGATAAATCAAGCTAACATGTCGAATTAGTGGATTACCTAATGTAATTTATGGCCAACCAAAACGCTGTCACTACAAAAAAAATGAACATCGAAAAAGAAGTAGAGCAAAATTAATGGAAATCCATATTTTAGGTCTTTATTAATTTTATTTGGAGTTTGTTTATTCGAAGATCTACTTGCGACATTATTGTGACCTTACCATTCGTTCTTTCTAAGTCGAACCTGCAGACATGGCACTCGAAACATGTGATACTATAATTATACAGTGGTACTACAGTCATTTACTGTTGGTGACCGGCTTATAGTGTGGCGCATTTAACATATTATTGTTTTTCAGAAATGCTTTTCTTCTTATGAAGCTGTCTGATAAATTTCCATTTTGACCAATTTCTAAATACCGTTTCCGCATCAGACTGCAACTTTCTGCATAATGCCGGCGCTGCAACATACACGGGTCTTCTTGTCTTCATGGAAACTGCTGAAGTTTTTGGTTAAACAACGCATCAGATAACTGTTATCAGCTGAAGACAAGGTATTTCGTGTCAGTATCCCGTTATCGGTAGAATCGCGGAAGTTAGTTGCGTCTTAGCGGACATTAATGTATAAAAATTGTGCTAAATGGATGTAAAACACTGCTGTGAGTCGTTATATATATCCGCCACACTTTCGGCATTTGACTAAACAGAATATTAACCGCAGATCCGTATATATATATCATCCTCCAGAGAAAAGTTGCACTAATTTTAGAAACGACAAATATGGATGTGTTGAATCAGAGCGATATGCTATCTCATATTGTTTATGAAAGCGAGACTTCGGCTGGTGAGAACCTCCTGGAAAACATTCTTCGCGCACAGGTACATCTTGTACAGTACTTCTTACATTGTTTTAGAATACCGTATGCCTTCGTTGGTAGTGAACTTACTCATTGTCAGTAATATAGACCTTCTGGTCATTCCTTGGTTAGTCAGTTTATTCAGGAGCAGACACACCCTGGGCACTCGTACTGTGCGTGAGCGGCCACCTTGCACAAAATTAATGTGGAAATGGTGCGCAACCGCTTTGAAAATTAACGTACAAGTTAAGGGATTTGGCCCGGTACAAAGTACCAAATTCGGGTGCATACACGGGAACTTTCGCTGTCGCGCAATTCTAAACACCCTTTTGCATTGCTTTATGACATTTTGTGGCCAAAGAATTTACATATGTGGCGTGAAATCCGTTGGCGCGCGCAACATCCGGTTCGGGAGTTATTAATTAAGGAAATAAAATTCCAAAAGTTCAAACGCGCGGATGTGTACCAAAAGTCTCATTATGAACCGATGCTCTTCAAATTTTGCACGAAAACACACATTACTATGAAGATCATTTTGGTATCGAACCAGCTTTCTACCATTTTTTTCAAATTTTAAAATGAATTTCAAAAATTTTAAAAATTAACAAAATAACAAAGTGCGTTTTTGTGCAAAATTCGAAGAGCATCGGCTCATAATGAGACTTTTGGTACACCTCCGCGCGTTTAAACTTTTGGAACTTTATTTCGCTAATAATTCCCGAACCGAATGTTGCGCGCACAAACGGTTTTTTCGCCTATGTATACGAACCCTTCGGCTACATAATATCGTAAAGCAATGCAAAAAAGGGTTGGGGAGCGCGCGATAGCGAAAGTTGCCGTGGATGTATACAAATTTGGTGCTATGTACCGGGCCAAATCCCTTAAACTGTGGGCATTACTGTTTTACATTTGAGCGAATTCTTGTAAAGCTTTGTAAATTTAATGATGATTTTCTTGTTGAAGAAATTACCATGATATTCATAACATTCTGGTGCTCTAAAACGAATTTCCGAGCACGTACTCTATGCATGCAATAACCGTTTTACACCAATACGTATGTAGTGCAAAAAATAGTGGTACAAACGGTATGCACAAATAACCCGGCTTTGGCCAAATGTAATTTGTTTACTTGGTACGGATTAGCAGATATCTGCTTTTATATCTGTGCAGCAAAAGACATCTTGATTTGCACTTTTTGAATATTTGTTGCAGTTGATACCCTGATTTGTAGGGCGAAAACGAAGATTCTTTTTATATCGTGCGTTTGACCGAAATTTACGCAAAGCATGCCAAATGGTCAAACCTGATGTCCCGTGTAAGGCCATATTATGGCGTTAAGTATAATCCCGATCCTATTGTGCTGCGGGTGATGGCGCAATTGGACGTGGGTTTCTACTGCGGCAGTCCAAGGGAAATCCAGTCTGCATTCAATATGGGCGTCGCACCGTCGCGGATCGTCTACAGTAATCCCTGCAAACATCGATCCTTCATCAAATGGGCACAAGAAAACGACATCGGTCTCTTGATATTTGATAACGAAGAAGAACTGCACAAGATCAAACAAGGTCATCCAAACGCTGCCTGTATTTTGCGAATCGTTGCTGGTGGCCAAAATCGTGCAAACCTCTCAGCGAACGAAGTAAGAACAATGACATAGATAACTGTGGGTATAATTATTTCGTGCTGCTGACTTAGCTGCTACGTCTTAGCCCACCGTTTTTCTGTTACAAGAAATATGGAGCGAATGCAGTTTCGGCCCGTCTGTTGATCAGCATATCCAAGAACCTTGGCTTAAATTTAAAAGGAATCTGCGTACACCTTGAAGGAACGGAATCAAGCACACGTAATGTGTTCGGGAATGTTGTGCAAGAAGTGCGGCAGCTGTTTGATTACGCACAGGAAACGTTCCAGATCAGCATGGATTTAATCACCATTGAGGGTAACTTCTTAGACCAGGATGATTCCCTTGCGTCCGTTGAGTCCCTCGTTGAAGCGTACTTTCCAGCTGATGCACAACCGCAAGTAAAAATTATTGCCGAGTGCGCTGGCTGCTACGTACGGTCAGCAATCACGCTCTGTTCAACAGTGATAGCCAAGCGAAAGGTCACCAACCATGGTCTTAATATATCGATAATGTATTACATCAACGCGGGTCGCCTGGGCAGCTTGAAAATACATCGACCTCAAGCACAAATTGCTCGTTTTGCCAACAACAAGGAAGACGCTTCTGACCACATTAAATCGTCTATTTGGGGTCCAACGTGTGCGGCTTTAGATGTGGTTACAACTGAATGCTATCTACCGGAAATGCAAATCGGGGAACGGTTGGTTTTTCCCGGCATGGGCATCGATAGCCTGACCTGTGCATCGACATTTAATGGAATGCCATTAACACAGTCTGTTTACGTGGTCCCCAATGCCACATTTCACTGTCAACAAATGGCGAAATGCCCACCTACATCTCAGGATATCGAGCGATTAGTTGATCGAGCGTCGGTACGTCTGCTCCCACTCTTGGTTCATGTGGCGCTTGTGTATTCCCTGCGCTGCCTTTTTATGTGTAAGGTATAAAAGTTGGCACATAGCACTAAATTTTACGGTTACCTGATGTTAGACCAAAAAAGTTTACGGTTATTTTTACGATTTTTACGGTTTTAAGTTTACGGTTTTATTACTACAAGTATTTTTTCTTTTACCAAAGTTTGGAAGTACAATCTCACAGTACGACGGAGACGATCCAACTAAGCCGCGTCGGCATTCTCAACATTTTTATGACAAAAAACGAAGCATTTTTTAGTCAAAACAGTAACAAAACTACATATACCACTAATACATATCTAGATATGTAGTTGGTTTTAATTTTAAAGCTGAGATAATTCCATTTACAGGAAAATTATTTTATTCATCCTATGGATCCTGGAATGACGGAGAGGTCTTTAATTGTCCAGACTGAGATTGACATATCTGGTGCGACGAAAACTATCAGCTGTACTCAGGTGAAGCTTCTACTGCTTAATAGTGACTTGCGAGCACCAGTTCGAAATTTATCCTTTTCTTAGAACTATACTGACGTCCCCTTCTTTGTTGTTAACCTCGACGACGTATCCCGAAAATATTTTCACTGGATTCAAACATTTCCGCGCATCATGCCGTTCTACGCTGTCAAATGCAACCCCGATTTGGTCCTATTACGCTTGTTAGCAGACCTTGGTACTGGCTTTGACTGCGCTAGTCCCCATGAAATTCAGACAGTGCTGAATATGGGAGTGCATCCTGAGCGTATCATTTACGCTAATCCTTGCAAACAGCAATCATATATCGCGTACGCTAGGCAAAGAAGCGTTGGGCTGATGACCTTTGACAATGAAGCAGAACTGTACAAAATAAAAGAAAATTTCCGAAGGCTAAATGCGTTTTACGAATTGTTACTGACGATACGGGAGCTCATTTTCAGCTTAGCGAGGTACGTTTGTTGTCAAGTTGCAATTCCCTTTAATCGATTGTTTACAAGCAAACCCGTGACTCACCTGATAAAATAACAGAAATTTGGAGCCAGCCTGGAGGATTCTCAAGAGCTAATTCTCCTTGCGCGGCACCTGCAGTTAAACCTGTGTGGGATCAGTTTCCATGCCGGTTCGGGTCAGATGTCGGCAACAACGTTTGAAAAAGCTATATCTAACACTCGCACATTGTTTGACTATGCTAAAAATCTGGGCTTGAACCTCAATCTTTTGGATATTGGTGGGGGATTTTCGGGGTCGGCTGACTTCACTGCTTTCGATTCTCTGGCATTAAAGGTCAACGCAGTGCTTGCTTTGCACTTTCCTCCAAATCAGTTCCATAATTTACAAATTGTTAGCGAACCTGGGTGCTATTTTGCCAGTTCCGCGTACACACTTTGCACCACGGTTATTGGTAAACGAACGAGGGAAAAATATGGAGAACCTTTGATAATGTATTACATAAATGATGGTGTTTTTGGGAGCTTCAAGTTTCTCAGCCGCCCACGCGTTGCACCGGAACTGATCGAAGAGAAGACAGGGCCAAACTTGCGAAGTGAAATCTGGGGACCGGCAACCTCCGGACTCGATATGATTGTAGCGAAATGCGATCTGCCTGAACTGTTGATTGGCGATTTAATCGTTTTCCGCAACGCCGGTGATTATTCCGTTGGAAGCGCGGTTCCGTACAACGGGATGCCGGTGGCACGAGAACGAATGGTTTATCTGGCCAGCTTTTTATGGGCGGAACGCAACAAAATTTTTATTTCAGACAATTTTAGGCAATAATCTTAAACAATTAAAGTAAATCAAAGAGCAATCATGGTTACCGTGCTGGCAACAAAAGCTGTCTGCATTAAAATTAAGAACAGGGAACTTCATTTTCTGACGTACAGGAGCAGTTGAATTTTTTTATTTTTATGACGCCCTGCAACACTAAGTCCTTTAATGAGAAGCTTCGTAAATGTTCCATTTAACTATGCAAATAATAAGATGACAAGCACATTGGCGTTGTGCAGCGTGGAGCTTGTCGGATTTTATATTTCGGGCAACAGACTGGACAGAGCCGCCGATTTATACGCAAACAGCCTATTTGTGCTTGCATAAAAACTTTATCCACTTTAACCGAATTGTTGGTTGCATTAAAAAGGATGCATATATAGGTTGTGTAGAGTACATACACTTGACTGCAAAATGGAAATACGGTATGACACGATTTAAACGGTATCGCGATTCTTGAAAGCTCGTAAAGCCACTTCGTGCAGTGAATAGTCTGGATACCAGGTGCTTCGTACGGGCATATGTGGCACTGCAAATGAGGGCACTTTTTCCAGTAAGAACTTCAAACTTTAGGCTTCATTTTAAATTGTAGGGTTGTGCTAGCCTAGTATTCTACTGTTCTTGGCACTGCCCGTCTTGGTGGCCATTCGTTTCGTTTTTGGATATGCGTTTTCTGTTTATTTTCGCCATGTTTTTTTCCAGATCTGCAGCACAACTACGTTGGTACAGAAACCGCCAGGACTTACAATTGTTAGTTGCATAGATTTTAGTGTTGCGCGCAGTATCGACATTTGATTTCCACTTACAAGTGTATGCTGCCTGTCAAAAATGCAAAACGGGGAGCTGTAAATAGCAATTCCCGGTGAACCGGACAACAGCAATTACTGTAGAGAGGTTACAGTCACAAATTATGTGACCATGTCATACGTCGTGGAACACTTGCTTTTTTAGAAGATCCTGCAGATGAATGGTGGATTCAAAGTAATTCCGGTGTGATATCTTTACCAAGTGCTAATAAAAATGTTGCAATGCTTCACTTAACACGGCAATATACTATTTCTGGCAATTATCCCCTTTTATTGCTTGCCAAGAACGGGCCCTTGCCATTATTCAATGGATATACCAGCGATAGTTAATAGTAATGCCTGTAAAAGGTTACATATCCTTCATTTTGAATTCTTTATCGTTACTGCGACAAAAACGTGTCTTTTCTAAATATTAATGCTTACAGCGACAAATGTGCATGTGTAGTGCTGAAACAGTTATGATATGAAAAACATGACGCATGCACACAGAAGGATACGCCACAATTTAAAGAGAGCGAATTACTTATTTACATAATGGAACAGACCATGCTGGTTTTCGGAAATTTGTCAGTGCATATATACAGCGCAACGGGAGGGCTCCTTATATTCAACATGGATGGTGGCCGTTGTGGCTCGAATGCGCCATCCAACAAAACTAGTCAAATTGTTCCAGCTCATTCCTTTGTCTCTAGAGGATACTGGATCCACGACAATGCGATTGTGCAAGAATAATAAGCAACTGCTAATTGCAGTGCGTACTGACCGTGAAAAAGCGCTCAAGAATTGTTTGCTGCCTTCCTGGTAATCATCACTCAGCAAGAGGAAAAATATCTGAAACAACAAACAACTTATCGTTAGAACGCACGAGGTAGCGCGGGCTTTTATGGGATGGTTTCTTCGTTTACCAAATACTGTACGTGAACACTAAAATAGCACAAGATATGGTGTGGTTATAATAGGAATGTGCGAACCATGACGTTTTACGACAACGGCAATAGATTTTTTTAACCAACAAAGATCTTATGCAAAATACCGGATTGGCGGCATATTCTACAGCATGGACTGTCCGCATCCACAACGACAGCAGTAATCGACTGTTGTAAACTGCCGGCACCGTAAGCATCACAATGACCGGCACCTGGCTGCACACCGTATTCCATACGTACGAAACAAACAGCAATTTGGCGACCACTACTCTTCTTCGTGTAATAATGTTCCGTCGCGGCGCCGCAACATCGCCAACATGTGTGCTCATTTTTATCCGAATAAATAAAAATATCGAAACATACATAATACCGGACACTCCCACCGGAATGTATTGCCCAAAGGTCACCATGGTATTGAACATCAGTTTATTCGTTACAGTGGTTATACCACATGAGGTCACCGTCAAACCGAATCGCATTCCAACGCTAAACAAGTTCGGGATATCACACAATAGAACAATGAGCCAGGAGACAATAATGCTACCGATCAATAAACCTTTCGAAGCGATGACAGGATATTTGTGAGGGAAAAGAAGTGCGAAAAAACGGTTAACGGACAGGAAGAATGCCGTCCAATAGCCGACTTGCATTAACGTCAACTGGACAAACTGTGACCATACACAGTTCACCGTTGGCCCGTTGATATTCCTGTACAAGTCGATTACCGGTGAGATCATGATGGGGAAAACAACAGCACACAGTGCTACGTCCAGAATCTGCTTATGGGCGATCAACCAACCGGAACCGGTTTGGAGTCGTCGTTGGGTCATAATGACCACTAAGAGAAAACTGTTCAAGATTATTCCGATTGCACAGATTAATGCATAAACTGTCAGCCAAAGGGTAACACCTGGGGTTATATGAAATAACACAGGGTTTGGTGAAGATACATTGGATACAGAACTGTTGAGAAACGCCATGTTTCTGACAGATGCAGACGAATTCAAAGATTTGGTTTACGGTTTATATACAACTCTTTCCTGATAAATGCAACCGGCAACGTGCGATGACATTTCCAGAGTCTTCTGCACCGAGCCCAGCGTGTTTGGGTACGGTTATCCCGTTGGTTTACCTCGCGTTCATAAAAAGGTGTTCATAATCTTACAGAGTCCCATAATTTATCGATTTATCAATGGGCATCAATTTAGAAGGCCTCGCTTCTGCCGCTTATTCACCCAAGCCTCAGCAGTCCTTGACACAGGACCACAGGCAGTATTGGCCGGAAGACCATGCGGGAAGAAACAGGGTTACTGCATCCTTTTTGTTTATTTGCATGTCTAAAGGATAAAAAAATATATTTAATGTGGGATACTGACTCTGACTTTTTCCTGTAGTGTAGTTTCGTTTGGCAAGCTGAGTTATCGGCATGTCTCATGTTTTTGTAATCAAACGGCTGCTGTGAGAGCGGGAATGTACACCAACTGGCTACTTCGAGCATGACAGGAGACCCAGTCACTAGTCAGTGGATTTCAACCACCCTGTCGGCTGTGAGGTCACTGTGAAGGCTTAATTATTATCTTGCTAAAGACCTTCAAATAATAGTCCTGTTTTTGTCGACACATTACAGATTTTTAATATTTTTAATTGCAGATTAGTCTATAGGCTCTATACACCACAAACCGGAATTACTGTAGTATTATTTTACTCGTATTACATATTACAATACATATCGACAAATGCATTTCACTATAAAAATAAGATTCCTTCTGATAACGACGGGTTCCACAGTCAATGTACATGGGTGTTAGGAAGGCCGTGCTGCACCCAGTCTTGTTGTGTCAAAGATACACCTCACGCTATTCAATTTCCGGATCGAAAATCAGGTCAAGGTTTGAAAGGAAACAAGTACCTGCATAATTAATGGGTATTAAATTCATTATTCTAGTTAATTATGTAAGCAACAAGGTTTAAACAGTTCATTGAGCTGTGTTACAAAGAAATTTCTCGGCTGATTCCTTTGGGAATACTGCACGCATCCGGCAGCTAGCGGTTTCTGGCCCATAAACTATGAACTAAATACTCAAACTACAAACTCTCTTCCGACATAACTGGCACAGTTGCAATAATGATACAATATTATGATGTCTGTATACAGAGAAGCACAGAGCAGCGGGCTGAATCAGGCAAACTGTACTTTCCCGTTCCCGTGCCGTTTCCTGATCTATCTGGTATTGTACATCCCGATACCACTCGCTTTTGCGGTCCTATTTTAGAGCATAGTTACAGAGGCGTGTTCATAAGCTTGTTCACCTCTGTGCCAGATGGAACTGATGGAATACGTACTGATACTGTGATATATACTGACAAGTGACAAACAAACACCACAACCTTTCCTGGCCACTTTGGACAAGATAAATAAAAATTATCCGAATTTGCTAAAGGGTGTAAGCTTGCAAGTCTACCGCAAATGCAAGTTCTCCATACTATGTAAGAGTTAATGTCATTAAGTTTGAGAAAAAATAGGACTGTCCCATTTTCGTTCAGCTATTTGTATTTCCCCTAAAGCCCTAACAGAATGGTTTTATTGTTTCCATGTTTTTAAACCTTCTTATATGGTGCGGCACGGGAGTGCAGCTGCATGAAGTTGAAATTCTGTCCAACAGTTACTAAAAATGCCCTTTGTTCGGTTGTCAATATTTTCTAAGTATGTACACAGAATAATGACAATGTGGCCTTTTGGCTTTTGACACAAGTTTGACATATTTACTTTATTACCTTTACCACCAGAGCTGCACAGAACAAAATGGCAATCGTCGTAAAAAAAATCGCGCGGTATGTAGCAACTGCAAAATGAGTTTTCTTTCTGCGCCACTGGAGGTCGCAACGTTTATGCACCTTTGCGAATATGAAACACGGCATAATTAATAACTTAAATCTTACTATACAAATTGATTACCGGTAAAACGATGATTGGGAAAAAAATAGCGCGGAGCAGACATCGTGGTTTATGCGCGATTAACCAACCGGAACGTGTTTGGAGATTTTGCAGGGTAAAGATGATTTCCAAGAGAAAACAGTTCAAGATTAGTCCGATGTCGCAGATCACGCTTACACCGCAAACCAGGATATGATAACAGGCGTTAGCCAAAAAGCAACACAGTAAGAGACGTGTTGGCAGTAGAATTAGTCAAGGCAGTCATGGTGGAACCGAAAAAAATTGTGATCGAACAATTGTTATTATTAGTGCGGTTTAGCAGCCGTTGTCTGTACCAAAACGGGGCGATACATCCGGCAATCGAGCCATTCTGTTTTATTACAATTACAAAAGCATTTTCACAAGTGATTTCCCGGGTATCCTGTTCCGGTGGTTAACACCGCACGCACTGTATTTTTTACCTTAAATGTCTGGCGCCGAAACGAGACTACTTTTAACAGGAAAACTTATTGGGTGCATTAACGACCATAAACTTTTATCGTTACACAAACTTGTATGTCCCTACGTTGAGTGTGAGAGCGCCAGAATCCTGGATAGCTTCCTAAAAATACTCTTGCCGTTGTTGTTGCGCTATTGTAACGTTGGGCTTATTTGTGTTGTTTTTTTGACAGAATCGATATTGACACACAGACGAAAATAATGCAGTAATGACGACAGGACGTCTCACTTATGTAATATTGGGGTAATCCTGGAGATCTCTAGTGAGTCAAACTTCAAATGTACAACCGGAAACAACATATTACGTTTAATACCGGCTACAGGCACATTTCCCAAACCAAACTCTTCACAGAACTGCCTGCCATCTGTGTCTACTGGAGCTTACGTTAATACTGATGATATTCTTCTGAAATTGATGGACCGTCGTGTGTCAGTGACAGTTCACTACAGAACGCTAAAGTCACTACAGAGTCTGTACAATCCACTAATATACAATTTGGCTAAGGGCACTCAATATGCGCTAGTTCGCTATACCTATATTTGTACTACGTACGGTAAACTAACTTCCGATTGCACACAAAACAATGCGCCAGAGAACTATATATTAAGTGATTGATAAAACGTTATTTTAGTAGGTGCCTAAAGGCTTCAGCCTTTAGCGTTCTCCCGCCAAAACGCTGTTTTAGAGTGGTTAATGAGGCAACTTCCTTAATTTATTTAAAACAGCTGCACCGGCATTCGATCGTTTTCGGACAGCGTCTCTGCAATCTACCATTCAAGAAACCAAAGGTTATGGCAAAAATTCCGCAATAAACTGAACGCTGTTGTACTTTCCGGATGTGATGTCAAAGAGTCAAACGTTTAAGATGTGGCGCCATTAGCCTTTTTTGTAGTGGGCAGTAGTGACAATAGTGTTTTGTAATCAAATGTCCATTAGCGTCAGCCATACTGATTAACATAGGATAATCGGTAATTCGTTACAGAACGGCTTCAGTGATGCTGACTAGCGCCGTCTGCAGTGTAGGTTGACGCCATTGTAGGTTGGACGCGCCATGCAGTATTGTTCGCATTCTTGCTCCCCCGTTTATGGTCGACTGTCAGCGAATCCAAAGCCATGCGATTGTGTAGAAACAATAAGCAGTTACCGATCGTACTGCGCATTAGTAGCGAGATACCGTTCAGGAATTGTTTGCTGCCTTGCCGATAGTCATCACTGAGCAGGAGGAAAAACATCTAAGGCCTTGGCTCAAATTCGAACCGTATCTCGCTACGGTACGGTAGCTCCACCGCACGAAGTAGCTGTTTGCAGTGGCCACGCCTACAGGCTCCGTTGTCCAAGCCACCTCGTGCGGTGGAGCCACCGTACCGTAGCGAGATACGGTTCGAATTTGAGCCAAGGCCTAAGAATACAATAAAGCCTCGAAATACACGACAATGTTTAACCAGAATTCAAAAATTTAAAATTCAGAAATATGTCACAGCATTATTCCAAACGAATGGCTGTTGTATGTATATATTATGATGTGCACAGAGTATATATTGTATGGATACTTTAATAGGCAATAGCCGTCAAAGTAACAAGAAGTGCAAGCGCAGGCACACTACGTTACTGTTAAAATTTTAAACATTGAAAAAACAACAAAAATCTCTATCCACCCGTGGGTTAAATGGTAGCGTACTTAACACAGCCGTAGCGTTTCCCTTAATAACAGCCAAACTGAAACGTTGTTTAACCCGTTCCACACCATGCGTGTTAGACCGACATGTTGGAGGACTTCTTCTGTAGAGTTCGTTGTTGTGGTCATAGGTTGCTTTAAATGGTTTTGTTTCAAAGAAGAGATGGTAGACTACAGTTTGAACTATGAAGTTGTTAGCTCCACCATGTCCGTGAGGTCTGGAAAGTGACCAAACATGGTCAAAAATGACCAAACCGGGCTCCCGGAGGTCCTGCTTGTCTCTACACTTACCTCCAGATCAGATAATTACCACAAAAATTAGAAAGGTAGTTATTGTCAAGCTTTGTGGAAGAGCCAAACAATGTTCAGAGAAATAAACACCCGCTGGTCATTTCTGGTCAACTGAAAATACCATGTCGAATTTGACACGGTTGGGCATGGTACTTACTTATTAATAATCTTTTAAAATCCATATCAATTGACTGAAAAATCGTACACGGTAGCACAAGCAGTCAAAAGCTCATAAAACCTTTAAATAGTGGCCTGAGTACAGTGGTCAGCAGACTGACCACTGGTCAATAATGACCGGAAATACGGAAAATATAATTTTTGACTGAACGCTTCTAAGATCGTTGTGAATTAAATGTAAACAAATTTTATAATAGCACCTCACAATGGCACTATAGTCACCCTGATGCGCAGAAGATGGCCCGATGCATGTGAATGTGCTTTGAAAGTTATTATTACCATATGCAGAAGGTATTCGGCAACCTGGCTAATAAATTTTCCCGTTCTTATGATTTGTTCTTTTCAAGTTTCACATGAGTTCAACTAGAGTAACGAGTAGATAAACCTGTAAAAGTGCTAATTTCGAACTGATACTTTGGTAATTAAACTTCTGCGCTTGCAATAAACACACATTCCAACCTTCCGGTTCATGGGCACTGGTAACCTTTAGCACTGATCTGCGCAAAACGGTGACTATATCAGAAAGGAGCATTTTACAATGCGTTGCTGAGTTTTGACAACGTCTAGAGACTATTCAGCAAAGGTGTCGCCTGAGACAATGCAAAGTACATGCACTCCCTCACAGATTTTGGACAATTAATGTCTAAAAAATAAGTCGTTCGCCTGTACAGTAAGTAATAGGCTTTTTTTAACAACTTTGCTGAATCTTATGTGGATGCTTCCAAATTTTGTAGCAACTGGTCATTTGTATGACACTTGGAAGGATTGACCACCGGTCCATAGCGATGGTAACCACGTTAGCCAAGTTTTTTACTCTTTATCTCAGCTATCCCATTCAGTTGCGCAACCGGATATAGTTTTACTTCAACTATGTATGTCACTTGAATTGTGGTCCACAATAAAGCCGATGACCAACTGTCCAAAACGTAGAGCGGAAGTGACCAACTGTTGCTAATTATCGAAGCAGCACTTATGCACTGCATATGAGTGGTTTTTCCTTTTTTAAATTTTCCTTGACCACTGGTCAGCTTGATGACCATCACGGTGAGTCCTTGTTGAAGTACTCGTCGAGATCTATCGTTTGAGCTATTGGCACATTCTGTACGAATTTTCTATCAGCTGTTATAAACGGCGATGGATAACATGTCGGTGCAACATGCTTACCATGCGTGTCATTCCGACATGGTCATCTCCTGCTTGACCTATGGTCGCTAAAATTTTGAAAAAAATATTTTTCTCTTAATTGAATTTTTCTGTCCCAGACTGCCAAGTTTCAAAACTGTACTCCCATCCCTTCTAGTACCCGGTTTTCCTGGGTTAAGAAAAGCAGTAGAACGCGCTTCTCCAGTCAGGTCACGAATTTTTCGGCCCATAAAGTGCAACAATTCGCTTAAAGCTGGACCGAAAACGCCAAACGTTTCAACCACTAAAGGATAGAAGGAGTATCGGTTTTCTAAACTTGCGTACTTCCGTCGCTTCGCGCTTTCTGCTAGGTGGGCCACACTGCCAGCCTTCTTCGAGCTCCCGTGGACATGAGAATCGGCCACAGTGCACCAACTTGTCGCATCCCACACTATTGGCATTCCTTGCCGGACAGGAATCAGCGTCATACCATCAGGTCTTGTCCCGTCGTTTGATAAGCCCACAGGTTCCAACTGACACGGAAAACCTGAACTTTCGCAGCAACTTTTAGCGATGCTGTTCATTTCTCTGTGTCGCGCCCAGCGTCCTTTTGTTGATTTATTGCAGGAGAGTCCATGATGGCCGTTTATTTCTACAGCTTTTCCACAGGCGACGCAGTTATGTGCAATAACTGCTGGTAAGCCAAAACGCAAGGCCACTCCAGTTCTTACTTCTTCATCTCGTAAAAATGTCCCAAGACATGGCGCCGGCAGCGCGTTTAACCATGCTCCTGAATCTCTACTGAACGCTGCTAATAGCACTGCTCTCCTACGCTCATCGCCGACCGTTGACAACATTAGCGTCGACACATCTCGGTCAATCATCGGCGTGTCCCAAACATACTGACACCTTCGTTCGCATTCTTCTGGCAGCATACATTTGGTGTTCGTTAGCCAGCACTCTAAAGCCGATTGCGTCAGACACTCGCCAGCCGGCGTGTAAAACCTAGAAACAAGAGACTGCACAGAGTACACCGATGCCAGAAAGGCACACACAGCTAGTGACTCAATGCGTCGCGTTCCCAGTCCACCACGCCGAACCGGTAATGCCATCTGCATCCACTGAGCTTCGGATATGCTCACATTAGATAACTGCTGCACGCCCTTACGTAGCAATTCATCGTAATCTCGGAGTAGTGCCGGGAATTCGTAGCATCGGGAAGTCCGTAAGCCGAATAAAACTTTCGGTATACTGAGACAGTTTTTTAGCAGAAAAAGGCTGTAGTGGGATGGCAGTTTCGAGAGTCGCTGTACAAACTTGCTCAGCTGTTCTTTCTTTTCAGTTAGAAATTTCTCGCAGCCGGCCGGCTTAAGAGCCGCGCCGAGTAGAGAAAAGTTATCATCACTTAACCGTACCATGTCGGGCCATAGTTCCAGTAGTTGTTTACCCGCTTTCGCTGATGGGTTTAGGACATAAAACTCACACTTGCTAAAATTCAGCTCCAGCCCCATCGCAATTCCCCTTTCTTCAATGCGTTGTATAGCGGCAATTACTTTCGAAACCGTACCAGCAAGAGTGACATCGTCGAGGTAGCCCAAAAACAGATCCCAGTCTAGACCGTCGAACAGCGGCAGCGTTGCGAGACCATATCCAAAGGGGCCCGATGGATATATTGTATTGTACGTATAATTATGTTGTACGTATATGTATTAGAGACAAGCAACCTTCCATGTACCGGATTTGCTGTGTATTCCAAGACATGAATCGTCCGCATCCATAATGAGAGAAGCACTCGACTCTATACGGTACCATCTGCATGGTCGAAATCGGTAATTGACTCATTTGGCTGCACACCGTATTCCACACATACGACGCAAACAACAGTTTGGCAATAGCCACGCGTCTCCGCGTGACTTCCCCACGCTGTGCCGCATCGCCCACGCGCGTGCTTTTCTTGATCCGTACAATTCCAAATATTGCCAGATACATTATCCCCAAAAGCACCACCGGAATGTACTGACCGAACACTGCCATCAAAATGTATACCCTGTTCGTCGCTGCCACGATCCCACAAGAGGTCACCGTAAAGCCAAACCGCAGTCCGAATTGGTAAAGATTCGGAATGTTGCAGAAAAGCACGATACACCACGATATGAAAATGCACGTCACCAACGAGGCTTTTGAGGCGATGACTGAGTATTTATGTGGGAATACTAGTGCAAAGAACCGGTTGACGCCCAAGAAGAAAGCTGTCCAATAGCCGACCTGCATTAAGGTCAACTGGACAAACTGAGCCCACTCGCAGTTGACAGTCATTCCACTGATATTTATGTACATGTTAATTACCGGCGAAATCATAATGGGAAAAACAAATGCGCAGAGTACAACGTCTAGGATCTGCTTATGCGCGATTAACCAACCGGAGCTGGTTTGGAGTTTTCATTGTGTCAGGATAACCGCCAAGAGTACGCAATTCAGGACGATTCCGATGCCGCAGATCAGCGCATACACGGCAAACCATGTTGTATCACCAGGCGTTATGCGAAACGTAAGAGTTGTATTAGGAAATGATACGTTGACAACAAATTTGTTAAAGGTAATCATGACTGGAATTTGGAACCGAAGCAAACTGCGGCGGAGACTTTGACTGTGCGGTGCAGCTACTGTTGACTGTCACCACGAAGCGAAATGGTGCCATATAAGTATTCAGCGGTTTTCGAGATGGTTACTCAAAATGCTAAACGATAGACGGGATCACTGGCGCGTCGGTTCGGTTAACAGATTCAATGACTATCCTGTTTCTAAAAATTAGCTATAAAGACCAAACGTCACGGCTCAGGAATACGCTCAGAATGTAGGCAGATATCCGTTCATCGGGCATATCGGCGTATCCTTGCTGTTAACACGAGGCAATTATCATAACTGCTCTAGGGATTACAGTAGTAACTAGTAAGTAATAGCGCACGGTTTCTGGTAAACGCTTTCAGTGGCTTGTGAGGCAATTCCTTTCTGTAGATGCCGCCGGTGATAGTAGCCGAAGCGAATTCGGTCAGTGCATTTGGCGCCTTCCCGAATGTCAACCAACATCTGTATATTCGCAAGTGATGCGGAATTTCTTATCTTGTATTGATTATAACTTGGACGTATCACCGAGCGCAGCGGCTCTGCCTGGAGTCTGGAGATACAAAATCATTTTTTCACAGGTTTTATTTGCGCTTGATCGAAACGAAACATCGAAACCTATGTGACATCGAATACGTGACGTCGAAACTGGCAGATAATATTACGAGTATCCTACCATATTTACGCAATTCTTTGGAATGGCATATACGCTTTTATGCATTCCATACAGGAGTGTTCGATCGGTGAACGACGAGAAGAAGATTTTGGAAACGAAAACATAATGCAGCAAGGTGGCATAATTTTCAATTCAAACACACCATCCCGTGCTTTTGATACTTGTATGCAAGAAGAAAGGAACAGAATTAATAACTAGTGTAGAGTAGCAAGGCAAGGACTTACCGTTTTAACGTATCACCGGTGCCATTATACGTATTATCTTATGTAATCCATTTACTGCATAGCAGTTAATAACTAAATACGCTTGCTTGCTGTTGGCACATCATTCCGGCTCACTACCTCTCTTTGATTCTCATCAGAAGGCGGAAACAGAACACCGTTAAAACTGGAGCGAATATGGTCTAACTGACAGATCGCTACCGTACTAGCGGCAAAGGTGTGGCATACATACGGGTGAACCTAGTAATTTTTGTAAAACTGCACTGACATCATCTTGAAGGAGAAAGTGTTTAACATCTTAAATACTTCTCCAGAACTATCACAATTTTGCATTCTTTATTTACGTAGTAGTTAACCGGCTGGGTGTGTGTGCGCGACAACAGAAACCAGAGAAAAACTCTATACAGTTAATGCAGAAGTATGGCAAGGAATGCTGCTTTCGTGTTGCTCTCACAATCATGTTTTACCGTCTAACCGAAAATCAGCTCATTTTCTCCACCAATATGTGCATTAGCGTGATTGGGGCTTTATTTTGTATTATCTGAACATTGTGCATATAGTAAGTATCGCGCGCGAAAGTGTTTCTGTACAACTGATTTGGTTACGGGCCGTAACTTACGGCGCATTAAAGATTCGTGTCCACCGGCGTTGTTGCGCAATGTGTACATTTCCAGGACACTGTGAAGAATATCCACACTCTTCCCATGTGAAGTGCGGACCGTCTAGGCAACACTAGGCAAACCTCCAGTATAGTGGTGAACTCACCGGTATCACTAGTACTACTATCTTAAAGGGTAAAAATCATCAGTTTTTGGAAGGATGATGAATTAACCACGTACTACAGTTTAACAGCGAAAATTAGTTGGCAGACAGGATCGCTCGTACAATTGTACGCAGTTAGGTTTTTGCTTCAACCAGCACCTACAGACTACAATGTCTGATGTGATACTTCGTTTCCGGTCCGATCCGTAATTACAGTACAATGCCTTAGGCAACTGTGCGTCACGCGAAGAACGCTCTGTGACGCTTTTGTTCGTCTAACTTATTTCGGGTCAAACTGTATTATGCGCTTATATACGCAGGTCAGATAAATGGTTGCCGAACCAAGAACATATCAGTGTTCTAATTTAGGATTCTGTCCGACTTGAATAGATACCGTTGTCGGTTGGACACGCCATGCGGCAAAGTCGATTAGCTCTCGGGTCACTCCAGCCGTGTAGGTTAGCCGTCCGTTCACTGCGATGCGGTTGTGCAGGGACAACAAACAGCCACTGATCCTTAGGCATACAGACCGAGAAATGGCACCCAAGAGCTGCTTGCTTCCTTGTTGATATTCATCACTCAGCAAGAGAAAAAACATCTAAACAAACCACGGAATTCGATGTGACTATAGGGCAGCGAAAAGATTCATATCTTTTAAAAGTGGTTCACAACTTTACATGGTGACATCACATTTATTCATTCACTTTTAGCAAATACTCCATTAACTGCTGCTGTTGCAGCAGGACACAGTGAAATTAAAATATATGTACCGGATTTGCCGCATATTCCAACGTATTAATCGTACGCAGCCACAGCGACAGAATCACTCGATTGTTGTAACTATACGGCACCAACTGCAGCACCACGAGGGGCAACTGACTGCATACCGTATTCCAGACGTACGATGCAAATAACAATTTGGCAATGACCACTCGTCCTCCGTGCCACTGTCACTACCACATCCTCCCGCTGCGACGTTTCACCCACTTGCGTGCTCATCTTCATCCGAATAACCCCAAATATTGCCACATACATCACGCCTAACATCACCACCGGGATATACTGCCCGAATACAACCATCAAGATAAACACTTTGCTGGTGATACGCACGATGCCACAGGAGGTCACCGTGAAGCCAAACCGCATTCCGACTTGGAAGAAGCCTGGAATATTGCAGAACAGCGCGGTAAACCATGAGACGACAATACACGATACTAACGAGGCTTTTGAGGCGATTACGGAGTACTTGTGCGGGAATAGTAGCGCGAAGAGCCGGTTGACGCCCAAGAAGAAAGCCGTCCAATAGCCGGCTTGCATTAAGGTCCCCTGGACAAACTGAGCCCATACGCAGTTGACACTAGTGCCTTCGATATTCATGTATGAGTTCATTACGGGCGAGATCATGATGGGGAAAACAATAGCGCAGAGCACCACATCGAGGATCTGCTTATGCGCGATTAACCAACCGGAGCCGGTTTGGAGTTTCCGCTGGGTTAAGATGACCGCCAGGAGAAAGCAGTTCAAGATTATTCCGATGCCGCAGATCAGCGCATACACGGCAAACCAGGCTGTAACAGCAGGCGTTATCCGAAGAATAAACGTTGTATTAGGAAGCGATGAGGAGACCGCGGAATGGTTGGAGACGGACATATTGTTGGCAACAGGAACAAACAGCGTTTAGGAAAGTTGATTGTATGCTGTGCCGTAACTGAAGGACAACTGCGGTGTAAGTGTGATTTCAATTTCGAAATTGCTAGAGAGCCAGGAAAGGCAGAAACGTTATCCCGGCTTCCTAATTACTATAGGGTGAATATACAATGCGGGTAGCAGGTTAGATAGATAGATATATTGGGAAGATATTCGTTCAAGCCGCCGACAAAGACGTCATCATGAATCAGGCGTATGTGGGCATCGTTGCAGCGCTGTTTATGCCCACTTAATCCAATTGGATCAAGTACTGTATCTAATGCTGCTGCCGGTGAGCAGTCAAAACCTGTGACTTTGTAGTCCTTCGCGAATGTTAATTGTTTTCCGCGGACTGGTGTGTGCAGCCGGCGGGCGGCGACTATTATCGTTGTGTGCGAAGAACATCAGCGAGCTTGATCAGCGCCGTGCGTATGCGTGAGCACAACTGCAGTCGTGACCTTCCTGCTTCCTCGTCATTGCACCTTCCTGCGTCTTAATTACTACAGTTTGGCGTGAAATCCGGATGCAGCATCTGCGCCCGAGGACCAATCGATTTCTTTGGATTTTTGCTTATTTAATATGGGCATTCCCAAACTACAGTCAAAAATGAAAAAAACAATCTCGCAAGTCTTGACTTTGCCCATAAATATATGTAATTCTTTGGTCGGTCCAAACCAAATATATTTTACGTTTTCAAAGTTAATTGCCTTATTGTAGCTGCTGTCCAACGGTAGCAGTGCCAGTATCATACATCATGATACATGTACAATCATGTATGCCTACAACAGCATGTGCAACAAAATTAGTCACATTGCCTGATTTTGTAACACTGGTAAGGAGAAATTAAGTAAAAGTTAATAACTATTAATAAGGTGCTATTACCATAAAAACATTTGCTTCCAACACCTAGGTATTCGATTTCTGCTATTAAACATCTGAGGCGAGCATAGTATATGCAGAAATTATTATTAATAATTGCCATCACATTCGACCAGCGGATTATCGGAATGCTGCCGGCTACCGTGGTCATGAAATTTTAATTAATTATAATGAAGCGGAGCGTTTGCCGAAAGCCTCTAATTATACGAATGCATGAAATGCCATGAATACGCTTGAAATTTACGTGTAACACGATTGCGGAACGTTTTAGGAAGCCTGAGACCTGAGTCCCTGACCAAGTTGTACTCGTATTCGTTGTACAAAGTACAAACTTCTGCACGATCGAAAAGTCAAACTACCTCACCTCCTTATTAATACATAATTTTATATGAAATGGCTATAGGCAGTTTATTAGGTACCCCCTTTCACCCCCGTCATCTATAGGCACCCCCTTTCGATTAATTAATCCACATTCACATATTACAAGAGAATATGTTTTCTCTTGTAATAATTATGTGAGTTCTGCAGTAGAAACGTCTTTGGAATAATAAGGTCTGACAGTTTGGGAATAAATATCCCATCCGAAGATAACCCACTCTCTGACAATGACCTCGTTTACTCAAACTCTACCTAAGAAAGCGATCTTAAGGTCAGTTACCCGGCCTTTTGAGCATTCGAAGCTGCTATTAAGCAGTATCAAAGAGATACGCTCAAACCATTCGTAGTTAGACGATGTGAACGCGGCCCATTGTCTACAATATGTCTAGTGGAAGTATACCTAGATGAACTGACTAGTACTTATACCTTTTTATGTGGATGCCTAACCAAAAAATCTTTGTAAAAAAACTGTCAAAACTCGTTGTCTATCCTCTGGGAAAAAGAACTAAAAATAGGTGCGTAAAGTCCGCGAAAAAAAACGGGGTGCTAAAATTATCTGATAGAAAAGGTTCAGGTACTGGAACTGCATAATTTTATTTGTTAATTTATTTGTTCTTTCGTCTACGGTATACGGTATACTAGTACAGTACTGCTGTATTTAAGTAAGTACTGTACTTGTGTATTTCGGAACCCTTTTTCTCAGAACTCATATACGGCAGTACGAGCAATGAGCAGAAGCACAACGAAAAACTATGATGAAAAAACTCAATAAATGACAGGTTTTTATCTTCAGAGTTCAGAACTGTCGGAAAAGTAAACTATCTGGGAACTGAATCTGCCGAGGGCTTCGTCTGCGTTTCCTTTGTTCGCGCCCTTTTACCAAAAATAGTGATCTCAATCCTACGTAAAACCTGATCAAGATTTGCAAGCAACAGGCAATGCTTGCTTAATTGTTCAGTCGCAGAAATTGCCTTGTTCGGCCAAAAACCTGTGCGAGTACTAGTACAATTTACAGTACTCGTACTTGTAACTGTTGTAAGTAATCTTCCGGTCAAAATCAATTGAATATAGCTAGGAAAAATGAAAATGTGCGCTTTTGACTTTCTTACTGAATGGTATTCTTTAATAGTTATCCCAAAATATGGCAAAATTAATTAAATACTAAAAGTTGCTACTTCCTATCCTTATTTGGATCAAGGCTGTCTCTCTTAATTACAGCGGAGCACTGTTGTTGTAGAACTTCACTGTGTCCGCATACGTACGGTAGAGCTGGACACACGGCAAAATCCATGTTTCCACCCGAAGAAACCGGACAGACAGGCGGCCTCTTCTGAACTTTTTTCCCACTTTCCGTCGGACACGTGCGGCCAGAGCTATGCGCAACAACAACGCGTAGTCGTGTGAGTACGTACGTACTTTCGTAGCGGAGCACTAGAACGCTTTTCTGACAAACGGTTTTTCCAGACCGTAAGTCGTCATGGCAGTGCACAATGGAAACTCCGCCCAAACGTACGTTACACGCGCGTAGCGGTCATAATTCCCCGGCCTCCGGCTATAAAAGCCCCCAGCGCAACTAAACCTGCAAAACTGTGTTTGCACTCTAGATTTCCGAAGATTTCTGAATTACCGATACATTCGTTTAGTGATTGAAAGTGAGCAATTCTGACTGTGACCTTTCGATATATTACAGTAGTGTTTGCGATAAGCTACGTTGTAACATTTAAAGTATCACCATGTCGAAGACTGAAAGCCACTCAACGCGCGCTAATCAGGATCGCGATCGTGGAGATGAAGACTCTGGTCGTCAGAAGTCGGGATCCCATCACGAAAAGTCTGGCCAGCACGATGGACGTCGTGACTTCAATCCTGAGGTAACGAATGCAGTTTGCTGGATAAAGTGTTCTTTTGTCGCGCGTGCTTTGTGCTGAAGCCAGTGCGGTGTGCAGTAGTAGTTTTAAAACCGTAAACTTTGCGGGTAATGCGAAAAACGGAATCTGGGTCACATCATGTGACGATTGGGAGCAAAGACGTAGATTTGCTGTGCTTGGTAACATGTATACGTCTATTTTTGATTGTCCTGATTCGGTTCTTTTTGACAGGATCATCCGCGTGACGAAAGCGGCCATTTCGTGAAGAAAGACGAAGCAGAGAACGAAGGACGCAACAGCGGCCAACATGGCGGAAAGTCTGGATCTGGATCTCCGCAAGGAAAATCCGGCCACCATGATGGACGTCACGACTTCAATCCAGAGGTATGTACTGCGCAGTATCTTCACTTTACTTGTGGTGTTATCGTATACCGTATGAAAGCCGTTCGTTACAAGTCAATGCTTTAATAAAAAGAATCATCAGTAATGGCTATACTGCCTGGAGTACAGAACTGAATGCCGTATGCGCTTGGAGTGGGCAGTTATTGAAGAACATCATATATTAGAAATTCAGAATTGTATTTTTTTATTTTTGTGCAAATCGTACAGTGTTGAGAAACCAGCGAGCTGTGTTGTGAAAGATATTGATGGTATTATTCGGTCGTTTCTGTTAGGACCATCCACGCGACGAAAGTGGCCACTTCGTGAAGAAGGACGATGCGGAGAACACAGGACGCCAGACTGGTCAGCATGACGGAAAGTCTAAATCTGGACATGGCGGACAGGAGCGCTCGGGACAGCGCGATCGCGACGATCGTCAGGATAGCGATTCTCAGGTACGTGTAGCTAAGTTTATCTGTTGTTCGAACTGTGTAAAGGGACGTTCGTATGTATAAGATGGATGTTACCTGCGTTATAGCGAAGAACGTAGTGCAATGAAATGGCGATTCTGTTTCACATATGCGTATTAGTTTAAATTCTTCCATTTCTCTATCTTTGGCCGGTGCGATTGCGATGTTTAAATTAACTTCTTTGGGAGTTGTTTCGTTTGTGTTTCGTAATTTGCATCGCTTGACCGTTTCAGGATCGTCCACGCGATGATTCAGGCAAGTTCGTCAGCAAGGACGAAGAAGGCAAGGGAAAGAGCCGCTCCACTGGTCACAGCGGAAAGAGTCGTGAAAACGACGACATGGACGATGATGATGACGATGAGCGTGGCAAAGGTTCCGGCAAAGGCGGAAAGACTTCGGCACGTGGCAAGGAAGAAGGTGGTCAGGTCGATCGTGAGACGGCCCGTGAAGAGCTGAGCGCCGCTGCAAAGTGAGTAGGATTCACAGATAAAAGATACGATTGATAATGAGTAGGATTCACAGATAAAAGATACGATTGATAAAATTCAGTTCAAATACAGGCTCTGACACCGCGTATGCACTAAAAAAGCAACTATCTGGTTTTGCTTTCTTCGAATCGTGTTGTGAGTACAGTATTTTGTGTTCTGGTTTAGGCACTTCGCGGAGACTATGCCACGCGATGATCAGGGTCGTTTCGTCAGCGAGAAGAAGTAATGATGATCGGAGTGAGCGGAACGCCATTGCTCGGAATGTTTGTAAATAGTATGACTGCTGTACTTAAAAGTACTTGCGTTTTGGTGTACTCGATCCAGTTGCATAGTTCAGTGACTTCGGTCTGATAGAAATTCATATTTCTTTTAGCATTTTATTTCTGGATAGAAAATCACTTTTTGTCGATTTTGCATCTTTAACCTGAGTGTAAAAACACACGCTGAGAGAAGTTTCACTGGGAATAGCCGATTCCTTGGTTTATAATTAGCTTTGATTTTCTGTTGTACCTGAAGTGCCAATATCGCAATAAATCCTACGTTTGAGTAGATGTACATGTACAATACTGAGCACATAATAATATTATTGTTTGCACACGTTATTCTGTAAAAATGAAATATGAACGCAGGTTCTCTAACCCTAATGGTAAGAGGTTTAAGAAAATTGTCAGCGGTTTACACCAGACCAGTCTAAATAATACGAGTATCTCGATATAGCTTACCGATTTCGCCACATGCAGATATGTACTTACTTTCCTGCTTAACGGTGGGTGTTCGTGCTAAAAATTATTAAGCCATGTAATCAGTGAAGCAGTTTCTGCTGGCTAACAACAGCACATAGCTAACCTGTATAATTTTACAACTGTAATCCTGTTCTGTTCCGATTTCCGACGTAAGAATCTGCGGAAACGATTTCTTAGTCACGAGTGAGACTGTATAGTCGATGTCACCTGTACCATTATCATCGATCGAGATGCGATTATTCGTGAACTCCCACTTCAGCTAGCAATGGGATACATACAACCGTACTGAATAAATACGTAACAAACGAATGCAATTTAAATAAACACCCATCATTATTTCCCAACGTAAAAGGCAAGATATTCAAAAAAGCATTTCAGTCACCAATCTGATTATTTCACTGAGCACCGCACAGCAGCGAACAAAAAAGTACTTCAGAGTACAGCGCCAAAATATGCTATGCATTAAAAACCTGCAGACAGTTTCTAAAAATTATCACGACCGCCGATTAATAAGGCACAGATAAAATCACATAAAACACTATAAAACATACGAACATCAAAATATCAATTCAAAACAGCACATGTCGCAGCTGCCATTGCTTATTTTACATGGCCGGGGCTTTGTGGGTGCTCCATCCGTGGAAGCACTTAGAAAACTTGATGGTTTCTTTACCTTTGGCCGTCAGCAACAACTTTCGCGGCCGTTCTGGCTGTTTATTACGCAGATTCTGTACGTATACCTACAATGCACATACGACTTTGGATTGTGAAATAATGCAACTCACCCAACGCAACCCCAACTCAAACAACACGAAGAATTAAAAAAAACTGAACTGTATTCTCCTCCCACGATAATCACGCGTGGAGCGCTGCACTTTATGTCAACTTCGACTACTTTGCAGGTTTAACCTTGTTGGCCTATGTGCAGCGTATCAGCCTACCTGAACACTTTTGAAAGCCAACTTGATCTCCACTTCACTGGACTTGCCACCAACCCACAAAAACACTTCCTGGCCATTGTCCAAAATCATAATGTCATCATCCGCTAAATCATCCTAAAGTAAAAACCAATGCGACCTCTCGACAGTAGGAAAGATCTTGCTCAGAAATTTTTCTGAGTCAAAAACGAGATCGCAGTCATACCTGACAAAAATCTGCACATTTTTCCGACACAGTGAAGTACCCTTTTTCGTTGGAACAGCGAAACAATCGGCTATACTTCATAAAATCGGCAGACTAAAAACGGAAATGCATTCCGAAAATTCAGTTACGCGAAAAACTGCAGGTATAATCAATACCGTTTCGTAAGGCTTTTTGCCTCCCAGAGAATTCCAGAAAAAGTTGTCAGGCTCTTCACCCTCTTTCACAATTTGCATGGTGTAATGGTACTGCAATGATTACACGGTCATGATTACGCCGATCCGACGCTTCAACACTAATAATATCACCATTTCCCGGTCACATATATCTATAGTTTACCTTAGTCATATCTTTGGCAATTTCGTGCGCTAACTCGATATCTTCCTGGGACGCTTTCGATCCCAGCCACAGATAGATTATTCCGTTGGCGGCCGATCGATCAAACGGCACGTTCAGCATATGACTATATACCAACAAACAAATCTCAGACTGATCTAACAACATTTCACCTAATTTTGAACTGAAAAGAAAAGAACAGCATAAAAAACTGTATGAACATCTTCTGTAACATTTTCCAGTCGAAAATTACGACGTACCAGAATGATGAGTTAAGCGATGTTGGCTTTGCGTCGATCTAGGGATAATGCAAAATAAATACAATCTAATATTAAATAGTAGTTGATACGAAAATGTGCAAATCGATACTTCACCTCGATACACCGTGCACAGATTAGTGAATCATTGATGCGCAACTGATACAGCCGTGGCGGCGGTAAGCGGCTGCGATCAATGGGTTCCTTGCGCTTGCCGCGGTGAATGATGAATTTTGACTTGAAGTGTGATAAGAACTTTAAGTTCTCCTGTTGTTGGTGCATGCGCACAACTTCAAGAGAATTCTTGAAAGCTTGCTCGAATTTCTTTTGCAGGCTAGAAGAATGCAGGAAGTAAACCAGTTACTAACAATATCTGACAACTACAAAATATAAACGACAAAAAAACAAAAACTGGAAACTTATTTAGGTGAAACAAAGACAACTCACAAACGAAAAGACCCAATCATGAAACTCATAAGAAATACTAAAAATTAAGATGTTCAAAGCTGTTCACAAACAGCACATACCTGAAAGTAAAGGTCAACCAACCCATATTACTAGCATCTCGGCCCTGCCAGAAGTACACCGTGTGCACCTGGGTCTCTTCAGCGTCACCATCAGCTTTTTCCTCATCGCCGCTGGATTCTTCCGCTGGCACCCAGTACGTACACAGGAACACATAACATTCTCCACTGTAGAAATGGCCTGTAACATCAACGGCGTCTTAAGCAGTTAGTCAATGCCAGCATTTTAAGTAACGAATAGGTAACCTGTTTCGCGTTCGGGCAAACGGACAAACTTCTTCCCTTCCAATACGAAAGCTTCCATGCGGTCTAGATCTTCGTTGAACTCATCGATTACAGCTTTCTAAATAAGTGGAAAGTAAAGCTGTCAACTTTCACTGAAAATGATGATTCATTCATCTGATTCATTTCCAGACATCAAGTTAATCGCATCTTAAAACGTTCTTGTATTTTACACGAGTTTGATAAACAGGCAAAACCACTTTGGTAGCGACATTTTTTCCTTACTGCTTCTTCGGTTGGCATGGCCTGCTGGCGCGGCATAAAGAGAGCCGTTAAATCGGTTTTGATTTGATCCTTCTCGAGAATTTTTTTCAAATCCACACCCCGGCTGCATACACATGAGAGATAATGAAATACAATATCTCTTATTCTCTTTTTAAACAGTGTGACGTAACATCACTCACCGAATAACGCTCTCCGCTGTACGTGTAAAATCTACCGCCATAACATCATCCCATCCTTCGAACTTGGATTTAAAAATCTGGCTTTCCGTTCTGCAGAAAAATAAAAGGAAAGAACTAAAAAGCGGAGCCTCACAACATAATGACAGAAGCATCCAACAACCACCCGAAACCGACAGCGTTCGATATGCTTGATTCAGTTATTTGTATAAATATTAATTTAAAATATCATTTTGTACAGAGTACAGAGTTCATTATAATTATGAGTATTTCAGGTACGAGCATCCTCTGTACGCACCCTTCCAACACTCGGGTGACCATAGCAAAATCTGGTCGCGGCAGCATGTCGCATAATTCCTGAGACAATTTCAATGCGGCAGCGCGAACGAGCCTAGCAGACTTCTTTCCAAACCTGGCAACAAATCAGATTAGCAACCACGTCTCAGCTACAAACAAAAATTTGCATTTGTATATGCTATTCTTTTACCACACGAAAAGATCCGCCCAACAGTCCAGGATGTACACATTACGACTCTGGAGCATTTCTGACTTCAACCGACCATCCTTGAGGTCAACTACATTAGACATTTACCGAGAATAAACAAACAAACCACAAACATGCAAAAAAACAACGTCGGTGTTTTTACGCAACTTTGGAAGTATACATGAAATTACATAAAGCTTCCCGTACGTACCCTGAGGAAGCTCCAAGTACCCTTTGCCCAGATGAATAGTGTATAAATGTGCCACTGTCGGCATGAAATCTTCCGGTACATGTGGCTACAAACCGAAATTCAATTACTAAAACGACCGATTTTAATCAATAAAAACAACCAGAATAGTTACTCAAGTCCAACAAATGAGATATTTTAGAAAAGGGTCACGGACACACGTCAACTTCAAGTTAATGTGTGTAACTCACTACTCAGTGTGTAGTGATCAACTCCTTACAAAGCATGTAGTTTACCTAGGAATCAAACTAAATGTAAAAGCGTTATAGAGATTAACACCACCTTAGGTTCTTCCATCCAAGGCAACTCCGGTACACCAAGAGCAAGCCAAAATTCATTGGGTTCCTGGCGTTGATTAAACACGAGGATTTCACTGGTGCCTTTCCGCTCCACTTTATTAACTTTCTCCGCTAGCAACCTGACCCAAGAAGAAATAAAATAAGTAAGAAAATGCGGCCACTATGCGGACATCCGGTAAAAAAACAGGAGAACTTACCGCGCTTTAGAGCGAGTAACATTCTTTGACTTGCGTCCAATCCACACATACAACTTTTTCACAGCATCCAGATAAAACACATAACGTGGATCGAGACTAGCCGGAGATACCGGCACCTGAAGTAAAAAACAAGACCACGGTTCAAATTATCCCGGTTGTAGATTCTCCAGCACATCAGCCGGTGTGTTCAGTAAATAAATTAACTGATAAAAAACTTCAACCGTGCACGGCGGTTGGTGCCATCCACGCCAGTAGCAGGCTATTTTAAAACAACTGCAGGATATTTTATTTGCAAGTTAGCTTTGTCTAGACCGTTTGCAGCGTAATACCACCGTCCTATATAGTTTAATACGGATTCCTAGAGCAGAGTACGTGTCAGACTTCGACCATTCAAATGCATTCCACATATCGGAGCTCCGTACTCCAAATAAATTTATTCATATATGTAGTTTTGTTACTCTTAAAGGAAACCAGAGAGATCGTACTTACAGTTTCCAAATGCAGGCTCTTTGTCCCATGCAGGCGATACAATCGCTTGACCAACGGCTAGAAAACAGAAAAACCAAAATAATCCTATCAAGCACAGATCTAGTGGTGTTATAAAATATACCGCATCCTCCACGGTGTAAAATCCACTAGCGGTCCGACCACCTGGATAATCCAAAGAATTTTTAAATTGCACGAGACAAAACATTTTGGTACAACTTTCGGTAAAACTATTTTCTACGGTTTTACCATTTATGACTTATGTATCAAAACTCATTATATTACAGTAAGCAAAGCATTCGGTAGTACAGTAATTCATTGTTTGGTTAATTTTGTATTGTTATACTACTGCAACTTGCAAGAGAAATTACGATGTCTTGAAACATATACAAAGAAGGTTAAAGTACCCGTCGAAAAACCAACAGATGACAATTAGCACACCTTCGATGTAGACCAATCCGTGAGGAAACAACGATGAAAACTCCTCTTCCTCTTCGTTCTGCTCTTGCCTGGAAGTGCGGCATTCGGCACCCAAGAAATTCCGCAAATTAACAGCATGAATTGCCGCACAGGCCTTTTTATCCAGCTGCAAACCCGGGCGATTACTTCATAAAGAACACAAATTTTGCACCGCAACTTAGATTTAAATAATATTACCGGCGCCTTTTCACCGATCCAATAGAAAATTTTCCAGTTTAAACTGTCACCCTGTTCTGCGTAGGTCTGCAGGATAATATAACAGTCTGCTTCGTAGAACTTCCCGATCAAAGCTGAAAAGGACAATAAACGGTTCAAACCGAAAATGTTCATCGTAACGCGTGTCGATATGACAAAAAAGTATGCATAACGCTAACTTTCAAAAGTGTGAGTAATTCGATAAGTAATATTCATTGTTACAGTAATAATATTTCTAACTGCGAATTCTATTCTGAAAACGTATACGACATAAATACTGCATTTGTACACTGGCATAATCGGCTACATTTAGTAACACCACGCTGTCATCGGTTGAATTATCACATAATGTGCTCACCATTCTCCATCAGATTGGGCACGAAGTTTTCAATTTCCCAGCATGTTAAGCCTATCAAAATCACAAAGCTGAATGAAGTTATTATGAAACAACAACGTTTGGGCAAGAAAACAATTAATGTATGCCACAACCTTCTCGAGTTCCGGTGTCATCGTCAAAGAAATCGCTATAATCCAAGTGAGGCTTCTCCAGCTCCGTTACTTTTCGGCTTCTGCAGCACAAACAAAGAGACCCGTTTTCGTTATCAGGTACAAATACCGTACAATTAACAGTTATCTAATTAATACAAGTTAAGGTACAATTAAAAATAATAATAACAGTTACACTACAATTAACAGTACAACTCAACACCAATGTACTGTATCTCCTTGCGTAATAACCTACCGAGTAGTAAACATTAAACAACAAGCTTACATAAATAGCAACAGCAACGAAATTAATGTACTGTATATTCCACTATACACTACTGACAGTGAGTGTATATGCATATATACGAGTATGCATCCAAGCTGACTTGTTGCAGTATGCCGAACATAGAACATTTCGCGATCTTACAGTTTCCAAAAATTGTAAGGCGCCCCAAACATGCAATTTCGAGAAAATACAAGCTACTGAAATACGTACTTGACCACCGGTTCCCGATCCAGGTCATCCTGTGAGCCTTTGCGCATCCGGGCCACATCTTTCATGCCCTTCAGCACCTGACCAGCGCTCTCGTCATCGCCATCCCCTTTCATACGCCGCAACCTAATTTTCCGCGCCACTGGGTCCTTCACCGGGACTACAAACATAAGATCTTCTTCAACAAGCAAAGACAGCAGACAAACAACAGCGCTACTACCCAGTATAGTTAACCGCCAGTTTTTGTGTAGTGAAGGAAGAGTTCAAACTGCGATAATATGGCTCGTATAATATAACAATTTTCAGTTACCTGGCGAGGGAGTCTCCTGGTGCGTCATGGAACCAGCCAATCGCATCTGATGACCCAACGAGAAATCGATGTTGTAAAAAGCTAGGCCGGCACCTTTCTGTAGATCTGCTGGTTTGGGCGGCATAATCAAATCACGATTACCGCCAAGATCCAGTTCCTACAAACATGCCGTACTGATGCTAGGTTTTCTAATAGCTCGATTACAAGATTTCTGCAAACAGAATGTTATGCAGCATCAATCGGCTCAAAAAGACGCCATTATACATCAAAATACAGCCACTTTAGAACGGCAAATGATAAATCTATTGGTGAATTTATTTCTCTTTTTTCCAAAATATGAAAACGCACCTTTTCTGCTACCTCACATTCCGCAAAAAAACCTGAATTTATTACCTCTAAGTCAGTCAACAAATGGATGGCGTCCGGAAGAGTGACTAGGACGTTATTTCGTAAAATCAGCTTCTTCAGTTTGCCACATCTACACATCACGAGATGTTAATCTGTTGAAGTATCCTTAATTTTGTAGGTTATGTTCAGCGTTAACTTACCGTAGTAAACCCTCGGGCACCATCTCCAAACGGTTATCCGCGGCCATGAACACCTCAAGGCTTTCTAAGCGTCCTATTGATGAGGGGATGCCGTTAAAGTCCAGTTCGTTGTTGTTCACATATAACCGTTTCAACGCCGTGCATTTGGGCAGATTTTGCTACGAACATAAACAGTTAATAAATCCGCAGGCAGGCACCGTAATAAACATTCTTACCGATAAAGATTTCAGTTTGTTATGGGATACATTCAACGTTTGCAGTTTGAGCCAACCCTCTACAAACCAAAAGCAAATTGAGAAATTTGTCTAAATTTGTCTGATTCTAACAGGAATACAAAACCATCGGGAATCAGATAAAATCAGATTCAGCAACAAAAAGGGTAATATCACGCTTGTACATTGTCATAAGTAAATCAAAATGCAAAGTTCTGAAAGAGAAGTTGCATTGTTTAGCTGAGATGGATCACGACGATCAAGGAAACATTCTACGGCCGAATCATACCGGGAATATCGAAGTCACTCAGTTGATTTTTGCTCAAATTTAATCGTCTTAATTGAATCACATTATAAGCGCACTCGGGGACTCGCGTCAACTCATTTTCCGCCAAATCCAGCTCTAACGTCACAAAGGCAACAAAATTAAAGATCCACATAACGCTTGTGACCGGTAAATTATATCATACCAGCGAGATTTGGTATCATTTCCAAACTAGGAGGTAGATTACTCTGGTTACGATGGGTATTCCGTAAATTTAGTACTTGCAAGTTCACCAACGACGGAAGTTGTCTACAACGGCGAAAAAATGTACTGGAATCAGCAATCGCTACACAATATTAAAGTGTACGTTCTACGATAAAAAAATTTCATGTGCCGGAATACTGAAAATCACACTATACCGAAACTGAAAATGCACCAAGGGATTATTGCTGAGATTCAGGGTTTGCAAATTGATCAGCCGACGCAGCTGTGGAGGTAGAGATTCTGCAAATTCACGGTGATTTTCACAGACTGAAGATAAATCAGTTTTCATAAGTTTCACGCAACTGACACGAGTACCTAATTTGTTGAAACTCAGATCCAGTTGCATAAGACCGGTTAAGTTCAGGAACACTTGCGTAGGAACTGATTCAATGCTGCACGAAAACAAAACGTCGCTATATGGCAATAATACAGAACAAACGAACTACAGGGTACATATAAAAAAAAATGCAGTTGTAAGTATCAATTAATGAAACTTTCAGATTCTATATATCTGATTGCTCCCGCTTTTTGGACTAATTTCCGTACTGGCTATCATTGCACCAACGTAAAATAAACTGTATGAAATCTTAATTATTACTACTTACGCAACGAGGCATGAGTTACAACATCCACCGTTTTTATACCTGTTATTACTCAAATTCAGGACAATCAAAGTTTTGACTTGATCCAAGTCTTCCGGTACTTTTGCCAGAGAATTGTGGCTTAAGTCCTGTAAAAGCCAATTTCAAAGTACCGATCACCACCCAAAATTAGGCAGCAACCACGCTGAGTCACCGACTGACCAAGATGGACAATTCCTCCAGCTCGAAAAGATCTTTCGGCACCTGCCCGGTCTGGATATTATTGTAGCGCGCATTAAGCGTCCGCAAGGAGGGCATCTTCTTGAAAAGGATGCGCGTCGATCCATTGGGATTGTGCAGTTCTAGACTGTCTAGCTTATTGTGGGCAAGCGTCAAGTGCTCCTAAACAATCCAACCCTTATCCCACCACACTAACCGATTTAATGTGTCACAATAAAATTCTACATCAAAAACTCACACCTTTAACCGATAACAAATTATCCCGGTTTAGTAATAAAAAATAACAGATAAAAACCTTTTCGCGGAAGGTGCGCATGAAGTGAATCAAAAAGCCCCACATCGTTTGTGGCCAACAAACGATAATCTTCGTTCGTGAAAATTGTTCAAAATTTTAATTTCATTTGAAAATATGGAAGACAACATTTTTTCAATAAAAGCTATATTACCATAAGCAATTTTTTGTCGTAGCAGGCAAACCGTACTGCCGCACTGTTTTAGTGTAACTGAAAATGCACTAACTACCACTACGGTTCCGCAAACTTGCTACCTAACAATTATGAAAGTCAGGATAGCCCATAATTTATACCGCTCATAGCTTACTGATGGAAAATAGTAATACTCAATCTGGGAACAAAAATTAAATCCTTAATAATTATGGTTTATCGACAACGCAAGGAGTTAAAGCACGTAACAGCTACGCTTCTGAGGATGTCAAATAAATCCTTTGATTGGCTTTGAACATACCAATTTATTCAGTTTCATCAGTTCAACAGGCATGTCTTCCAGAGTGGTGCGATTAAGACGCAACCAGCGCAGTCCCAACATTTCCTCCACCGCTTTCGGAAATAAATCCTACAAATTGATCGTACACAATCACGCCATTCATGTCTTCTTGCATTTCAGAATTTTTTAGTGACAATTTATAATTTAGAGACGGACATGGCAAATTTTGCCACATCCTTCAAGTTTACAACGTAAAATAATATAAAATCATGGAATTTATATGATGGGCTGTTTATTTAATGCAAGTGACAAGTCACAGGAAATCAACAGCTACGATAGTAAAGACACGGTTACAAAATACCAATACGTATAACAAACAAAAGTTACAAAACGTCCCATTCAAAGAAACGTACGCTTCTAGAATTAAAACACTTGACATTTTCAAAGTACGGCAGTGCTAATTGCAGTACGCGATGAACAGAATTCCAAATTCAACAAATGTATCAACAAATTTACAAACCTATTAGAGCACTAACAGATTTCATTTTCTTAAGTCCAAGTCATAACTGCGCACCTGAAAATCATTTCTCGAGAAGTCAATACCCCTGACAAAGGGGAGGACTCCCGTGGATGCCATTTCACGTAGTCAGACGCAAAGCCAGGATATAATGGGACAACTGAGAGGGTAATAACAAAACCAGAAACCAGAAGCGGTATCAGACTTTCGGGCCTGCGACACAGTGATGCAGCGTGACTCTCCCGAAGTCATTCGCTGCTCATCATCACAATGCAGAATCCTTTCCCTGGATCGTTTGCTTCATGTCTGGTGGTAACTGGTACGGTTGGAGACTAGAAATTTTAAATCCTAATAGCTGGGACATGAAAACAGTCAATAATACGTATGCTAAATGGTAAAAAAGCAGAAATAAAAATCGCTAATCGTCTAATCGTATCTTCAAAAAAGCAAATACTGCGCAGTGCCCACTTTTCTGATAACGTACTTACTCGCAACTTCAAAGATTTCTATTTTGGTTTTGGTCAGAAAAAATGCAAAACCGAGCGCGCAACCCCGCCTCTCTGTACGGCGCACACTACGCCGTTTGAATTTTGTTTTAAAACTTTTGGCAAAAATTTCGTCTTTTATAATTTATTAGTTTATTGTCTGAAATTTGATAACCATAAACTTGTCGCGCTAAAGTTGACTGTTGAAAGTTAACGGTGGTAAGGATTTTATTGGTTTATGCCATTCTATCTTACAAGTTAGTGGAGAATGAATCTTTCGCAAGGTAACCCGTATCATAATGGATTGTTGTTTGCGGGCTTCAACCAGGACAACGGTAGGTGACATATCGCAAGTCTAAATCCTGCTTGTTCTTTTTTAATTTCCCATCGTCTTTGCTTTATTATATAATATATTATGCTTGTTCCTACAAGTCTCATATGTACTGCTAAGACCTACTGTATCCGACGAACAACAGAGATGTACACTGCTTTGCGAGAGCTCGCATCGCACGTAGGGTTGCCTGATAAATGAGAATGTTCGTTTATTTTTTTTATATTCGTTTTATATTCGTATTATAGTATTTGCCATGTTTAGGGTGTTTCGCTTGTGGCATGGAAAATGGATTCCGAATTTATAATTCCGACCCGGTAAAAGAGCGTGAACGTCACGGTGGGTGTTTTACTGTCGAGTGTCGACCATTATACAAGTCGTAGCAGTTGCACGAGAAAAAGAAAGTTTTCGCACAAGTGACGAGTCACAAGTGACTGGACTGATAAGTGTGGCAAGACCTAATCAATTTTTTAAGTTTTTGGTGTTTTGGTGTTTCATATTTATGTTCTATTTGTTGCTTATAGATTAACTGCTCAATGTTGCGATAAATACAGTAAGCTCGAATCGATCCAGAAAAATATAAGCAGTAAACTTAACGTGTTAATTTCGCGGTAATTGACGAATTTACTTCGATGAGTCTAGATTTCGATGGGGGAATCGGGTACATTGAGATGCTGTTTCGGTGCAATTATTTGGCGCTGGTGGGCGGCGGGCCGCATCCAAAATACCCGCCCAATAAAGTGATCATCTGGGATGATCTGAAAAGTCAGCCGGTGGTGGAATTGGACTTCCCTCAACATGTGCGGGCGGTCAAGTTGCGTCGGGATCGGTACGAGCGCCGCTTTCATAGATGTTTTTTATTTGGTTGAATATTGCACTGTATTTGTTATCTTACAGAATTGTGGTTATTCTGGACGAGATGGTGCGCGTTTACACCTTCACACAGAAACCTCAGCAGCTCAACGTGTACGAAACGTGCCATAATCCTAGAGGTAAAATCAACACAATAATTTATGTGGTCAGTTGGTCACTAGTTCTTATAGTGCAGATGCTGTACCTATGTTACGCGTGAGGGCTTTTTTCTTACTTTAATTGATGGATTTGGGTTTAAAGTTGGATTCTATCGGTACTTGTATTCTAACAGAAAGTTTTCAGCCTCTGTGCGGGTTTAATTGGAACAATTATTACATGCTGGAGTTTCTGTTTATTTAATCGTTTATACGATTACCTTCATGTATCCTGAATTGAATTGTGCATGTTATAGCTCATTTTTTTGATTTGTTTCACCTTTTTTATTTTTGACAAAATGAGCTGCAAAATTTCGTTTGCGTCTGAAGCTGTTTGGTTTTGCACAGCTCATTTCTTTTGTAAGTTTTCCCACCGAAAATTGATACGACCATCATTTTATGTTGTCTTCGGTAGGATTATGTGCGTTATGCCCAAACAGCACAAACAGCCTGTTGATCTTTCCGGCACGGAAATCTGGAACGATTCAAATTGTGGATCTGGCCAACACGGAAAAGGCGCCTCTGGAGATTCAGGCCCACAAAACAAGCTTAATGTGCCTGATGTTAAACAGCGAAGGAAGCAAGGTCGCTACGGCGTCGGAAAAGGTCAGGATCAGGCCGGCTTCTTGGAGCAGTAAATTACTGGTACAAAATTTATATAAGCTTCTGTCATTTAATTTAGGGAACGCTCGTCAGGATTTTTGACACGGCTTCCGGTCAGCAGCTGAATGAACTCCGTCGTGGTGCCCATCATGCGAATATTTTTTGGTAAGCTTCGTTTCAGTCCTCTTTTGATTGACCGCTTGTTATATTTTTTGCTTTTGCAGTATGAATTTCAGCGTCGATTCCAGGTTGTTGTGTCTTAGTAGCGATCACGGAACATTACATATATTCTCTCTTGAAGACCAGAAACCATCGAAAATGACTCAGTAGGTTGCTAATGAATCTGAAATGAATTACCCGGGTAACTGTCCTTTAGCTTCGTCGACTGAATTTATTAAAACAATGATGTTTTCAGAATAATCGCTTCTGGAAATATTGCCAAATATTTTAACTCAACCTTCAGCAGCATTCGCTTACAAGTGCCGGGCGGTTCTCAATGTATTTGTGCGTTTGGTATGGATTCCAACACCGTTTTGGGTAAATGCGTTCGCCATTTTTAATTATTCTATCTTTTCTCTCTCTTTCTCTTTATATTTCCCGTTATTTTTCGTGCAATTTCTTGAATGCGTAATTCAGTCTAACATTTTATTCTGGGCAAGTGCAGGATTGATGAAGTCTGAAGACGAAATTATCTCTTATTTTGTGCTTTGTACTTTGTAGCAATCTGTGCGGACGGAAGTTATTATAAATTCGTCTTCAGTGCGGATGGTCGCTTTAGTCGTGATAAGTACACCCAGTATTTGGATATGACAGATGAACGCTAGGTTGGATCCCGGAAGTGTCCCGTTTCCTGGCATTCCCAGTGAACTGCAACTATTGGTGTCTGAATGTGTGTTCACTGAATTCCGTTTTCTTCTGGTTATTTGGCTTGCTGATTCGGATTTCTGAAGTGCCTTGAAGTGTTTTTATTTTAACTGTTAATTCTTAATGCCTTTCTTTCTGGTGATACAAAGTCTGTTTAACAACTATTTTGCACTGTAAAAGTTGGTCTTTGCAACATCATGGAATCCGAAATTGATTTCGTTCGTTGCCGGTGATATTAAAGTATATTGTGCGGAATAATAATTTTCCCGTGTGTTATTTGTTGCGAAAAACATTTCCTTCCTGGATGTTGTTGTCAAGAACTACAAATCATGAAACTGATTTCATTCAGAATATCTGTTGCAGTTTTACTAAAGATGAATAATTCTCGGTCAAAATATCAAAGCGGAAGAGTCTAAATTCCCAGGCGCCCTTCTAAATTTATAACTGGCAACAAATGACAATTTAAAAACAATCAAAATGTACGCCTAAAATTAATGATAAAACATACGGTACAAGAGATCATTTTATTGGGTTATTCACCATAACATAGGTTAAATGCAATAAGTACAATAATTATTATAATATTAAAGTTCTTTATTGAGTACGCTGCTGCACGCGCAGGAATGGCAGCGCCCGTATATTTAGCGGAGACATTACTCTGTCGTGGTTCTCCTATACTAAAAATGCGACTGTCGGTTTCTGGTTGTGAAAATCTTCCCAGACTATAAAACGTTTTGAAAAATGATTCGAAATATTAAAAAAATGATTATTCTTCGAAAAACATCAACTATATGGACAAACAACCCTCAATTCCTTCATTATTTTGATACAACAGGCTGAAAACGGTCGATTTCGTCAGCACGGGTCGCCGCGGTTTGCTGAAATTAAGATTACGCTGGGCGACGATCTAACAAAACAGAACAGATTTTTCACGATCCCAAATTATTTCTAAATGAAAAGATTATTAAAATTTTCACGATGATGTCATAACTTCCGTAGAAAAAACTAGGAGGGTGCCCATTGTCACCACTTGCATTCTGTGTCCGGATTTTACAGACATAAAAATAGGCACCGCCCCACTCCAACGTGGCTGCAGCAGTGACGTGCCTCGTGCCTACGGTATACATTTACGCTCCGATGGAGCAGGACTGCTTATAAGTGGTAAACTGCCACCACGGGTCTGCAGTACTGTCCGGGTTTTACAAGAGTTTGAGAAAGCTGTTCTTTAATTTGATTGGTGGTCTTCTATACAGCACATGGGAATCGGTCTATATAAACAGCGCAAAGGTATAAAAGGCGTCAAGACAGCCGCGACGGAATTTCAAGCGGCGTTTCAGTTCAGTTGAGGAAATTTTGCGTGTACGGTTGGAATTTTAACCTACGCCAGTACGCCATACGATTTACACACAGCATATTTTACACACACGACGTACTCAACATACGAGCCTGCCGGATTATAAAACACGGCGGTAAGCGTTAGAGCCCTGTCTCGCATAACGTGTGTTGATACGAATCGTTTTGCTGCGTTGATTGTTCCGATCAACCGTTGTGCATCAGAAATGCTCTGGCTATAAAAGCGCCCAGGAACTGATAACCCGCTTTTTATTAGTCACTCTCTCGATTCCCATGTAGGCAAAATTAATTTGTTGCATTTTTTTCGACTTGTTCCCTATAATTGTTGTTTATTGATTGATATTGGGCACCAAAAATTGTTACGGATGTTTTTCTTGTCGTTTATTGTGGAAGGATTTGGCGGAATAGCCTAAGCATTTTCGTATCGATTTTCAATTGACTGGGTACTTTAGCGTATGGGTTTTGGAGATCATCAGTTCCGTCATTGTTTCGCTGTTTCCCTGCCAGTTTCTGTCTAAACCCATACCTGTAACAGCCCTTTTTGAAGATTATATCATCAGCCAGCTGGTCGCGGAATTCCCCTGGCACCAGTCTGTTCCATGTTAATCCCACATTGTCTCCAGCAGTGAAGGACAGGCTGTGACTGTGGCGTCATGTCAGCAGCTGTGGACATGTCCGTCTCCTCCACGGTGCCGTCCCTAGAGCACTCCGAGGTGGACATGCCACTGGAGAGTCAGCAGAATGATGCAGCGCAGTACAACGGTAGCATGGAGGTGAGCGAGGAGGCATCGCCTCCCCTGGACTGCCACTGGTGAATTCCCCGCGGAAATTATCAATGAGTGAGGATCATCTGGCTGCCGCGTCGGAGGAGGCGCTGGAGTATAAGCCCATGGTGTCGGATGTGGAGATGGCCGAGGAACCCACGGGACATCCTGGGGAACATCTCAGCTCGGAACTGGGCTCGGGATCGGAGGCTACATTTACCTCACCGCCACCACCCGTGGATCCGTCGGTAAGTTGTTCGTAATAATTTTTCGTGAGAGGTTTAATGAGGGCGGCAACGGTTGACAACTGTGTTTTGGCAAATACTGTAAACAGAGGACCTGAGTTTTCCCATTTTGTTTGTTTCGTTGTTAAGATCTTAGGCTTTCGCCAGGGGCCAGTGATGTAATGAAATGTAAAAACTGCTTTCTTTTATTAACGATTTTCATATATCTCGATTATAGATGTGCTCTCACTGATGCAGTATAAATGTAAATCTATCAAAAGTGCGTAACAAATTTTTGGTCTGTATGAGCGATGTATTTCATTATGGATCGAGATGGATGTTTTCCGTGTTTGATAGTGAACATTTGTTTATCATGAGATCTAATCAGAGATAAAAAAAACTGCAATGGCAGCAATGCGATAATTGTTGTGGTGAAATTTAGGATACAGACGCCGACAATGGCGGGCCGCCTTCAGAAGCCGACGTCAGCATCGACGGCGATACTTCCGGCAGGACCTTGCAGCATGTCGGGGGTGTTGTCCAGCCGCCTTTCAAGCCACCCGTGGGTCAGACCCTGCACACGACGAACCAGTTGGAGTTCATTAAGAAGAACATCTTCAAAGCACTGTGGAATCACAAGTTTGCCGTGCCATTCAAGCAACCCGTGGATGCGGTTCGTCTTAATCTGCCGGATTATCATACCATCATAAAAAATCCCATGGACATGGGAACCATTAAGAAGCGCCTCGACAACGGCTGGTATACCAAAGCTGAGCAGTGCATTAAAGGTAAATTCTGAATAAGCTGCAGTTGTTTGTTAAGCGTAGCAGCGTACCATCAGTGTTCGATGCTTTTAATTTTCCTTTACTGTTCTTGCTGCGTGCGTTTGCGGCTTTTAGAGTACGTTCTGTTTCGTTGCATATTGGTTTGTAGATTTTTTGACCACGGTTGATAGTGAGCGCTTTTGCAGTTACGTTGATGTTTTTTCTCAGATTTCAAGGAGATGTTCCACAACTGCTACACGTACAATCCACCGGGACATGTGGTGTATCAGTGGGGCAGTAAATTGGAGAAGGATCTCATCGCTAAGTTGGCCTTGATGCCGGCACCGGAAATTGAAGTGCCCTGGCCGGAGAAGCCGCAGAAGGGACGGAAGAAGAGCAGTGTGGCACGAGCTCCTCGTCCACCGGTGCAATCGCATGCTTTGACGGCTCCGCGCTCGGCCTCGTCTCATTCGCATGTTTCCTCTACCAGTATTACCGGTGGTGGCCCACCATCGATTACTAATGTACAGTCTTTCCCCACCAACGCTTCCGCGGTAAGTTTTTCGGTTTTTGAAATTAAGTTACTTCAAAAATGTAAGATGTTATGGAAACTTATGGCAGTGTGACGAATTCGTATTTATACAATCATTTAATTTTTTATAGGTCTCAATGACACCAAAGACAACCCCAAAGCCTGCCGCACCTCCTAGATCGCTCCCGGCAACTCCCATCTTACCGAACCCCGTCGCTCCTGATATGGTTCTCCAAACACCCACCTCTGCGACGATGCCGCGTGCTCAACCAAAGAAGGGTGTCAAGCGTAAAGCGGACACCACCACCCCCGGCCATTTTCCTGAAGAAACGGCAGGATACCGTCGTCCCTCGGCTGACAGTGAGGAGTTGCCGCGGAAGCGCGTTATTAAACCGCCTGCTCGCGATCTCCCCGATGAGCCAGTGCAGCCGCTGGCCAAGCCCAAATTCAAGGGACCGCTGCCGGAGCCGCTGCGCTACTGTCGGCAAGTGCTGAATGAGCTGTTGAGTCAGAAGCATGACCGGTACGCGTGGCCGTTCTATCATCCGGTGGATGTCAAAAATTTGGCTCTGGATGATTATCATGATATTATTAAACATCCAATGGATTTGGGAACGGTGAAGGCGAAGCTGGAAGACAGACAGTATAAGAATACGCATGAATTCGCGGCGGATGTGCGGTTGATGTTCACCAACTGCTATCGGTATAATCCGCCCGGGCACGATGTAGTCAAAATGGCAAAACAACTGCAGGTGATGACTTGACTCTAGGTTTTTTTTTAACATCTGTGGTAGGGGATTCTGTTAATTTTTCAGTTATTTGTGAGAAACAAATAAGTAAGCTCTAAAATTTCTATCCTAAAGTTACGGAATGTTGGTATACTAGAACGGAAAAGGATCCATTAAATAATGTAAGTTTTTATTGAAATGCTTCCGTGTTTTTGCAGGAGGTGTTTGAAATTCGCTTAGCGAAGCTGCCGGATGAAGCGTTCCACGATGTACCCGATGTTGTGGTACGTCCGGCCACTTATCGTCCACCGCAGACTCCTCCCGCATCCACCAAGCCGAAAGGTGCCGGCAAGCGGCCGCATGAGTCGGAAAGCGAGTCTGAAGATGAAGAGAGTGATTCGGAGGCCGATAATACTACGCTGATGAATTTGCAACAGAAACTGAAAGAGGTTGGCGGATTTGCTTTAAGAAGTTACCTCGGATAAAGAGTTACCTCTGAAATTTTGGTTTTCAAAAAGAACTTTTGAGCTGGAGCGGATGTTTTATTTGCATATTGTCATGCAGGTGCAGGATCAGATCACACAGTTGGCCAGTGGCGGGCGGCTGCGCAGGCATCCACCGCAAAGAAACAACCGGCCAAGAAGAAGAGCAAAGCGGGCAGTGAGGACGAGCGGAGTAGTATGCGCGGTAAGACATTGTCAGCCAAAGAGACCAAAGCCAAACCAAAGGGCAAGGGAAAGGCCAAGGAGGAACGGACACCGCTGCCGGCCGCAGTAACACCCGCTTCCAAAAAGGGCAGGCAGACTACGACGGGAAAGAAAGGCAAAAAGGACTCACCGGACCGGCGGAAGCCGGAAGTAGTGCCGATAAGTCTGGAAAGTCAACAAAGAAAGGCAAGAAGGAAAAAGCGGAAACTGGGGGACGAAAGTAAGCTATAGCGTGACTGTTAATGGAAATGTCCTTTGCCTATTTATCGTTAGAAACTTACCTTTAAAACTATAGTTTGACGAATCATTTTGCCTGTGTTTGCAGGTCACCGGCAAAGCAAGGCTCTGGAAATGGGCGCAAAAAGAAACAGCCCGTGCCACCGGAAATGCCGGTCGTCGCTGCGTCAGCAGTTTATGACAGCGATGAAGAGGACAATGCGCGACCGATGACGTATGATGAAACGCGTCGTCTGAGTTTGGACATCAACCGTCTGCCACCGGATAAGCTGGGACGCGTTGTTAACATCATTCAACAGTAAGTTTCTTACGATTTTGACAAACTACAGTAAATCGAAAAACCATCCAGAACTTTCTTGAATGTCTGATCCGCTTAAGAAACTGCAAATTTTTAAAAATTGATCGTGGTTAAATTTTCGGTTTAGTAGTAGTACCTATTCGTGAAATTTTGGCTCATATAACACATAGATTCTGAACCGGTCCCTTATTTGCAGACGCGAACCGGGTCTGAAGGATTCCAATCCGGATGAGATCGAAATCGATTTCGCCACATTGAAACCGGCCACACTGCGCGAACTGGAGACATACGTCAATTCCATCCTGCGCAAACGCGGTCGTAAACCCGGCAGCCTGAACAAGAAGCCCAGCAAGGCACAGTTGGCCAGAATGGCCAAACAGGATGAGCCCAGTGGAAAGAAGTCTGCCGGTAGTCCCGCCACGGCGTCCGGGAAAGCCAGCAAGGCGGCCAAGGAAAAAGCGGCGGTGGCCGGGGCCAATAGTGGCCGGCTGAGTGTCAGCAGCTCGGATTCGGACAGCGAAAGCAGCTCGGGATCCAGTTCGTCCAGCTCAGATTCGGATAGCGAGTAGGATGGTGGTGTGCGAACATGCCGGCGTCAGCAGCCCCTTTTTTGTTGCTTTGATTTGTGTGTATATTTTTTTGCGCGCGCCTCTTTTGTTTCGATTTTTGGCACTTTTGGTTACTGGGTGAAAAGGTGACAGATTAGTTTAGTGCTGCTTTTTTGGAGGTAATTTGCTGTGGATTTGATTGTGGGGCTTTTTCTGGAATGTTGATACTTATTACTTTTTCCTTTTTGGATAACTATGGCAACATGTGAAACTTGCGGACGAGCTGATGGAATTTTGTTTTGGTTTTTGGCTGTTTAACTAAGTCAACAGCTATTTAATAACAATAAAATTATTGTTGAATTACTTGAAGCTTTCGAGGGAATGGTGTTCAGCGGATATGCTACTTTACCGTGGTCGCTTGTGTGCGTTAGTTCATTACAAATCTGCCTCACCAACTGGTCACGAATATGAAAAACGAAGGTGTTGAGTTTGACTGGATGAATGAATAAGTGCTGAAACGGACTCAGTATTGATACCAGTTACAGTAATTAATTTCCTTTTTTCATTTACTTTCAGATAACTTTCCGCAGCTGCATCATAATTATCAGAAATTCAAAGCCAACACAAAAACCCCAAAACCTAAAAGTTCAAGCAAATCAGCACCGTATCTGCAGTAAAATGACTAAAACCCTTCAAATATAAAACAACCCTAAGGAAATTTGCAGGTAGAAATCAGAAAACACAGACCCAATCAAAGTCCAATATATCACACTGCCAGTGCACTATTCGTTAACTAAAACAAGCCGCGGCTGATCCCGCTGATAAGACTGGCGCTGCTGCGGGGGATTACTGGGGAAACTGGGTGCGTCCAGCGCGATGAGATTCGTCTCACCCGCATCCACATCCCGCCATCGCTGCGCCTCCAAAAGAGTGTGTTGGTCATCGGCACGGTGCCGGTTCGGAACAGAATATGCGTGGCCGTTACTATAGCGCAAGCGGTAGAAATAAGAATCGAGAACTAATAGACAAAAATAAATAAACACTGATAAAACCGATTCAAACATATCCGTATCCTATTCACGTTTTTTGCCTCAACGACAACCCGAACAAAATATATTTTGAAAATAAATGAATTTGTTTACAGTAACGCAGTTTGCAAATTGTGGCGAATAAAAAATTGGAAACATCGAAACTTGCCAAAAATTTGATGGGATGCTACCATGACATACACATCTACGTACTAGCGCAAAAAAATCAGAAATAAAAATCTCACGCCAACCTATTGGAATGTCCATTAGCATTCTGGAAAGATCTGAATCTCGGAGGAACAGGGGCGCTTGTGGTCTCGTTTCGTACATCCAGCGACACATGATGGGAAGGGAACTGGGAAGCAGTCGAGTCAGGGGCCGGAGAAACGTACGCCGAATCACGAGAGGACCGCACCGGGTACTCTAAGCCGTTGCCTTTGCTGTAATACAAGTACGCAGTATTATTAATAGGGATAATTCGCATTTTATCCATGCCATTAAAGTTACAAAAGAGCATATCCGGTCACACTTCACAACAAAACCGTTACGGATATACCAACCAACACTGTCAACGTCAACAGGAGTACCATCTCAAAATTATCCGAATCAGAACATTTTAAAATGGCAAAACATTTAGAGAAAACTGAGACTGAAAATCGATTGTATCTCGCCGGTATTTCTGCAACTACAGCATTCGCGCATGCGGGAAACTGCCGAAATCTACTTAACCTCAGTTTTCCTGCTCCGAGACAAAATTCGTGGAACAGAATTTATAAGGATATACGTGTACCTAGTAAACACCGGGATGAACCACAACAGCCAGTTATCGCCGAAGATCTGCGTGAAATTGTTGTAGTGACCCAAATGAAAGCCATTCTTATCGATACCTCCAGCGAATATAGGCGATCGATAACTTTCTACGGAAAATTGCAACATTTGGAAGTACCCGAGAAATTTTCACATAAGACAGGGCGTAACATTAAAAAATGCAGTAATGAGTTCAAACAAGGACCAATGTAACCAAAAACACAGAAAATAAGAACAGGTATATGTACATGGATTATATTTCATTCAAAAAATGAGAGACTGTACCGATTGTACTCCGATTGACCAGCGTCAAGTAGATGTGATAACTGAGAAGTGTTATCTACGAAAACAAATAAAGAAACTCAAACCAGACTGCCGAAAAATGCAGAAGGCATGTTATTGCTTACCAAACTGATCATAAACATGGCCGACACAAAGAATAAGAATAATATGTGGAATTTGTTTCCGCTTCCGGTCAACTCATCCTAGAAAATAAGAGTCATCACATTAAGTCACTAAAACTCATTCGCGTGTAAATTATTTTGTAAAATAAAACTGACAAAACAAGCGCCAGCTCATTAGCGCTTTTTTACCCGCCAAAATCGGATGAAATATGGAAGATCCGTCAGAGCCGTATATAAGCAGAAGCACACAGCATATCCCAGAAACAGCACGAAGAACTTATAATTATCGAAGCCTGTTGAATTCATAACACGAATCCTTAATCCTGTCTGACTGACAAAAGCTATAATATAACAATTCTGGACTTACAGACGCAATTATTCACCCTGTGAAAATAAAAATCAAGCAATTACATAAAATGACAAGCTTAAAATGCAAGGCGTTTTAGGTAAGGCCTAAGTGTTTGAATCAGCAGACATGGGCGATACATCAGATACAATTTAGCAGGAAAGCGAAGACTCACCAGGGACTGCAACAAATAAAAAAAAGTCAGTGAAATACTGAACTTGTTATGCAACAAAAGAGTAAAAATTAATTACCAGTGATGATCCATTTTTAAAATACACCTGTAATGGACAGGCATGGCATAAGGATTAAGTAGACACCAGAACGTGAACATTTGGTCGTTTTTACCTCTCACAAACCGAGCAGTGGTGCGAACGATCGGGTTTGATGAGAAAGCATTTCTCGCAGTATCTAACATCTGGAAATAAGACGGCACTACAATGATGCTAACGACACTATATTGCCGTTAGTGGAACGACAAAACAGCTCGGGGAGAGCGGACCTTGATTATAGCCTCTGGTGTGCACTGGAAGATTAGTGGCATAGGAATTCAAAAGTTTCTTCACCGTTTCATGATCTCGCGCGGTCTGCGCCGAGTCCAGCTCGGCCATTTGTGTAGGTGAGAGATAAAACTACATAAATAGACACAATATAGTATTACTGTACATACTGCATAGTACACACAAATGCCATATCCGAATGACTAATATGAGATCCAGAGTGCCAGTAAAATATATGACATAGACTGTAATTAGGTATTTGTTTCCAAACTGTAGAAAAAATCGCAAAACTAATAAAACTTATTTTCCCAAATTCCCATGCTTCAAAGAAATGCAACCAAATACGGAATACCCAACCATACTGTCTAAAATGCCTATCTCGTTCCATTTTCCTTGCATCCGTTGAAAAATTGCTTTCAATTTAAAAAAAATGACACAGCAAAAAACTGTACCATCTAATTCTTATCACAGAATATAAATTTCACTTTCCCAAGGCAACGTATGGACAAAAACCCGAAAATATACTTATGGTTAAACCTGCGAAACTGGCTTACCCGGGATGGAATGTGGCCTCCATTAGTGAAGATGCACTGATAATACGACCAGGAAAACAGGAAGAAAAATACGTGGAAAAATATTAGATAAAATGCTACAAAATGAAAAACACACAAAAGATCACAGGAGGCTGAGGAGACAGGTGGTTTTGAAACTATTAAACGTAAGTCATGCTTTCCGAAAGCAATTCTTACTCTTCTCCGTTGTTGAATGGATTTCTTCTATAATTCAAGAGAAAAATTTGTTATGATCCCGTCTATCATTATAACAATTACATCGTGTAAGTGCACTATACGTTACTTATAAGTTATATTAACCACAATTAAAGCAAGAAAAACGAAACTTCAATCGAAAATAAGGAATTATTGAATTATTCATTGGTCACTGCTGCCCTAACAGCCCAGTTGTGCAAGTTCAGTTTGCAGATGGTTTGCACTTAGCGGCGGTACTTAATTAGAAAAGATATTTTTCTATTTTTTCAAAGTAAAGCACAATTTTCTAAAGCACAATTTTCTAAAGTTGTAAACTTTTCTAATTTTAAATACCCCGCACTTATGCTTAGTAATAGTGACTTACGAATGCATAGTTCATAAACATAAGCGTAGTAAGCCCATCCGACGACTGCGCTGATAAAAACAACAGGGAACCATTTGGCGATGGCAATGCACAATCGGAGGCACGGATGACGGAACATTATACCCGAATTTTACTACGAAGTACGAATAACGAAATTCGCAGGTCCCCAGCATCCGATAGACTATAATGCTTCAGACTCTGTCAGCAAACGGCAACTCCAGTTTCAGATTTCTTTTCGAAACGATTTTCCGGTTGCGCTTACACGTTACGGACGAGTTTATCATAAAATTATCAAATAAACTAAGAAACTATTCTACCATTATTATTTACTATTACCAGATTGTTTTAATATTCTTACTACAATAATAAAACTGTAAAAGTACTGGAAAATCGTAAAGAAACCTGTAAACAGTAAATTCTGTACAATGACGTCGAAATATTACGAAAACAATTATTAATTTTACAACCGAGACTACAAGAGGCGATAACAGGCTTAATGCGATAAAGAATCAGAAAAAAAGATAAATGAGTCACCACAAACCGAACGGGCAAAATTCCCGGCGATATCTTCTAATGTTGAAAGCAACTCGCAGTCGCGCACATGATTTCTGTGGACCCAAATTACGATTCTGCCCATGAGTCCGTGCCGCCCAAGCGCCGAGGTTTTAGCCTCACCACCGACGCACTCACCATTAAGCGGCATAATGCAGTCCCGCCTTCATATTTATGACAGACCAATGGCCACCCCGGGTGCTAGTTTATCGATTTATTTCATCCACTGTCCAATTATGAAAGGTGTGGCTGCACTTGTACGCCTGACGAGTAGTTTGGGTTGGTCTACAGACTTTGCCCTACATTCACTCCTGTGAGGGAAACTTGCATTTTTGTGGACCTGCAGGCCACTTGTGAATGATGTGGTCCATTGTAGTGATCCTGTGAAAAGCGATATGTGTTTATCTGTTTATCGATTTCTTCTTCATTCCACACTTTGCAGCGTTTTGTTGTTTGTTTTCTGTGGCGCCTGGTAGGAAAAAGTATATTTTCCTGATACTGATTGTACTGAGCGTTTGCGCCTAATTACGCCTTGTGCGATAGTCCACACCGTTGTGTACAGCCCTCAACTTACAGGTAGCGATCTGATCAAGGCATCAGGCCCAGTTTGCATCATTTCTGAACCGAGGAGTGCTCATTCCAGCGGAGTGTTGTCGAGTATTGTTATCTTTTTAGCAGTGATTTTATTTGCAAACTGTTGACAAATTCATGTGGGTCAAATCGTTAGCATGATTCACGCGGCAGTGAAGCATCCGTTTTTCTTAATTGAATCGCAGCGCATTGCTGTGCATGTGTTGTCTCGGTGAGAGTTTGAGACTGTTGCCGTGTTGCGGATTGTGGAAATTTAGGGGAGAAATAGAATTGTTCTGGTAATTCTCTCCGTGAAACGACGCTGCTACAAGGATGGCGCACCGTAAAAGCAGTGATGGCTGGCAACATCATGAGCCCGATTTAATATCCAGCACTTTATCGCTCACTCCGGCTGAAGAAACAGTACGTTGTTGTTATTGTCGAGACGAGTAGGAAAAAATGAATTTTCTTTTCAAGTTTTGCATTACTTATGTCTTATTGATTTCTACTATTTATTTACCGTATACGTACTTAAAGTTTGCTTTTTATTAGTGCAGTGGTAATACTTACTTAATACGCAGTATCAATTGTTAAGAAAGGTACAAGTATTCCGAATACGAGTAAAGAACTGTAAATTGCTAACCCTGGTAAGTTAGCCTAAGTACACATTATTAGTTACGATTATTTTAGCAACTGTTATTATTGTTGTTAATTAGTAATGCTGGCATTTAGCAAAAGCATTAATAGCCGTTATTAATTTTTTATTGATGTTAATTGTTACTGTTAGTTACTGAATTTGTTGTTCCTTGTTCTGCCCATAACTGTCGAGTGACGACTGAACCTATTATAATGATGTAGAACGGTGGAGCAAGCGCTGAGTAGTAATTTTGAAGCGCCACTAAAGTTTTTCATTTTTACGTGGATAACTTACAGTAAATTGATAAAGACAGGGTTAAAGCTGTGAGATGTTTGCACATGTACCCGGTACATGTTCCCGGAACTCGTACATAATCCTACGGTACATTGTACCGTAGGATTATGTACGAGTTCCTAGGAACTAAGGATTTGGGAGCATGACATTCTGATGACAGTAATATCTACCCAGAACATCTTTCTGATCATTCGACTGTTTATTTTACTTGTTGATGGCATTTATAAGTGCCATTATTCCCGATTTTCTTTCTCGTAATTTCAGTTTTTGAAGAATTGGTTCCAGAGGAAATTACTAGTCATGTAACAAGTGAGGAAGTATTCGAAGGACCTTATATTTTGATTCGCTTGAAGGGCCATTCGTTATGATTCAACTTCATACTTCGCTTAATTTTGTGGAGAATTTGAAATTAAAACAATTAGGTTTTGCTTTTAAACCGCTCTGGGTGCTTGGGGTTTTTTCGGTTGCATATACAGTAATTAATTATGTTGTCGGTTAGGCACTAGAAGAATTCACATTGAAAGCCAACCAGTGGCGTTTGACGGATGACAACGGTCAGCTGATGCAGCAGCTGGCCCGGGAACGAGACGCCAGCAATCAGCAGCAGCCGCAACATTCCGAAATTCCCCACGTTCACCACCATCCCAGCCTGGCAATTAATAACTTGATCAGTAAACCGCATCCCCACGTCGGAGTTATCTCCAAGGCCATGGCGTTAAAGTTTCTCATGGCTCGCAAATTCGACGTCGCCCGGGCATTGGAATTATACCGGCAGTACCAGGTTTGTTTTGGCGGAGATTTTTCGGCTGAAAATCAGCTTCGCATGCTTCTGTAACGTTTTGTCCTTACTTTTCGTTTTTATGAATTATAACTCGAACAAATTTTCCGCTTCACCAGTTTTTATCGTGTTGTACTCGGTAATAGTGATTTCTGGAAATTATTTAGTCATGAATATATTAGTGAGGTTTTTTAGTGTCCGTGATAGTTCTTTACGTATGATTTTAGTTAGTTTTATTCTGATTTTATTGCCACCGCCTCTGTTCGTTTCGTTATCTCGTTGGTTACTTTTACAACCTTTTGAGCGTATCTCAGAAAACGTTTCAGCCTGTTTCGAAGATTCTATCTTTTGGTTGGACAACTTCACTTTGAAAGTTCGCTAAATTTATATGATCAATAATCGCGCACAGTTCTGGATTATTTGTAAAATGTCATCATGGAACGTCGATCGCCGTTTATCCAGATTTTAGAGTTCCCATCGGGACTATATTGAGCGATGTCGCTGGAACCTTGCTGGATTCCGAGTACCTTTAGACTTTGATAGCTTAAGTTGCTGTTTTCGGTTTTATATGATTATCGATTTTTTCGAACTGAAAATAAAATTCCTTCGTTTTATGCTACGCATATCTGCTCTTTCTGCTTTTCAGGCAAATAATTCTGTTTGTTAATTGGCCATGTTTTTCCTTTCTCTTTTTTTTTGGCACAAAAAACTTTGATTTTTTCAGTGTGTCTTGTAGCGACCCAGAAATATGGCTTGATTTGTGCTGTTTTGCAGATTGTTCGTCACACAGTTGGATTAAATGGTTTGGACCCGCACAGTGAGCCACTGCGTTCGGAGCTCTACAGCGGACGGTTTACTGTGTTGGTATGAATTATTTACTGAAATAATTTTACAGCATTTGGAGAAGATACCTTATTAAAGTTATTATCGGCGCTGAACGGATCATCGTTGTAAAATGTAAATCCTCATTGCCGCAAAGTTAAGCACATGATTTAACGAGTATTGCCGCAGTGTTGGTTTGTGCTCAAGAAATTTGCATTGCATAATGGACTTTTATCAACAGTAAGATACAGAAAGCTATATGCAGTCGAGCAGCAGACAGGCTGTGAAATACCAATTGCAAGCTTGATGTATCAGTGGATATATTGGAGAAATTAACTAACATTTAATCTTTACTGAATACTGCTGTTTTACTTCTTGCGAATTTACTAACAACGGTCGCGGCAGGCAGTAACCCAGTACATTGCTTGCCATACTGGTTTGCTGATTGTGCTTCGTAATTTGTTTATTACCATAATTCGCTTTAGGATGCTAAGGATCTCCAAGGTGCCACAATCGGTGTACTGACCGCACGGCTGCACAACCCGGAAACGAAGCCTGCTACGGAGAAGGAGCGAACGGTTACGATGCAGGCCGTGCTTTTTCAGCTGGATGCAGCCTTGGCTAGGTATGTTAAAGCGCTCCGGTATTTTTTTACCCTCCTTTATTTACAATGTTTTCTGTTATAAGTATTTTCAAAACGGTTTAGTCATTTTAGTGCTATATGATGAGACTTGTTTTTCGGCTTCGTAAAAGTTTCACCCTCCGAAAATCACCTGTATTGTGACGACTATTTTATGTGGATGTATATTAATCTGAAAATTTCGTTGTACGATTTTTTCATACTGCAGTACTGCCGGTTAGAGCATGTTTTGGAATCAGTATCAATTAATTTGTACTGATGCATATTAACAAATTTGGATACTGTTTATATTGTACAGGCACGAGTAGTAGCTGCCGTTACATTACGTTTCTGTTATATAAAGTAATATTCTGTAGTTTCTATAATGCCGTTCGAAATCGCATTTGCGTGGTTAGTGATCCATCACTAAAAAATGCAGGCTGGCACAAATTGTATGTGAGTATTGAATTTTATGATACGGTCGGCAAGGTCTTCTCTGCTTTTTTCCAGTCGCGAAACCCAGCGCAACGGATTGACATTAGTGTACGACATGATGGGCGTACGATGGCTCACTGCCGACCTGCGTTTCGCCAAGCACTTGTTGAGCATTTTAAAGGTGAATAAATAGCACGTCATCTTGTTAAAGTCGAGGCGGATAAATTTGATCGTACATTTTTTATGTTATACATGATTGTGTGGTATAGGGGTAAATTTAGATTTCGATTGCCTTGCAAAAATCATTGTTGAAAATAGAATCAGACATTGCGTGCTTTCGGCCTAAAATTAGTCAACTTTCTTTAAGTAGATTTTTTTCGGTAACGTAAATACTCTTATGTCTTCGATATCTGGATCTTGCAATATTGAAGCAAAAGCGGAAATTCAAAGCAACAACAAAGCACACGGTATCTGTATTCCATATTGACATAATTTCTGACTGAGCAAGCAGTGAAGTAAGTTAATACCGTAATACCTACCGAATGGTTTCACAGCGCCGAAAAATAGTGTAAATGACGCTAGCGGAAATTGCACTGCCCTGAGAATGAACAAAGTGAAGAGGAACACACTGCGGCCGTACACACGATTTAACTGATTGTCCTGACATGGCTGTAGGGTGGGTTTCCGGCACGCTTGAAGAAAATCCTGATCGTTGACCCGCCAAGCTGGCTGAGCATTCCACTGAGCGTAATTCGGCCGTTCATCACGCCCAAGATGTTGGAACGGGTACGCAGAGGAGCACGCAACTCCATATAACTGCACAAACACAGTACTCCTTTCCACACAAAGTGTTGTTTGTGCATTTGATTGTTGCTCCGACTGGTCTAATTGCTGGACTTGTTTTCTGCGCGTACAGATATATCTCATCAATCGAGTGCAGTTACGGGAGCATATTGCGCCTCACAGCATCCCTGAGTCGCTGGGCGGCACACTGCGGCATGATCATGCGCACTGGATCGGGCTCTGCGTCAAGAGGAACGTTAATGAACTGTCCACTGGGGATCCGCGGATACCGCCGTTGAATTTGGATGGAGGCGTGGATGTTGAGGGACGGTATCCGTTCCGCGATAATGGACATTCCGATCAGGTGGGTGGGCCCTTCGCTTTTTACTTTATTTTGCGTTGATGGCGTCTATGTTTATTTGCCCAACCTACTTGCGTACAAAATTTGTCAGTCGTAATTCTCGATTTTTTGCCTATTTTAATCAAAGATTTTTTTGGAATGCAGAGCTTCTTTGTGTAAGTAATATTAATTATTGTCGTCTTGTCAGCGTTTGCCAATGACGTCGTTTTGGCTTGTGATAGTTGTGATATGTATTTTGTTTCAGCATTTTGTTTTTTTGCCGTAATATGCACATGGATAGGCGGATTGTGATTTTGTGGGAGAGCGCAGATATTGTGTTTCTGTTTTCTGTTCCATCTTTTTTATGCTTTTGAAGTTTTGCTTATTCTTTTTGTAGGCTTTGTTCTGCAAACGTTATTTGTTTCAGTTTCATTATTTTTATATGGTTGCTCAGTTACTTCCGAGAAAAAGTTAATAATGGTGTGGTTACCTTTACGTCATTTTGTTTTGTTGTCATTTGAAAGCCAATACAGAGTTAGGACTTAAACAGCGTCTGTAACGCGCCGCCTGTAAATTTATGTTGCCTTTCTCGTTACCACCGTGTACTGTAAGATTTGGGTATCAAACAGAGCCGCGGAAATGTGGGGAGTGTGGTCAACGGTGGGGGACTGGAGGAGAGCAAAGTGGCCATGAGCAGCTCGGTGCACCGGCGCAGTGATAAGGGCATGGGTGTGGCGCAGTTTGTCCAGCTCATTCGCTCCATGGGCAAGGAGGGGATCCTCCGCGAGTACGACACGCTCAGAGCCGCCGCACGGGCGCTACCGGATAAAGAGTTTATTTCCTTCAGGTATCGACTTGTGTATAATTTAATTATTATACGTATTATTATTAAATTTTTGTTAGCGCAATCAGCGTTTTTCTTACATTTCCTTCTAAGGAAAAATTGAGTTCAGTTTTACCATTTCCACTGTTGACCATAAGGTACTTATGTTGAAACGTCTTAAAAAGTTAAAAGGTCGACAAGCAGCTAAATTGACGTTTTGAAGGCGCACAGACGATTGAAAAATTTCGTTTAAATACGCTATAGACGCTTCCTAGACATTACTGCTTCCCTTCCTACTGTAGACGCTGAAGCTATTGTTTATTATACCTCAGTCGTCAACTCTGGGTGCAGGTTAACCGAGAATCGCGCGAAGAATCGCTATGTGGATGTGCCGTGTTTCGAAGCGACACGCGTTAAACTCGTCCATGTTCCTGGTGGTGAAGATTACATCCATGCCAACTTTGTCGATGGATACGAGGAAAAAAATGCCTTCATTTCCACACAAGGTAAAAGACACTTTGCTGATTGTGAGTAAAAGCATGGAGACGGAAATGTAAAATATACTCCTCTATGTAACAAACAAACAACGGTTTGTGGGTGCATTCTTGAATCTGCACGGCTATTATATGCTGTAGAATCAGATGGTTGTTTGATCTGAATTTTCGTCCTTGTCAAAGTGTGTTTTAAATTTTTATTCATAAGAAATGCTTTTCGTCTGATTATTTTCAGTTGTCAAAATATTTGTTGCAGGACCAATGCCAAAGACCTTCGGTGATTTTTGGCTAATGGTGTGGGAGCAGGAATGCCGTGTTTTGGTTATGACGACAAGGTAGGTGTGTAGTGCGTACGTTTGTAGAATTTATCAGTTAGCACAGGCTGCAAGTTATCAGTATCCAGTCATATTTTCGTTTATATTCCATCTCAAGCTTCTTTATTTCGATTCATAATTAAGACAGTATTAACTGGAAGCTACTGCTACAAGATTAGGTACTACCAAAACATCCAATACCGTCATTAGCGTTATTGAACTGTTTAACACGCGGCAAAGTGCCCAAAACTATTTATTCCCACGCGATATTTATTGCCCGTTGATATTTATTCCCACGCGATAAACGCGAGGCATCTGCTGGTGTCTGGTTTTGATTCATGTCGTACTTGATGAAATTTGCACGTGCGGTATAACAGCTGTTCGCACCTGTAGAACGGTGGAAAGAGGCAAACAGAAATGTGGACAGTACTGGCCGGTGCAGCCGGGCGAGAGCATGGAGATGGGAGAATTCCATGTCGTCAATGATGGCGTCAAGCAATTGGCATACCATGTGGAGACCACGTTATTGCTCAAACATAACAAGGTACCGATATTACAGAATAACAAGGTTCTGAATTATTATTACAGCTGTTGTATATTTTCTTTCTATTGTATTTGCCCGTTTTTATTGATATCTCATCGTTTGATTCTATTAATTAGAAGAGACTGCATTCATGAGAAAGCAGCAGATTTGCTGATTAAGTCGATTTTATTAAGACAAACGGTTTTTAGTCACGAGATAGCCGACAAGTGGTGCACCTGCAGTTCACCGACTGGCCGGATTACGGTGTGCCGTCCTCTGCCTCCTCCATGTTCGAATTCATCCAGGTTATGCGATCCAAACAGGTACGTGTAGTACGTATGGCAGCTAAGTTTTGACGGGAAATTTATTTCCGCTTCCTCTGTTTTGTTAAATGATAAATACTACAGTAGTAACGCATTTTAGCTGGCATCAGTAATTTTTTTACAGGAGGAGGCTGTATGGAGAATGAAACCAGCCTGGCCTGGACCCGGCTCTGGTCCGCCCATCCTGGTGCACTGTAGCGCTGGGATCGGTCGTTCAGGTGAGTTGAGATAGCAGCTGCGTGCTTGATTTTTCTTTTAGTTTAGATTGTGATGCAACGAAAATTCTTAGAACACAAGCTGTAATATGAAAGACATTACTGAAAGGAAAGTAACTTGCTTAATTCGTTGGTTTTAAAAAGCTTATTGTTTATTGCAGGATCACTCATGTGCGTAGACATTTGTCTGCGCCGTCTGGACGATTGTGGTCTTGTGGATCTTCATCAGACCGTGCAGAAACTGCGTGGTCAGCGCTGTCAGAGTATCCAGATGCCGGAGCAGTATCTCTTCTGCTATCTGGCGCTAGTGGAGTACGCTGTGGACCGCGGATTGATCAGTCGCGAGACGGCGGATCTCGATTCGCTTCTGCCCTGGCTACATGATGAAGCGGACTAAAATTAAGCGACTGACGCTGTGGTTGGGTATTATTCCGCGGTGGCGCTTGAGTCTGCTCGCAGCTTTGCAAAATGAAATGCTGTTATTTTCCGTTGCTTCTTTTGTTTTTATGGGGGATGTTTCTTGTTCAGTTTATATTTGTTGCTGAAAAAGGTTTTTATTCGTTGTTTTTACTTTTTCTCTTTGTTTCGGGATTTGATTTTCATTTGCTGCAAGGTTATTTTTATAGTTAATGTGTTGCAGTTTTGACAGATTGCTGTAGTGATTTTAAGCGGACTGCTGTTTGTTTTTCCGTTGGAGATTAGCATATTTATTGTTCATCTCGTTCATGATGTATGCACAATTTCACATCGTAGTTCTATTAAAAATACATCTGATGCAAATTTAGTTACTTAGTAGAAACTGAAACCGTAGTTAATCATCGAAGTAAAAATAATCCACCGTTCATGCAAAATCAAAGCAATCTGAAAACATTAAATTGTGTCGATGCAATAATACGATTCAAGTGTAAATAAAAAAACACACAAACCAAAATCATGCTTCTGAAATTTTAAATGGGATATTTGTTTCCAGTCCGAAATCTGAAGCTTTCGTTCTACACACCCAGTAGAGCTTGCAAATGTAATCGTCCGCCCAGCGGACTTAAAGGCGAATGAAGTGGTTCTTCAAGTACAACTGTACAAGTATCGGACTTGGAATTTGAACAATGTAAACTGTAAATACAGTGCCATTTGATAAACATCTTAATTCATCGAATTTATTATGAAATGCAGAATAAGAAAAACGCGCAGTAAGACTATTCCGTCTTCGAAATGTCGAATGATGTTGCCCTTGTGGTCCTTATGTACAATACGTAGTATAAGAAAATTCACCACGCGCGTGCCTTATGAACTGGATACATTATGAAATAGATATACCGTTGGAAATGCCAATTACATTGGTCCTGACTCCTGTGTCGCTTTAACTTTGGGCTGGAGGCAGCAAAGCTCGTTCAGCATCTTCCGGGCTCGGTTGAATTGCCGCACCGTCATGGCGACATGATGCCTGATCGCGCGTTTTCCGGTCACTGCACCATTTTATAACCGCGGACTGCACGAACACGGTGTATAACGATGTAGCTAACCCCGTTAGGATAGTTAAAGTCCCCGGGTACTGGTACCTCTCGGGCAAGAAGAACTCCACAAGCATATTGGGAAAGACCATACAGATGACCATCATGTACCCGAATGCAATCGCGAATATACACGAAAATATTCCACACATCCAGCACAAACACTTCATGTGCTCCGGCCTCTCTGATCTTGTTCCGAATATTGCTATTTATATTGTTCATTTTTGAAATCGAAAAATGAGGTTCTTACCTGGTTTAATTTCGGGCTTCGGCGGCACAGCCGGCACATGCAAAAAAGGTTTGGTCAATTTGGCTGGCAAAAATTTGCTACACACTCCGTAGCAGCACACGTCCAAAAGCAGAGAAAGCCACTGACATAATAAGAACGTCACCGCCGCCACCAACGGGAAAAGCGAGATCAAACACAACATTACGCTCCACAGGAAAACCCGATGCCGCTTATCGATAGCACCAAATCATCTTGGGACGCAATGCTTGTGTTCCAGATAGAGCCGATTTCTATCCAATACGATAATTTCGCCCTCTCGTTGTCCATGACCTAAATTGTTTCCTCTTTGCAGTGAACTTGTAAAGGTGACAATAATATTTTTTTCTAAATTAAGCAAGGATTCGTACAAACTATAAAGAGTGGATCGTTACCGTTGAGTTAGTAATGTTGGCCGTTTGGCGGTGAAAAATAAAGGTCAGGGATTGGGCAAATGCGTTTGCTGGAAATGCTGTTCTGACCAGAGGCCCTATGTTAATCCATACGGAAGCGCATCCAAAATACAGCATCAAGCCTTTCTTAATTAATGCCCCGCAGTGGTTCTGTCGTTCCGATTCTTTTGTTGCCTTTCTTGTAAGGACGTACTCAGCGAAGGATGTAACCTTGATATATCGCTCGGGAACTTCGCTGTACAACATCAAACCCAACTTTCTGCAATAAAAAAATCAGTAATTTTTTTATTGATATTTTACACGTTTGTGTTGCATAGAATTTTTTTACATCGATTGTGCGTTTTTTGAAATATCATTATTGCCTTGACCTTTACGGTGCCGACAATGCATCTACATTGATTGATCCTTACTGCAATCTACGGAGGATCCAGTAACGGTAAGAACCCGGCATCCACCATCGCCAAATCCTACCCGTACAGTAAACAGCCGAAATCACGGTGAAGACGGCATAACAGGGAAGTGTCGCGGCTTCTCCGTGCTCAAAAATTACTAAGCGCACAACAACAGAGAGCGAAAACCGGAGCGACCGACACCACCAACCACAAAAATATTGCGCTAAGCGCTGCAGCATATCCAATGGTCGAGGAGAATATTACTATGAGGAAGCACTTTAATGAAGTCGCTGATTTGGATGAGGAGCTTTAAGTTCCGTCTTGAGGAGATTCGACATTGTTGTGATGACTATCACTGCTTTTGTTAAACCAGGCCGTAACTGTGTGGACTGCGGATATGTGCGCGCAGAAGTCTGGTATCGCCCAATCCCGGTTAACGAATACAGAGCAGAGTAGGGAAAGCAGCAAGATGGCTGTTGCCGACAGGGTGGCAAATAATCCAATGTAGCCGGTATGTATCTGAGTATCATTCGGTGCAACCAAGGGTAGCGATTCATTCTGGCAAGATGTTTCTTCCATTGGTTTCCAGTAAGCCGTGACGCGGTCCCAAAAACAGCCATTGGTTTCCTGTTTAAAACATGACCCTTAATTGTGCATTATGTTATTACTTATTTAGGAAACCATTCGACAACCTCAGCTGTTGCATGCTTACATAACCAAAAAGTTTGCCAAACATGTCGTCAACTGGAGCACTGGGATCGACACGACTCGACCGCCAATCGGGAAAATATCTCTGCGCAAGTTGGATGGAAATCTGGCTAGCTAGCCAAGCCACTAACAGCGCCTCCGCCAAGATTTCCGGATAGGTCCAGGATAAATCCCCGCAGAGAGTGGACTGAAACGTTGTAAAGAGTTTCTGCATTTTCTTGAGAAACGGTCGAATTATGAAGGAAAGTTCAACCTTAAAATCCTGCTAAGGGCGTAAAGTACTGTATCTGAATATGCTTTTTCTTATTTCATAAACTTTCGCTCGTGTTATGAGACGGATACGATACACCGCAGCTAAAATTACCGGGAAATTAACGACTCAAATGCTTGTTTGCGTCATAATTATAATCCTCGATTCTTTTTAAAACCCAACATTTCCTTAATTCTACGTATTTCATATATACATATGGGCTAGAAAGGGGGAATCGTGTGGATAGGCCATGTGTACTCGACATCCATCCTTTACCAACAGCTGGCATATGCGCGTACAGCCTAGAGGGAAATCAATAAATTCAATACATCAGACGAGTGTAAGCACAAACAAACACAACCACGGGATAAGAAGTGACCAGGACCACATTATCAGGCAGACGCTCTACTTTACAATATGGACTGATTTAGGGGGAATGCTATAGTCTGTACATGGTCTGTACATATACAGTCACTGCAATGCTGTAAAACCAAGCGTAACCGAGTTTTTGATAGGGGGACGGGGACGGATAGGAACTGCAGCATACAGAGCGTGTGTACCAACTTCTTCCGATATACTCTCTCTATGTTGAAGCATCGGGTGAAATCAGAGCGCTCCCCGACCACCGAGCAGAAACTCAGTTACGCTTGCTTTCGGTAAATTTCGGTCTGCTGCAGGGACTGTATACAGACCATGGTCTGTAGCAAAAACGGGTATGTGTATTCTGTAACTAAAAGATACACCATAAGACACGATATAAACTCATACGGTGCTATGCGGTAAATTCATTCAGTAAGAGAGTTAATTATCACTGGCGCAAGGTTACAGATAGGAAGTTTCTGGTTGAAAAATTTGTTGCATGCACCCGTATATCGGTGCCCGCTGTGGTCGGTGCATGTGATAATGATACTAGAGTAGTGCGTGGTCGGTGCAGAGCATAACTGCAAAAATTACGGTTGTAATATGATTTGAACTGTTCAGTCTTCGGTACCTCTTCTGTATGTGTGAAGGAATGATGCTTACCCCATAAGATTCAAATGTTTAACGAAGCTTTTAGACATCTAGAATGCAGTTGTAATAATATCTGTACTGTACGCGTATGATCAGTAATGGGTAACAACGGGATGACACTCACACAGTCCAATGAGTCCATTTTATATTCACGAGAAAAGAATTGACACGTTATTATGAACCACAAAAAGTTAAATGTCAGCAGATTATAAAGCAGAAGTGTGATTACGCAACACCACATCTGCAGACAATTCCTTCAGGCGAGGCGCTTTGCACTCCCACAAGCGCAGAATGCGATCGTCTCCAGCCGTGATGGAAAAACGAAACAGCAGTTGACCTTTGTAATCGGCAAATTCTTGCATAATGCGCTTGATGCAGCGACGCCACGGCTTCGTCACGATGATCACGGTGTTGCCGGCTTCCAGCAAAGCCCGCAGAACTGTGATGCAGTCATCCAAGATGGTCGGGGTAATATCGTGCGTTGTTGGGAATTGGACCGGTCCGTCGCGTTTATAACTAGCTTTGGCGATGACCGGGGCTAAATCCACTTTCTGCGGAGTGCGCCATTCACGCTCCGTCATTCCTTCGGCCAGTGCATCGTTGCGGACAAAACAGTAGCGACAGTCGTTCTCACAACCGAGGGCGGCTGACAGACCATCCACGCACGGTGGGCGGAAGTAGGATTCGTGATCCGGAATAGGCACAGCGGTGCGCTTTGGTTCTTCCAGGGCACACAGTTTGGGACAGATTGTTGCTTCGGTAGCGTGCACGGTTTCAATTGTCGTGGGGCGAATAAGCACGGACATTCTCGGAGGATTTTTGCAGTTTCGAAAACGGACACAACGAAGAGATGACCGCACCGATGCACAAAAAGATGGAAAGAAAGAGGGAAAGAAAGAAAGCTCACTGCAGAATCAGAGTGTACCAAATTAACGAACAGTAGTCACATAACCATCTAAAACATCCTGCATAAGACGGTGGGTCTTATATATAGCGATAGCTGCGGTATATGCGGGGTGGGGTATGGTGACCCTGCTTGTCCGCTAAACTTCTATCTGGCAATTTTATGTGCCATTACTCACTGAATCTAATCTAGTGTCTAATTTGGGGGCTAGATCCTTTCTTTGCCAATGTCAAATTCTTCTTGCATAGTGCCTTATGATAAAATATGATATCATTGTGACATAATAATGGCCGACTTAGCCTTGCAGCTGCGACAGCGTTGACATCTGAATAATCATGGTTATTCAGGACTGACGTAAGTACATACTAATTTATTTTGTCGTCAACTGTCACCTGCAAGATTTAGTCAAAGGAATGGTGTGACAGTGTCAGCATTCCAGGCTTTTCCAGCTACATATATAATTGTAAAGAAAGAAAATGGATGGAGACATTCAGGCCCGTATTTAGCTTTTTGGAAGGGGGGTGCGCAAAACCTCGCGCCAGCTGCGCCAGTAGGGAAATGGCCGAAAATTTCAGGAAAATCGTAGAAAAGTGGCTCCAAAAAGCCACTTTTCTACGCTTTTCTCTTGTAATTTTCGTTGCGCCAGTCGCATTTTCTTGCGCCAGCGACAGCTCCCGGCACACCTTTTTCCCGTTTTCTCCCTCCGGAGTGCGCCCCTTAAAGACGGGCCTGGAGATACGAGTGGGTTGTTACTTATTACGAACGTTGGTGCAAAATCGCACAGTACAACGCATCATTGACAGCCTCAAAAGCCTTTCCCGCTTGCAACGCGTTTGCAGCCAGAAGAGTTTCCTTGTGCTGTAAAGGGACGCAATTTGACAATTTCCGGTCAACGGACGATCTTTGCGGCGCGAGTTCTCAGTTACGCTACACACTGGAACTTAGGTTTGCGCAGGTTTGCAAAAGCGTTCAGAGTCTGAACATTTTGAAACATTAAATTTAATTCCGTTTCTATTTAATTTAATTTTATTGAGCTTGTCAAATTTCGGTCACGTCAAACGCACGCACATCCAGGAAGTGCGCAAACCCGTAAAGACAAGAACTTCTTTTCTGGTTACGTCAAGCTCTAGCGCGCGTTCAGTTCAGCACAGAAATAAGAAATTAATACATGAATAAAAAAGCTTACCCTCGGTAAGGAATATTTCGAAAAGGAACAAACACCTAACATTTCCTGATTAACGAAGCAATCAAAGACGAAAGTACTTACGTACTGTCAGGGACTCAGGGTGCCGTGAGCGCCGGTGAGCGAGGGTGTCACGGTACTTAAACTTGGAAAACTCAAAACCCAAATAGGGATAAAAGCAACAGTAAGTAACATAAAGGTAGCTCTCGTCCGTGAGTTTTGTGTGGAAGTTCGGAGTGGCGCCAGCACTACCCTACGTACTGCGGCCATATTTCATTCGGCGCTTCTCAAAGGAACTTGTGAGTGGCGTCTGTCGGAGTATGTCGGAGCCATGGGAGGTAGGTGACTGCCTGACTGGGATTGAAGCAGTATAGAAGGTCCTCAGGTAGCCTTTACTGGAACCGAAAAGCGTTAACGGTTTTTATTCTTACCTTTGTAGTCAGTACGAGTACGATACTATTAAAAATAATTATTTCGCGAATATTACGAATTGTCAGGTATTCACTATTCACCTTTCAATTTTCAAGTGCTTGCCATTTTACTATTTGAGCAGTAAGTACTTTTTGTTTGTGCTGTACGTTAATTTTGATTACACTGTAAATTATATACATAGATACATCATACTCGTACATACAGTTTTTAATTTTTATAACGACAAGCACTACTAATACTTACGTTATTATTTACTGTTCCATACTTACTGCTGAGCTGTGTTGCATAGCTTGAATTTCTCGACATTTTCCCGTATTTTTGAATTGTGATCACGAGCATCAACCAGAGTTTCTGAATTTTCCCTGACGTGACGAGCTGTAAACTCTGCTAGAGAGTATAGGGTGTACCCGGCCGTCCCAAGACTCCAACGCGTCCACTCTTCAACTAACGTTTTATCTTGACAAAGGTTCTTGGTATCCCCACCCCACGTTGCGTGCGCCATCAGGAATCCTGTTGAAATATGCGCGGTACCGCCACCCACGGACTGTTGATCCCGGACGCCGCAGAGGATCTGCAAAATGATCGGGGAAACGGCAACGCGACCGACCAACTTCCCTCACCGAGGACGAAGACGCCAGTATGATGCGCTTTATCAAATATTTGAAACCCATCTGCTGGAACTGGAAACTGCGGACCTTCACACACTTTTTGACACATTTCGCTAAGGATATTGGTGCGTATTGGTTGTGATAGTAGGCGTTTTCAGTTGTGTGGCATAAAAAAAGGTTGCGCGAGTTGACTGACGGTGACTGTAAATATTCCGTGGTTTGAACGAATTTGTTGGTGCTTGGTTTTCTCGCTTTTGTGGTTTCCTTCAGTGACGCTCTTCTTACTTGCATGAGTTTCCTGAAATTTCTCCCTCCTTTACAAAATTTCCTACCCGGATAGACTGGCCTTGTGCTTCTCTTCGAGCAGCTTGAAATGTGCTTTTCCTAATATCTGTTTTTTCCACTTTGGAAATGGTTTTATTTTGCCACTGCACTATGAAAGGAAATAATTTAATGGAATGACTGCATAATTAAAGAAGAACTTCGTAGATTACTGTACATTAATTTTCAAAGAAAATTAATCCTATAAAAAATGTATTAAATTTCAAAGAAAATTTTTTGTACCTTTGATACTTGGCATCATAACCGCGGAATCGGATTAGAATTCTAATTAGAATGAACGCGCACGAAGTCGGATGCGACATGCTGTTTCGTTTCCACGCTCCCTTGCTGAAAATCCTCATTTGCTGCTGTGCTGCAGTCTGAACGTTGTGATTCTATCGCTGGGTCTGCTACTGTCTGTAGGGGTGCGTGTACCGTTGACATCGGCATGGCGAGCACAATTCCTCGATTCCCACGAAGACGAAATTCCTCCGCGCATTGCGCCGATTCTGCAGCTGAAAGCGGGCAGACTTCCCGAACCAGTTACCCAGCAGGAATTCTTCTCGGTTGTGGAGGAGGTATACCGCGAACTGAACGTGGGTGATAAGCCAGAGTCCATCTGGAATTTCGATACTACCAGTGTCATGCTGCCCGAACCGCAGAAGAAAGTGACAAAGAAGCGGAAGCATACGGCTGGAGACGAGGGTAAAAATTTTTCTGCACAGGATGCCGTTTAATTACTGTGCTATTCAGACACGACACTCAACGTTAGAATGCTTCAGCGTAATATAATTTTATACCGATACGTGGCTAACTGATTTTCAATACACAAGTAGAAGTACAGATTTTTCAGGTATAGTATTTTTATGTCTGTGTAATAGCAGAAGCAAAAATCAGTAGTGGCAAACACTTTTGACTTGTAATTTGTAAAAGACATTTTCTTTTGACAACAGACAACTTCTTTTGACAGCTTCTTTTGACAATAGAACAGGTACCCTACTCGTATAGTAAAGCAGGTAACAGTAACTTGCTTTTAGTAAGTACTCTTCTATTGCAACAGTCGAACATGGAAAAGTCAACCTAATTTGACAACCGGCAAAAGCCTATGGTGAATGTAACCTGGTTACTTGTCTGATGTTACAACAAACAATATTATTAAGAATGCTCAATAAATGTGCGTCATTTTTTACATTTGCAGACGATGCCCCAAAAGAAGAGCCGACCAGCGTTTTGTACGCCGTTTCAGCCGCCGGCGAACACACTCCCGCCACCATTCTCTTTCGTGGCGTCCGCATTGCCGGCGAGTGGAAATCCATGCTGACTGACACGGATACAGAACGTGTTCAGTTGATGGTGAATAGTTACGGGGAGTTCGACTATCCCAGCGCACACAAGTGGCTAAAAAATATTCTCATGCGCAGCGCCCTGCCGCGACCGGTGAGGATCCCTGGAAAGCGTAATGATCTTCCTTTTGATACCGTGCTTGTTGTTATAGCTGGTCCTTTTCATGGATCCTCTATACAGCCATCTGGACAATTATGAGTTTATCAAGCAAGCCTTCGATGATAATATTCACTTGATCTGCATTCCTCCCAAGGTGCCCACGCTCAAACTGCCGCTGGGACTGACGGTTATGCCGCTGTTGAAGGATAAGTGGTATGAGGATCTGGATGAATTGCAGCTCGCTTCAACGCCTCGTAATCCGGTTGGTAGTCTTAGTACACTGTATTTTTCGTCGGAATATATATGCTGCATTTACCTTTGACAAATGACAATGCTTAATCCGTTCCGTGACTTGATGCTTTAGTGATCCTTTCCCTGTTATTCACCTGTCACATGTAGTTTACCGTATTACTTTCAGTAGTTTTTACTTGATTAGTTTTAGTAGCATTATTTGCCACACTCCGGCAGATGCAGTTCTATTATTGTGGCACACACAGCTTCTAATTTGTTCGCACTTACTCTTGCAGTACTTATAAAACATCGCCCACCGAATGTGCCACTCTTTTGGGTCTTATAAAAGTGGATTTGATGTGATGGGCAATATATTGTATTTCCAACATAAATTTCCCAGTTTTTTCTACTAAAATTATGGTCAACTGTTTACAGTTGCTTGAACGAATTTTCTGTTGTGACAGTTGTCGCGGGCCCAGATAGTCAACGCCTTGATGCCGGCCGATACGGAGGCCTTGCAGGAAGAGAATATCAAGGCGGGTTTCGCTCGCTGTGGGCTGTTTCCCTGGAATCCCCATGCGGCGACCATTGAGGCTCAGAGAGCAGACGAGGCAGAAGCCAACGCGGAAGGCCCATCGGAAGTGGATAAGGTCGGCAGAGAATCCGATGATTTCGATATGCCGCCCTTATCGCCCCGCCAACAGGAAGCCGTCAATCAGGCGTTTGCTGTATTCGCCCAGGCCGGTGTCAGCCTGAAAAGAGCGAAACGTCTCCTGCGCAATATGAATGTTCCCGGTAAGTAGGAATGTAATATTTTTTGTTTCTTCTCACACTGCATTGGTTGTACTACACTGTACAAGAGTTACTTAATGAGCCGCCGTTTCAGGGTTTGCTACTGTGAAGGATGAATGAAAGTGTGGAGAGGAGACCTCATCTGCATGGAAGAAAGTTGTTGTTGTTTTGTTTGCTCAGGTGTTACCCGAATTTTCCCAGGAAGTGGGATTTCTTCTTTATTGATATTCGTTTAAATTTCTTGTGCTTTGCTGTTTTCTCCTGCACGCATTACAGATTTATGTTTGGCTGTACTTGTAACTGCATGACAACATTGGCACTTGCTACTGATTGAATTTGTTTGTTTCTGTTTCTGGTTTTAATCGTTATAGTAGTTCAGTGGTATGTAGTGTGGTACATACTACTTGTATTATTGTCATATAATATTTGAACCATTATTATAGCTTGGTTTTAGCAGCGCTTCTAAGGAAGTTACACGCTGAATGATTAATACAAAGACTATTTCGAATTAATTACTTTCATTGAATAAACTCAATGAAATCACGTACAGGTACAAAGGAGTAATACGCTCAATGGTTTCTCTTTTTAGCAGGTATTATCCGTAGCGCCGCGTAAGTTTTGACTATACTGCATATGGCTGGGACTTGGAACTGGTCGTCCTTGATTTGCCGTCCCATAAACACGTAAACATTCATAAAATTATAGAAATTCTCGGAATTACAAAAATGCAGTGAGGTTATACCTAAACTCTTCATATGTATTGTATATGAAACTGCAAATGTGTATATTGAAAGACAAACCAAGCGCAGGATATCTAACCAAAAACTTTTTGAATCCCAGTTATCCATCTTATCGATTCCCTTGAATTACTGTACCATATTTTTGATACTGAGCAGATTATGCGGCTTCCAGAACAGACTCGAACATGTCCACCTGCTCCATAAGCTGCGGTATCTGTACTTGCTGGTAAAATTGACGTGCGTATGCTGGATTAAAAAGTAATGCTGAAAACATTGGAAATCATTGGTGTAAATATGCACAATCAGCACAAAAAACAGAGATAAGTGGTGAAAAAAGTATGTGAAATTCAATTTTAATTCATTTAAATTTTAATTCAACGCAACCACATTTTTCGAAAATTAACTGGTAGTACTTTGTTGTTTGGAACAACGACTGGTAATCAGCAGTTACATTACTATATGCCAACTCAAAAAGAGCTCTACCGATCATAAAACCATGGTCTGTATACAGTCCCTGCAGCAGACCGAAATTTACCGAAAGCAAGCGTAACTGAGTTTCTGCTCGGTGGTCGGGGAGCGCTCTGATTTCACCCGATGCTTCAACATAGAGAGAGTATATCGGAAGAAGTTGGTACACACGCTCTGTATGCTGCAGTTCCTATCCGTCCCCGTCCCCCTATCAAAAACTCGGTTACGCTTGGTTTTACAGCATTGCAGTGACTGTATATGTACAGACCATGATAAAACTGATGAAACTCATGTAGATGGCCGGATCAAACAACACCGGCTTCCCATCCGCCGCTATGGCACGAAAGGTAATTAACGCAACGTACGATACAGTGTACTCTGTAGTCTGTAATATATCTACCTTATAACAAACATATCATCAAAAAAATGTGAATCACAAAAAATACGGTAGTTCTCAAATAATATCTTATTCTACAAAAACAAAATTACTTCAACCAAAACAAAAGTATTTCAACCATCGACTAGCTAGACAAAGTCACAAAAGTAGTCACTCGTACTTATACTGTACTTAATCTAGTAGTACGTTAAAATTATTAATTAGTAATAAGTTAATAACTATCAATAAGATGACGCAAAAAATTACAAGTATAGACATAACGGTTCAACGTTATGCTTGTAAATTGTAATTTTCTGCGGCATCTTTACTTATTATTCGTTCGCGTCCGTGAAGTTGGAAGAAACATGTACAGCATGCACAAAAATGGTCACTAATTTTAGTTTTTAGAACTTTATAGTCCTTATTATAAACCAATAACAATAGCAGCGTTTAAATATCGACCATACGATAGTGACGTCAGAACGGTCAGTACCAAATTTCGTCCGGCGTGATCAGGATCAGGCGAACATATGCGCTTAATTTAATGTGAAGCGTCACGTTGGGAAGGCGAACACTAAAAGAAAAATGTTGACCCACATCAAAATGCAGAGTTTGTGTTGCCGCGACACTTGGCAACCCTCAACTCGCCATAAGTAAAGTCGAAAACATTGGCATGTTCTTCACGGTTGCTGCTTGATGGCGTACTGTATAAATTATTTCGAAAATATTGTGATTTCATTAACAGCAAAATTTTTGGAGATGGACGATGGTCACACTTGCAAATGTTATTTTGCCGTTATTGTACAGTATTGCTATCGGAAAAATTTTGCCTTTACGGTAGCCGCTTACTGCTTGGCAGGAAATTTCGTGGATTTCTTTTGAATACCAGCTCGTATCTCTTGTGAGAGCAGTAACGTTACATCTGTCGTACTCGTTTCTGGTCGATTCATAAGAATGAAACGCTTGCGGATACGTCTTGTCTGTGACATTCTCAAAGCTTCAAGCCAACGACCCTCTTCTCTTTCCCGCAGCGTCGTTATCCCCTCGAACTCACGGAATCTCTCGTCCTCAACGAACGACATCCAAAGCTTCCCCTTCGGTTGCCGCGGCCGCACTGTCACACCGAGCAGTCTCATGGAAAAGTGCAACGTCATCTTCGTCCTAGGCGCACCGGGATCCGGCAAAAGCACCCTCTGCTCGCAGCTGGCCGCCTACCTCGACTATCAGCACCTCTCCGCCGGCGAACTGATCCGCCAGGAAGCTGGCAATCCGCTGTCCCCGCACGGGAAGACGGTGGCGGAGGCCATCCGGGTTCCTGGGGCGTTTGTTCCGGCCGAGATCACCGTGGATCTTCTGCAGCGGGCCATGCAGAGCTCCAGCAGGAAAGAGTTCCTGATCGATGCGTTCCCGGTGAATATGGCCAATCTGCAGGCGTGGAACGCCAAGATGGCCAGTGCGGCGGAGATCCCGTGCGTGCTGTTCCTGGAGGTGCCCATGCGGCTGGCCACGGAGCGCTGTTTGGGCAGGAAGCGCGGGGATGATACGGCGTTGGGACTGGAGATAGCGCTGGAAGTCGTACATGGACCAAACGCGGCCCGATGGTCGAGTTCTACAAAGAGAAGGGCCTCCTGCGCACCGTAGACGGCAGTCAGTCGCCCGAACAGGTGCTCGAAGCCACGAAGCGGATGCTGCCCGTTAAGGGGAAGGACACCGAGCCCGATAGGTCCAAATGGGGTGGATAAAGTGTTGGGTTGTTTTTCTTTGTAGAAGTACGAGTATAGTTTCTTTTTTATATGCATATGCTGTTCGCATTCTAGAATACGGTGCCTGATTGATTGATTGTGGGAGATGACTGCAGGCTATAGCTTCTCATTTAATTGATACTTCTTGTTGATGTTTTTATTTGCCAGAACTGACAGTTGCACTTCGAATGCGAACTATGCGATATCTAGAAATTTCCTATGAGTTTATTGACTTATGTTGAACTGTTGATTACATTCCCGCGGCTAATAAAATTTTGCATGCACTGTGTAGTAATGCTGATTATCTACTTCCTACGGTTCGGGAAATGCACAGGATTCACGTGGACCAGTGAAGTTGCTGAAGCATCTTATCTGAACTACTCCGTAATCATTGAACTACATTAATACTCGTCCAACGAATTGCTCTTGCATTGTAGTATATTGTACTGCGTATAAATGATTAGAGTATTGTGGAATTTGAAGAAGGGCATTTCTGTAATGTTCTTAATTTTTATGTCTGCTACATGCAGAAGGTTTTTTAGTTGTATAACCAGCTATAGTAACGGCAAAACGGCACCGGGAATATCTTATTCAAAACATATCTGACCAATGCCGGTGGCGAGTTGCCATAAAATAAAGAACTCGAATACAATGGAGCGCAAGGTGCAAAAAGCACCATATAAAATTGCTTAAAATCAGGAACTGGATCAATTATTGGTTAATATTTCGATAGCAGTCTGTTCGTCGCTGCTTTGCCAAAGGGATTTGTTGACGGGCATTGCGAACTGCGTCTAAATCTATGAACCGCAAAAAATCTTATTAATAATCATTTTATACAGCTAGATTAACAATATCGTTATAATTATCTTCGCATATAGTATATGGATGATGGATCTACTGTACTTTGCCTACCCAGTACTTGTCGTAATATGCTTTCCTTTTCATCGGCTTCCGCGATAACATCGGCCCTGGAATAGTGCTGCAGCTTTGTAATCTTATTACTCGTACAAAGATGCATGGCTACTAGAGATGGCAGAGGTATTTTAAAATCAGTATATGATTGTTATGTCGTTTGGGAATACGCTTTCCGTACGTTTGACCCTACCATGGACCAATCAGCGCACTGTGGCCCCACACGGGATAAGCGGACGCGTCGTGGCGCGCTGGTGCGGCGCCGACAACGTAAATCTGATTGTCTAAGGCTCTGGCTTGTAATGCCAGCTTCCAGTGTGCTTTTCCCGTAACCATTTCAAAAGCGGAGGGGTACACGATCATGTGACAACCTGTAAGAACAACGGGTCAATTTTTCAAAGGGAAAAATTATAAAATGAATCACTTGCTTATACAGGCGCGGAGGAATGCAAGCCAACAATGGTACAGGCATTACAACGTGAACGTTCTTGTTAAAAGCGTACAACTGCGTACTACAAAAGCATAATATTTTTAACTGATACAAGTACTCATTTAATATTTACTATACCCTGCAAAGCATATGCAGTGGCCATTTCCGGAAAGCGTACATCGTGGCATACACCCAGCCCGACTTTCCATTCTCCTGGCGTAAAAAAACACGTGTTTCAGGAAAAAGCATTCGTACGTTCATTTCTGAATGGTGCATACAAGCAGAATTACTGTGAATTTAAAATTGGTAATATTGGTGAAAAGAAATAACGACTTTACTGCTTTTTATTATGAGTGGACGGATTATTAATTTTTATGATCAATGTTACCAGCTTGAAAGGTCGTAAAGGATGATCCGGATGCGAACACATCGGATTCACAATAGCGCCCACCAGGAAGATCTGCATCAAACATGTGCATCTTGCGATGTTTGGCGACAATTTTTCCATTGGGGTCGAACACAACGCAAGTGTTATAAATGAGTTTCCCGTCCACTTCAGGAATTGATCCTAAAATTAGGCGGTACAACACTTATGGTAGAATCAAATCTAATTGCACATTACATTTGCATTATTGCGCAGGTTTTAATCGTAAGGCCTTTTTCCCCACTGAATATTGGTACGAGTATGGAAAAATTTTCGTAAACTGTCGGTTAAAGATTTGAAGGTACAGACTTCAGTCACTGGGGGTATGTTAATTCGATCAAGTATCAAAATTAACTGACATCACGAGCACACAACACAGTTACAATACCGCGATACCGGCAATCACATAAATCCCAAATAGATCGGCGATTTTGCCAATGGCATCGGTAGTCGGCCCAGGTATATGTTCGGCATTTTCAGCAATTTTTCCGAAATCATAGGGAGAATTAAAAAACTCCTGCAAGAAACGCCGCTCGATCGGAAATACTGCGTTCGACTTTTTCTGTATCTACGTACTTCCAGATTGAAACTGCCATAATTGATAAACTACAGCCAAAATATTGTTATCGTTTAAGAGGCATATCACGTTGTAGATGTGGTAAAAGAACATGGATATATATCTCACAACGAACCCTGTGCTGCAGCCTGCAGAGCGGCTGACAATGAGTACTGTATAATCAAATCAAATATAATGCAAAGAAACAAAAGAAGCATATGAAGTCTTTGCACCCACAGGCAAAACGATTAGGGTATTCGAAAACAAATCTGAGCGAGATGTTCGCTGTCCATTAACAATATCAGCGACCATTGCATCTGGCGAAGATACAGCCTGCTTAATCAAGTCCGCTGCAAGGGTTAAGTTGGTTCCCTTATGATAGGATATTTGCATTTGGATAACTATCAACCGCAGCTCCGATGTCGATGCCGACATTGTTCCTACTTTCTGTATAAACACAGAATTTACCGCGAGGCAGTAATATCCACTATCCACAATATTTCAATGCCGCTATGATAAGCTCGCTCAGGATACTCCGTAGACATGAATTTAGGGTCTCGCAAAACAGCAGAGCATCTATACGGTCTGCATGTTTATCACTATAAAATCAGATGACTTTATTTTTATACAATCAGATGACTGTCTTGTCTATGTTGTGGAAATTTTTAATGCGTTTCAGAATGTGCGATCACTGCGACGTCAAGATGAAGCCGCATGCCATCGCTACTGCAGCGGTGCTATATCGTGTACCAACCGGTACCGTGTACCGGTACTTACTATAGTGTGACTGTGTGAGGCTATTGCTTGGCTTTATTTTGTCGATCATAGCTCGTTATACTGGTACTTAACTTTCCTGCTCTTTTTTTGGTGTCTTTAAGACTTACATCGGGGAAAATGTCCGTGTTGGTTCATCCAAAAACATCATGTGGCGCTTCTGCTCCATCAACAATTTGCCCAAAATTGTGTGTGAATGAAACGCCCCAGCGTACCGCTGTGCCTATTCCGTGAATGAATGAATCCTACTTCCGCCCACCGTGCGTGGATGGTCTGTCAGCCGCCCTCGGTTGTGAGAACGACTGTCGCTACTGTTTTGTCCGCAACGATGCACTGGCCGAAGGAATGACGGAGCGTGAATGGCGCACTCCGCAGAAAGTGGATTTAGCCCCGGTCATCGCCAAAGCCAGTTATAAACGCGACGGACCGGTCCAGTTCCCGGAAACGAAGAAACACGTTGCCCAGTTTGAAGATCTATTTTCAAAAAGCGTTTCTCGTTCGACCAGACTTTCTAACAGATGTCACGAGTGAGCAGACTTTAGAATATAATTATGTACAGAGTACTCAGTAGATACAGTAGTGGTGGACGAATAGCAACTTTATATGAACAGGAAATTTGTTGAGAATTATCTTCGATACTGTCTCAACTTGGCTGAGTTACCCTGTGCACAATGACTGTTGGTAATTCTAGGGAACTATAGCAGTCATTTTATTTGCTCTAGTTTGTATAATCGCTATTTAAGTTTCAGTTCTATAAATTACTTACATTGCATGTTCCAGTTTGAAACGAGATTTGTATTGCAGAAAAAAGCAGCATTAACTTATCGAACACCGATCTACTATAAGTAAAATTAAATGTAAGTATTTTTCTACAGCCTGCTCTGCTATGCTAGTTGTAAATAACACGTGAATTAGCGTAAACTGACTCTACAGCCTCGGATAACACCTTACATACGCTTCAATGTTCTGCAGACATTTACTTACATAATCTGCATAAAACGCTTGATTAATGCAGTTGCATAACTTGTATCTGTAGATTGTCGCTGCATGATCTCCTGCTGTATAACGAAGACAGTACTAATGGTTACAACACTTCTGGTTGCTGTCTAGTAGCTCGAGTCTTACGATAAGTGAAATGAGCAGATGTCGATATTTTTGACTTTGTGTATTTCAAACAAGAAACCAGCTTCACAAAAAAATTAATCGCCACTGAAAGTATTGCATGAAACTGACCATGTGAATAATTCGCCATCATGAGAAGGGTCAGTGTAACCGTCAAAACCTTAACATTGCCCATCAGACACCAGTGAAAGTATTTTGTCTGTGAGCATAATTTCCTTAGGGCGAAATCAATGCCTTATGAGCAATAACAAAATACGTCAATGTCCGAACATTAAATTTTCTCACATAAAATTTAAACGATCGTCAAACTGCGCATCAACATTAACGATTCATGGGTTGGATCTAGGTCATTGTCACCGGTAACATTGGAACACGTGTGTTAAGACCAAAACATACGTACAGCAAGATCTTGTTCACTCGCCAGAAATTTGCGGTATTGTTAATGTTAATTAAATTTGTAAATTCAGCTGTAATAATACATACCGGTAATCAAGTGTTTTCATTTGATGATAGACATTGCACTTGCCTAGAAAAATCGCATTCCTATTGATTTATGGCCAACTAAAATTCAAAATTCTGTTGGTGTGCATTGCGCTAGTATATTGCATATTGCAGGGATATATTACATTCTACGTATATCTTAAACCTAGAGTAGTCAGGAAACATTCGAATACAAAAAACCTTATGCACTTCACTTATGCACCCATAATCGTACCGAATTTATGTTGATAGAGCAGAAAATATAAGTGAATGGTTGGCTGGATGTTTAATTATTATTACTGCAGTATTCCACCAACAAAACTGTCAGCGGACTTACCAGCGGAAAATGTTTTGTGAAATCCAAGCTATTCGTAGCTTGCAACCAACTCTACAGTGAACCGGAAATGACCAAAACAGCAGTGCAGTACAAAAGGCGGACGATGTGCGTTTTTTCACTGTGTACTGAGCACGCATGAACGGATTAATAGCCAAGCGCCGGGTATCATTAGCCAATTATCAGCGAAGCAGTGTTACGTTTGTCCAACTTGTCACCTTCGCATTCGGTAGCATTCTAAACGTTACACAGCGTAACTTGTGTCCAGTTGAGCGATCATTTCAGATGATGTACTGGTAGACGCTTGATTTCTTTGACGACCAGTGTTTGCGCTAATCAGTTATCATCCGAAACACTTTACCGGCACGTGTGGCCGTTTTCACATCCACTGCAGCTGACCCGTACCATAAATCTACATTACATGTTACAATTTGCTGCTTTTTATCGGTATTTTTGTGCATTTTTATTTTTTAGTTATTTTGCAAACAATCACAAATCGTAAATTATACAAGCCTCTTCGAAAATGGCAGACGCAACATAAGTCGCACAAGACGTAAGTGGTTAGCGCTACTGGAATTATTTTTTTACTAAAGACTTGTACAGTGTGCTTCTTTTCTGTTTACACGAACAATAAGGTATCTATAGTTGTAGTCTTTTACTACGTAGTTCCGTAAAAACGTGATAGTTTTTCATGATTTAAATTTAAATATAAATGTACACAAAAGGGCAAACAATATAACACAAAATGAACTATGAATGATTGACTGTTGCTGTCATGATTTGTATCTGCGCTCAATGAATAAGTGTTAAGACGATGTTAATAATACTGAAATTGTGATTAAAAATATTGTTAATTTGAGCTTAGTAAGGATGTGTTTCAAACCATTGTATGAACACATTTCTTCTGTAGAAGTACTGCAATAATTATTACGCGTCTTTTGGACATGCGCTCGTTTAATGTGAATTGGTTACTTATAATTATTCCTTTGAAATGGTTATCATAACTCGTGTCGTGCTCGAAGTCTAGGGTAGTCCTAATTTATGAAATAGTTGGAGTCTGTTGTTTAGCTTCAATTTTTGGTGAAACGCAAGGGCACGAACCATTACTCTAATATAGCTATTACTCTGTTTTACTCCATTATAATTTTGTTCATTTTATCTTTAGATTTTTTCTATCTGTCGTTTCGAACTGTTTCATTAATTATAGGCAAATGATCTTCATGATCTCGCGTTTCGGTGCTGTTTGATTTTGGTAAATCATATTTCCATTTTTCGTTTCAAGAAGTCAATTTTCCGAAACATTTAACGGTTTGTAAAGAGCAAAAACTATTGTGAAATCGTTTTTTGTTGCGATGACCAATTACCGCTAATACCGGATATTTTTTGATTGACAACGATGTTGGAAGCCGTTTACGTACTCTTTTGTGTGTATGCAACGTGCACGAGGTGAAGAATTATTGCACTTTCACTGAGCGCCACATCGCTGCATCATTCTGTCGCTATCTTCCATGTCAATGTCCGCGCAGATTCTCACTTGATTCTTGTTGATGCAATCGAAAATTTCACTTTTAGATGTACATACATTTTTCCGGCAATACTGAACAGATTGCCTTACAGTCTGTGGATCTGATCTGTGATTGACGATGTTAATAATACTGAAATTGTGATTAAAAATATTGTTAATTTGAGCTTAGTAAGGATGTGTTTCAAACCATTGTATGAACACATTTCTTCTGTAGAAGTACTGCAATAATTATTACGCGTCTTTTGGACATGCGCTCGTTTAATGTGAATTGGTTACTTATAATTATTCCTTTGAAATGGTTATCATAACTCGTGTCGTGCTCGAAGTCTAGGGTACTAGTCCTAATTTATGAAATAGTTGGAGTCTGTTGTTTAGCTTCAATTTTTGGTGAAACGCAAGGGCACGAACCATTACTCTAATATAGCTATTACTCTGTTTTACTCCATTATAATTTTTTTCATTTTTATCTTTAGATTTTTTCTATCTGTCGTTTCGAACTGTTTCATTAATTATAGGCAAATGATCTTCATGATCTCGCGTTTCGGTGCTGTTTGATTTTGGTAAATCATATTTCCATTTTTCGTTTCAAGAAGTCAATTTTCCGAAGCGTTTAACGGTTTGTAAAGAGCAAAAACTATTGTGAAATCGTTTTTTGTTGCGATGACCAATTACCGCTAATACCGGATATTTTTTGATTGACAACGATGTTGGAAGCCGTTTACGTACTCTTTTGTGTGTATGCAACGTGCACGAGGTGAAGAATTATTGCACTTTCACTGAGCGCCACATCGCTGCATCATTCTGTCGCTATCTTCCATGTCAATGTCCGCGCAGATTCTCACTTGATTCTTGTTGATGCAATCGAAAATTTCACTTTTTAGATGTACATACATTTTTTCCGGCAATACTGAACAGATTGCCTTACAACTGCAATGTGGAAAGAGAATGGATCTGATCTGTGATTGATTCCTTTATTAACGCCGCACCAAAATATTCTACTTACCGGCAAATCATCTTTGAACTGGATTGTTTTCCCGGAAGTATATCGTTCTCGCATTGACTTTTACCAAAGAAATACAAATTTATTGGAGAGTAATTATGGCGGACATGACTGGCCGGCGCAAGCTTGTAGCAGTATTATTGTGGCTCTTTCCTATCCTACATTTTGCTCCCTGGAGCCTCGGTAAGTCACTTCTTAAGACCTTGTTCTGCCTGCCAGAAAAATCTTAGTCTCTGCAACTTGCGATGTTACCTGAGTGTACACAAATTATCAGCCTGCATAAAATTCCGGAAGGATCTGTCTTAATATAAACTAAAGGAAGCAGATTTTGTAAAAACTCTTTGCTAAAATGAACAACAAAACAACCAAATTTATCAACTGCGTTTGATGTCTTAATATTATGTAAACACACTTTGCAATTACAAAGAAAATTAGCCTGAATTAGCATACTCGTAGCGGAGCAACTCTTATACCGTAAATTAGTACCAGAATTCTTCCAAATCACGCCGGAAATTTTTATTATACGTAGCTTTCATTTAGCAGCTTTTATTGGTAATATGTGCAGCAAATTCGTTGGCTAAATATTTATCCACTTCATCGTTTGCTCTTTGCTACAGCAAGAGCGACGGCATGTTCGGATGGACAAATAACGACATTTGAATTGATAACCGGCGCCATTTTCACCAGCGATAAGGGGAAGATTAACAGTTTCCAGACATTTGATCTAAACGAGTGCATCGCCTCCTGTCGGAACAATCCCAGCTGTGCGTCGGCCAATTTCGAAACCGGATTATGCACAACTTCACAGGCCACTGCGGCAGTCAATCCCGAAAGCCTCCGCACCGATGACTTCCCGGTGTTCCCTAATTATCTGGAAAAACTCTGTCTTCGTATGTCGTCGCGTTTAACAAAGAAGAAAATAAATAGCCGTTTTGGTTTATTTGGAGATTGTACTATACGCTTTAACTGATTCTACTTATTTTATTTTATAGATTATGTATATATGTTCAGATACAGTCAGCTGACTGTATTTGCTTTCGTGGAGCGAAATAGTTGAATAAATTGCGTGAATGAATGTTATCTCCCTTTGTTTAAGCGCCTAAATTCATTTATGTCGCTTTTCAGAAGCACCGAGTGATTCTTGTGCGAAAGATTGGAGTTTCCAGGGCGTAATTGGATATTACCTGCCGGGTTACGATGTCAAAGTGATTCCTGTGCAACGCAAAGAAGACTGTTTGAATGCCTGTCTGAAGGAAGACAGCTTCCAGTGCTTTTCGGCGGAAATGCGCTACAACAACATGACATGTGCGCTCAGTAATGTCAGCCAGTCGTCGCTACAAGTCAAATTGCAAAAGGTCACCGACCCCACACTCCGCGTCGATTATTTCGAAAACAACTGTGCTTATGGTAAGAATGACATTTACTAAATATATATGGTATATGAGAGTATTTTTGATGAAGTTGGGAGTGGTAAAATAATGTGATGAAAGGACGCTTGATCTCGTTGTTCCACTCCATTGTTTTTGAGACGCATGTGATCACTGACGGAAGTTCAAATTTAAACAGAACAATACAATAAGATTGTGCCCATGCGTCAGATTTGTTATGCCAAACAGTCGAAGTATGAAATTCTGAAAAAGAAATTTCGGTGTATTTGTAATCGCTCATATTTCTCGAATTAGAAAACTTTTTAAAAGTTATTCAGCAGCTGTTATCAATATTATAACTTTATCCAGTTTATTTAACTATTTGTTTCTGCCTCTGAAAAATGATACTGCCGCGCTGTTTATAACGTAGTATGTACTACAGTTAGCTTTCGAAACATTTCACAAAATAAAAAAATACAAAATGGTATTAAGGTACGAGTACAGAGCAAGTGATAAAACTTCTTAGTTCACCGTTCACTAGATCCCCGGATGTACTGCGAGTACAACCGCGTGCGCGGGCGGGTCCTAAAAGCCGCCGACATGGTGCGCAGTAAAGTGGCCAATCTGGAGGAATGCAAAGCTTTGTGCCTGTCGGCCAATTTCTCCTGCAACTACTACCACTACGGCCAGCTGTCGGATGACGAGTGTAGTCTCAGCCATCACACCGCTGCCACCGTCTCCCACATCAACGAGCCCTACGTCTTCAGTGCCGACTTCGTGTCCTACGAGCTGAGGGCGTGCTTTGCGGGTACGTTAACTACAGGTTTCATGCAGTAGAAAAAACACTACACCGGCGCAAAAGGTGTTATTATCGTGTAGCTACGTGCAGCCGGCTTGGAAATTACGCGTGTAACGGCTGTTTGACCTCTGGGTGCGTAAGCACAGCTGCGCATATGTGGTCCGTTGGTGTAACTGTCAGGGCCGGCATTGTGCGATTAATGACGTTTGTCCACGTGTTGAAGTCTAGCTGCCGCTAACGTAATAATTATAAAATATGCCAAACCAGTTATTTTTAACAAGTAAAACAAATTTATTTTGCAGTAATACTTGATAAAATAAGTCTTGCAATACCAAATTGTATTTCAAAAATTGAAAACAAATATTTTTTATGCAAGCTTTGCAGTAACATTTCTTAGAATGTTCTTTTCAAAACCTAGTTACTGCAGTGTTTTTTCTTAGATCTAATGTCCGCAAACTTTAAAATATGAAGCACTTGGTATTATATTATTAGATGTACATACTTAATAAAAAGGATTTGTTAAATGCAGACAAATTTCACAAACTGATTTTTTTTCTGCAGTGGAGTTAATTTGCGAGGCCAAGCGCATGACGGCTCGCATCGACACCAATCGGGTATTCGACGGACTCGTGTATGCCAAGCAGCAGCCCAAAGCCTGTCTGAACGATGTGATCAATTCTACTGAATTTGAATTGAGCATGCCGCTGGACGGCACGCAGTGTAATACGGCCAACAATGGACACGGAAAATATTCCAACTATATCATGATTCAAAATAACGACAAGATCGTCACCTCCAAAGATGTCGGACTCAGTGTATCGTGCGAGTACGACCTTTCCAGTCGGAACGTCACCGGCACTCTTAGTACAAATGGGTAAGCAGTACAAGTGCGCATCAGGTATAAATTTTAGAGCAATTGCAAATCTTATTTATGCATGTACATAATTTTATGTTTAAAACATCACGCTGTACCAGACATGCTCGATTGCTTCTTTGTAAGTGCGTATAGTAGCTTGACTGACATCAGTAACACCTAACATGCATCTACTGTACTGTAGCTGTACTATTTTTCGCAGATAAAGGTGTTTAATAATAATTTTTTTATGATAAGAATATAGTAAACTGTTGAAGCATAAATATTTTCAGTATGATTTACTTTTACCAAAGCATCTGTACTTATAAAAAGTGCGTAATTACATGGTTGTTTTGTTGTATAAATCAGTGCACCAAGCATAACCGAGAACGTCAACTACAAAGTGCCCTCACCCATCGTGCAGATGAGCATTCGTGACCTTAACGGCAATCCAGTCGTGTCGGCCACGGTTGGCGACAAGATCTTTCTGCAGTTCGACTTAGCGGCAGCCGGCTGTACGTGTGCGCAAAAAAGCGCGTTTATACTGTGTATCATTTCGGCCAATTGATCTAATTGGCCATCTCGTTGATTTTATGATCATGCGTTTACGGTTTATCGTCTGTGTAGCTGCGGATATTTACAACATCTTCGTGAAAGACGTCATTGCCGTAGACGGAGCGACTACGGCAGCGGGACGATCCAAGATTAAGATGATTGATTCCAACGGGTAAGAATAAAATTTTATCTGCGAGTATGGAATCAAAATGTTGTTCGCATTTTCAAATTGCATTAATGATACTTTGTAACTTCGAAAGCTAAAATCTGAGACAGCTCTACCAAATCGCTTCGCAATGAATTATTCCATCAACAGTAAAAGAGAAAATGTCTGATTATTTTAGTTTGATTTTCATACGCACGTAATTGTATTTACGGTATTGTAGATGTCCTTCTGATGATATTGTCTTGGGCCCGGTGGAGTCCATCAACGACGGGAAGACCGTGCGTATTCCTATCGAAGCCTTCAAATTTCCCTCCAACGATGAAGTGGAATTCATGGCCATGGTCAAACCCTGCCAACGTCAGTGTGAACCCGCACAGTGCATCGACGAAGCCACGCAGATTGTCTATAACAGCTACGGCCGACGTCGGCGCCGTCGTGACCTCACGACAGACGTCGACACTAGCGACACCGAATGGGTCCGCACCGTTGCTAACAACACTCACGACAACGAATTCCCGAATGTCACTAAAGGGCCGGGAAAAGACAAAGATGTAATGGTCCGTCAACGGATCAATGTCAATGATTTCGCCACCAAAACTAACAAAAATTGTCCGGGCGGGGAGTGTCCCGGAAGTGGTGCGTTATACGCCAGCCTTACAAGTAAGATATCAATAACAATATCGTAGCTTATTGATATTAAGTGCGTCTTATTTTTCATTAAATCTAAATCGGCTTATTTTTCATTAATTTTGTGAGGTGTTTCTGTTTTTTTTGCTGCTGGATAACAATCTACAGTATATTTAATTTGTTCTGTAATCAGTTTTCTTCGTGTGCTTATAGCAGCCGGCAATAGTGGCAAACTGGTCATGGACAGTACCGGCATCGTCTGCATCCACAAACTAGCCATCGCCGTGGGCGCCTCCGTCGTGCTCCTCATCCAGGTCGTTTCAGCCGTGGCACTAGCCTTCATCTGCCAACGCTACCGCACCCAACGCACATCCCGTTTCAAAGCAAGCCTGGACATTTCCGCCCCCGTTAACCACCATCCCAACCCGGCCTCTACGATCACTTCCGGGAAGAGTAGCCGGGTACAGGCGTATCCGGAACGTCAGCAGCGACTGGAGGTCCCGCTCAGCAGCGGCAGCAGTGATGGGCGTAGTGAGGCGGGAACACCCGGATGCTCTTCGGTGGCCGGGTACGAGACTTTCCCACACCAGGACCGGGATCGCGATGAGGGCGGCAGCACGCAGGTGGTGCTCAATAGGAAGAGTATGCATACGGAATTTGACAGTGGTCATTGTGCGTAACTGGACGCATGACCTTTGATGTTAATTATTAGCGTTGTGCTATTGTTTCCCCTTGTTGCCTGTTATAATTTTTATTCCTATTAAGTTTGCTGTTTTCTGGGTTCAGTTTTGTTGTATGGGTGAGATTTCGCGATCTGCTAAACATTAGATTTGCAGCGGATGACGTTCATGATTATCAAAAGCTTTTTTGCCGACAAAATTCTTTGTACTGTACTGGACTAAAGAAATATTTCGCTCCATTGAATTTAAAAAACGAAAAGATAATAAAATAACTGCAGACCCTGAAAAGTGACACAAAAATTAAATTGGCTTATCTTACCATGTCAAAATAACAATACTCGACAATACATAATCGAAATGCAGCCTTTACAAGTTATAGCAGAACACAGGCACGACATATTGCAGAAAGCACAGAAACATTACGTCGTTCTTTTGTTTCCCGGAGTTGTGTGTAAAGGCTGCCTCATAGTTCACCGAAAACGGCAGTTTCGACTAAAAGGTGTCCAAATTTCGAATAACTATGAGGACACCATTCCCCGACTCTCCGTCCCATTTTTACGGATGACTATGAGGGGGCATGATCGTGTTGAAACCGAAACGTCGAAATTCGTGGTTTCGACGACTTCGGTGTAGGAGAGGATGGCTCCTCCCTAATACAGTCTCCGTTTTTTTTCGCCCAATCATACGTTGGCCCAAGCGGCCACTGCCCAGTGTGCCCACCTGGACGCCCCGATTATTAATGCACTTATATATCATGTACCTATACATATAGATATGTACTAATTATTACTTAAATGATAAATGCACTCTTACACAACCCCCTTTTTGTTAAACAGACATTTTAATTACTAAAATAATTACATCTGTACGTACAGTACATTTTTCCATATATTGTAAGTTTGTACTTTGTAGTACATATTATACATGGTTTTCCATCTGTGAGCCGTTTGGAAAGTTTACGTAAGTTTAACATCGGCTTATTAAATTGTAGCAAAATGCCTCGTCAAACATTAGCAGTATAAAAAAATTAATACCGAATAACTCGGAATTCAGAGCAGCTGTGTGAAACACTGCAAGGCATTTTGGGATAATAATAAATATGGAAAGCTACTAATGAGGTATCTTGTGCCAAAAAATTACCGTGAGTGGGTAGATTGCCAAACTGAAAGTTTATGAAAAATTTAGTTTCTCAGATTTGACAAATTATACAGTATAAAGTGCATAATTACTTGTTACCAAATAATACGTACGATAATACTCGGCTTGCCATAAGCCTAATGCCGGCTTGCCATAATGCAGCCTTCAACCGCCCTGGGCGGTGACTTCCAACCGTTGCAACGGGCGGTTGCCTACTTCCTGTCAAACGAATATAGCCGAAGCACGGACAACTATGAGGAACACAACTTTCGGACACAACGACGGGACGGGAAGTCGGAGTGACCGTGTCGTGGGAAATCCGTGACCACGGAAACTCCGTCAGTACCGTCCCGTCGAGAAACTTTTTCTCCGTCTCAGAAAACGGTTGACTATGGGGCCGCCTTAACTGTGGTTTTGGATTTTTGAAATACTGTATACACCCTAATCGACCGAAGCGAAGGTATTCTATGTCAAGAAAACAGAAATTCTGTCGGTCACGTCAGTCATGTCGGTCACGCAAAAATAATTTTATGTGAAATATTGGACAACACACCCAAAAATGTTAAAGTATCTTTAAACAGGTTAAGCAAACTCAGCAAAACAGTTTGTTAAACTTGGCTTCCCGCTTTGCTTCGGTCTTTTAGTGCAAGCCAACAGCGGTGCACTTTCCTAGTAATAATTACTATCTGTCCCAGACTTCAGGGCTATCGTTATCCTTGTACGCACCGTACTAAGTCCAAAATTATGTCGTATTTTTCATGAAATTTAAGTTCGCTGACGGCTGACCCTATCTACTCTTTTTACAGCAGTACCAATATCTTTCAAAAAATTTTTTTCATGGTTTCAGGCTGAGGCACTGATTCCGACGCTGTTCTTGTCAACTGAAAAATCGTTGAGAAGATACTGTCATATTTTTATCTCAAGCCAGCGCCAACCCTACCACAAACGTCAAGTACAGCAAAATTCAGCGATTTCCACGATCTATCACAAAAATATCAGCAGAAATAAGCCACAAAAACAGTTCGATCCGAGCTGAAACGTTATTTAGAAAGTCCCCTCAAGAAAGAATCAGCCGTTCTTAACGGCAACCAGTGCATACACCACCGCATCGCTAGCCCACCACCGCCACTCGTTGGTCAACGGATTATAAGCCATGCCCTGCGTCAAGCGCACATCCATGCCGCGCTTCTCCAGGTTCCGCTGCAGCTCTTCCACCCGCACAAATTTCCCCCACTGGTGGGTGCCACGCGGGATGAAGCGGCAGACGTACTCCCCGGCCACGATTGCCAAAGCGAAAGATGCCAGTGTGCGGTTGATGGTGGTGAAGACGACGATGCCACCAGGGCGGATGAGGGTGCAGACGCCGTCCAGGAAGGAGTTACTGTCCGCCACATGCTCAATCACTTCCGAGCACACGACCATGTCGAATGCAGCGGGGTGGAGGACGGCGAAGGATTCCACGGTGGTGCACTGGTAAGACAGACTGCCAGGAATGGCCTACCGAGAAAAAGGAAGCCGTCAACTGCTTCTATCACAAGCGTTCTGAGCAAGCATTTGACCTCCCAAGTACTTACACTACTTCAACTTACACTTACACTTCAACTTACACTTCAACTTTTCTTAATGTACCCTAAAAGTCATTAGGCAGATTTAAATCATTCCTTGTTCAGTTGTTCCTCACTTATTTAAGGTAAGGAATAATATGAAAGTTATGTATGACCACAGAATAAACCACTCCGGTCCACTCGACTGCAGACGTAACCAAAGCTTTGCACACTTACCTCCTTAATATGTTTATTGCCAACCGCAGCAAATATGGAATAATTATTAGCTTCTGAACGAATAATAAAGCTAATAATCAACATCAATACTTTATGGTTAAATTTCCCAGTAGTCAATAAATTTAATCGCTTCAGATAAATTCATAGATGGCACGTCTTGTTGAGTGTTTTACATAATAAAACACTCGACACATGTGTTGTTTAATATTTATATTATTTTTAAAGCGGTGAAAACCACAGAAATCTTCTTCCTGGGCAATGGACATCGCCATATCGACAATTAACAAAACCACTTACACTACATTTAACACATGTACGGTAACACACACGCAAACAGCACCATCAAAATAACCAACATTTAATTTTTCAGCCAGCCATACTTCAAAATTTCAAATCATTTATGGAACCCACCTGCTTCCCACACAGTGCCTCCTCTACAGTATCCGCCCCTTTCCTTCTGCGCTGCTCCCAGTGCTGGCGCGCCGTCTGCACATTCTCCTCCACCACATCAATCCCGGTGACCTCCCCGCCCAACCGCACCAATGCCTCACTGAGGATGCCCCCGCCACAGCCCACATCGAGAATGCGGGTGTTCTGCAGAGGATAGGGGGCGTTGTGGAGATCCTTCTGGGCGGCCGGTTGGCCCCGGAAATGGTGAGCGATGCGGGCGTCGCGAATCAGCGGCACACGTAGCGCGTTCATGGCGTGCAGGGCCGGCATGGCCCGCGGCTGCCACCAGCTGCCGGCCAGACTGCGGAATAACGACTGATCGCGAGGGTCGGTCGAGGCCGAGGACGTTGCAGGGGCCGTCCTCGGCATCGGGGGAGGGGTCGTCGTGGTGGTGGTGAGGTGGCGAGGTGTGTCGTGCCATCCCGTTACTCCTGATATGCAGCGGAAATATATTATGAACTAATCCAAGTATTTTATTAAAGATTTAAATGTCGGAAATTTTATATTTTCTTTACTATTTATTACAACCGGTAAACTATGGCGCAGAGCATATGATTAACTTTGCTCGAGCTACCTATGTATGTATTCACTTTATATTCATTAACATCTTCTAAATGTAATCATCTAAGCACAAACAACAGAAACCAGCACTTCACGAAAATAATATTCAATTCAAGCGCACAGTTTAGCTGCACAATTCCTGAAAGCCTTACAGCGAAAAAAAATCCGACAAGTTAAAAAAGTAAGCTCTCATGCTATTCTACGGCAACTCGTATCACTTTATGTCTTACTCTTGTAGGATTTTATATTTCGTTCTCTATGTAGTGCAGCACTTACGTAGCCGCCTAAGGATGCGAAAACCGCTGAGCGGGATGTTATCCATTCTGAAAAAAAACGTAATAGTTACTTTGTCTTCGTGGAAGTAATAGTTAACAGACTTAATAGCAGAAATGGATAAGTGATTAGTATTACTAATAAGTCCTTACTTTCAGCAGGGAAGAAAAGCCACTTCTGACTTGCGACACTTCTTAATGAAGGCAAGATCCCAGGTATGACTCGTCAAGACGAGCCACTGGGTTCGCGCTGGTATTACGGGTATGTTGTTAACCTATTCACACTGCACAATGCCTTATCACACAGCCATAGGCCCACAGATGGCACAGAATCTGCATACGAGTACCTAATGAATGTTTGGAGTCCTGTAGCTGCACCGATCTTTCGGGATTCTTTCCGTATTTGCTAGTGTACTCGTATCTTCCGTAGTCGCGCTTCACATCAAACAACTCATTCAAACACACGCCAATCCCAGAACCCAGTAGGATCAATCGATTACGGGTTGAAAAACCACAATAGGTATGTCATCAGTCCGAAGCGTGCAATCCGCAAGCGGCAAGACTAAAATTACTGTAATATAACAGCCTATGAACACATACTACTGTACATCACGCTACGGCCATTTCGCAGTGCTCAGCTCAAATCTCACAAAATCTGTGCTATGCAGGATGCACCTAATTGACACTAATAACGATAAGATCTAAATCAAACCGCAAATAACTGAAGAAAAATAAATTAAGTATAAACAAGATAATCCAGATAGATAAATAAGATAATCCAGTTGGAGGAGAATTCAGAAAACTCAGAAATGCATAAGAATCATGACACGAAGATGAGAGATGCAAATATGTAGTTGGTAACTGCCGCCGCGACTTGAAGCGCAGGCCTTCCGGGGGGCGGTTTTGTTGCTAAACTTTAATTTTTTTTTCTGCCTACGCTTTTTGCTTTGTAATTATATTTCAGATTGGCGGTACAGCGCAATTGTACAAAACAGCCACAAGTTTTCTATTAAAGTAAAAGATCTTTAATACCGATTTTAATAGCACATAATTATACCGTATAGAGCTATAGGACTACCGTTCATACAGAGATAGTTCTATAATGTACCTACACCGCTGCTTTTAAACATACTTATTGTTAATTTTTTGTTGACGCCGTAAACTTATACGTTGGAACCGTCCATAGCTGCAAACTCGGTAATATGATTATCGTAAAAAGCCGATTGTCATACTGGATTCGCTCTTTAATTTTGCGGTACGGCTGTGCCCATAACAACCTTTCGTCCGAAAGATAATCTAGTTTTCAAGTTTGATATTGTTGTTACTTCTGAACAAAGCACGTTTTTTGTGCGTTAACATGATAATAGGAGAATAATTTTGCGATGGCACAGATGACTTATATAAATCTGTAGCCGCTAAGCAATGCTTACAAGCTTGTCCAAAAAGTCGGATTTCGACAGAATTTTTGCTTGTTTGTTATCGACAGAAGAATTGTACAAGTATTCTGTCTAGCACAACAATTAATGACGGGATATTGTATCTCGCGCGTTAGAACGAAATCTATAAAGAGCCTGGATCTACCACGCTGCTGGAGAAAAATGTAATGAAGTGTTGCACTCTAACTTTAAAAGCCAATATACCATGACCTCCGGGTAAATGGCTGCTCGCCAAATACTCTGCTCTCCATGGACGTCCGGCTGCAATGGGTGTGCGCTCTAATTCGCCCTTTCGAAAATGGATGCCGCAGTCTGGTCGTCACCCGCGGCGTCGTTCGGTGTCTACTGCATCACGCAAGGAACGTCGAGAGTATCAGTATTCCCCGCTCAAAAATGAGGTTAGCGGCAGCAGCGGTTGGCTCCTACTAACAGCATCTCTTCGATAGTAATTCACGCAGCTCTATAGAGCATTTGCTGCAGGAATTTGTCGACCCCAGTCCTTCGCAAGCGACGGTAGCGTCACGTTGGCTGTACACGAATGAAGGGAAGGCCTGGGTCACGGCAAAGCCCCCCGCTGACAAGAAGAGCGTCGTGCAGCAGGTCAATGTGGACGTCAGCACTATGGACACGGAGTCGCTCATGGACAATGATCGAGCGCGTGCCACATATTTCAACGACGGACAGCGACCCATTGGTACGTTAGTGGTTTTGGAATAAAGCTTTTGAAAAAATATTTAAATCAACTGTACGTAGATTTCGTTCTGGTTTATGAAATCAAACGACACCATCTTGAAGCTCTGAATCCGTATCAAATTGATAAGCGTGAACGGTTTCTGCGAGGGGTGGAAGAAACTGGTATGCAACTGGAAAAAGTATGTGGCACGTATGTGACCTTTACTAATCAATGCAGTGTATTGGTGCATAACCTAGCAAAATTAATTTTTTGGTATAGATGCATGCAGTGCAATACTGTGCATGGCTGAGCCAAGGTGTACCCCTATCCACCTTGGCTGAGCCATGCAGCCACCATGAGCCATGTTGGCTCATGATGGATCATGGCTGGATATAGCTGCTGTTGAATTTGTTTAGTTACCATATTCACACATTGATTAGACGTTGCTTCAATTTATGACGTTGCATTATGAATTTCCAGATGAAAGCCATGCAAAAAGCAGGTCACATATCCACCTTTGTGAAAATCCATTGTCCCTGGGACATACTGCAGGATTGGGCAGAAAAGCTTAGGATCCCGGCTCCGCTACAAGTGGGTGATGACAGCGGCATGAGGGTCATTGCCCATTGCCATTGTTACGCTTACACTATCCGTAAGGCGTAATGAATATCGGGTTTTAGCCACTTTAATAATACTCAGCTAAGAACTAACAAATAACAAGTAAACATGAGCTTATATAACGGCCTAAGCCGGAAATAACAGGACATCCAGGGAAACGACCTAATATCAGACAATCACTCATTGTCAGTACATCTGGCTCACAAGGGCATGAGAAAGGCAAAAACATGGACTATGACCATAGGATAAACGCACACATGACCATAGGTACATGACCATAGGGAAAAACATATATGACCATAGGTTACATTACTACATGAGTAATCCGGTTATGTAACACCATTTGCACCACTATTATTACTGAAAGCCCAGTCGGTCATACAGCTGCAATTTCATTAGGAAGCTCCTGGTATAGTGGAAAACTGGTCTCAGAAAGTGTTGCAGTTTCTGAAAATCCCCTCCGATTGGAACATAATGGCCCGCGAAGTACCCCACCTGCCTGTACATTATTATACTGCCCAGTTCCGTGCTGATCGGCTACAACAGTAAGTAGGTGGTCAGTGCCATCTGCCACGTGCCACTCAGCCAATCAGCACCAACCAACAGGCCATGGGACATTAATGTACAGTTACGTTTTCAAGGACGATCCAACCAAGTTGTTCAGCCGTTCCCAGCGCAGTTATATCGTCAGCGAGATCCTGCAGACCGTTGTGTATGGGGATGAGCGGAAGGGGCAGATGGGGTTGCCGCGGTTGTTGTCAGAAGGCGTGTTTCAAGCGGCTTTTCCCTTACACGATGTAAGGTGATTTGGACCAGGTTTCTGTTGCAAAAATGTCACAAGTTTATAGACTTCGATAGATTTACGTCTGTTCTGATGCCCTCCACAGGGACCGCTAGATGCCGAGCTGACAGCAAGGAGACGAAATGCCCACTCAAATCAGAGGCAAATTTTACGCGATCACTGGGCTGATTTTAAGTGCTTCTTCCGCTATCAACCCATTGGACACATTCGGAGTTACTTTGGTGAACAGATTACGTTGTACTTCGCGTGGCTTGGTAAGCAAGTGCACGCTTCGGTAGCTTAACAAATACTAATTACGAGTAAAGTGTTCCTGGAATTACGAACATACGATTTCGCCTGGATGAAAAAATAACATTGCCCTTAAATATATATAAAAGATAAAATGCTGACCGACAAACGGTTAAATATATTAACGTGAATTAATCCAATAAACTATTTTATATCGTTGCTTGCTTTTTGTGGTGCCAGTTCGACCTCGTGCCCATAACGCACTAGCTGTAGTACATCGGTTGGCAATTTCACGCAGGCGAGATTTGCAACAGTTACATACACATTTTCGTATCTAATTCATCATTATTTGTGGAAAGGTTTGTACACGGGCTGGCTGATACCCTTGGCGCTAGTGGGCATTGCTGCCTTCCTTTACGGTATTGTCACTATTCCCGAGGACCCCATCGTCCAAGAAGTATGCAACAAAGGTGAACACTACCGCATGTGCCCGGTGTGCGACAATTGTCCATACTGGCAGCTTAAAGAAGCCTGCGGCGGAAAGAAGATTGGCTACCTTTTCGACAACTACGGGACCTGTGTGCACGCCTTCTTCATCTCACTTTGGTGTAGGTCAAACGCGTCGTGACCTTTGGAGAGTGCCATTTTCAGCCGTTTTTTATTGAATTTTAGCGGTTATGTTGGTAGAGTTCTGGAAGCGGAAGAACGCTGAGCTGACACACTTTTTCGACTGCGATGACCTGCAAGAAGAGATCGAGCACCCGCGGGCGGCGTTTACGCGGTTTGCGCCCATGATGAAACGAAATGTGGTCACCGGGCAGTTGGAACCGTTTGTACCGCGAACGACATTGATACTGCGCAGGCTAACCAGTTGGATTGCTAGCATATCTTTCGTAAGCCGTTTACTGAATCAACAAAACATTATTTATTCTGGAAACAACCGTTGAATTGGAATATTTAGGTCCTACTCATATTTCTGGTGACCTTTGGTGTCATTCTAATACGGACACAATTACGGGCGGAACTTATAAGGAAGTATGGCTTAAGCAGCCTCCATGCGAAAATTGCCGGACCAGTAGCAACGTTGGTCAATCTGGCGACGATTTTAGCGCTGAATTACGTCTACGTTTATATCGCGGCGAAATTAACCGAATGGGGTACATTATTGTCAGTTACAGCCGACCTTATCTTTTTGAAATATTATATTCTGATTTTATATTAAACTTTCTTGAAACAGAGATGTACCGAACACAGCGAGAGCACGAAGAAAGTCTAGCTTGGAAAGCCTATTGGTTCCAGTTCGTAAACGTTTTCGCCCCTATGTTCTATCTGGCTTTTGTCAAAGGCCGCTTCATCGGCTCACCCGGTCACTATCGCCGCGTGGCCGGGATGATGCTGGAGACTTGCGATATCGGAGGGTGTTTTGCCGAACTGGGAGTACAGCTGATCATTACGATGTGCGGCAAGCAGATTATCTGCAATATTGCGGAATACGTTTATCCGTAAGTTAATACAGTGCATACGGTATCGAAGAAGTTAGCAAGCGCTAGGCTGAATTGGGAACAATTTGTTTCAAACAAATTGATTTCTTAGAATGCTTCAACGTACGGTGAAGATCCGCCGCGGCCGCATTCTTTCCACTACGGAATTGAATGCCACGTTTCTGGATCAGCAGTACAAGTTGCTGCCGTATATGGGTTTAACTGGCGAATATATGGAAACAGGTTAGGAACCCATTCGCAGAGTGCATGACCGCAAAATTTAATCTAGCGAATACTGCAGTAATTCAGTTTGGATTTATCGTTCTGTTCGGAGCCGCATTTCCTTTGGGTGCTCTCGTGTCGCTCTTGAGCAACATATTCGAAATCCGACTTGACGCTCACAAGCTCATTGTCAACTGCCGGCGACCTTTGGCACTGCGAGCCCGGTCGATTGGTATTTGGTTACATGTACTGCGTTGGATGACGGTTTTATCGGTAATGCATTATCGGTTAAAAGATGGTAGATGGCGCTTGCTGTAGAAAGGGTATTAAATTAAATTTTTTCTTTAAACAGGTGTGGGTCAATGTAAGCGCTGACTATGGACCTAATGTACTGCTGAATTTCCGCTGGTAATGTGCGATCTTGTTCCAGGCTTTCCTAATCGCATTCACCTCGGATACGCTAGCGGAGACTTTGTACGCCATAGAGCATAAGGGCTCCATGGTTGGATACATTAATCACTCACTGGCCATCACGCCGGTCGGCGTGGGACCTGAGCGATGTCGGTAAGAAAGAACGCACAATGCGTTTTAAAAACATTGACTGTATACATGACCTTTTCGTAGCATGCGCATTATGCGTCCAGAGTTGAATCGAATTCTGAGATAATCGTAGATAGCTATTTTCTGGTGAATAGTAAAATTAACATGAACCTGTTAAGTTTTGGTGGTTTATACTTTATAGATACGAAAGTTTCCGCAATATCCAGGGGGATTTCAATAAATTCTACTACGAACTGACTGTCCTGCGATTATCGTTCGTCCTGATTTACGTGGTGGGGTCGCATTTCGTTTTGTTACGATATTGTGTATTTTGTAAACGCTTTCTATAGGCTACAGTATATGGAATATGCACTATCATTTCTTACATGATCCCCGACATTCCCAAGCATGTTCTTGATGCACGGAAGCGCCGGCGGTTTCTTGCGGATCAAGCACTGCAGAGTACACCGGCAGCGGCAAACGAGGCGTATCAGCGTGTAAAGGCATCCATTCAGGAGAACCCCATGAGGATTAAACCATTGAAGCATCAGTCCAAATTCAAAATGAAAGCAAAAAACTATTATGATGACAAAGCGCGCAAAGCACGCCAATAAAATTGGGCTCACTTGATACTTATTTTTATGGTTTTATGAGTGTACTTTCTTGAACTGGAAAAATATCTGCTGGTTCCTTGAATTCGCTTCAGAAGTTAATCGTATTAATTTTTTCTAGTGTTTTAATAGAATTTTTGTACTCACGTATGCATAAATACAAATTACTGTACACGAAAACCAAACCGGTCCACATCAATGATAGATAGATACTTAATACAGAAATTCCACGGGTCGTTCATATGTACACTGAACAAGTACAGACTTGGTACAAAGAGATCGAAATCGGTCTCTGCTGCCGATCAACAGTATAGGATTATTTACAGCCCGAAAGGGAAGAGCTCCGGGAGATTTTCCTCTTCCAGACCCGGCTTTCGAGCTTTATCATCAAGAGCCAGCAGCGTTGGTTTTATCCTAAAGAAGCCGTATGTCACATACTGTACCTATATATGCCCTTCGTTCTCGGTGGAAAGTTATGCTTCTGAACTAGTACCACAGCGCTTACAATTATATTACGAGAGGAGAGCCATGTTTTCTTTGAACGGAATGACCAAAGTATGCAACTAACTACCGTACTAAAACTTATAAGTTATGTTATAGATATTTAAGAAAATACAGTTTCACAATATGAATAACGGCGTCGAACTGCTCGCTTAAATAGGCTTCAAAGAAGTGCGAATAACGCTCTGTTTCCGGCCGATAAATTACTGCAAAAAGATAAGACGCGTGTAAGTATAATTAACCGGTGAAATCATTCAGGTCGTCCCGTACCGCCAATAGCACGCTCCAGTGGAAAACTAAAACAAAAATAAACGATGCTGAAACAAAATCGCGCCTTAGACCGTTATACAACGGAAGCTCCCACCTAGTGATCGGAACACTCTTAAAATCTTTGTTATCCGGCAGTTTAGGAAAGGGATGGGCGCCCGTCGCCGCCTTTTTCGGCTTCTTGTCGTCGGATATCTTCTTAAAGATGGTGAGGAAATTGTGAATGTTGTGTTCCATTGCTACTTCATGGAAGAACTTTTCATAAGATCCATCCATGGCGTTGTTCACAGTTTTCTTCTCAATACGCTTCTGGCCCCAATCCGACGCACAAGTTACTTCGCCGTTGTAAGTGCTGTTGAAAAGAATCGCTTTAACTACTACCTGTGTAATTCCTGAACCCATTTATAAATCAAAAGTACATTCAATCATTTCAATGTAAAGCCCTTCTTAGATTCACACTTTTTTCTATTTTGGTTCTGTCATGTTACTACATCATGCCATTATTAAAAGGAGAAGTAACAACAGACGGGCTCTCGTCAACTTCTAACCTAAATCCAATGTTATAGACGTTGTTGTCGCCCCATTTTTCCCGGCACAACTGTCCGATATTATGTTCCTTTCGTCGACGCCCCATCTCCGTAAAGCGAGCATCGCCTGAACAGCCAGCAAATGTTGACACCGTTGAGTTACGCACAGGCCACAGCGGCAGAACATCTCCCAGGTTTAATACAGCGATTTTTAAACGCTACATCAACCTCCATGTACATGACTTACCCAAGTGACTGTTATGAGCCTGCAAAATAAAAGCAAAACTGTGATACAAAAGATGTGGTTCCCTAAAGGCTTAAATAAGCAGTTTTACGACACGAGAGCTAATTTATCACGACTTTTATTTTTACAAAGTAAGCAACATAATACGTAGTAGCCAAAATCCCGGCGCTGATGATGCCCAGTAACACCAACGCTTACGATACCCAGCAACGTACCCATACTACCACTTTGGCGGGGCGGCCAAGCACCTCGGTTTTCCAGTGCATTAAGCGCTCTAACGCTGCCACCATGCATGAATCACTGGAATAGGGAAGAGCTGGTAAGTTTTTATGGGAACCGTGTAGACATGCTAATTTAGATTACTAAACTTTTGTAATTTTTGTTCTGACCCAAATTTTTTCTGTACAGTTCACACATCTACTTAACAATAAGAATCAGTCGAAGGCCGATTGGGGCATCACGCGCACGCGCGAGGAAACTCATCAAACCTATGGCGCTTACCGGACATTCCAGCTGGTCGCGTCCGCATCCATCATGACACGATAATACTGAAATCACCACTGCCTTAAAAGCAATGAAAGTTATTATGAATATTTCAATCAAACGAACCCGTTCCGCGCCTTCCACAACGGCAGCATTCATCAAACAGCCGAATAATTCACTCTCCATTTCCAGTCCATCTTTCGTCTTTTGCAGATACTCTTCCGTGTGCTCTTTGAGAGCCTTTAGCACATTCATCGCTTCCTTTTCGCAGGTCTAAAATATGTACGTACATGCTCAGTCAGTCCTTTATATCAAGAAACATGGCACATACATGTTCTCTAATTATTTATAAAACACACAGCCATTCCGAAGATGTACGTCATCTTTAATTCCATTAGACCAGCTTTAACAGATACCGTGTTTTCTTTTCTGACCGCTAGCGATCTATCGATACATTTTTCTCATCATAAAGAAAGCTACTATCAATGTACAAATAGGTTTCATATGTTTGCGCGGTGTCATACGCAAATACATCAATTCCTTAACGAAATTGGACGACGCTACAGTCGCACCGATTACTTAAGTATGCATAAGAGTATAGCATTTCCTTTACAGTTCCTTTCGACAATTACAGTCGCACCGATTACTTAAGTATGCATAAGAGTATAGCATTTCCTTTTTTTGTAGCACTCATTACATCGCAGCGTTGCACCTATAATGTCTACTGTCTAGTAAACTGAAAAAAGTCAGAAAATCAAAATAATACCCGCAAACGCGCTGAAAATACAGAGCTGGACATTAAAAGATCACTTACAGAGGTCAGATTGTAGCGTGCCGCGAAGGCGTACATCGTGGTGTCATCGCCGAACTTCTCAAAGCACTCATACTGATCCCGTGCTGCCTTGGCTGCTTTGGGATCCACGCGCTCCAGGTACTCGATGACGGCGTCGGCCGAACGGTGTAACGAATAAACATCCAGGCCACATAAAACGGACTTCTCCTTGTCACCTCCGCTCTTTCCTACCCGGTCGTTGTGATGGCGCAGCCATTCAACAAAATTCAGCATGACGTAGTTCCGCCACATCCACAGCTAAAAATATCAAATTAGTAATTTATGCGCTGATTACTTACTAGCATTATGGGGCAAAAATAAAAGCCGACTGGAAACACAACTTGAAAGTTCCTGCTATTTTCATAAACGTTTTGCGCTAAATTGTGCAATGCAGAGCGCTGCGTGAAATACTGGCAAAACACTAACTCTAAAAACATTATGACCGACGACATATTCATACTTAATATTTTTTTGGCAGACAGCGTATTACCGGGAAGCGGTTGTACTCTTCCAGTGCTTCACGAGCAGATTTCGGAGCATTCGTCTGCTTGTTCAATTGCTGAACATAGCGATTAACAGTGAACGTGTCCGGAAAATCTCCTTCGACCGCTGCAATCACAAAACATGCCTAAAACTAGTCAGTTGTCAGCCTATCGCCAGAATGGCAGGATTAATGTGGTGTTTGGATAGATGGAACAAACGTAATGAAGAAGAAACAAAACGGAGCACAGCAATAAAGAAGCAAAATAAAAGATGCGTTAATGAACCTTCAAAATTCGATAGCGAATAACTCGCGTTTTCGTTCTTTATCAATTTCATTGACAAAAACCACACAAATTTGTGTTAAACCCCGAGCAAATAACACTTTGCAGGGAATTCCGGAAATAAACACAGAGCCGCACTCACCAATGCATGTGAAATCCTTCTCCTCAATCAGACGTTTCGTAATCAAAGCCCGCTCACGATAAAATTCTAAAACGCCACGCACGTTGTAATCGGCATTCACAGGCGAAAATCACCACTCTTGATATTCTTGGCATTTCTTGCACTTGTGTTGATTACTGTACTCACCATGCGTTCCATGGCTGGCTTCGCCTGCAATGAAAACATCAAAATATAATTTTAATAGATAGAAACGTAAGCCAGTAGTCTTTTTATTTTTTTAACAATAAAGCACAAAGCAAACTTGGTTCGTTTTGTTAGTTCGCATTGTTAATTGAAGCACCAAAATAATAATAATAATACTGTTTCGATAAAAACTTGGGAAAATTGCATTAAAACGGAAGTGCTTTACCGATAAGCACGACACGGGCACTGCCAATGGCTTCCATTAACTCGTCGTAATCCCGCTTTCTTGGGAATGAGATGCAGCGGAACAGAGTGGCGCGCGATCTCATCGCGGCTGGCTTTGTTGAAGATATCGATGGCCATTTCGCGATTCTTGCTCTTGGATCCTGGTGAGACAGCAGCTGCCGTGGATAAGGATGCTTCGGCGATGCGCGAGCAAAAACGTTTCAACGACATCCAAAAATGTCTTGGCTTCCTCCCAATCCAACAAAAATTCTGTGTAAGAATAAAGATGCAAGTCCAAATTACAGCACTGAATAGGTAAAAGAACGATCAACTAGTTTGAGTTACAAATGGATCAACTGCACAGATGCAAAAAGGACTGATTGGAAATTTCCATACTGTGTTGTCAGCTTGCCAATCAGCTGTGGTTGCGGGCAGCCAACGCACTGCTGTTTGTAAAATGTAAAATAAAATGCTTGTCGGCCAGAGGTAACGTAACGCCGACCGATATGGGCGGTTGCAATGAAGACTCCTTATTGTTAGCGTTTCCGTTTGTTCAACGTGCTTTTGTAATTTAATCAAGTAATTATGTATTTAGGTGTCTTAGGGTTTAAAACAACGGTACGTCTTGATTACCAGTAAGTATAAATACCTTACTCAGACGCACTGTACAATCTAGTGAACGAACACAATATTACGGATCCAAAGACTGGATTTCAACCTTTCGCAAGATCAGAATTTTCTATTCACTCAAAATAAATTTCAGGCGCAAGTGAGAAATGATTCCAATCTGCAGCGTATCAATAAAAAACCTTGAAGTGCAAGGAACGGATCACACGACTGTACGGATCGTTAACGCCCTTAGACCGGGAAAATACCAGTATAAAAAACATAAAAAATGCTAAGCGGATTCTGAAGGTTTAGAATTGAACTTTTGTGTAGGCTGGTTAAAGGGATTGTCGGGGGATTTCTGCCATTCTTTTTTCAGCATTTGTTTCAGCTGGGAAAGGCGAAAATCGGGGTACTCTTTCTTCAAGCGCGCCATCTCGCGCTCCTCAAAGGCCAGATAGGCCGCTTTCATTCGACGCTCGGGATGCTTCTCCATATCCGCCGCCGCATCTTTCACGCTAAACACCAAAAAAGGGCAAATGAACAATAAAATATCAACAACCGCAGAGCAAGTGCATACTATACTCTACGAACTACGTGTGCTATTTTTAATTTTCATCACTGCAGTTTACGTTCTTGCCGTACAACGATCAAGTATTAGTATTATAAAGGCTGGGACGTAAATAATATGATAGCTATCGTTAAAATACATAAACGCGTTTCATGAATTGCACATACCGAAGTACGTATATTTTGCTTTATACCACAGTACACAGCGACTGTAAAAGCTTACCGATTGTACTCGTAAAGTATCCGACCAAAGAAAAAAGCAACCATAAGAAAAATTCGACAATACCGACAAAGTAAGTATCACTTTGCTGTTTGCAAATCGTTAACATTGAAGGGACATTATATCTACATTATTCTACAGTAAATGTATAAATATATGCACAAGAGCAACGCACCTGAGCACGGCCAAAGCTTCGTCAACATTTCTCGCGTGGTGGCCCTCGCCAATTTCTCGATTCAGATTCTCATGGAGAACGTCTTCGGTTTGCGCGATCAGTGATTTGTCTTTTGGGGCTTGGGCAGCTGAAAATAACTGCCGTCTGTTACATCTGTCAAGGTACTGAGGAAGAAAATATCGCCCAAAGAGGAATTATTAGAATATTTTAAAACGTAGAGTGAGCGTAACGTAGAGATGCAACGCCTATTTCCTTGCATAATTCAAAATTTTACAAAATGCAAAAACGTCATCCGTATCCATCCATACAAGAGCAAATCTTTGACACCCTTCACCACCGGCCATACAAAAGCGCGCCTTGCAATATTCAAAAATGAACCAGTATTTCCACAAAATAGATACAGTACTTAGTACTTAAATAACCTAATTCCAGTCATAGCCAAAAGTCTAGGCAGCTTACAATTAGTTGTCCGTAAGACTTGTTATTCTTTTGGCAAAGTGTTTCCGCAGTCATTAGAAAGTAAATACGCTTCGTACAGTATTTAAATACTTCGTACAGTATTTAAATAATTCGTACAGTATTTAAATTTGAAGTCTGTAAGTGCCCAGCTCTATATACCTATCTTAGCTTCGAGATCCTGTCGAGCTTGGACATGTGCGTCGATCTGAGCGCGCGTCACTTTGACAGGAGCGGGTTTCGCTCCCTTCAATGCACTTGTCTCCTCTTCCAGCAGCTTCTCTCGCTCCAACTTCTTCTGCAGAGTCTCCTGCTGCTTACGTTCCTTCTCATCCTGCAACAGAGTTGCAATTACATATTGTAATCACTTAATTAACATCAAGAGCGAACTCATTTCAAATTTCTTTATAATCCTGCCATTCAATCATCAACCAGGGTATTGTCACCTTGCGTTCCAGTTTGCGCTGAACGTGCTTATCGTTATCTTCCCATAATTTATCTTCATCTTCCTTTTCCTTGCGCGCTTTAGCCTCCTGTTTTACGGCATCCTGTCGAGCGCGGGCTTCGGCTGCTTTGGAATTCTCACCGTGAAATTTCTTGGGCATTCCTCAGACTGGCCAGAAAATACAATACACGAGGCCAGGACCAGTAAGGTATATAATTATATAAATAAGCAGACCAGGAGTTACTAGTAGATGAGTATGGCAGATCAACCAAGAAGAACTGCGAGAGTTTTTAGCGAAGATTATGAAGAAAGGACACTGCTAATAGAATCCAAAATCAAAGAAACTGGGAAAAGTAAGGGAAACCTTCAGCCTCAAGTCACTCCAAAATGAAAACACTTTTTTCCGTTTCATTTTTCCGACTGTCAAGTTGTCAACACAAATTTTCGACACAATCATGAGCATTGCACGCACTCACGAAATGCGCATTTATGCACGATGCGCCGCGATTGCGTCAGAATGCTGTCAAAGGAAAACCGTATAGGAAATTTTAGGATCAAATTTAAATCACTTAACGTTGGACCAGTCACAGTCGTGGATTGGTTTGTAATCTAATAATGGTTTGTAATCTAGAGCTAGCTTGGTGTTTTTTGTCGTTGTAGTAAATTTGACCATGTGAGTTAATTTGCTAAATTCCCACAGTCCCTACAAATTTTCTTTGCTATTGAATTAAGTACGTGGCATTGCGATTTGCGATCAAAATAAATCATTATGGACGATTCGGTGCCTGATTTGGAAGTTGTGGATGGCATGGACCAGTTAACGCTGGACCATTCTTCGCATCGGCCTTTCCAGCCGAACAGCGCCGAAAACCTCTCCAACAACAGCGATGATGACGGTAAGGGTTTTATTTTTCCTGGCGTGTTTTAATTATTAAGTAGCATGCTAAAGCTTGTAGATCATAATTCATAAAAATTGTTAAAAAAATTCATAAAAACAGGTTTTTAAAGTTTTCAGTGGCTTTTTTTTAGTCCAGCATGCGCATGCAAAAAGTTCTGCCCAAGAAATTGTTTCGATAAGATAGAATGAAATAAACTTGTCTTGAGTGCCTGTTTGACGATTGGTAGACGACATGGAAGAGGATTACGAAGAGCCGGAGATGGTCCAGTCGGAGCCGGTCTCCTGCTTCTTCTGCCTTTTATCCGACACGCCGGAAACGATTCTCGCTCACTGTTTGGAGAAACACAATTGTGATTTCCGGGGGTTCGCTAGAAAAAATCGTTTGCCCACAGAAGAGATCATCCGAATGGTTAACTTTTTCCGAAAGACAGTAAGAATTAAACTTTTAACTTTAAAGGAAGGGTGCACCGGGTGCTGACTCATGAGTGCGGTGCTTTTGAAACTAAAGTTACACCGTTAGCTCTGATGCAACTATGTTTACTGCATGGTTAGAAAATATAACCTAAATTCTCACCTTTTGCAAAATATGATTAGTACGAGTATATCCTTCGTGACATATTGACTGTTGACTTCTAGAAATGGGAACCATTTATTTTGCAAATGAAATTGTAAAGTACTGAATTCGAAGAAACCCGATATAGCTCTAATTACTGTAGTAGCCTTTTCTATGGTAGTAGAATATGTTGCGTTTACTGTTTTGCCTTTTCCCTACTGAAGCGACCCAGTCCAGAAGGCTTAGCCGTGAACATCTCTACCGGATCGTGGACCGACAGTGATTTGCGGGCCTTTCGTAACAGCTGGGTCGATGATATTTGGATGACGCCGGTGGATTCTGCCGACCACGGAATTGTTTCTTGTAGGTAATCAAGATATTACATTTCTCCTTGCATTACCGTTTCAAAATTAGTTTTGAAATCGTTAGGATTAGCACGTTTATTTGTTCTGGTAAAGTGAAACTATTTTTTTGCAAATAGTTGCGAGATAGTTGTAGAGTAAGATAATGTATCTTTTGGTAAAGTGTTTCCGCAGTCATTATAAAGTAAATACGCTTCGTACAGTATTTAAATACTTCATACAGTATTAAATAATTCATGCAATATTTAAATTTGAAGTCTGTAAGTGCCCAGCTGTATATACCTATCTTAGCTTCGAGATCCTGTCGAGCTTGGACATGTGAATCGATCTGAGCGCGCGTCACTTTGACAGGAGCGGGTTTCGCTCCCTTCAACGCACTTGTCTCCTCTTCCAGCAGCTTCTCTCGCTCCAACTTCTTCTGCAGAGCCTCCTGCTGCTTACGTTCTTTCTCATCCTGCAACAGAGTTTCAATTACATATTGTAATCATTTGATTAACATCAAGAGCGAACTCATTTCAAATTTCTGTATAATCCTGCCTTTCAATCATCAACCAGGGTATAGTCACCTTGCGTTCCAGTTTGCGCTGAACGTGCTTATCGTTATCTTCCCATAATTTATCTTCCTCTTCCTTTTCCTTGCGCGCTTTAGCCTCCTGTTTTACGGCATCCTGTCGAGCGCGGGCTTCGGCTGCTTTGGAATTCTCACCGTGAAATTTCTTGGGCATTCCTCAGACTGGCCAGAGAATACAATACACGACGTCAGGTGAGTAAGGTATATAATTATATAGTTCCAAATTCCAAATAAGCAGACCAGGAGTTACTAGTAGATGAGTATGGCAGATCAACCAAGAAGAACTGCGAGAGTTTTTAGCGAATATTATGAAGAAAGGACACTGCTAGTAGAATTTAAAATCAAAGAAATTGGGAAAAGTAAGGAAAACCTTCAACCTCAAGTCACTCCAAAACGAAAACACTTCTTTCCGTTTCATTTTTCCGACTGTCAACACAAATTTTCGACACAATTATGTTATGAGCATTGCGCGCACTCACGAAGTGCGCAGTTATGCACGATGCGCCGCGATTGCGTCAGAGACTCAGAATGCTGTCGAAGGAAAACCGTATTTATTTAAAATCGAAATTTTAATTTCTTAAATTTGGACCATCAAATTCTTATTAACGTTGGACCAGTTACAGTCGTTGTAGAGCTAGCTTGGTGTTTTTTGTCGTTGTGGTAAATTTGACCATGTGATTTAATTTGCTAAATTCCCACAGTCCCTACAAATTTTCTTTGCTATTGAATTAAGTAGGTGGCATTGCGATTTGCGATCAAAATATGTAAATCATTATGAACGATTCGGTGCCTGATTTGGAAGTTGTGGATGGCATGGACCAGTTAACGCTGGACCATTCTTCGCATCGGCCTTTCCAGCCGAACAGCGCCGAAAACCTCTCCAACAACAGCGATGATGACGGTAAGGGTTTTATTTTTCCTGTAGTGTTAATTCGTGTTTTAATTATTAAGTAGCATGCTAAAGCTTGTAGATCATAATTCATAAAATTGTTAAAAAATTCATAAAACAGGTTTTAAAGTTTTCAGTGGCTTTTTTTTAGTCCAGCATGCGCATGCAAAAAGTTCTGCCCAAGAAATTGTTTCGATAAGATAGAATGACATAAACTTGTCTTGAGTGCCTGTTTGACGATTGGTAGACGACATGGAAGAGGATTACGAAGAGCCGGAGATGGTCCAGTCAGACCGGTCTCCTGCTTCTTCTGCCTTTATCCGACACGCCGGAAACGATTCTCGCTCACTGTTTGGAGAAACACAATTGTGATTTCCGGGGGTTCGCTAGAAAAAATCGTTTGCCCACAGAAGAAATCATTCGAATGGTCAACTTTTTCCGAAAGACAGTAAGAATTAAACTTCAATTTTAAAGGAAGCGTGCACCGTGTGCTGACTTGTGAGTGCGGTGCTTTTGAAAAACTAAAGCGACACTGTTAGCTCTGACGCGTTACGCAACTATGTTTACTGCATGGTTAAAAAATAAACCCTAAATTCTCACCTTTTGCAAAATATGATTAGTACGAGTATATCCTTCGTGACATACTGACTGTGGAATTATCGATGTACTCTTCGAAATGGGAGCCATTATTTTGCAAATGAAATTGTACAGTACAGTACTTAATTCGAAGAAACCCGATATAGCTGTAATTATTGTAGTAGCCTTTTCTATGGTAGTAGAATATGTTGCGTTTACTGTTTTGCCTTTTCCTAACTGAAGCGACCCAGTCCAGAAGGCTTGGCCGTGAACATCTCTACCGGATCGTGGACCGACAGCGATTTGCGGGCCTTTCGTAACAGTTGGGTCGATGATATTTGGATGACGCCGGTGGATTCTGCCGACCACGGAATTGTTTCTTGTAGGTAGTCAAGATATTACATTCCTCCTTGCATTACCGTTTCAAAATTAGTTTTGAAATCGTTAGGATTAGCACGTTTATTTGTTCTGGTAAAGTGAAACTATTTTTTGCAAATAGTTGCGAGATAGTTGTAGAGTAAGATAATGTAGTACTGTACGATATACAAGTGAATTAAGGGCTTTACGAGTTAGCTTTATTGTTTGTTGATAAAAGTATATGATCGTTGATCGTGTCATCGTAATACGATAAGTATGGTAGAAGCACCTGATCTATTTTCATTTCAAAATTTTTAATGTGGTAAATGGAGCATTTGCTTGGATAATCTGATTATGTACATCCATAACACTGTTGGCCTTAGTCCTTAGGTAAACGCTGGTAGGCAGTGTCAAATTGAAAATAAATCTATTTTCGTCGATACGAAATTAATGTTGTTGGATGTTAATGAATGGGTTTATTACCATTGTGTTTAGTGCCGTCGGTCTCTAAACTAAGTTTCTGCTCTATGGCTGTGTTTTCTGTTGTGTAACTTACGTTTTCATTAAAAATTTAGACGGCCGTATGCTGGAAGGCTGATATCATCGATTACGCACAGGCAATTGCTCTGTAAGCAGTTTTGGGAGGAAATGCCACTTTTATTATGGTTAATTTTAGCCAAAGAATTCATGGAATTATGGGGTTTTAGTGAAAATGGCCTAGCCGATCGAATCCGTTTTATTCATGCTGACCTGGACAAAACCCGGCTTCCAATTGAGAAGGTTGGTAAAGTGGGTTGAGAGGGTGACTTCTCGTGGGGTTTTTTTGCCCGGTCATAGGAAGAAGCTAGCAAGTATTCGGGAAAACAATTCGGTGAAAATATAATTATATCTTGTATGTCGATAATAACGTTATCGATCCCTTCAAGATTTACGATTGACATTTGTTTCCTGATCTTAGGTCGACGTGATTGTATCTGAATGGATGGGCTATTTCCTGCTTTTTGAAGGAATGCTTGGTATTCATATTTTCAGTGGCTTATTAAAGCTCGCCTATGCTGATTTGTAACGATTTGCTGTTGCGCTGTTGTTTCCTTAGATTCCGTTCTGTTGGCTCGTGACAAGTATTTGGCACCGAATGGAACAAGTAATAAAAACTAATATGCATATCTGTACAAGCGTAATTCATTTTACTTTTAACACTGAACATTTACATTTAATACCATTTGTATATGGTACATATGCACCATATGCTAGAGTAGGTAGTGCATTTAATTTCAAAAGTGCCTTTATTTTTTGTCGAATTCGAAAGTTTGTCCTCATTGAAACCCTTGTTGCCGATTTGTAGGTTTGTATAATTAGTAGGTCTGCTGGTAACACTCAACGTTTTTTAATCTGTTTGGTAGATGCAGTTAACGCTTTTCGGTTTGATTTTTCAGTGATTCCAAGTCGTGCCAGTCTGTTCTTAACGGCCATATCCGACATGGAGTCCTGGGAAACCCGTGTGGGATTGTGGGATAATGCGTACGGACTGCGCTTCCGCTGTTTAAAGGACCATTCGTTGAAATTCCCCGGTGTGGATGAAGTGAGAGACGAACATGTTGTCACGAGCCGCAGCACTCTGCGAGAGTGGGATCTGATGACCTGTACGACGCGTGATTTGGAGTTTGAAACGCGGGTTATGGTCAGGGTGCTAAAAACAAGCAGTCTGACGGCGCTCGTGGGATTTTTCGATGTAGGATATAATAACCCGACGGCGGGATTACAGGTAGAGAAAAACAATCTGTATGACTAAATTTGATTTTTGTATGATTTATCTCGATTTTTACAATGACTGACCGGACTTGCTCCTCTAATGTGGGAAGCTGCGCCTACCACACTAACAATAAGTGTCCGTTTCATATTCGAGTTCGAGCATTAATCTAAGATGATAGATAGTATTCTCACTTCTCAGTGCCTCATTAAATATGTGTGTTGATTTGTATTTTGTTATTTTTAATGCATTTTACAATTAATCAGTCTGTAGCCTTATAACGGTTTCACACTTTTATTGTCGTTGTTCGTCTTGATTCTGCGTCCTTTATCCTTTGCTGCATCTTGTAATTTGCAAGTAACTACGTGACGCGTAATCCATGTCATCTACTTGGCAACGTTTTAGACAATGCTCTGCACCGGTCCGAGCTTTCCCGTGACGCATTGGGCGCAGTCGGTGTTTTATCTGGAGAAGCCATTTCCTGTTACGGAAGGTAAGGATCGCTGCAACAAATCGCCGACTTCGTTTGTATTCTGAGTCTGAGCGCATGGTTTTACCGTTTGGTGATTACAGGTCAGGAACTGAATATTGCCACTCGGATTATGAAGTGCCGTGATGATCATCGTGGGTTGGAAGTGACCTTTCGTATTTTTAACGGAGAGGGTGTGGGGAATAATTTGGAGGAGACATGCCTTTGGCAACAAACATACCAGCTTTGATCTTTTAAGGATATATTTGTGTTCTCTAGTGAATTTTAGTTTCGGTGGTGGTTGTTATTTATAGTGAGTATTAATTGTTATTGCATACGTTTATGGTTGTTGTTGTTAACGGTATCATTGCTATTTGCTAATAATCCAAGTCTTAACAAAAAAAGTGTTTTTGCAGTACGTAATTCAGTTCAGGACTATTGTTATTCGGCAGTGTGCATTTAAATACGAAATACAGATATGCGTACTTACGTATAAGTACTTATCTGTAAAGTAGAGTATGCGTAGTTCGCTTCATTAGTTTATTAACGTTGTTCGTCTGGTGCAATACTTATGTTATTTTACATACGGATGTGCCGTCACATGCTAATAGTACGAAGTATGGATTTATTTAGGCATATCATAATATTATAGAAGTGAGTAGGCCTCCTATCATGATCTCATCCATTGTATTAAAAAATGCCGGTCAGGATGTGCGTGGCAGCCGCTGAATTCCCCGTATACCACGACCGCAGCATGTTTTGCGTATATCCGGCAGTTTCCCATAATATCTCCGCTTCCTCGTGATGGATTGATTTACAAAGCCATCATCATGGTCGCAACAACAAACACCACCGCGTTCCATTGTCCCGCTGCATCGCTGGACCACTTTAGGCGTAGATCCCATTTGGGAGGGGGCCATCGATCGAACACCCATTTAGATGGCGGCGCACTGATATGAAATGATATTATAAAAATACTCCATTATGGACTCGGTACGGTCATGCCATACTCGATCAGTCTTCGGAGGCACTCACAGTTCCGGTCGTAGTCGGCGAAGGGATGCCGGGTGCGCCGATGCTCTTAATTAAGCGTCCCTGGACTAATTAAGAGCAGTGCACGGCGTACGTAAAAGCTGACCAAGCGGACACTCTGTTTCGTATTGATCCTGTAGTTGGCACACCGCTTATTTTATGCTGATGCGGGCATGAGTGGCGCACGTTGGGTTCAATTGGTTTAGCGGTAATGTTGGCTCATCTGCATGGTATCTGTTAACTGTGCGTATAAAAAGGGCGTTGATCGCATGACACATACCAGGTACGTTTTCTTGTATAGACCGATTATTCACCGTTTTTACCGGCGCCGGTGTTCGACTACTTAAATTCCCGTGACGACGGAAGTGTACAGTATATCGGTAGTTCTCGTTCGCAGTTTGTAGCAGCTTGCTTGTTTTTATTTACCGGGTAGAATGCGTTTGATCAGTTTTACTTGCTTTCTCATTGGACTGGTGTTTGTGTCGTGCAAGAGCGTCTCCGTGGAGGCTGATAAGACTGGTAAGTTAATCTATTTCTGCCTTACTCCGGTGTTGCTTGTAACGGCACATTGGCGACAGTATCAGTACGTAGATCCAACTCGTTATATTAGTTAGGTTCAGACTCCAGATAATATTATATTTTTCTATTCCATCGCCGCACGCGAAAGTGAGCCTAATTTACGTATTTACGTAAATAATCTAACCCGGCAGTTTTTCTGCCAGATGCCACTCTCATGAATCCCTTCCTTTTCTGGCTGCGGTTTATGGCTATATGCGCAACAATATCCGTTCATATTGGAGCTGATGGTCTTAAGCTTTGTGAATTTTACAAGGATCCTTTCAGAACTCTAACATGTAATAACTAATTAACTAAATATAAGCTGTAAAGCTTTAGAACATACGAATTCCAGAAGAGCTTAAGCTCTACGCGAACATGTCCGGCACTTGAGGTTTTGAATTATGAATTAGTACTCATTAACTTCGTTTTCTTCCCGATTATAATGTGGTTGTTACTGAGAGAGTAAGTACCGTAAAAGCGTTTTTCTTGCGTCAGGCAGTAACTTATTCAAAATACAGTTATGGAGCGCACTTTTATCGACTAGAGTAGGCTATATATGCGGTGCTTTCTTGATTGTGACCTTTAGACAATCTTGAATAAGTGGAGGTGCAGCAGCATTTACCATATAGCCCAGATTAATGGGGTTGTGATTTATAACTAAAGATGAAATCGGCGAAGATTGCTGTGTACAACATACAATTACTTATGTAGGAACACGTTAGGGTACAATACACGTGGTTTTATACGTACAGTATCTGCCAGTTATCGCCACTGTCATTGTTTCTCCGAAAACCCATCACAGTATTCGTATCTGGCGCGCCTCATGTCTGCAGTTTTGTCCTACCACTAATAATGCAAACGAAAATAATAATCTTACCTTAGAGTGAATAGTGCACTAGGTTGTCAGAAGACGATTATTAGTGTCGCAGACCGCAAGAAGTTCTCAAACATGACCTTTCGCGAATCTCAAGAATTGCAATACAGTATTATTCGTTATACGAATCAGGTGCGCGGTGCTTCGATACGGCGATGCTATTAGGAAGTCTGGCTGGTACAACTGCTCAGATTCTTTCGTATATCTCTATTCTGTTTAATGGTCTCGCAAAGCCGATATTTCTATGCAAAGCAGAAAAAACACTTCGGCTAAAAACCAGTTGATTGCGACGCTCCCAAGCTGGAGGCTGTTTTTGTGACGTGAGCATACTCCCGAAGGGTTGCTCAGAATTCAGAACCCAAGTGTATAAAGGCCAATCGCTATACAGTTTCTCAAATCCAGCAACCTTTCGAGAACGAAACACATTAATCATAAATTTTGAATTTGTCTAATCGATTTCTTGTTTTCTGAAATTGTTGCGATTTTGTAGAATAAAAGTACCGGAATGGTCCGGTATGCGGTGTAAGCTGAAAACACTTACTTATTATAATTATAGTCAATGACAGTGATTATATTATTTTGAAAAATTGTGAAATTGTTATGAAAACTTCAAATTAATTAACCTGTTGCACGGCAATCCTGTTGTACGTCAGACCCGAAAATCATAGTACAGTAACATGGGTGCATTTAGCTTTAATTTGCACATCGCAAAAGTAAAGATTTTCGAAACTACAGTAGTAAAATGCTGTGCCGATCTGTACTTCACTTATGGAGATTAATTCCCGTCTAGCTTTTCTTCGCAGTAGTGATAACCTGATTGCATGGCCTATCCTTTGTTATGCCTAACGCTCACAGAATACTGTAATTAATCAGGCATTTTGGACTCACAGGTCACGGACGACGCCCATTGGACACCTGGGCACTGTCGCGCATGCGTCGCGACATCGCCGGCCTGATGTCATCAGCCGGGGCAGCACCGTACATGGACGCCAGCACCGGCATGTTCGTCTATGCCGCCAACACAGACTCCGATGAAACCGGCATTCCGGCAGTGAAAGCCTTACATCAGTCCGCCGATCCTGGACTAGAGAACATAATTCGTGCCTACACCATGACGAAACGACGGGCCAGCAAGATGAGTTGTCTGAAGAGCTGTGTCGGCAATCATATTCTACATCCAATGCAGTGTCATTCCCTATGCTAACGATGGTCCCCCAAGATATCGACTTTAAGATCTTTGGCTCATCGAATTCGCTTGTATGAAACATGTATTTTGTTATAACGCACTCAAAGATTTTCATTTACGTCAGCGCGCATGTTCATTCCACAGTTTTTAATTTAAGTGTCCAGTTCTGAGTTCATATAACATTAGATAAAAACGGTTAATGAGTTTAATTTGGGTGTAATTACAAATCTACTGACAATTGAAATGAAATAGTAAATGCTCGTACTGCAGGCAACCGTAGCACAGCAGCTATGCAGTACAGTGAGTACAGTAAATAAGTAATTTTGGGACAGTTTGGGTTCAGCCTCGAAGACTTGTCATCAGAGATCGAATTCGAAGTCAGCTGATCTGTGTTTGTAAGTGTACAACATATTTACGCTTTTTATTTGCATTCTGGAGCTGCAACCTGCAAGCGCTTTTCGGCATTGTCTGGAATTAATTAAAGACGCTTATCGGTTCCGTACTCCCGTACTTCGCGATAGTACAATTTCTTATCTCGAATTAACATGAATATATAACAAAAATAACGTAAATCCTTTTTAGAATCGAGATTAACATAAAACAAGTCGAGTGCGGTGTTTACTTAAATGGCGATCGCGCATTCGTGGTACATTCTGCCGGTGGTTACAGACAAAAAAATCCGCAGCATACGAGTATTAAATTATATAAGCTGATAAAAACAACAGCGAACAAATAAAATACACGACATAGTCGGCATTCATAGCATATTTCAGAAACAAATGGAAACTCTTCATCACCATAAAAAAGCTATAATCAGCATCCAGCTGCAGGCAACTAATTTCAACGAGGATCACCAGGTTACCACCACACAAACGTCTGTAGGGATCTTTTGGGAATATTTTCCACTATCCGGCCGCGACCGAGTCGCTGATCACGGATCTCCAGCTGTACGTCGGCATCACCGCGATTCAGCACAACGGCCGCCACGCCGCCGTCGGGCCGTTGCGCCGCCACCGCCATGACCTTTTGGCCCAGATTCCATCCGGACAAGTCAGTGGTGAGAATCTGCGCGTCCGGCGAGAGGAATTTGCTGAAGTGTCCCAGTGCGTAGAACATGGGTTGTTTGTACAGCTCGTCGGCAGTGTTGTTGACAATGATGGGGGCGTCGACAAAGTTGTTGGCCCAGTTGGGACCACCTTGTGGGTTGAGCGCCAGATTCCAGTCAGTCCATCCGCTCACCCAGTTTTGCAAGTTCTTCAAGAAGAAAAAGCAAGGTGCTGAATGAGTTATGAGTCTTACCCTCCGAAGAGTAAGCTTTGCAACAACTTAGCTTACGGATACAAAAGCTTTGCAACAACATACGTAAGAATAAGGCTGATAAGTACTCGTACAACCCATGGCATGTCGGCAAGCGACCATGCACTGCACTCAGTGCAGTGCACTGATATCTTGCAATAATTACAGCTCGCCTTACTAATTAATTATACACAGTCTTCTTACAAGTCTTCTCTACAAACTCTACTGTACAATTATACAAAATTAAGAAATTAAACATTAATAAGACAACATCGTAGCTCTTGAAAACGAATAAAATGTGTGCGATAGAATTTGAAGCAAGTCTGCATAATTAATTGTCAAGTAATCAGTGCTTTAAGACTTTAAGATAAATTATTGTACGGTTTGTGTGTAAATACGCTCTCCTCCGGCGAAGAAGAATCAACAATTAAACAAATATTAAACGTGAATTAATCGAATACGTGTACATTTTAGTTTTACAAATTATATTTATTTGTCCAATTTTTCAGTGACTACATAAAATTTCATTGTGATCGTTGCGCCTAGAGGCACAGCTAGTCATCGAGAGCCAAGAGTACAGTGTTACTCGTATAAAGTGATATAATTAAAGTGTGTGTCCAGAACCGTGGAAAATCTGCAGTCATAGTATTTAAACACACCTCAATGATGTCCACCGCATACGATTCCGCCCGTCCCCAATCACCCAGGATGACCTTTTTTTGCCAAGGATAACTTCCCTCACAGGCCTCGGTGCTGAGGATGAACTTGTCCGGATGGTGATCGTGTGTCTTACTCAGCACAGACGCCGGCGTGATGGGATCGGCGTACCAGTGCACAGCGATGCCGTCCACAAAGTCCGCGGCATCCGACTTGCTCTCCCAATTCATTCGAGATTTGGACAGCACCGTGTCCGCCCATCCGGGGAGGAGCACGCGCTGGTCATCCATAATCATCAGTTTGACGCGGCGCAGCCCGGCGGCGGTCAATGCCGGTCCGAGGTCACTGGCGATGAAGTCGCGTTGGGTGGCGGCAGTGAAGCCGAGGGCGTTGAAGGGAAAATGGGGAATCATGCCGTCACTGGGCTCATTCTGGGCGGTGATGCCCCAGATGGTGATCTGCCAACAACCGTGATTGTGCAAAAAACAAGAGGATTAACATGGAAAATTCACTCAACATTTTGAGCTTCGTAGGCTTGGATGAATTTGACGAAATACTGCGCCCATGCTTTGGAGTAATCGCTACCGGCTTGACCTTTTAAGGTGCCAGATGTGGAAGCGTTACCGGAGGTCTTCATCCAACCTGGAGCGGACCTGTTGGGAAAATAACCGTGGCCACCGCTACAATTTTACAAACAACTCCCGGAAGCGGAATCAGTGGTCAATAAGTCATTGCAAGGGTATATTTAAGCCTGAAAACTAATTAATGCAGGGGCGTACTTATGTACTCGTATCTATATATTGTTTCATTTGAGGCAATCGTCCTAACGAGTACGACGTCGGAAAATATAACTTCTTAATTCCGACGTGTATCCGAAGAAGACCAATTACTGTCGCTCGAGATTCAATACGCGTAGTCGCGTACTAAGGCTTTACCGGCAGTAACTAACATTGTAAGTACGCACATCTCAAATTATTTCCCCCGAATTTAAGTCAGAAAGTGCTAGAGCTCGATTTTCGAGAATGAGTATACCATGGACTAGCAAAGACGCGGATAGCCGTCTTGGTCAAAGCCTGCGCTCGTTGTATCAGTGGGATCTTCATCTTGTTGTCCTCCGGGGTGAGTGCAAAGTGGTCCAATTTAAGGTCACCCGGGGTGTCATCGTAGGTGTAGACGTGGGTGGAAAAATCGCAGCCCGCCATGTTAACGCGGCCAATAGAGTACTCGATTCCGTTGGGCCCGTAGTAACTAGACAAAAGGTTATCCTGTGCGGGAGGCGACAGCTGCAAAATGTTCACCCCGGCGGCGTCGGTGAAGGCGCCACCAAAGCCCAGAATATTCTGCCGGGTGGTGTTGGCTATAGTAAGTGTCAGCGAAGCGGCGCTGGGATGGTGACTCTTGCTGAAGCTGCCCTGGGTTTTGTTAAATCTGTAAATGTCAAAATATTTGGTAGCGGCAGCAGGGGACGGTTAATTGTTGGGGTAAAAATTAAATAACACATAATTTATATAAGTAGTTGTTATTATGGTACGAAATGCAAACAGACACGAATAACAAAAAGTACAACAACAAATTTTAAGAGTTTTACCAGTACTCTATAAATTCCCCGCTGTAGTACAGTGGCACAAAAAGTTTACTAAACACCAACTATTGGTATCATTAGAGTTATTTTTAGTTTTACTATTTGTTACTATACAGCGCTTATTTAGGCTGCACTCGTACGAATTAGGATGTACAATACAGTTTAATACACTGTTCGAGCATATTAAACCGGCTCGTTGGTCTACGCCACAGTACTGTACAGAAGTTTCCTCTGCATTAAGAAAATACCGCCGCAAACACTGCAGAGTTTCAATGATTTCGATATTTTGAAGTTAGCATTATTGTTGCGGGTGCTCCCTGCTGACTGACTATCTATCTATATTTTCATTTTGATATGTATTTGGTTATCTATCTTTTATTTTGATGGCCGTAATGTAGATCTATGCGTACCTCAGCAGCCGCGCATTCAGGTTTGGCTGCCTGCGTAAGGCATATTATTCAATATCGAGGAAAGCACTACACTGACTACACTCTCTGCAGTAATAAATGTTTGAGCCTGTGAGTTGGACGGTTGTTCGGCAAGTCCGTTAAGTGAAGCTCCTCTAGAGTATTTAGGCAAAATCCCATTCATGAAAATTGTTCGTGTTCCATCCTGACGAGGAATACGAAGGGTAAGTACGGGCGCTCTTTGAGTAAGTTTAGTACGAGTCTCAATTTTAACTTTTAACCACTTCTTTTCGTAGTAGAATCTGGATGAGCGTTTTTTGTTTTTTGTTTGGCGTATATCGGTTTACGCAAATATTTTACAATTGGCTGCATGTAAGTAATACCTTTGGCCATCTAGCGTTGAACGGTAGAGGGAGTAGGAGCCGTTGTTGGTTGCGCGCGTAGGACTCACTGGTGGCAGGGAATCGCAGTAGGTTGCATTGCAGACGCACACAACGGAGTCCCCGTCCAGCTTGCGGGGAACGCACGGTTGAGCAGCCTTCTTATGGCGAGCTGCAAAAGTTCCCCGTATTATTGTATAGCACTGGTTAAAAGGATTTGCTTTGGTCTGTCACTTCTCGTTGTTTTTGATTTTTATAGTTTTTATTGCGTTTCGGCTGCACGTAAATAATTCTGTGCAGTAAAAGTATCTGTATTTTGCCGTTTTTAACGGTTTTTATTTTTTTGGTGGCATTACAAATTTTATAATTCGAGTGCAGAAAACAGAATAATTTCGGCAAAATTAAATATTTTTGGTATCAGCACTCAGCACTTACAATGTAATGTATTCCGGTACTCGTATTTACCTACCTGTTGCTAAACCGGCCAATGCTAACACGCAGACGAATAAGAGGAATACAGTGGGCAGGAAGCTACGCAATAATAGCCCGGCCATTTTCGATGCTACTCCCGAGAACTTGGGGTAACTGATATTCCCACCCGGTGACGCTTTGGAACAGCAATAATTATTAGAAAATGATAACAAGTGGGAACTGAGCGGCGGAGGCGACTTGTGGTTATAGCTGCGAGCCTGCGACGATTGACTGGGGAGTGCAAAGTACACCGACGAAAAGAAAAGCAGTTTTCTTTCGAGCCAATCAGTTGATTATAGATTTTATAATGCTTTATCAAATAAACATGCTCGTGCACATTAGTTTCTTACTTCGGGAAGACAATGAATGAAATGCACGTGCCGTAACTGATTAACTATCTGATAAAAATTAATCCTTTCATAAAGTTTAATTCAGTTTTAAGGTTGGAAGGCATACGGTTTGGGTTTTATTCCGTTTCCGATCACTCCAAACTCCACTAATTAATTATTAGGATTAGGACGGTGTTATTCAGAATTAATTAATTAGGTCGATATTATTAAGAGTCATTTAATTAGGGCGATATTATTCAGCTTGATACGATTTCTGATTTGGAAAATAAAGAAAATAAAAATTTTGTAACGTATGAGAAAAATGCGGACGGACAATGCAAATACACACACAGATTGCTTGCATAAGAATAAATTTTGGAAACTCTACTTTTTTAGGTGGACATGGAGCACATTCCTTTTCGTTTCCTGCGCATCCAGAACCGTCTGTGTAAGTTAGCCAAAATGCTTAGTGGAGAGACTTCGTATAATTAATGAGGATAGCTGGAGATCAACGGTGTTCATTTTTGAATTTTTACGAAATAGCGGGGAGATAGAGAAGCTGTTGTTGGTCGGGCCTGTTGTTGTTCGTTCGGCGTTCTGCACACCACTAGTAGCCTAAAGGTCGTAAAAGAGCGTAGTTCACTAGCGAACCTGAAATAGCGTGGTATGTGCTCCCTTAGACGAGAGCTGTGGTCCGGATGAGGGGAGTCCGCCCTGCATAACATTTCATGTGGTAATTTCGTAAATTGGTGAATGTTTCGTTTTACGGTATGCAGGTTTAATTAGTTGGCTGTGCAAATCCCGCTATGTATGCACCAGCACACCCCGGTCCGCAGCCTTCGTCAAATCCAAAATTAAACAGCTCGTCGCTACCGACAGCATCAAGGAAGAGAAGACGCGGAATATCGGTATCCTTGCGCACATTGACGCTGGGAAGACAACCACGACGGAGCGGATGCTCTTCGCGTCGGGATTGACCCGTCACTGTGGCAGTGTGGATTCCGGGGATACAGTGATGGATTTCCTCCCGCAGGAGCGTGAGCGGGGCATTACTATAAATTCGGCGACGATCACCTTTCCATGGAATGGATACAGAATAAATCTTATTGACACGCCGGGACATGTGGATTTCACGGTGAGTGCTGCGACAGAATTACCTTGTTGTTTCTTTTTGTGAGTTACATAACGGTAATACCGGTATCATGAAAACGTTGAGAGGAAGGTTTTTCAAAGAAGGTGTTGGTTTGGAGGAATATCATTCAAAAGTGTTAGATTACGGTACAGTATTGCTCCATGAAAAAATTTCAAAGAAGTTCCAAGTTCTAAGTTGCCTTTTGGAGAACACAATTTAATATAATATAATTATTCAAAAGCCCAAAGAGCGATATTTGCACTTCCGTATCTTAGAAAATTTGTAGCACGTATATGGCCCTAATTTTATCTAACCAGTTCCACTACTGTACCATATTTTGCCTGCGTATTTTACTGAATTAGAAGACTTCGCAGAGAGAAGTATTGCGCATTTACACCGTAAACCTAACTGTAAATAAAATCTTACAGGTGGAAGTTGAACGGACGCTGCTAGCGCTGGACGGCGTTGTCATCATCCTGGATGCTTCAAAAGGCGTTCAGGCGCAGACGCTGACAGTTTGGCGACAGGCTGTTCGCTTCGGACTACCCTGTATTATTTATCTGAACAAAATGGACAAACCCGGCGCCAGTGTTCCGCGATGTATTATGCAGCTGGAGAAGAAGCTGACTTTGAAACCACTACCTCTGCAAGTGCCTTTCGGGGATGGAAAACAGTTCGCCGGGGCGTTGGATGTCTTAGATACGGCTGAGAATCAGCGGCTGGAGAATCTGTAGGCAAATGCAGCGTTTTTTACAGAGATTGTGTGGCGACTGGGGCCTTTTTCTAAATGTCTGTTTTCACTGTTTCGAAATATTTTCTATATATCGGTATTTTTATTGATTTTCACTTGTAGTAAGTTAGAAACATTCCCATTTTTCGATTATCTAAGGAACACTTTTAGTGGTTTCCTGGCTCTTTTGGTTGTTCAAGACCTTGAGTTAATTTTAATAACTAGTATGTAGTCTCCTTTCTTTAATGTTTTTCAAAACTACGTAAAACTAATATGTCGGAACTGGAAATTTAGAGAACGTTGTGAGTCCATACAGTGTATGATACGTAATAAACTTTTTATCGGTATGTATGCGCTGAGATTTGTCTTTTTTTATCCGGAAAGCAGACTTGAACAAATTAACTGTTATTGAGTGATACGTTTGCAGGACGGAGTTGAAGAAAGCCCGCCAGTCAGTATTAGAACGTCTTGCCGATGTGGATGATGATTTTGCCGATTTGTACCTGAATAGCAAGGAGAGCCTGGACCGCGCGACTATCGACTCCGAAATCCGCGAGGCCTGCCTGAAACGACAACTAGCGCCATTACTAATCGGCTCGTCTCTGAAGAACGTGGGGGTTCCAGCGTTGTTGGATGCTGTGGTAAAGTATCTACCAAATCCGTTGGAGCTGGAGAAACCGATGGTCAGTGAGCGCTTGAAGAACTCCTCGGGATTTTACGGATTGGCTTTTAAAAATGTCCATGACAAGTACAAAGGTACGGCGCTCCAATGTTGTAACTTTACAAGTGTGGATTTGTTGAATTCGTATTAACTCCCGGTCTTAAGAGTTATGTAAATTGATAAATCTTTTTTGTAGCTGCGCAAAAGGCACTAAAATATTTGACGTTAGTTGTTCTTATGAAGCAAATTTTTTCTGAAAATGCTGTTAATTTCTTATTCATTGTCGGAATAGTCCGACTGCATATTGATGCAGACTTCGGTGTGCATGTCGATGCGTACTTCGTCTCGATCGACCAACCAGGCCCAGCGTTCTGGTTCGGCTGCCACGGCGGAGGTTGATGCCTTGATCTCCGTGGTGGTGGTGCCCGGCTCGCATGGTGAACCGAGTTGCTCGTTGGATTCGGTCATTGTGCCCGTATTATCACAATCTGCAGCGAGACGATAGGTCACTACCTAATAGTTTTGCGCAATCAAAGCTTGTTGGCTGAGCCTTTTCTTTTTATTATTCCAACATTTTGCTTCGTTGCGTATTCTTTTTCCACAATTATGAGATTAACGAAAACTATTTTCCAAATTCTGTGGTTAGTGAAAGTAGTTAGGTTAGGTACCGGTGTTTACGAGTATATTTAATTCGCTTTTGAATGGTTTGCTGATGTTGAGGCTTGACGGTGAAATACCCTGCAGATCATATTCCTTTGTATTACGTACTTTTTTTTACCTTGATGAGTTTGTGTAGACGTCGAAGTGGGGGAGCGCTGTACGGCGCTATCGAGTAGATACTGGAAGATGTTGCCGATTTTGTGGCATATTTTCCGTATCCCACGGCTTCGCAGGAGAACTGAATGAAGCCAAACTCTAGAACCGTCTTCTGTCTGTTTGGTCCGAGTGGTAGAACGAAGGTACGATTGCTGTCCACTGGTAATTGGCCCTGGGCGAGGAATTCCTCAGTGGTGCAGGCTGAGACACGCTTAGCGTACTCCACGCCATCGCCACCAGCATGTATCACTACAGAACGAATCCATAATTTGTTTTTACAAAAAATTGATTTGAAAAGACAATTCGTGGATATCTTGCTTTTTAAAAAGGTTGGATATTTTATCTCATCGTCTTTAGTTCGCAAAGAATGAAAGCAGCGTTTTCGAAAATAGCGCTACATTAGAAGTTAAGAGACAAATAAATTTTATAAAAAAAAATCCATGCACATTTCGGACTTTAAAAATTACGTACAGAGTACAGCTACTGAAAACCGATTTATCGCAAATTTCTAAACTTTTTATAAGTTGACGATGGGAGAATAAAACCGATCTCTTTTAAAGCTTAAAACCTTGAAAAATTCGTAGAAGGCGTAGGAAAGCCGTGGATCCTGCATCCACACCGATCCACAATTCATATTTTGGGAACTTTCTGTCCGGATGTTCATGACAAAAAATTCTGCTCTAGAATGATATTCTGCGATATTCAAATTGTGGATCGAGTGTGGGATTTTCACAACAGAAATTATTTATATTAATTCTTGCGGTAAATTACCTGAACCGTGTGAAAGATCTGAATGCAGACCATTTTCTCTCTTCGATATCCCAAAATGCATAGATACGGATTAATATATCCTAATGCTTTGCGGGCTTGATCTGGAGCTGCTGCAATCACCATTTCCTGTGTGAAAATTAAAGTTAGCACCACCATTTAAATTTTTATTTCCGATCAACAAATGCGTTTTCGTTAGCGATCTAGCTGAGATTTAATGCGTGACGGATTTGATTTTGCAGTGAAATATGTGTTCATTTAAAATGAATGTGACTTATGTAAGGTACCTCAAAAAGGCTATCCGGTTGAATGTAGTCCGTTCCGTTGGCTCGGCACACCAGAGGATTGTACAGTAATTTGCTGTTGACCCTGGCGATCGTGTCGCTGAGTGTCATCCATTCGGGACAATGTGGATACAGCATGTGTTGGCGATTTTTCATGTGCTTAGCGATGTGCTGCATGAATAGCGACGTGCCGTCATCGGTTTCTTCATCACACATCTGCAGTGTAATACGCTCCACACTACTGGCGGAAATGGTGGAGAATTCGATTTGGAAACTGTTTTTCATTGGACTGAGGGCGCAGGGTGTCAGTGGCTGGGCAATTTTCGAGATGTTGTACTGTTTTTCCGCGCGCTTAGCGCCTTCGTCGCGGAGAGCTAAATTAAAAGTGCAGTTTTGTAATTGGTTTGAAATTAATTACAGTAATATCATGACACTTTCTACCTTGGTTCTACAGTTGGGTCGGCATTGCGTACCAATCAGTTTCGTCACCCGTTAATTTTCATCAAATCTTAATTACTCTGTAGTTGCGGCTTATCAGAATTACGAGTATGGTATGTAGTTTGAGTCTAATTGTAAACTTTTTGTGGTGGCAAACTGCACACTATATAATCATGAAATGTAGTAATAATAGTAAATGTACGTTCAGGGCGTACTTTGGCAGATGTCCAGTGTGAGTATAAGTTGCGCCTTCTGGACACTGTCCGAAAAGTACCAGGTGGTCAACGGATTGCTGGCATCGCGTGGCTCTAAATCGCGGGAACCGATCAGGCCTAGCGATAACATTGCGGCCGGCTATTCTCGAAAAAGATCGAATTTTTCGTGCAACGGTATCATTTTGTACATTTTTCCTTTGCTGGATTAATGATAAACTGTGAATTAAGTGCTCTAATGACCATACAGTGTGTATTGCTTAATCGGTGATTTGATTAAGGAAAAATTACCGATCGACATTCGTAGCGTTGGATCCGTAAGAGGGAATGATCCTTGTTAGCCGTGATCAGAATGTGAAAAGGACGGAAATAGAGATTATTAGGATAGATTGTCATTTTTCCCGGTCCCTGAGGTATTTAGCAGGTAATAGTGACAGCTGTTCTGAATTTTTTGAAAGTAAATCCTGCGTACTTTATACAATACAGTTTTCCAATCCAGCACATCGGTCCCGGGAATTTGTAAACGATTTAATCCGGGAGAGACGCAGTCCATAGAGTTCCCATGCAGGCAATGTAGGGAATGACCTGTCGCAGTCGCGGTTGTTAAGAATATTAACCAGCAATCCAGCATGTGTTACGAGACTGTGACCAATGGAACAATACCGGATTGTCCAGTTGGGACACGGTCGTGGCTTAATTGAATCGATGCGAGGAAGTTACTCGAGGATGATGCAGATTCCTTTAGCATTGCTTTTAGTGAAAAATGCGTAGATGAACCACGGAAGCTTGGCGCGCTTTTCAGTGAATTTCTACGCTATTATGCAAACCTCTGTCGATCGTTATCTCCTTCCGTAATATCGGGTGAGACTTGTTTTGAAAATTATGAACCTCTACTTATTTATCCTCAGAATTCACTTATTCGATGTTGCTACGGTGATAACTCCTATAAAATTACTAGCATGTTCTTCTTTTAGGAACTAAAAGCAGTTTTTTAGTTAGTTAGTTGGCTTAGTTAGATTTTTTACTTTTACTGGTAGTACTTAATGTAATTTAAAAAAATTAAATAACAAAGTTGAGCGATAGCAAATTTATTTAAAGTTAACATCTGTGGTGTCGAATACTTGCTCTACTTTTTTCGTATAAAAGCTTGCGGAATTTTTGATTGTTATTATGGTAAAGCGTCTGGAATGGAAAAAATGACAATGTAGTAAACACACAAAACACTATGGGAAAAAATGTATTTGAGTAGCAAGTGATATTTCATCAGCATTCGAATAAAGGAAATCATAAAATTGAAGCAAAGTACTGTAATTCAGCTTTAAGTAGTAGAATAAAATCCAGATTCCGTATTAAGCCTTATTAAGCCGTTTAAGTATTATACGTATATCTTGCGGAGTTATTGAAAACTTGCAGGTCTCCTGACGTTTCTTCGTATTTACCGCGGCAGCCTTAAAATCCGGTGCGTCTATCTTCAACGTTAACAAGCAGCTGCGGGAGAAAGTGGTGAAAATCCACGAGGCATATGCCGATGAGCTGCGGGAGATCGCCGAGGCCACCGAGGGCAACATCGCCGTGCTAAGTGGGCTGAAGGAGACCGTGACGGGAGATACGCTGGTTGCCAGTGGGGCGCATCTCGACGACGCCCCGACAGATCAGGTGGCCGTGCTGCGTATCCCCGATCCCGTGTACTTCTGCTCGGTGGAGACTGATTCGCCGTCTAAACAGCAGGCGCTTGAGGATGCCCTGGCCATTGTGCAGAAAGAAGATCCCTCAGTCAAGGTTGGTGCAAAAATTACTGCTGTTAATATTGGGTGCAACCGTACAAATGAGATTGCTTTGGCGTTATTGCGAAATGCGAACTGTAAAAGCAACGATCTTCTGGTCTGTTTTACTTCGCTTACAGTACTTATTTGAATTTATCTGTTCAGTCGTTCCAGTTGGCGTTTATTGTTTTGTTTGGTTTGCACCATAGGTTCGCAATGATCCGGAAACCGGCCAGCTTGTGCTCTCCGGCATGGGCGAACTGCATCTGGAAATTCTGAAAGACCGTATTAAAGGCGAGTACGGATTGGACCTCTACCTGGGACCAATGCAGGTAGCTTACAAAGAGACCATCACCGGTACCGAAGAGCACACTCTACAGATGGTACGGGAAGTGGCCGGTGTCCACAATCGTGTGGATATCCATCTGCGGATACGCTCGGTTGCGGAGAGTGGATTGTTCCGCAAGTGCAAACTGCAGTCGTCGCCGGACATCGACTGGACCAAAGTGCATCCGGACACCATAAAGCGGTGAATAATGGAGTGGCGGCGGCTTTGACGGCCGGCCCGGTGCTGGGCTACCAGGTTATCGACGTCAAAGTGAACTTGGTAAGTGCCGCGACCTGTATTCAAACACTAATTATTTTGGACATTTAGTGAAAGTGAATAAGTGCTTGCAGTTTACGTTTGTACGTGGCACAGAATGGACTTCCATGTTAGTGCATCGTACCGAAAAGTTGCGATTTGTGATTTGACACAGCATCATCTTTTTCAACCAGGTGAAAGTGAGCACAGCCCGCGGCACCCTTTCTCCAGTGATCGCCGCGGCGGCCAGTCAGTGTGTCCGTGAAATCCTGGCGAAATCCAGCGCACAACTGCTGCAACCGCTGATGAATGTAGCAGTGACCGTGCCTAGCCAGTGTGTCCACGATGTGTTAGGGGATTTGGCACGGCGGCACGCGCAAATCAAGGAGATCGACGTGCTGGATGAGGAAGCGCGGACGGTCAACGCGGAGTGTCCGCTGGCGGAGATGATGCACTTTAGCCGGGATATTCGCACGGTGACGCATGGTCTGGCGCATTTCAGTATCGAGCTGGGACGGTATGAGCCGCTGGATGCTGACCGGTTGGCTAAGTTGAAACATGATAAAATGCTCTTCTGAACAGTGGTGATTTTTGTCGGTGTTTTGTATAGTTTTGTAGGTTTGTTTTTATCGGGTTTTATTTGTTGTTTTCCTTGTGGTAGGATGTGAAACTTTGTAAAAAAGTAAAACCAGTAAACAGTCTCGTTTTCCGACTATGTGGTTTCTTGATCCATACGAATACGACTGTCGTGTTGTAGTGCCGCAGCCGCATTAGACATTACGATTGCGGTTAAGAAACCAGTAAGAAGAGAATGTATTAACCTTTTGGGCTTTAGGTTTTCAGTAAATGCTGAATGACTACATTGCACTAGTATTTTGCCACGAAGTTTGTTTCACATGTGCGGTTTACCTAAGCATTCTCGGAGATTGACTTACGTGTGGGTAAGGAGACAGCGAATTCATGTCGAGTTTCCACGACTGATTTCGATGGGGTTCCCAAGTTGCCGAGCTTACGACGGGAAGATGTTGCTAGGCACTGCGCAGCAAGCGGGAAAAGCAAAAGCTGCACAGTACTTACCCAGCTGCCTGCACAGTGCTTGCTCGCTTGGTGAACGGCGTGTACTTAGCTTTACAAGGCTTGCGGAACTCTTAACCAAGTTAAAATCGTACTCGAAATTAAAAGACTGGTTATTACACTGAAATTTTGAACCAAATTTTCTGCCACATAAAGACGTGCCACGTAAAGCCTTAACGTTGACCTGGCAGGTACTAAACTAATGCTTAAATTAAATAATTACCTATCACAATAAAATTACTTATGCAGCCGCAAGGACTGTACGCTGGTCTTCCGTTTTGCCGTGATATGTTACTTATTGTCAGCACTTTCGGTCTTCGTCAAGCACATCAGCTCTTGAGTTAGCGTTTAGTCTGCATAAGTTTCGTCCTGGTTTTGTCTGTATTTGGGATTTTTTGGACTGCCAGCTGAACGCATAATGGACGCATAATGCTAAACGCATAATGATCTTAACAATGTGTTCAGTATCGTGTTGGTATCGTCGCGGCGGTAGAAAATCCGAAAGATCTACCCTACTGTAGCTTAACTGGCTACTAGATCTAGCTTCAGCTTAATTGGATTACGCGACATTCGAGCGATCTGTCGTCCACATGTCGCTATTGCTAACTGTTGTTGACATCACTCTCCAACCAAATGAAGTTTGGAGCCCAACTCGCTTCCCAGCTGACACCGGAATGGCGGACACAGTATCTCAATTACGATGTGCGATAATCAACCATGACCTTTTGTGTTTGTATCTTGCTGATACTATTCTGTCTAGCTATCATGATTCATGAGCATTTTCCGTAGGATATGAAAGAAATGCTGGCGCAAGTCATCGAACATGCCCCGCGATCATGTAAGACAGTCTATTATATTTACTGATAATTTACATAGCCAATTATTGATCAAGTCAACCACAGTTCAAAATCAATAGTTACAGGCCAATATTATGCTAACAATATCAATGCTAACGTTCCTATAAAGGATTCTAGCGTCCGTTTAACTCTGTAAGTTTTAACCATTCTGATTTATTTATATTCTCAGTTTAATTCATTTATTTGATTTATTTTGTATAAGATACTGTAGAGTGTCGAAGTCGAGTAAAAAAACTTGCAAAAAAAGACGTTAGCTAAACGTTAGGAAACGGCTAAAATTGAAACACATCCGTTCACCTAGCGGTGGTTACACGTTAAACTAACGTTTTTCCTGCAAGCTGTTTTACTCGGGCGAAGGCTATTTCGCCGCCCTTGCCATTAGTGTACTTGTACAGATAGTATTTTGCCGTACGCCAAAATACGTACCGCTTCGTTAAAGGTTTTCTAGCCGTTGTTCAACTTGTATTTTCTCTAAACTTCTTTACATTATAATCACATAAGTTCAATCGCTTCATTAGGGCCAATTTAGGGGCACTGATAAATTACGTAATTCAGTAAATTAAATAACTAAATTAAGTTGTAGTCGGGCACTTTCGATTTTCTGGTTTGTGCTGAAGCACAAGCAAATGTTCGTTTTTCAGTTAGCCCTACAAATATGATGGAACAGCCCCACATGGACCGCGCCAGCCGACTGCTGGTTTACTTCGCCGAGTTTGAAGACAAGTTTTTCGTATACTGTGATAAGGAACTTACTAAGATCAACACGTTTTTTAACGGTATGCAATACGTACAAAAATTTTAAAGCTTATTGGAAAACCCACTTCGACAGAGTTGCATTAACGATGTCGATTTCATGATTTTCTTCTCCAGAGAAATTAGCCGAAGCGCAGCGTAAACTGGCCGCATTAAAAATGGAGCTGCGCGCTCATTTCAACCTGTCGCAGTTGGGCGTGGCAGAAGACAAAGGGGCCCGTTTGTCGCACAAGATGACATGGTTCGCGGAGCTTATGGACAAGGACGCCCGCAACGCCAAGCGCATGTACCGAAAAGTGCATGATTTGAAGCTGGCCTTCTCCGAGTACTACCTCAGTTTGATCCTCCTGCAGAACTTCCAGAACCTCAACACCACCGGCTTTCGGAAGATTCTCAAGAAGCACGACAAGGTGCGCAAGTAAGCACACATTGCACTGCTTATGGGTGGCGCATCGAGTGCAACCAGTATGATTACAGGTTCTGGATACCGATAAGGGCATGACATGGAGGATCCAACACGTGGAAGTGTCGTCTATTTATCAGAGCAAAGAGGTCGACCGTTTGATTATGGAAACGGAGGTACTTTCGTCAAATACCGAATTTTCCTTGGAACTGTGGAAATGTTTAGTAATTCGACTCCCGTAAGCCATAATTTGAATGGTTGCAGACAGTGGTAACAAAAGATCTGGAAGCCGGTAACCGAAGTAAAGCAATGCAGCGGCTGCGAGTACCGCCACTGAACGAACAAGTAAGTGCAACACTAAACTACGGTATTAAAATAAATTGTTAAAAAATACAAGAGCTATCAATCTATCAACGACACAGTGTTAATATGCCGGTACGTACGTCGTCATTGTGATTCGTCGCATTTGGCTGCACAAGACAGTGCATGCACGCAGACACTGATCGGGACACTTTAATCACCTTTTATTTTACTTGAATAGGCGGCGCCTTCGGTGTTCTTCCTTATGGGTCTTCTCCTGGGCAGCTTCAGCATCCTGCTGATCGATCTTGTCGCAGTAGGTAGGATTACTCACTGTTCTCTACCGTATTTCGCGATGATTGGAAGGTTGACGTTCACAGCTGCTGTGTCGGGGCTTCCCTTCGACATCTACACCACCTTTAACGCAACGACCAATCAGACAACGATCAATCATGACCGGGTTGACTGGCGCATTGTCGTACGTTTGTACCGGGGTCCTTTTCTCTTCATTGTGCAGCTCTTCCTCTTCGCCGGCAATGTGCATGGCTGGAGATCAGCCGGTGTCAATCATGTCCTGATTTTTGAACTGGATCCGCGCAACCATTTAACGCAGCATCACATTGTACAGGTACTAGTAATCTGATGCGGTAATCAAGTATAGTACTTGTGCTTTAAGCACAGTCTCGGGTGAATCTGTACTTAGGATGCACGGTACATAAGTACTGTATTTTCTAATCTGCCCCGATGCAGTTTTTTAAATAGTTCATACTTGTTTGTTCCAGCTGGCAGCGCTATTTGCCGTATTATGGATCAGTACCGTGCTTGCCTTCTTCCACAGCGACGCTGTGGGTGTACCGCATTACGTCGTTCCCATTATTCTGCCTTCCATCATGCTGATTCTTCTCTTAAATCCTTTTCAAATGCTGTTCTCCAGTGCTCGACGGTGGTTTCTCCGCACTTTGGTAAGGTACGTGTGCCTGTGCCAAATCGACTGCTTTTCCAATTGATATCGTAGTTTCTTTCGCTTTCACCGGGCATTCAGCTAGAATATAACTTTTGCTGCTACATTTGCAGTGGAAGATAATAACTGCTCCCTACCACACCGTGGCCTTCTCCGACTTTTGGGTGGCTGATCAGATCACGTCTACGGTTCAGGCGTTGCAGGACGTCCAGTATCTGTTGTGTTTCTACGCATTCGAAGTACCTTGGGTGAATAACGGCGTTCCCAGTAAGCAGCCAATCACCGTTTCTGTATTTGCCCACAATCGCCCACTTATTAATTTTGTGGTTGCAGGTAAGACTAGCATCTGTACGTCGACAAGCCATGGTATCCGGCCGGTTCTAGCGGCCATCCCGGCATGGTTCCGTTTTGCTCAGTGCATTCGACGCTATCGGGATTCCAATCTGGCATTCCCGCATCTGGTCAACATGACCAAATACAGCCTGACCTTTTTTATTGTCCTCTTTGCTACGTTGAATGCCTTGCATGGAGGTGATTATAGTGGCGCAGTTCATCGCTCTCTTTAGTTCTTAACAACGGCATGTGTTTTGCAGAGAAGTTTCCAAGCGACCCCATAATGCATCGGCCAGTATTCTACTGTTGGATGGTTCTGACCGTCCTCGGGTCATGCTATTCGTTTGTCTGGGATATGCGAATGGATTGGGGTTTCTTGGATTCCTCGTCCAAGGAACATCCATATCTACGCGATTCGCTGGTGTATGCCTCGATTCCGGTGTACCACGGCTGCCTGGTCCTGAATTTCTTTTTGCGATTTGCACGGACGTTTTCCATATCCACGGACGTATTTCCTTTTGCATTACAGGAAGTCCTGACAACCGTTCTAGCAATTTTGGAGTTGAACCGGTATACTAATGTTTGTTCTGAAGACTATTTGACGCGAAGATTAGAAATTTCTCATCGAAACTTTCTGTAGGCGCTGTATATGGAATTTCTTCCGTTTGGAGAATGAACATCTGAACAACTGCGGAGCATTTCGAGCAGTCAGGGATTTAGGAGCCGTTGCAGTACCACGTCCACGACCAGCTGCGCCTGCGTCCGACACTGAACGCATACGGTAAACAGATGTACAGGATATAGGAAAACCCATCTGTACCGACTCGGTCTTCATCGAACTTTGCGTGAACTTTGTTCAGATTGTTATAATAACTGTGGTATAATGGGTAGAACTTCAGGCATATTCTACAGCAGAAATTGTTGAACTGAAGATTTAAGAGCTCATTAACATATTACAATATTATGTGCATAGACCGGAGCAGCCAGCGGCTGGCGAACAACCCGGACGGGAGCCTAAACCGGCTGATTCCAAAGCGGAACTCTTCCCCATTAACTTTGATTCGCCGGCATTTGCCGGACGCGATTCCGAGGACCGAGAAAGCGGTGATTCTTCCGCCCGCAGTCGCCGCAAATCCTTCAAAGCCGAACTATTTCCATTGCGCGGGGTCACCGTCTACGAGATCGACGAACCGGCGACGACATCCGCACCGAAAAGGCGGTCGCTAACCGCGGCCGAGCTGTTCCCGGTCAACTGGAAACCCAGCAAAGCCATTCCAGAATCGGTCAGTGGGGAGTTGGGTTTGAAGAGTCACACCAGTCAATTAATTTCCGACACGATGCTGGCCATGCCGGAGACAATTGAGGAGTCACCCGATGAGGAGTACGCGTACGCCGCTGCTCTGAACACCAGGACAACGGCCACCAATATTGATCACATTAAGACGTTCTTGTAATCAGTACATTGAACATTGATGCATTTAGATACGAGGGTTTTCATACTGTTCTTGAAAGACTGTTGTATGTGCTTATACCACTTCTTTAATCTGGGATAGTAGGGTATGGCTACTATGGCTGCTGTTTGCTGTGTGAGGTTGATTAATTTTCCGCTATCTGAAGTAAATTTTGTTATTAGCTGCGAACTGGTGCGAATACTTCTCCTGCATACGCTTTTTTTATTTCTGCTGGAATGTGCACTTTTTCGATATTATGGCGGGATATTATTCGGTGTTTAGAAGCAAACGGCCCATGACTGCAATCACAACTCAACAGTGCAGCATTTACTGTAGCTTGTAAGTAATTAGACAACTCCTGTTGCGTTTTTTGAATTGCACAACTAGGAGAGAATGCTCTCATAGTCGGAATGTTATCGGATATGAAATATGCAGAAGCAAGCTACCTAAATGAAATAAAGAATTATTGAATATTTTGGGTTTTGACGCCGGAGGCTAATGGTAAGCGAATAGTAAACAACACGTATACTGTAACTGATTATGATTTGCGTGACCTGGTACATACAGTATCTTGTTTTCGCGCAATCTTAGAGAAACCGTTTCACAACTTAAGCACTCGGACGTAAATTCACGTAATGCAATTTGGTCAAAAACATCACTCAATAACTGATACATAGTTTTTAACATTGACTCACCGAACGCTGGAAAAAGCTTTGAATAATGCAAGCGTATTAATGGCGAATCTCCATTCAGTTTTTATTTTGTCATAAAATTGTGTGGCTAACCAAGAAACGCAGAAGCGAACAAAATACACGGCCATCTTGGAAAGTGCGCGTTTGAATCGGCAGTACTTCCATGTACATAGGTACACAAAAAAACGCGCCTCAATAGCGAAGGCTATTGGTATCTTGCGGCAAGTCAACCATCCGCGGCGGTCTTGCCGGCGCCGCCGCAGATGTACTGGGCATCTCTGTGGACTCCATCACCGAACTGCTCTCTACCATTTCCTTTTCCATTTCCTCCACTTTCCGCGCGATTCCCTCCGACATCTCATGCAAGCGGTTCTGATGCACCGACAAATCCACCACAACCCCCGGCCCCGGCGGCAGCTGCACCAACCCTGGATCCCGGGGCGGTGGGATGGGTGTCGCCGTGTCCGAGTGCGGGGACGTCGGCGTGGGGCCCCAGGGATACATTGCCGGTCCCAGGAATCCCGGAGGAGGGACGTAACCTGGTTGGATGGTGAAGGGTTGTCCGGATGGCGGCGGGTAAGGCGGATAGTACCCTCCCAATCCCGGGGTGAAGGCGATGGGAGCCGGACTGGGTGCCTCGGTCGCCGGGCGTTTCCGGTCGCGGGTTGTGCATTCCAAGCAGAAGAACCGACAGTTGCCGTTGCCGCCGTACCCACAGCATGCCGCGTCTGACTCGTAACGGCAACAAATAGGCGGTTTCCGGGGTCCGCACAACTGTTTCCGGCGCGCGAGAAAACGGTCCCAGACACCGGATTTCTCGGCGTTCATGCAGAATTTCGGGCAGGTAACGTTAATTTTGGCGCCCTTACAGAGAATGATGTCCTCGCAGTCCAGGATGTTCCTTTTCGGGCAGCAGCGGTCCAGGAGGGAGTCGCAGGCGGAAGACGAGCGGGTGCACCATGTGCAGCGGGCTTCCAGGCTTTCCGAACATGCATTGAGGCAACCGCATTCGAGGCATGTCGTTAACGGTGCACAAGTAAAATTGTTACATGGGGATGATTTTTTGGATCCACGGGAGCGCAGGCACCGGTAGAGCAGGCAGAGTATTATACAGAATACAGCGTATGCTGCAACGGCTACGACAACAATTAACGTGTTGGTCCAGACAAACGGCTGTTTGGGTAGCGGCGGAAGCGTCGTAGGCACTGTAGTGAAATCTGTAAAGGTCACGTTCCATGTGGCCATCTTTGTATTTTATATATAAGCAACAAAACAAATCATTTCACGCCGATTAAAAACACTACCCCAAATTTCAGGGTTTGGAATAAAGTAAAAGATTAAAGAACAGGAATCTCTCACTCATATTATAACAGCCCCAACCCGATCGATGCAACACACGCTACACCTGCGCACGCAAGCCCCTTATCAGCACACCTCGCATGTACATACATGGATCGGCGATCGATAATCACACATGCATTAACAATCGAGATACACACATATCACCGGTGATTCTGCAGCATACCCCGCCGCGGGGTCAAATAGAATCCCTGCCCAAATTGTATATCCCCGCGTTTATCCACATCCCGCAGCTGATACTGGAAGCTCTTGCGAATTAGCTCTTGAATGTCCGGTGCCGACCAAATGACTTCATCATTGGAAGCATCTTCCAGACACACTTTGGACAACAGTGGCCACCGTACATACCGGAGTAGATGCTGGTATCCGCGCCGATGAGTCTCCGGATCTGCACGGTACCAGCTGCGCACCGCCGCCAGAACAATATCCTCCGAACGGACATTCAGGTCATCAATGGCCAGAATACTCATCACCTCCGGGGCATTGGCCAACCGGAAACTATCCGTCGTGCATACACAAGTGAAGTTTTTGGATATGAAAAAGGTCACATATTTTAGCACCACACCCAGAATGTTGGCATCGCTGGGTGTCAGGCAAGTGTCGTCATTGATGAACTGCCAGATGATGCGCTGGTATCGCATACAGGAGCTGAGTTTGGTGTTCTTCTCGATGTAACGGCAGGCTTCCTCCAGCACCCCGCGGCAGCCCAGATTAATCCCGGCGCGAAGGATGTTCTCCAGGTTGAGCTCAGTGATGCGCAGGGTTGGTAGCTAAAAGTGAAGGAGCACTCGACGATCATCTCCACGGCGTCGGGATCGACGTTGCGGAAGGCATACACAGGCCGCTCGGGATGGGCGGCAAAGATCTCGCGGAGAGTGGCGCTGATGACGGACAAGAGAAGACGGTTGGCTCGGATATCGCGGTCGGAGATGCGGAGAGTGATGTCGTAGATGTCTTCGGTGTGGCGCATCTGCTGCAAGACGGTGACGAATTCGAGGATGAGGTCACGACTTAGGAGGGCCATCAGCGCGGCGGATGCGTGAGTGTAGCTGGTGATGCATAGCGGGGATTATGGGAAGGCAAAGTCATTTGCAATGCGGAGGTACACTCGCCGAAACTTCCCACATGCTCGTGAAAGTGATGGAACCGTCCAAATGGCAGAAAAATAAAAAACGAGTGATAATTTTCTTATCCGAAACAACATATACATAAAGTATCGTATGTTTATGCACGTAATGTTTGATAATTATGGTGGCATTATTTGCTGTACTTTATGTTGATTTTCAGACTGCGGGGGCAGTAAGTACTGTATTTAATTAGCCTGGGTTGCTAAGCGTATTGTACAGCACTAACGCTAGTTTTGTTTTATTACTTGCTTACTGTACAGTGCAGCGTAGAGCACTAACGTTATTTCTGTTTTTCTTTATTACCGTACTGTCAGTACTTACTGTTATGTTTTTATGTAAGACAGATTTACGGCACTGCATTTTTCACGTAACATGTGCAATTTTATGTAATGAAAATACTTTAGGATTATGGTTTTTGAAATGGATTTTATAATAACTACTGCCATGGCTAAATTACGCACGACCGGGAGCGCACTTGGAGCGCCCATCATGCACTTGGAGCGACAGACTGTTTTATATGCAGGCAAAAAAATAATTGGTCTCGTTTTTATCGTGATTAATCGGTTTTATCGTGTCGATCAAATGTCTATAGGCATTTGATTGTCAGAGACCGCTCACTCGAGGCGGTAGACACCTCTCGTGGCTTTGCTCTGTCGCCCGCCCGCACATGGCTACTCCATTCGTGCCGCGCTATTACGCTGCTTACTCAGCGTATACTTTGTCTACGCTGACCAATCAGCGCATTTCTCCGCACTCTTGGGGGTGGAGCCCTGCGCCTACGGGCGATTCCATGCTTTGCCGCATCAGCTGTTGCATACCCGCAGCACGCGGAATCATTAATCATGATTCCTCACCAGCGCACTGCAGGCACTTTTTTCCAGCTTTTCCCGCATTGGGTTTTCTGTTGGTTTTTGTGTGTTGTTGATGCTTTATTGTTATCACAATAAAGGCTATATTTGCCCCATTTCTTCCTGCTTCTGTGCCTGATCTGACATGGTAGCAGCATCGTTCGGTTTTCCTTCCCGGAATCCTCTGATCTCCCAGTGAAGGCATAATCGGTCGAACTACGCTGATCGCCTATAAGTAGGCCAGCAAACCCGCGACCATATCTCCTGCATCATACAGGTTTCACTGGAAACCTGCAGCGCGACGGATTACATACGGGTCGGCGCCTATAAGTAGGTCCCCCGCAGCTTTGGCTCCCGGCGCAAAAACTGCGTTCGGTACGTCGCTGTTGACCAATTAAGCGCCCTACCGGGTTGCATGATACGGGTCAGCGCCTAAAAGTAGGCCTCCCGCAGCTTTGGCTCCCGGCGCAAAAACTGCGCTCGGTACGGTCCTGTTACACCATTACGCCCTATCGGGTGCGCTGCGGCCCTTACGGTAGAAAAGGGTGAAGGGGAACGACGGAGCAGCAGTTTGGAGCGATCAAACCGCCGGTAAGACCTGCTGTGACGCGTAGGACTTTCGTAAAACTTTCGTAAAAATTCGAGGTTTTCGGAAGAACTCGGTATAAAACCCTTCATAACTTTTCAACCGTTTATCCGATTTGCTCCAAAATAGCTTTTTCGGATTTCTTGAGAAATTCTGTACTAAAAAAGTAAAACAGAACTCTCGAGAGCGAAAAAGTCGCGTGACGTCAGCGTGGTGATTTTCCATAAAAATTTGACCAATCAGAACACGTGGGAAACTTCCCCGTGTTATAACTCTCGTAGTGACTCATATTGTTTTTTAAATTTTGCTCACGGCACGCTACTCGTGACGTAGAGCTTTTTGCAAGACCATTTCGTACGTGACGTCACACTGGTCAGTAACGTAACATAGGGCCATAGGAAGCTAACGCTAAACCTGAGCTCTAGCGTACCTGACCAGCACCAACCAGCGACAGCCAAACCAACCGTTCCGGTCCGGACCAAGACCAAAGAAATTTTTCTAAGTCCCAATACCATGGGCCAAATCGAAAGCGCTTTGGCCAAGGTGATGCCATACACCAGCCATGAGCAACTCCAGCGACAGAGCGGTTCTGAACCAGACGAGCCAAACTCGGCCGGCTCAACGAGTTCGGTCGAGGCCAAAGCCAGGCGGGACAAACAAATCCTGCCGGCTGACCTGGAAACCAGTGATGAAAGTCTGGACGCCACCCGGGACGACACATTCCAGGAGGCATCCGACGAACTGTCCGAGGCCAACCAGCCTCTGACAGCCAACCTGGCGCCGATAGGACGGCCCAGGCCAACAGTGTCCTCGGGACTTGGCGCACCAACCGGCCATACCTGGTCCGGGCCAGTCCAACCTGCGGCGCCAACGGCAGCCACAGGTGAGACAAGACACGCACTGATGGACCAGAGCCAAACAACTTGGCCCGATCCAACCTTGATGTCCAGGATCTGACAGCACGTCCAGCCCTATCGGGCTCGGACCAGATCCAACCTGAGGCGCCAACGGCGGCCAAAGGTGGACGCAAGGCCAAGGGCCAAGCCAAAAAGGCTGGTCCAAAGGCACATGACCAGGGCCAACAGCCCGTGAGTCAGTCGCCCATCATGTTTGAAGTTGATGGCTCAACCCCTGCAACGCCATCGCCAACCAATGACGTCATCGGCGCGTCTGGCCCGTCCAAACCGGACGAAGAGCCAATTGTGGACCTGGCACAACTTAGCAGGGCCACAGCCAGGATGGACCTAAACCGGCCTTCCTGGGACACAACCCGCGCCAGCGTCACCCCGCCAAAGCTGAACCAGGCAACCCGGCCTGAGGAGCTCGACGAAATCGACCAACTCAGGACCACAGTACGGGACCTGACCAAACAGCTGGCGGATATTGCAGAAGCAACCCTGCTATCCGAACGTTGGATGCAGGACGAGATCTGCAGGCACAAAAACTTTGCGGTCCAATCGGACGCAGAGGCCAAACGCGTCTCGGCCATACTGGCCCAGACCCAACTTGAGCTAACCCAGCTCAAGTTGTCACCATGTCCCAATGCTGAGCGAGACCAGCTCAACAGGACAATCCACAGCCTGGAAACGGCTGTGGCGGGCCTTGAAGCCCTGCTCACCTCTACGAGGACTGAGCTGGCCAAAGCCAAGGATGACTTGGCTGCGGCCCGGACCACCATTGACGACACCGACTCTGAGGCGGACCGCCTACAGAGAGAAAACGAGCGTCTTACCGACGACTTGGCCAACCTGCAGGACGAAATCAATCGCCTGCGCAACGGCTATAACCTCCTTTATGAGAGCCACCAGAATCTCATGAAGACTATCCAACAAGGAGGACTGATGAGCCAAACGGTTCAGCAGAAGGAGACACAGAACGTGCAACTCCAGCAACAGATCGTTGCCCTCCAGAGCCAGCTCAACACCGAAGCAACCATTCGGGCACAACTTGAGCAGAACAGCACCATTGGACATCAAAACTTTGTCCAATTGGAGCAGGCCTTCGCTCAAGCCAAACAGGTGATCCAGGGCCAACATGACCGGATCATCACATTGGAGGCCAATAACGCCGGCCTGGTCAAAGATTACCAGGCGGCCACCCAACGCATAACCGAAATGAACGAGGAACTGGAAAGGCTAAGCACGGAAAACGCCTGCTTAGATGCGGAGAAATCACACCTCGTAGACATCAACTCCGAGTTGTCCGCTGAACCACCGTCCTACCATACCTTTCCGGACTCGGACACACAACGTCGACAAGAAAAAGTCGACGAGGCTCTGCGGCAGGGCCAACGCTTCTACCGAGAGCCAGTGTATCAACAGCAGCATTACCATGTGAACATGGCTGTGGAAGGACCACTGGTTGGAGATCCCCCAAAGGGGCCAACCATACCTACGCCTCCCAGCCCGGTGGACCGCGGAACATCAACGGCGACAGTAACACTGCCGCCACCACCAGTCCCGGTCACCACAACTGCCACTATTGGTCCAACGACAATAGTGACGCCCGCAACGCAGACTCATCCGTCTACGTCAAGCGGGCTAGGCTTTGACCCGAGCCAGGCAACACCCAGCCACAGTTATTTCGGATCAAAGCCATCGTACCCGTCCTTGTACCCGTCAATATTCCCGAACATGGACTTCAGTTTTAGCCCACAACCGGCCACAAGCCAGGCTCACACCAGCGGCATGGATCCAAACCGGACCAGCCAGTCGAGCCTTATGTTCGGGCCATCGGCCACACAAGGACAGATGGGAGGCCAAAGTGGTACACCAACGGTGCAACCACCACTAGTAGGCCAACTAAGCCTATCTGGCCCTCCTATCTCGGCGGCAGCCCCAACGGGCCAAGCTCAGCCACAGATGGGCCAAACCACGCCCACGGGCCAAAACGTGCCCCAACCATCAGGCATACCGCCAACAGCGGCCATGCCACCAGGACCAGCATGCCCAACCAGGCCAGGGCCAAAATGCGCCCATGTTGGTCCAGCTCCCGAATGGAGCATACGGATGGATGGCGTCCAACGGAGCCATCCAGATCGTACCGGGCCAACCAATGTGGGCCCAACCTCAACAGGTGCCGCTGATACCACAGCAGCTAACACCTGCCCCATCACCACCGGTCAGTCCAGCTCTCTCAACCAGAGAGCAAATCAAAGAAATGGCCCAAGAGATGGGAAAAGCCAACGCGAGAGCTCAAGTCCGCACCGAGTTGCCAAAATTCGACGGCAACAAAACAATGGTGAAAGGATGGCTTGCACAGGTCCGACGGATCTGTAAGCAGTCGTCCGATCTGAACAAACCAGATCCGGACTTTATGAGCCGCATTTACATGGCCCTATCGGACCCTGTAAAGGAATGGTACACTGGCCAAGCCAATCGCGAGGACGAGGACGGCTGGCCAGTAGAAGAGTGGCTCCAAAAGTTTGCCACTCGATATGGCGACGATAATCAGCAGGCCACTGCCATGGGAGAAATCACACATCGGTACTACCAGCACCTGACCGAAACCCCTGAGCAGTACTATGACGCCATGCTGACTCTCCAGACGCGCGCTGGCTTGGACGACACAATGACCCTCCACTTCCTGAGGGAGAACGTCAAAGAGCCAGAACTGCGCCGCGCTCTGGACATCCGGATACCGAAGTCACCGGCAGAATTCCGGGACTACGTCCGGCAATACACAATGGGAAAGCCGGAGTACGAAGGGAAGGCGGGCCGCGGATACCCAACCATC